TATGTTTATATTTTGGGTCTGAATCAGAATGTTATTAGAAACAGTAAAGTTCACAACTCTAGTCTCTGTACGGAGCTGGTACTCGCACAACACGTCCTCTCATGGTTGCCTTCTCCAGATGGCTGGGCTGGTTCTGTTTCACTGGGGTTGCAGGCTGGAGTACATCACTTGTTGACATCTACGTTCATCCGAGATTCAAAATCTGTAACTGTAAGAGGTTGCTCTCATTCATGTTCACAGTACCAAAAGGCACGTCTGGTTAGGTCTCCAGTTACGCCTCACTAAAGTCGGCGTTTCACCATAAATGACCCAGGCGTACCTGCATGGGTCTTAATGACCCCAGGAGTCTTCCAACCCGTCGCTCGAACTAACTTGAGCCGGACTTCATCACCTGGCTTAAGCCCAGATATTGAACTTGCTTGGTTGTGACGATCATATCATGCTTAAATGGACTGCTTTCTTAGTCTGTCGATGGTTTTCACTCTAGAGGCATCGGTCCACTTTGGAGTTAATGTGTGCTCCAGAATGGGTATGGACCCTCTCAGTATGCGTCCCGTAATAAGCTCAGCTGAACTTTGTCCTGTAGACAGTACCGCAGTACTTCTACAGCTTAGCAGAGCTAGGTGATCCTCTTTTGGGCGATTTTCACAGCCATCTTTACCATCCTGTTCGACTGAGGCAGGTGAGGTGATGATGTAGTGTCCTGAATACCACCTGATGTAGTGAATTTGACGAACTGACTTGCTGAGACTTGCGGTCTGTTGTCTGTCAGTGGTTACTCCGGTATAGCCCAATTGGCAAATACACCCCATATCTTCTCGATGACATCAACTTTAGTTGTACTAGTGAGGGGTGCTACCTCAAAATATCGAAAGTCGCCCAACAACCAGAGATAATGTCGCCCCTCAGATTCAAATAAATCTGCAACAACTCTTTGCCATGGTCTTTCTGGTAGACCTGACGTTCTCGAGGGTTCTTTTTTTCTGTGAAGGCTTGTGTCCTGACAGAATGAACATGATTCTATTTTCTCCTGTTTGTTCCTGTTAATGTTTGGGCGACCAAACACAGGTGGCAGATCGTTCACGGCACTTAGTAAGCCCTTGTTGCCTCTCATGAATCTTGGCGTTCACCTCTGCTCTCAAGGGTTCTGGAATGTCCAGTCGGTCTCTGAACGTCAGCATTTTCCTAGACACAGAAAGACAGCACGATATCAGAGTCATCTCTAGCTGCTGGTAGTACACTATTGAAGCGTGACGGCCATACATCACACGTCATCCTCATCACCAGTTGAAGCTTTCAGTAGCTTGTTAGATCTCCTGCAATTTCTTGTCTGACATAGGACGATTCTCCAGTACTGTATCATCGAAGGCTTTCCAACTTTCCAACTCAACGACTGCTTCATCAATAGAATGATTCGGGCTTCTTGATAGCAGATCTGATACAAACATCTCCTTCACACTGACATGCTCGGCTATAGCGCTGAATCTCATTAGTCCCATTAGGAGACATGTAATCCCGAAAGGAGCCTTGTCGAGATCCTGCTTGTTAATGAGTGGCACTAATGGCTTGTGGTCTGTCATTAGACGAAAAGAATCTATTCCAACCAGATACCTTAAGAAGTTTTCACTGGCCCATACTGTGGTCTTTTCTTTTTGTACACACCCTTTCTCAGCAGAAATTAACATATGCAAAGCGTACGCCACTGGTCGGAGGTTTTCTCCGTGTTGTTGCATCAAATTTGCAAGGCCATAGCCACAAGCATCCGCTTACCATCGTAGGCTTCTTGGCATCGTAGATTTTAAGGACAGTCTCCGATACCAGAATTTCCTTGACTCTAGCGACTTGTGTCCCCGTGTCCACAAGTGCTGTTTACGCAAAAAAACAACCAGCTACAAGATATATGGTCACACCCGGTGTCAGTATACTATATAAAAGGATAGTATACTGACACTGGGTGTGATCATACATTTGGTAGCTGCTAATTTTGTACAAGATATATGGTCACACCCAGTGTCAGTATGCCATATAAAAGGATAGTATAATGACACTGGGTGTGACCATACATTTGGTAGCTGCTACTTTGTGCCTTACAAGCCCCTGTGCCTATGACCAAGCCACATCAGACTTTAACAAGTGGTTCATAGATTTCATGACGACAAACAGATCCTACAGAAACCGACCCAAGTACATGTAGTTGATTTGTACAGTGCAGTTCCGTAATGTAACTTGGTGGCCTGAGATCCGCGATTGCCCTGATCTTTTCTCTTCCCATTTCTCACTGCTCGTGTCCGAAACATGTAAGAGACTTCTTCCTGATTTCACACTTTGACTTGTTCAACTTGAGCCCATATATCCTCACTTGCTCGAACACTTGCTTCAGTCTGAGTGACTCCATATCAAAGTGTCATCCATAATAGCCTCGCTCCCTTCTTGGACCTTCATAACCTCTGTCATCTTGTGCTGAAATATTTCTGGCATGGACGTTATCCCAAATGCATAGGTGCACACCACACAGTAGGCTGAGTCATCTCCTCAATAACTCTGGCATCAACTATCCTCTTTAACTCTGTCTCAACTATTGCAATGAGCGGAAATGTGACTCTCCTTGTAGTACTGATACTGTATGACGTAGCTCCTGCTTTGAGCTTGATTTCCCCATTTCACACTGTAGCAATCCAATATCGCTCAATACATCCTTGTCTATTTCTTCAATAGAATTCACTCTTGAGGCATTAGTCCACTTTTGAGTTAATGTGTGCTCCAGAATGGGTATGGGTCATCTCAGTATGCGTCCCGTAAGCTGAGCTGGACTGTCCTGTAGACAGTACCGCAGTACTTCTACAGCTTAGCAGAGCTAGGCGATCCTCTTTTTGGAAATTTTCACAGCCATCTTTACCATCCTGTTCGACTGAGGCAGGTGAGGTGATGATGTAGTGTCCTGAATACCACCTGACGTAGTGAATTTGACGAACTGACTTGCTGAGACTTGCGGTCTGTTGTCTGTCAGTGGTTATTCCGGTGTACCCCAATTGGCAAATTGGTTTGATTTGATCATTTTTCAACACTGCATAATGGCCATATAGAGATTGATTGTGATATTAACATTTGTATGTCAAACAAATATGAAATGAATTTTGATGATGATTATAACAGGGATATAAGCAGCGATGAACTTATAAAAGCTATCAGCAATCTTAAAAATATGAAAGCTCCAGGTTTAGATCAAATTTTAGGGGAATATGTGAAAGCAGGACAATGTTACTTTATTCCTTATCTCCTTGATTTATTTAATTATCTCTTTAAAAATGGTCTTTTTCCGGATCCGTGGAACATAGGTATAATTCTTCCTCTGCATATGAGTGGTGACGAAACAAAGCCAGATAACTATTGGGGCATCACTTTAATGAATGTATTAAGCAAACTCTATACATCAATCGTTAATAATAGATTAACAATTTGGGCAAATAGTTCTAAGAAAATATCGGAGGAACAAGCTGGCTTTCGCGAAGGTTACTCTACTTCTGATAATATTTTTGTTTTGAATGCTCTAATCGACAAGCATTTGTCCAGGTAGATTCTACAGCGCTTTCGTAGATTTTAAAAAAGCGTTTGATTCCGTAATTACAAAATATTTATTATATCTCTTGGAACATATAGGTCTAAAAGGAAATATGTTTAATGCTTTTAAATCTGTGTATGAAAAGGTTAGAAATACTGTAAAGTCTAATGGACAATTTTCAGATATATTTGAATCTCACACGTTTAAAACAAGGGTGTGTTTTAAGCCCCTTATTATTTTCTCTGTATATAAGCGAACTCTTCATACTATAGACAACGAAAACATTAGAGGTGTACAACTTTTCCCTGAATATAAAGAATTGTTGATACTTTTATTTGCAGATGATATTGTATTGTTTTCAGATACTGTAGCAATACAATATCGCTCAATACATCCTTGTCTGTTTCTTCAATAGAGTTCACTTCTAGTCGCTTGATTAGTCCCATCTGAAAGCATACTCCACAACCAAGAAGACTCTGTTTGTGCTGGAGATTGCTCACCACACAAACGTTATAACATAAGTACAGTGTAGTTCCATGCAGAGTGGTCTCAGCTTTGAACTCTCCCTTGTGAACCAAACTCATACTGGCTCCCACAGGAGATATAGTATGATGAGATCAAGCGTAGATACAAGCTACATTGTAGATATCGCTGCAATGAAATTGCATCACAATGCTTTGCAGACCATTGTGACATCATTGGTTACCATGACGTCACAATCAAATGACATCACTAATGGCTCTGCTACTGAAGCTGCTAGCAGCACTTTTTACACTGAAGACACTGCTTATTACAGTCTACAAACGGAAAAAGTTGAAAAGAAAGATGTTGGATGATAAATAAAATCTCACCCTCGTGTCTTTTGAGATCAAATATATCAACACTCTTAGATAAAAATAGAAAAACTCATCAACTCGTATTGATATATTTCATATCAAAAGACACTTCTGTGAGATTCTCTATTTCTCCATTATGTTCAAAAGTTTACTTGTAACCTTTACAAGTTAGATCACATATTAAGCAGGCGTAGTTAGAAAAGTATATGCTTTATTCAATTGAACTGCCATTACCCCCATATACAACTTTATCATGGTAATGCAGCATGTGTCAAAACCTTTTGAGTTGAAAAGCCCCGACTTGTCTCTTGGCCATCATGAATCAACTAGCCCTAATAGTGTCATCAGTACCTGTTGTGTTGTCATATGGGGTTTTATTAGCTTACCTAACCAGAATGAAAAGAACTTTACTGGACTCAGGCGTTAGACTAATGGCTAAAGCTGCAGACTGATATTCAAAATCTCACATCTTGGTGTTAAATGTCAAGTATAGGGCATCTTGTATTTATTGTTTGACACATTTTAAGCTGGTTGTCAGCATTTGCACTAACACAGTGTCACCTGTCTTGTGTTCGGCTTTCAATAGTCATAAATAAACACATACCTATAATATTGACACAATTTATTTGGCATAAATATATATTTTCCACTAACATTATACAAATCACTTTTAAAAAGTCATCTACAGACGATTATGCAATTTCATTTGAACTTTTAATGCACAAATGAGGAAATATTGCGAATTCAGTATGTACAAAGACAACATGAAGAATAACATCCACATGTGCTCAAGAGGAGAGAACAAATTACAATGAAAACATGTGAATGCTGGCACTTAACACTGGGGATAGAAAAGTATGTAGAAGTTCACTTTAATACAAACAGGTAACATAAATACTGTACAGAAGGCAATGTCTTTGGAAGAAATATCACATTGAGGAGGGGTGAACCAGGATGAGATGAAAGGAATGTTTCAAACAAACATTCCCTGCTGGGTTCATTGACATGCCTTAAGCGGGATAATAACATCAGGAATGCCAATACTGATATGTGATCAGAGGTCAATACAGTTCAATACTAAGAGTGAAATATTTCAAGGGTCTAGACATGATGTTTAATTTCATAATCTCGAGAGTTTTGTCCTAATAAACTCCTGCATTTAAAAATGCACAAGTTTAAATATCAACAGTGTTAAAAACATCAGCCACTTAAACAGTATTTACATCTAAAGTTTCCAAACAATGTAGAGATCAGAGAGTCCTAAATTAAAGTGAAAATTATTAATTGTATAAAATGAATCTACCCCATAAGAGAATAGTGCTTGTTGAATTATCTTTATATGTATTAAACCCATGAAATCACTTCCTCCAAGTAGCCGTGCTAACCCTGCCCTAGCAAAAGTCTAATCATCTTCCTCCTCATCCTCCTCTGCTTCTTCCATCTCCTCTGCTGCCTCCGCAGCTTCCTGCTGGGCTGCCCTCAGTGCTGCTTCCTCCTCTGGGGTGGGGTCCTCAGCCTCTGTGATCTCAGGACCGCTAGGGAACTCCTCCTGGACTCCGGGTGGGGGAGGGGGACTGTAGTTATCCTGGGCATACTTGTGGCCATGTCCTATGTACACATTCTCAAATTTCCTGGAAAAAAATGTAGGAGATAACATTGACTGATTTGAACAATTATTTCTATGTAATTGGTCATATTATATATTGATTTATATATACATGAAAATATATCTCACCAATACAAGAAGAGTGTGCATTAAATGGAGATGTAATAATTTAGTTGTTAATGATATTAAAATGAGTGGATAAATAGTGATGTTAAAATTATAGCAATGGTATAATTGCTGCAAAAGATTATAACAAACAGTGTTACATTACAACCAAGTGTATCCAGTTATATAATTAGAAGCTAGTAACTTAAGAAAATAATGCTCACTTTTCAAAGGCAAATGCATGAGCTCCAGGCCATAGGTTTGAGTGCATGACGGAGATGGAGTACTGGGGGATGAGGTTGGAGGAAAGACGAGGGGTCCAGGGGGACATGCTGGCAATCTCTTCGTCCTCTGCAAGAGGGGTCAGGAGTGGAGGTCCGACCTCAGGTTCTGGCTCGTCTGGCTCCTCACGCTCCTCCTCCTCATCTTCATCCTCAAAGTCATCCTCCGACTTCTGGACTGGGTTCCACCATGTGCACCGACCCTACACAGAACACACACATCAGCACAAACTATAGCATGAACACAACAAATAAAAGCTGATAACAAAATCATCCTTTACAATACATGGAATGAATGAAATAATAGATGAACAATCTAAATAGGGTTGAAAAACAACATGCACTTTGTTAATGTGAGAGTTAACTATATGCAAGTACCTGTGGCAGAATGTGTTGAACGTGATGCACCCAGTTGGACAAATTGGCATCGATCAGCTCACGGACAGGAATGCCCTCAAAGTCCACATTCTCAACAAAGTGGTCACGGGCTGTACAGAAATAATGAGGGTCTGAGTACACATTTCACATAGACAACACTTAGTGTAAATTTAATAGAACTTAAACATGTTGAATAACGAAGATCAACAGAGTTATTTCCTCTGATGCACAAGTACATTTCGTTATAAAATGAATCTGTCTTACCATTACAAAACATACATTTATGTGACAAAAACATTTCAATTATTGTTAAGATTAACCAATTATGTAAAGAGTTAACTGATTATCATTGTGCACTAATATACAAATAACCAGTCTGTGCTGTCACCCTCATGCTTTCAAGCTCCCTTTATTACATGCAGAGTAAATTGTAATGACTACTGACAGTTTCCCTCACCCTCTCCTTCCTCCTCCTCTTCCTCATCTTCATCAAACTGGTAGAAGCCGAGGGGTGAGATGTGTGTCCCAGCTGAGATCCTGGCAATCTGGGCTCTCAGGTAGTTGGCCTCATTACCAGGAAAAGGTGGATAGCTCACAACCTAGGAGAAAAGATGCATGTCTTACTGTTAGAGTATAACAGGCCTGAATACTTTAAATATACTAACTTATATATCCAGACTGAGATAAACGATGGGCTTCTCATCAAACCTCTAGACTTATTGTTTGATACTAACCAGTGCATCCAGTCTTCCTGTGAAGAACTTCTTGATCTTCCTGCCTGCAGTGATCTGTGCGGGTGTCACAGCAGGGAGCTTCATCCACACTTTGCCAGCTAAACACAGAGTGATCATTGAACAGTCAAAATCATATCTTATCACAAAGTACAAATCATGAATGTATTACAAGGTCTATGTACTATAGTTTGATATATCTACCCCAGATTTTTGGTCCAACTTACAGAAAATGACTGAAGCCCTAATGCTATCATAATACCCCATACAAGGATTACACTAGTTGTAGTACCATGATCACTTTGGACAAAGTATGCCCATATATAACCTGAGAAGGCATATTTGTATGTTTTAATGAAAAATGGAAGAAGAGAAAACTTAGAAAAATATGATCTTACGATCATTGCAGACAAAGTATGTCTTCTTATTGGCTCCTGTCCTGTTCTCTTCTCTGGGTGCTACTGCTGGGGGTTTGAACTCTGGTTTAGGGAGGTCATCTTCCTCTGTCTCCTCTGAAATAAGCCAAGCAAAAGTAACATTTAGCTTGTAGTTTAGAAAACTATTAAATGATCTATCACATTTATGCCATCTTCTTAAGCTTGCTAAACATCAACAATTTATTTCCTAATCTAAAGAAATTGTTATGTTTACCTTCCTCTCCTTCATCAGCATCATCCTTCTCTGTGGCATCTTCCTCATTCTGCTCCTCCTGAGAGACAGAAAACATGTATGTTCATATCTCAAATTTTATTAACAAAATAAGAGTTTTCCTTATGCTATTGGATAAAATAGTTTAATATAAAAACAAAATAGCTTGCAAGTCCATGTCCAGTAAATCTTTGAAGGGTTGGAGAATGTAGGACATTAGAAGGGTCAATCTCATAAAAAAAGAGATGTCATGTGACAATCTTTTAGGCTGATTTTCTTATTCACCCATTAGGTAATTGTGATTTACTGTTCACTGTATAGAAAATCCGACAACTCTCTTGGCCTTTATCATGTTTATACAAACTAAAATAAAATACTACTGGCACACATGGAAAATAAAACATTCCAGTTATTCTCTAACACAATATTTGAGATTAGATTAGAAGAGTTTAACCATAGGCATCTAAAGACTGGTAACTTCTATTCAGGAACTGATATTCATTTGTTTTGCAATATTCCAACTGATCTATCACTGGAATCTCAGACTTACTTCTTCCTCCTCCTCTTCTTCCTCATCCCCTTCCCTGTACTCAACCTCAGCAACGTAGTAATTCTGTTCCCGACCGAAGATCTTGCCCCAGAATCTGACATGCTGTAGAGGATGGTTGTCCACCAGACTCTTAAGAGCCAACCAGATGCGGATCATTTCTTCTCTGTTGAGTCCGATCCCAGCTTGCTCAAAGTAGAAGCATAGCTCCATGAGGTTAGGCAAGGGAGTCTCCACTTCCTCATCTTGCTGGATGTCGTCATCATCACCTTCACCTTTCTGAAAAGTTAAAAACATATTTGTTACATATTATTTTGTTGTATGAATCATAATTGCTAAAAACAGATAACCTATTTTGTGGATGCATCACCTCCAATATTTCTCTTTTTCTCTTCAAGGATTATCAAGTCTCTGTAGACACACTACTTACTGTGAAGAGTCTCCTCTGAACTTGTGCAAGTGACACTTCTGTTGTTCTGTCTACTTTGTCAAGGACTGTATCAGCATCCGATGTGAATTTTGATCTTTTTACATCTTTGCTAATATCTTCAAAAACATCTGCTACATTGTCAGGCCTTTCATCGAGTACCTTTGTCAGCACCCTTGACAAGTGATCATACCTGCAACAAGGAAACAAAATTATATATAAGGACACAGAGTGTATGTGAATGTGTGAAGTTTGTTTTTGACATGTGTGACAAACTTCTGACAAAAGGATGTAATCTTTCAGGAGTGATTTGGAATGAACTATGAACTTTATCAAAGTATGATGTCATATGCTGGGACAATTCAGAAAACAACCATTGTACGGTTCATTTCCCAACAACATGAACAAGGGAGCACCTTCAGCATACAGTACCACAACTTCTTGTGAGGATGATCTCTGCCGTAGGTCACATGTCTTAAAGACACTATGTACAACAATACTGATCTTTGCATTGGAAAAAAATAGACTATAGTTTGAAAGTATTGCATAATGATGCAATCCTGTTAGCATGTGATATGTTAAAGGATAAATAATCTATAATGAAATTTGTCCATCAAAGATCAGTGAGAATATTTGAAGGCACTATTAATAATATATTTCATGTGGTCTCATTTAACACCATTTCCAAGTCTCATCTTGTGAATGAGACAAATAATTATGTGATACAACCAATGAAAAAAATAATTATGTGATACAACCACTGAAACATTTTTTATTTACTAGAGAGAGTGAATATGGTTTTATCCCACTTTTAGCATGTTTAGCAGTATTCCAGCAATATTAAGGCGGGGGAATCAAACCTGGGTCAATCAAACATAGACAATATCAATATCCTATAGATATTTTACCTATTTGCTCTAAAAATATTGTTTTGGTACTTTACTTGTGTACAAGGTGATGAACACCATCACATCAAATATGAGCTGATACCAAATTAATGACTTACATTTAAGAAAGAAAACTTAAATTAAGCCTTGATTATTATCTGATTGACTATTATTGTGTAATAATTACTATTATCTTATACTGTTGGCACCCAAAATGTTTTTGTGCACATCTGTCATGTTTTTAGAAAAGAGTGATGTATAAAGGTACACAAATTGATGACACATTTAATAACAAATCAGGTCAAGTATTCACTTGTTACTCATTTAAGGGAGAAACTACTTAACATGCAAATCCATATACACATTATGTATAGTGCAAAGACTAAAATAATCATATAGGCTACAAATTATTATACATTATACAATCTTAGCATGTAGTGCTTGCTGAAATCAATTGCTAGATTAGCTATTCAGTGTTTGATCTACTATGACCATGTAATCTACAGTAGTTTCATAAGCTATCCATCTTTTCCCACACCAATGTTTTAGCGATGATAAATCCTTAAAAACACTATTTTTCAACATATTATTTCCAAACCACTACCAACCAACTGTTCCATGTAATTTTTTAGTTTTGCGCTGAAACCAGCTGTATAGAAACTATACAAGTTAGTCTACCATTTGTCTACAGGCACAGATAAGATGGACAAGAAATAGATTCATGTGAGAAAGTGTCTGATTCTTGATATAACCAAAACAAATCTTGAAACTTATCACTTTCCAGTTTGAATTTATGACCTAAACAGACCTGGAATCTGTACACATCCTATAAGTGGTGGACCAAACCTTGTAACAGGCCTTAACAATTAACATGATACAAATGTGGGTCCATATGCGAATTACAAAACTTAAAACCTGAATTCATGTATAGATTTGGCTTTACCGGTAGTTGATACCTTATGATATAGGCCATAGCATTAGCATCAGTTTTTAAAACACTGCCAACGTCATAATAAGTTAAGAATCATACAACCTCATAATAATTATAAGTATCATCTACATGGAAACATCGCATGCAATCTAACAGTAACGAAACATATATTGGTAGCTCGAAATAAACAAAAATAATACACGAAAATAAATTGAGAACATTGTGCCCTAAATGAATTATGAAAACATTTTTTGTTGTCCTAAAATAACAAAAATAGCGTCCGGTGAGGCCATAGAAACATGTAGCTGTACATATTGAATGCACACTTTGTATGTACAACCCATAATCATAATAATTATAAAGTGTTCCAACTTACACATTTACTCCTGTGTTTGTGCTCGCTGTAAGTAGATACGATTTTGCTTTGAGAAATTCTTGTTCCTTTGGGTTTAGATTCAGCTCCATGTTGACAGGAGTCTGTGGCTTCGAATCTTTCGGTGTGGAGGACATTGTGCCTTCTTGCGAGGAAACTAACCTTTCCCCGGGGTAATGTGCTGCCTACCCTGTTGTTGTCAGGGATACCGTCCTCGTTGCTAAATGCCTTTCGCCAAACCAAACGCTAGCTCAAGTTGATCAAATGCGAAGTTGCTACGGTAAACAGTCAAACATTGCGTTGTACGTCATATCCGGCTACTGACCACCAAAACTCTGACGTTTTTAGACAGCGGCGTTTCGGTATTTCCGGTTTCTCCTCCAGTGTTTACAATCTTATGTGCCTGAATCTGGTCAAATATTTTGTGCTTCGTTTGCAATTAATAGCTACATCTGCAACAGAATGAAGGATACTATTTGTCGAAAATCAATGGAGATGTGTGCCCATAGAATCACACGATCTATGATTAATTAATGGAATAGACTACCCAAAAGTCTGCGACCTCTGGCTCGTTTTCACTGATGTGTTTTTTTCATCACTCGCTTTGTGTATTTCATTTTAGGATGCCTATGTTATTCCGTCAGCTACCTAAGGGATGACAGTGACATTTTAGTATGCCTGATGAAGCATATTGTGATGCCCATATGTGATTTCTTTCATGTTGTGTTTTCATTTGACTTATGCCTGGGAAATCAAATTTAAGAACCACAAAGGTTAATGCATTCCATTTATTTAATTATTGTTAGATTTGTATAATATATAAGCATGGACAAACGAAGAGTGTTATCAAAGAAAAAAGACTCTGGCTTGAATGAGGGTATAGCAGGCAGATATGTGAAACGGGACACTCCGCCTATTCTACGAAGTAAGCATTATTTTTAGTATACTTTTGTTAATGATATTTGGTATTGCCTCCAAATCCCAACTCTGTGGGAATCCTGTGGCTGAATACCTTGTATGTCAGATTTGGTATAAGATCTGACAAAAATGGGGTGTTTACTGTTAGAAAGTAGGACATTGTTGTACTATTATTAACCCTGGCTTGAGACAATATTCACTTCCCCTATGATCAGCAGATGCTACTGAAATAACTGTCAATAGTTTTAGACATTAAGCATAAAACTATAGTTTCATCATGTTCAAAATAGATTTTTTTCACCCAAATAACATGTTAGCAGTCAGTTTCTGGTCAATAGTATAAAAAAAAACAACAATAATAAAATCACGAGAAAGCATGTGTGGACAGTGGGACATGACACAACATATCTTAAAAAGGTCATTATTCTAACCTTTCTTGAGTTAATTACCTGTAACCAACAATGCCAATGAAGCATTCAGTATAACAATGATGCAAAATGCTTTTGTAACCATGGTAACTTATCAATTAGGAGAATGAATGTGACTGTAATTAGCCATATTGTCCAGCTGTTGTGAAGATCTTCTGCTCCAAGTTTTGTTGATTTCATAAGCTGAAGGAAAACTCAATATGACATTGGTATTATTCACCTAGAACGTAAATGCTTTCTGAAACAATTATGCAGTTAATGCTAGGTTTGCCTACAGTCATTACAACAAGAGTATGATAATTCAGTAAAGATTTTGTCGATATATCTGTGGGTTAAAATGGTTAAAGCAGAAAATTTATGTAAGTCTTAGACTGAGTTTAGTGTAAGCAAAGTACATGCTGACATTGACAATTGACCTACTCATGGTACTTAAAGCAGGGGAGAACTAAATAAAATCATTTTTTTGTGTATTCGGTTATATCTAAAGATTCCCACTGTTACATAACATTGGTGCTAATGCTGATTCAAAAGTAGAAAGTGACATATTTGTGCATCCTTAGTTTCCGTCATATAGCATAGTCCACCCATTTAACTACACCTCCTGTACACGTGTACATGACAACCTATGTTCAACTGGACATGTCTGTGCACACCTTGACAAACCTTTCTGGGTATCTATCTACACAGACTTCACAGCCAATTAACAATGACTGTTGATTACCTAATCAAGCTACTGTTCTCACTCTTGCATTTAACTAGGTATTGTGTCTTTCCACATGAATGATTTAATCACGGAATACTCATCACACCACACATGAAATATATTTGTCCGATTAATTATCTGTTATTTGCAGTGGGAAGTCTTTCTAAACAGAATGACATGCCTCTGATTAAAACAGCAGATTTGACGGCCACATCACTATTATTCCCATAGTTTTCTATGTCATTTCAGCATAGCAAAAACATATTTCCTAGGTTATTTCTACACCTGTAACAATACTTTTTGAGATAGAGAAACTATTCAGCATGTTCAGGTACACATGAATATTTTCTATTTTTCTTTTGAAAAAAAGAGCAGCTGAAATGCATAACATATACAATGCATACTAGACAGGTGAGCGCCACATTCTTCTTTATCATCATACCAAGCATATAGCAGTGTACACCTTTTTACCATGTGGGATATGGGTGTCCCAGTCGTCTAAGGTGCCACAATATGCTGTGCAGACTTGCGTCCCTTGAGCATGCAAGAAACCAATGATTATGGGTTCGAGTCCTGGTTCGCCTCGATTATGTTTCTTGGGTTGTCAGCACAATACCCATGCGCATCACCAAAGTGGTAAACATCTGAGACCTGCATCACTTCGGGCTTTCCTCCCACATTAAGTTAAACCCAACTCACTCGCTATTTACCATGTTTACACGCAGATTATCACACCAATTTAACATCAAGACTTTTTGTACAACTGTCTGATTTAAGATCTACTGTATGCATCAAACATAGAAATTTGAAGTTGGTCAATGTTTTTATCACCACACCAGTACCTAAAACATCACGCTATTACGGAGATTCTTGCTGAGTTGGCTTAGAATTTTCATTCCAACGTGGTTATATATTTGTTATGGCCTCACTATTTCACCATCAAATAAACCCAATTTATTATTGTTGTTGTCATGGTACAATAGAGGTAGATGTACATTGTTTTCAACACATAACTATAGATTTGACAGTGACCATGGTGATAATTAACATGTGAAACCTCATGAAATGGATTTGGTTTTACATTCAACAGTTGACTGACAACTAGGCACAATCCTAACGTATGCACCTTTCCTATATCAAGATCACTCCTAACAAATGGTGTATTGTTTAAACAGGCCATCACAACAATATAAGTTAAATATTGTAGTGTGTCACAATACAATATATGCAAGAGGAGACATTTATGGATAGAAGCACATAAAATACAATATCTGAAACAGTCATTTCACTAATATTTAGGGAAAAGTTTTATTTCAGTTTTGAGCAAACACATTTTCAGACCATACTAAAAGTTTATACATTTATGAGTCTGAGAAGTTTGGAAAAGAAACATAATTTTGTAAAACAGACACACTAAATTACTTTTTTGCTTGGTAATACTAGCCAGTACTTTTAGTCTTAACATTCAGGTCATACTGGATATATAGGTCACAACCTCATCACTGATTTAGTATGGACCTAATACATGTTAAAGTAGATTAGTCCTTAGTAAGATTATTCTGATTTCCATGCTTTATTGACCAACTGGTATCAGGCTAATCATAATGATAGACCTGATATAGATTATTGTTAATTCCCATGGTTTTTTTTTAACTGGTATTGACTCAATGGTAGACCTATAAAAGATCATTCTGATTCCCATGTTTAATTTCCAACTGGTGTTGGCCTAATGATAGACCTAAGATAGATTATTCTTAATTTCCATGATTAAATCCTAAGTACTAATGGCCTAACGGTAGACATGAAATAGATTAAGATTATTCTGATTCCCATGATTAATTTCCAACTGGTATTGGCCTAATCATAATCATAGACCTGAGATAGATTATTGTTAATTCCCATGATTAATTCCAAGTTACTATTGGCCTAATGGTAGACATGATATAGATCATTCTTAATTCCCATGATCAAATTCCAAACTGTTATTGGCCTAATAATTGGCCCTAAGATTGGCCTAACATAGATTATTCTTAATTCCCATGATTAATTGTAAATTACTATTGGCCTAATGGTAGACATGAGGTAGATTATTCTGATTCCCATGCTTTATTCCCAACTGGTATTGGCCTAATGATATCATAGACCTGGAATAGATTATTCTGATTCCCATGATTAATTCTCATCTGGTATTGGCCTAATGATTGACCTAAGATAGATTATTGTTAATTCCCAAGAATAGATTTTATTAATATTCATGATTAACTTCCAACTGGTATTGACCCAATGGTAGACCTAAAATAGATTATTCTTAATTCCCATGCTTTATTCCCAACTACTCAATATTCCCAATATTCGTTTCCTCACTCATGATTTACCCTGACTAATTATTTACCTAAGATATATACTTCTTGCTGTTTGCTATATATTTATTACTTTTCATGATTTTTGTACTTTTCAGATTATCACACACCTGTTCGACAGGGCACAAACTTCCAGCGGCGGACGGCCAGGTCCCCTGCATCCTACATTCCTCATCAAGTTAGTGGCAATGTCATCCCCAACACCATGGCGTCGCCACAGTCCCGGCTTGCTGGTCAGCCTGCCCAGTATGCCCTGGTCTCCACCAGTGCCCCGGTGCAGATGGACAGACAGATGTACCAGCACTACCAGCAACAACAGGCACCAAGCTCACAAGGACAAATGTCTCAGCTCAGTCAAGGGATTCAGAATATACGTATTGCCTCCCCTGCTCCTTCAAGAACTGAAACCACGCCTCAATCGCGTGGCGTTAATGTGGCGTATGCATATCCAGTGGGTGCTATGTCCAGTGCTACCACTGCCTTGTCAAACACAGGAGGACCCATCTCAATACCTCAGAGTGGTCACTATCAAAATTTACAAAATCAGCAGTTACAAAATATACAGCAGACATTTCCTACCCATCAAGTGGAGGACCGAAACCCTAATTCTCATGGGATGATTCGAGAAGGTAGGTTGGCAGTTCCTGTTTATTAATGTCACCTGAACAGACTGCAACTTCAGTTACTTAGTCGATTCAAATTGTCCTTTTTCTAGTAAATACAGTAAGTTCAGTCCATATGCTAATATTGAAATCTACTAAAAATGATGCATAGCTACAAGTTTGGGAATGTCATGCTTGTAACAATGAGACATTTTGACACATATTTGGGGTGACTGTTCGACTAGGTTTTACTATATTCACTTCAGTATCAGGTGCATGGGTTTCCAATTGGTCAAAGGTTTCCCAAATTGTTGTGTGAGTTATGTCCCTTAGCTGTGCAAGGATTCTATTTGATGGTTCAAATCCCTGATGATCTTTGGTGTGTCAGCACCATACGCTTGATTAGGGGTTTCACCAAAGTGGAAAATGTCCACATCCCGAGTTATTTAAGTTTTTTTCTCCCACATAAAGCAGCCACTGTGTGACATATAATATACAAAGTGGCATTAAACCCAACTTACTCACTCACTTGATGATCGAGGACAGAGTAATGTGGTTATAGGAAGTGTGTTGGGATATTGAAGGATGTCTCAAGTAGCCATTGACGCGATGCATAGATTCATTACATTCCCCTAGTGTAAGCATGCTAAGTGGTGCTTGACCCTGTAGAGGTTGGACAGCCTGTTGTGACAATACAGGATGAACCAGGGAAGCAATATTGATGCAGTATATGCAGGGAATGCAGTGACCACTCTTTGTGAGAATGTGAAATAAACAATGTGAAGTGATGATGATAAACATATTAATCATTGACCATCAAGATATCTGTTAATAAATATTTTTATCACAACAAGTGATCATTAAGTGGAACATTTTGATTTTTTTTCAGTTTTGTTGAAAAGTTATGGATATGTTTGTTTACATGATTTAGGTCTGACTAATTCAAAGAATTATTGTTTTACATGTCTGCTGGCCAGGTTTTGTTTAGATTGAGTGCAGTGTTAAACATCAAAACAAACCATAGTCTGATTCAGCACATGGGTATGATGTGTTAAGGCCATTCTTGGTGTGCCTTGCTGGTATGTGGCTTGAGTATTGCTAAGAGTCTGGGATTTATCTAGGATTCTGAAAATGCTAAAGTAGTTGCCTTTTGGAAGACATTGTCATTTTGTTTAAAATAATGATTTTTTATGTTCTCATTTTCTTATATGTTTATATTGTATTTTAACATTGCAGTCAACATGTTGAGTACACTGGTTGGAGCCTCTTCTTTATTGGCCCTGTTATTTGTGAAATACAAGTCACCTCTACAAAGCCATGGTTTTAGTTATGACTATATTAACAACTATTTGTGTATGTTTACTGACATTTGCTGCAGCATTAAGGCCCAATATTGGCCACTGAGCAGGTCTAGATAAATTCCAAAGACCACTCACTCATCCTACATGCTATCCTGAAATAGATAACCTAACGAGGGATGCATAAAACCACTTATCATACCTCCATGTCCAAGATGAGATCTGATTGGTCCTCAAAGTTGAAACATACGCTTTTTTTAGAAATAGAATGGATAACAAGTTTTGTACATGTTGTACATGTTGTAGGAATGCTTCAGTTCAATTTATCCAGATTCCAAGGTATATGAAAAAGAACTGGAAAAGAATAGACTTAGAGTTTTATTAAGATAAACATGGGATTGAGTCGACAAGATAAGTTAGATCATAACACTACAGCTAAACAAACTTAAGTCACTCACCTCCGTCCATTTGTCCAGTCACAAAGTCGTGTCCATTGGTAAAGCTTCCAACTCTGTTTTGTCAGATGATAACCAGGAACCTGTGACAACAGCTGCAGCACACTACGGCTTCAGCAACTACAACAACAGTGGTGAGTACTTCAACCTACAGTATGACGACAACTACCAGATCCAGCAGTACCACCAGGAGATCCGCAACCACTACGCTCAGCAGAACCCTGCCAACCAGCAACCTGTCCCAACCAGCATGTACTCCCATGTGGAACACATCACAACACAAGAAGTTCATTCCACAACATCATCATCAAGTGAGTCCTGTAGTATTAGTGGATTGAGAACAGCTAGTCATGAAATATAGGAATACACTGAAGATAAGGTTATTATTCAGACAAATAGGGAGCAGTTTAAATGAAATGTTAAAGCACAATGATTTGTTGACTGGGGTAATTCTGTTATGCTCTATATGGGTGAGCCATGTGCTTTGTAAGTGGATTAGTAGTGGCCTAAGCATTGCACAATCATTATTTTGTGAAAGAAACAAAAGTGAAACTAATTATTCATATAATCAGTCACTATAGTGAATTGGGACTTTTTTAATGTTTTGTTGGAATTTGATTGCTGCTGCTGGTGTTTTTTAAAAAATGTTTTCTACACAAAATATTATTGCCATTAGCATGATTAGAGATTATTCTTTTTTTTAACTTCTTCCAAATAGCCTTGGGGTATTTTTTTGCACTTGTCATGAAAATGTCAAAGGTCAAGGTCATAAGACCTTGTGGTCAACCTTTCTCAAATGGTATTAATGCATTTATCATTAAACTTTGTACATCCCTCCTCTAGGATGGAGGCCTCTTTTAAAAGGTTTTGGTCAAGCTTAGTCAAAGGTCAAGGTCAGCGTTCAGGTTATGTATATCATGTTTAGGTCATAGTCAGTTTCTGAGGAAAAGGTTACCTCTACATTATAAAGTTGCATATCCTCACAAATCCCACCACATAAAGTCTTTTTGCCAGGTAACAAAGGTGTCCCAGTTGTGTAAGGCAACATAAGTCATGCAGAGTTGCGTCCCTTAGGTGTGCTAGAAACCTAAGACCTTGGGTTCAAATCCCAGTTTAGCCTCATTATGTATCTAAGTTTGTCAGCACCATGCCCATGCATGTGGGGTTCATCAAAGTGGTAAACATCAAAGACCTGCATCACTACTGGCTTTCCTCCCTCGTCAAGCTGATGTTAAAGCATGCAGGTCATAGCATGAAGTTGGGTTTGTTGAACATGGCTTAGATCAAACTGGAAACAAGATTTCCATTTTTGGTGTTGTTCTCAGACTTATATCATCCCTTCAATGAAACAGTATCATGTAGTCACATAATGGTAACCATGGCAATGAACTTTGTTCATGGTAGTTAAGTTCCAGTTACTACCATTCAAAATGAGAATATGTTCAATGTCATGTTGAGTGACAATCATCAAGGACAGTAACATTCTTAAACTATCGGAGGTAAAAACAAAATTTTCCATTTTTTAATTGTTTGATTGAGGATGAGTCACACTTATGAAAAAGTCTGTAAATATTTGAATGTCTTCAGCTGGATATGGTTCAGAAGAGATGCCCCTGCCGGTCGGCTGGTCAGAAGACTGGACAGTGAGGGGGCGCAAGTTTTACATTGACCACAACACACAGACCACCCACTGGAGCCACCCACTGGAGAAGGAGAACCTCCCCTCGGGATGGGAAAGGATAGAATCCAAAGAATATGGCATCTTCTATGTCAAGTCAGTTGAATTCTGTAATTGTTTATATGTCATGTATGTGAGAACAAACAAACTATCATTGACCATTGTTCTTTCGATGGTTATTTTTCATTCTGACAAAGTACTGGCACAAGTCCTATGTCTGCCTTAGAAAGCCGCCAAATACCACAAAAAGCATATCCGATTTTATATGTAGTGAACAGTGCAAACAGTGATTTTCACTTTCCACTCAAACCCTCGGCCAAGGTGTCTGTGTAGCTCTTGATTTATATCCAGCATGAGCCGCACTGTTGTATAAAGTGTATTGGTTGAAATACAATATCGGGTTATCATTTACCCATTTGATGTTACCATGGTAACTGCAATCTGTAGTGTTGTTTCAGCCATGTGTCAAAGACTGCTCAAGTTCAGCATCCATGTACTACACTAGTCCCGCAGCATGGCTTGATGTTGAGCTATGGCCGCCAGCCACAGATACCCCTGCACATAGAGTACCGCCCACCGAGACAAACCAACGTCCTCGTACCTGCTAACCCTTATCTTCATACAGGTAAGTAGCTGTTTGTTGTTAACAAATTTGAGAGCTTTCAACAGCCACAAATAAGCCATTGTACATCAAGTAAATCTGTATTGCAAGCTTAACTCCTACATGCCCCAGGTTAAAATGTATTTCTTGTGTGGGAATATCAAGTGGTAGTTGGTAGATATGCATACCAGTATAGGCATGAAATGATAAGTATAAGAGGTGCAATGTTCTGTTCTTTCTTTTAATTATATTCCCACTGTGAGGATTCTGAGTTACAATAGGTCCCCTGCTCAATCTCATTAAAATCAGATCTTAGTTCTCACTACCGCTAAACAAAGATCTGAGGATGTCCCATTATGGGTCACGTCAGACCGACCTTGCGTGAACTTTGACCAACCAATGGAATGACCAATCAGAAGGCAGCTTTCTCGTGCTTTAGGGCACTAATTTCAAATTGGCGACTACACTTCGAAACATTTTGCCAAATTCTCAATTACAAATTTGAAACCTGAACAAAAGAACATTCCGTAATGGCTAATAGATAGTCTAGATTGTATGGATTCAGTCGTTAAACCCGGAACTATCGTTCAGAGTTAAAGTTTTCGAGGTTGCATGATTAGAAATCACATTCCGACTGTCACTTTCATAATCTAGTAAGCGATGCTCTGATTGGTCGGATGAACGGTCGTTCTGACGTGACCCCTAATGGGATGTCCTTAGATCTTTGTCTAGCTGTAGCGAGAACTGAGGTCTGATTTGAATGAGATTGGTCCCCTGCTAGTCATAAGAATCGGCCAAATAGTTTGGGTGGTCAAGGCTTGGTGATTTGGTTATTATGTGTCTTTGTAGCCCAACAATGTGGATCGTTGCTCACAATATCTATGATTGGATTGTGTGGTCCAAACTTGATTAACTACAGGCAGCCGTCATTTATCTAGAATATTGCTGAGTGTGATAAAACAAACACAGTTTTACTACACATGTTGAGTATGTGTGTTCTGTTGTTGCTGTACATGCCTACTTGTGCTTGTCCTTTACTTGATATGTTTTATTTCAGAAATTCCCCACTTTCTAATGGTGTATTCTAAAGCTCCCCCAGATCATGATCACAAACTGAGGGTAAGAATGACAGTCTATTATCTATGTTATTATAGAGGCAGATTACGGTTTTACCTTTATAATGACACGTGAATTACTCTGGCAGGAATGACCTGCATTTGCTATTGTTGAAGAGTGATATCACTTACCACTGGTAGCTCATCTGTGTAAGAGTGGAAATGATTGACATTTGTGCCCCTTGGTGCTGCCAGAATTTGATGGTCATGGGTTTGAAAGCCAGAGTCTCTTTATTCTTGCACTTGTCATATGGAACCATATTTTAAATACATATGCTTACATTTAATGGTTACAGGGTCATGGGTTATAGACTCAGATATATGAACATAAGCTGTTCAGTGAGGATCAAGGGTGTCCCTCTAACACATGTGGGGCAAGTGGTACAGTGGTATTCTTCAGGGAGAAATAGAACCATTGGTGAAACCATTTTGTTCTTTACCCATGAAGTAGGGAAGGTGAAGTTAAGCAATGTAGGTCGTGAGCAGTCCTTGGATGTGTGACCGAGTTTAGCAGACTTTATTTGAAATAAGCTTCTGTTTACCAGCATCCGGTAGGATGAAATGGCAGTGTGACTGTATACTCCCCAGGGAGCTTAGAATAAAAAATTGAGTGCAAACTGATCCATTGACTGGGATGATAATAATGCAGTGTTTCAAGCATACATTGCGTATGGATTTATTAGGTTTGTAAGCAGGTTGGTAAGTGGACTATTATTGTTGTGTTGTGATTATTATTGTATTTTACAAGATATAAAACCATGCCATGAATGTGTTAAAAATGCTGCTTTGTATTCACAGTGGGAGTTGTTTCGCCTCCCAGAACTGGAATACTATGATGCTCTGCTTGTCCGACTGTGTAAGGAAGACCTGAAGAAAATAGTTATGACATATGAAGCATATCGGGGTGCCCTGTATCGAGAGCTGGAACGGAGGAAGGAGGAACGACAGCGAGAACAGCAGGAACGTCAGCAAGAACAACAGCAACAGCAGCAATTAAGAATGCTCACGCAGAACATTGAAACTAAAGTCTAGTGTTAACCTGAAGTTAATTTATTGGTCTAATTTTAAGTTAAAATGACAAGTTATTCAATATTTCATAAAGAAATTTGAATCCATTTCAATAATGACGAAATGGCATTTCAGATGTTGTTAATGTCACATTATTTGGCACTTTTATAAGAAAATGATTATAAAGATTTAAACACTGTAAAGGTTATCATAGTTGTGCTACTACTAATTTTTCATAGAATTTTAATATTATTTAAATAGTTGATACAGTGTGTATGTTGCAAGGTAACAATATTACTTGATAAAAGTGATTATAGAAGTGTGTGGGAAAAATATGTGATACAAAATTTAGGTTAAACTGATGGTACATAAATATATGTGATACAAAATTTAGGTTAAACTGATGGTACATATATTTTTAGGTGTTGACTACTGTATGCTATGCTTATTCGTTTACACATAATTCATATGACATAATTATCAGTTAAATACTGATACCCTCATTTGCACATAGAATGGTAAAACTGAGAGCTTAACGCTTATGGCCATTTTCATTGGAAATACTCAAGTGTTGGGAGTAGAGACAGTACTCTGAGAAAGTCTCCGCTATATGCATCTTACGCTAGTTTGTGTTTATGATGTTGTGTAATCTTGTTTAAGTTATGGTTGTCTTTCACTCACTCACTCACTCACGGACACACACTCACTGACATACACTCACTCACTCACTTATTCACTCACTCATTTATTCATTTGCTGTAAACTCAGCATGAGGTAGGAAACTGGGGTGAGATGTTAAGTCCTTGTTTGTTTCCTGTATAGGGTTATTGGTAGCTTAGTGGGTTTGCGTTTTCTTGTCATACCAAAGACCTCGGGTTAAATGTCTGAAGCTAATCCTTGTTGGCTTGAATATTGCTAAAAGCAGTGTATAACCTTTCTCTGTATTCTTGCATTTTCTAATGACTCATTTTTGTATTTACATGCATACATTCTTGCCTACAATGTATAACAGGCACAATTGTCGCAATGAAAATGGCCATTTGTTTGAAAAAGTTAGAAGTCAGGAAATATTTTACATGTTAAAAGAATAAAAACAGGGTTGACATACCTGTTGCATGAACTTATTCTTCTGTGGTAAGACATGGATAAATAGTCAACATGGTATCTTTTCTATATACTTTGTCATCTGTCAACTTCTAAGAAATGCCTATCAAACAATTCATCTGTATCTCTCTCTGTCAAGATCTGATGAAACCTCTATAGGAAGTCGCAATAGGTTCCTTGAGTGAACTTTGATGATCCAATTGAAATGAGGGATATGTGGTGGATAAGCTTATCAGATGTCAGCTTTCTTGAACAATTCATCTCACCTTATTAAACTGGCAGCTTAGACAGCACTTTGTTGACAATTTTACTAATGGTTGGCATGGAGAAATTAATCCTCAGCTGAAAGAAATTCTTATGTTGTTGGTGGAAAGAAATTACTGAAACAACAGGGTATGAAATATCCACAAAATAGCTTGGTCATTCATGTTCACCATTCTGAATTGTCAGTTCATGTTTGTTTTCTACAGAAGTTAAATATGCTGCCAGGAATGGTTCAATCACTTGTAATGAGAATTTAGAAGTCTCCCGATAATTGGTTGATCTGAAAGTTCACCTCATGTGACCTCTTGATTGGAGAGTATGGCAGGTCGTGACGGAGACAGAGAGAATAATATTAAAAGATGTTATAAGTTTAATGCTATTGGAGCCTCACCACAGCCATGCTTATTAAGAGAATGTGGAGAATGGGGTTTTTCACTTGCAAGCTGGATGTCATCTTATTCATTGTCTGGTTTAATCATACCAATGTAAGGGCTGGTTAATTTATATGACCACACCTTGAAAATCAGTATTCATTTTAAACTTTCATCACCTGGCCCAAAGTGCTCAGATTCTTGCATGGTGGCACAGTGTCCTGGTACTTTTCCACATTTATTGTAATTACCCAAACAGAACATTTGTGTTAATATTCCAAGCAGTATTTGATTCATGAAATTGTAATATGAATTGTAAACACCACCATGGAGCCAGCTAAATCAAACAAACATGTTTTAACTTGGTCAATTGTGGCACATGTGTACCTCAAACCAAGTCTAATACAGCCAAATCACAAGAAAAATGAGGTGAGGCAGGAGGTTTTTCAAACGATGGGGATGATAATCTGATGATTAATATATGATGGTCCAAAGGGTCCTAGATTAGGTCAATTGAATCTAACCAAACAGGATTTATACCATCTTATCCATCGTTGTGTTTGGTGAGGAGAGTTTGTGAGCAAATACTGGTATACACGGACACTATCAAGTTTGTCATGCAACTGAGATAGGTGAGCTACAGGATCTTTGGCTACATACTTTTCCACCCAAAATGTATGTAATTAGAAATCAGCTCTATTTTTAATTAACCTTTCTTTTTTCATTAACATTTTCATTCTGTCTGTTGAAGACATGGTAAAGGTCACAGAATTGTTTTCTGTATTTTGCTTTTGCATGGATACAATGGGAATTATCAATACCCGTAAGCATTATTTTAGTGCAAGTTTAATTTTCTTGCATTTCTTACAGGACAATTATGTCTGTAAATCTAATGAATATGAAAACATAGTTTTTCAACTCTGTGTGACATAGTTTTCAAGCTATCTAAAACAGTAAGGATAAGAATTTATGGATGAACAACTTCTTTAATACAATTAAGAGCGACGTTTCATCACTTGCTTGATAACGGTGTTAGAACCTACACCGAAACATCGCTCTTAATTGTATTAAAGAAGTTGTTCATCCATAAATTCTTATCCTTCCTTTGTACTCCAACTTCTAGATGCCTATCAAAGAAGTTATCTAAAACAGTTTACCAGCAATGTCGTACATTGGTTCAAACAATACTGCAATCCATTTCTCCCATACTGCTCACATTTGACGAATTACAAGAACACATGGTGCTTATCATCCCCTAGTCCATCTTCCTGGGGTCAGAGTTTCCACTATCCTATAAAAAAGCCTAGTTTCCACCCTTGAAATTTCAAGCCTACTTTTCTGTGCTAAAATATGATTGGACTAATGCACATATTAATAGTCCAGTCAGAGAACGTTTACAAAAACATCATCTTTGTTTTGAAAACGTGGTCACTGCTATAGCCACAGCCATCATCTGTCAAATTTGCTCTGAAATTATTCCAAAAAGTAAGCTAAGATAAATATTTTCAAAGTGTTTCGAAGTTTTCAAACAAGTCGCCTAAGTACTTCGAGTGGAAACTTCATTGTTTTTTAACTCAATCGACTCATTACTTATCGCAATGACTTAGATGCAATGCTATTTTTAGATTATGCCCCGCTGGGCGATTTATGTTGCTGCAATGTGAAGTGTTTCTTGACACTGCAGTCTCACTAGTATGTATGGGGGTATGCGTCTGTTATTGTAAGAGTAAAATGAAGCAGTAATAAGTATCTTTACTGGGTAATCTATCATTTTGTTTCTCTGTCAGGGATGAAATCTCAGACCTTTTTGTTATCTGATCAACCAGGTTGTCTGCTATGGTTGTCATCTTTGTGAAGTCATTCGAAATAAGAACAGTGATCTGATTGGATATTATGTTTTCATCACAAGGGACACAACTCATGTTCTACACAGGGTGGTGCCATGATCATATATAGGCTAGTGGACACTCTTGCCTCAGGAAGATGCCTCTGATCTAGAATTTTGAATCAAGTTTCTTATTAAAAAAAAAAGAGTGGTTATCCTATTATGACAATTAGCAATAAATATCGGGATTCAAAGGAGATGCAGTAGATGAATGCGTCTCATTTCATAGACAACGAACAAGAAAATCTCAGTCAGGTAGTATTTGACAGTCATACAACAGTATTTATTAGATGCATACTACAAGCATTGGGGGTATATTCTGATCAGCTCAGATTAATTATTTCATGCTTGTGTTGACAAATTCAGGGCTTACAAATCAAATTTAATGTTGTAAAAATAACAAGGTTTCAACAGTTATTAATGGTATAGGTCTGTCATGCAGTGACCATATAGGAACCAGTTTTTACATACCGGTACTTGTATTGAGAAAGGATGCATTTGTGTAGTAAAATATTTTGCACAGATCATGGTTTTAGAAGATATAGTTTGGAGAAGATGAATTCGATAGTAATGCTTAGTAGGAAAAGAACACCAAAATTTAACATAACAGTAGAATAACTTTTGCAGCAAGAGTGCTGGAATTAGTCTATTAAAGAGTCCTGTTGGTTTTGTGTGTGATGATGCCATGGTGTACCAGTAGTCCTTGCTGTAAGTTTGTTGTCAACAACTTGAGCTCTTTCAAACAGACTAAGTTACACCCAATCTTTACATTCATAATAGAAGGCTAGGTGACCATTTTACACATAAGGAGAAAACAAGTATCAAATGGTACTAAATAGCATGAGGTCTTTTCATGAAAGTCATATTCTTGGTCTCAAGTTATTTTTTAAATAATTTTAGTTATAATCAAACTAGTAAAGGTTTATTTTTAGGGGCATTCTCACATGTATTTAGTGAGTATCTTTTCAGTATATTGTAACAGTTATTTTTTATTTATGATACTTTTTTACAAACTGTAAAACGTGAATTTAACACATATGAATACTATGATACTTATGTACAATTATTGATGATCCTATATTATTTTTTCATTAGGTTACTCTTGCATTAACTAATAATACCTGTATGTAACACGGATTATAGTTCCTTATCAATTTTTATAATGCATTTGATAGACCCTTTAGGCACGCATTGATGAATAAGGAAGCATGTAAGGTCAATGGAATGGTACACATTAAATGCAGTATGGTCTTCTATTAAAGGTTCCTGTGATGAAGAGTGTCATGCATTTCTTTCTGAATGTTAAAAGACCTGGAAAAAAGTTAAAAACCACTCCTTTCTAGTGTGCATATGTTTGCTTCCACCATGTGTCCACATACCTTTTGCAGATATGGACACATGACATTGATCTCATTTTGATAAATGTCTATTAGATACCACTGTACCTGCTTAAGAGTTGGTACAAGAACATTATTTGTTCCTCCAGGTGGATGCAGGTACTAAGGCATCATGTGATGCAGACAAGCAGAGGAAACAAGTGAAAGGGTAATCAAACTAACTGTTGCCATGGAACCAAACAAGTCATATGATAATCGACTCTGGTTTGTTTTTCGACATGGGTTTGTCACTATGTACAGAAAGCTAGTACTGGATGCCGTTTATGAGTATGTCTATTTTATGTGGAAATAAGTAGTAAGCAGTGCTTAACTTTGTCCATGTGCATAGAAATAACTGCAGTGTGATTCTGTTGTCATCCTTCAGTGGAATTACATTGAAGGAGAGCATAATGAACTCAGGATTGTCATAGTCTCCCACCTCAGGTTTTCCTTCATCTAATTTCGTACATGATGTTTTCATTTGCATTCGGTTTGATCTGGCCAGATTGTGGTAAAACTGACAAAGTGTTGTCCTCGCTTAGAAAGAATAATGTGAATAGGATTGCATGAGATCAAATTCTCATGACTGTTTCGAGTGTTTGGCCAGCCCTCACATGAAAACATGACACATTTCTCTAGAGAAGGATATAATGAGATGGGACTATTGTGTTTGGTGTACAATCAAAATATCTTCCACCTGTAGACATCCATCCTTCGAGTTCCTGACTAATGTTTGTTGGTATTACAATGCTCTATAAAACATTCACCGTTAGTGTCTGACATTAGTACGGTTGAGTATGATGGTTATCTGACAATTGCTGTGAATGTCTGAGAGTTCAATCAGTTAGATATCTGTTTTTCAGTTTGTGTTCTATTAACCTACCTGTCAGAGAATATGTAGGAGTTTGAAGAAGTCAGGAATATATTTGAGTATCATTTCTTCAGGAATCAATTATTTGAAATCAGTCAATCTGACAAATTGTAAGAATTGGTATAGACTTATATGTAGTTATTCGTTGACAAGTAAGTAGTAACTAAAACTGGAACCATGTTTCCCAAAAGTGGTAAATTGCCATAACTTCTCTTACCTTTGGTTTTGTCTCCTAACACTTGTCAATGTTTTTCAGGATTTTGAAAAAACAACTTTTTGGCCAAAACAAAGGCAGAAAAAGGATACCTTTATGTCTTTTTGTCCAGTTTTTGACTATTTAGTTTACTTCCCGTAGGACATCTCGACAAACTTCAGGTAACCACAACACAGGACCTTTCATCAGTCTTTATATATATGGGTTGTTTAAGAAAAGATTCTGTACTGCATTTAGGAACATTGATATCAGTACTATGTTATAACCATGGAGGAAACAGTAGGACTGTCCTTGCCAGTCTGATGTGAAGCTGGGGTTTCCATTCCACAGTACTTGATGAAACTGTCAGATAGGCTTCCAGCATGTTTGTGTGTACATTGTGGTTTTATTCTACAATGAAAAACAGAAGGTTTATTTCGTCAAACTTCTGGATAATGTTCTGACATACTGAGGTGATATTTGTTTTGTTCTGTAATTGCCCTGATGTAAGGTCCTAGGGGTCAAGAGAATATTCCTCTGTGAAGGAAGGCTGCCAACAAGGTGATGTGTCATGTACATAATGTCTCCTAGTGGCTGGTTCATCAGGAGAGTAGATGTAACATATGCAGTATGGAGATGACTATGTCGTGTGTTTCAGTCTTTGAAATACATCACAAGTTCGTACTGGGCTTAAGTCAACAAATGTACCTTTTTCTGTAAAAAAAATGTAAAAGTATTTCTTTTTTTACAGAGTATCTTCATCAATATGAAAGGAGGAAAAATATAAATTATTAATTTTATTCCTTTAATCAAGCTATTGAAACAATGTAGGATGATTACAAATTCATATTTACAACATGTTTTCGGCCTTAGAAGTGTATGATTTATGACAAGTTTATCTAGGATTTTAGTGAAATAACAATACAATGCCAGTTTGTACATGATGTCAAATCTAGATTTTTGTACTGTCTGTAAATATCATAAGCATATCTTCGTGTGACAGCGGTCTTTGAAGCTGTTTGAAGATTTGGTCGTTCTGCGGGCAGAACTAAGTTTTATACTTCAGATGAGAATTGTATCATATTTTTTCACCTTCCAATATGTATCCACCCACACTAGTGAAAGTGTTTAACATGTTTGGGTGTCGTGTGACTCTGTTACCTAGCAGTGCAATTGTGTCTTTTTGTATTCTTGTTGAACGTGCGGTAGAGAGTGATGTTTGCTGGACCGGTTGTATTGTGGTCACAACTTGGTGTCTATGAACCTTGTTTCACAGGGACTGAATGGGATCTTTGATAAATCACCATGGATGTTTTTAAGGTTTTTCTCTATAACAGTTTACAGTCCTGTGCAATGATTCCACATATATGTTGAATGTACATGTGATTTTCTAAGAGGTTTTTCCTTTTTGATAAGTGTTTGATAAGTTCTTGTGAGGGTAAACTTCACTTTCACCCTTATACATATGTTGTCTTCAATGTCACAAGGTTTTGGAACTTGTTTATGAACATTAGAGATTTTGTAGAAGTTAAGCTTAAGAAAATCTGGTGCTTTTCAATATGTACACATTTCAACATGGCGCTATTTCTATGCTATTTCAGTGTAGAAAAAAATAATATTATCAAATTATTTTCTGCAGTTTTCCTAGGTTTATTTCTTAAGTGTAGCAGACATAATGTTCCTAGGTTTATTTCTATAGTGTAGCCAAAATGTATTTTCTTTCCTAAGCGTATACCTGTACAGAAATTCAGGTTATTGTGTTTTATTATGTTCTGAATAGAAAAGTAGCATTTCCTTTGTAACCACGGTGGTGTGCATTGGCGTGCATCCCTAACAGAATGTGATCTTTTTACCAAACTAGATATTGCATCAAAGAAAGATAGAATGTGTACTGTACAGTACAGTACAGTACATCAACATGAAATTATTTTAGCTACACTGATATAATAGCAGTCATGGGTTCCTTGACCTGTGGAAATCCTTTTCATCTTTGGTGTATTAGGATAGGATACATTGACATCACAAATAATTTGCCAAATAGAATCACATTAGCGTTTTCAGTGCATTGAATGCTTGTGGTGTGTTGTAGGTGCTCCTCCAATGTGAGGCATTCCCTTTTATACCTTATTTAAAATCATAATAAGGCCCAACAATTTTAATTGTTTGTTTACAGATCCTTGCATCCCAAATACCTCAAGGCAGGAGATACAAACATGCTCCTTGTGCATATTACCATATGTGTCTTGCATACAATACACACCCTCCTTTTCGGGAGCTCAGTTTATGTCGGGGACAAATTATGACCTTTTGCTTCAGATGAGAGAACAAACATTGTCAAATTGCCAATGTGATTGTACAATATGATACAAAAGATAAATAGACATGATTATTTTATGTCACAAAATTTAACTCTCTTTTTCTTTTTTACTCAGCTTTCAGTGCCAGGCAGGTCTGTAACAAGTAATTAAATTGGTTTGGTCTAATGGTCAATTATTGTGTTGTTGTTAGTGGCCGTGATTGGTCAGTCAGCAGCTTGTTGAACATGACCATGTTTGAATTAAATCTTGTGTATTGTCCTTTATCTAGTTCTCATGATAAGATAACAAGTTATTTATAGTTGTGTGGGTCGGGCATTTATTGTTTTTGGAAATAGTGCAGATGATATGAATTTCTGGAAAAAAACAAGAATAGCTGTATAATTTCTAATGTGGCAGAAAGTGATATATATCTAGCTCACTTGTTTTCAAAATATTTTATTGCCCCAAAAGACAAAGGGATTAGGCACAAATGCACCACTTAAAGCCGCCTCCTCCTAGGGACATTGTACAAGAATATTGACAGTGAAGTACCTCCTTCCCTCCTTCATCTTCCCGAGGCAAGAGAGTTAACTGACTTTAAAAGTCCAGTTTCCACACTTGCCGAACTAGGCTGGTATTATGGAGTTACAGATTTGCTGGACTAACGAGTCTGTGCATAGTCCAATCAAAATCTCACAACGAAATCGAAATCCAGTTCGTAAATTGTCGTGCAGATTTAGGTCGATTGCAGGATTTGCAAAGCATGTGCACCGCCAACTCGTTGTCAACAGATATGTTTCCAAACCTTTTCATGTTTTTAATCAAGGTGCTCACGTGATTTTATGCACTTTGCTATGTAAGACCTGTTTTATCACAATACAGATCCTATTGATTATCGATCCTATCGTCTTGACTGGGTGCCGCCATTTTGTTTGAAACAAATGCAAGTGATGGAATCGGATTGGTCCATAGGAGAGGCTCAGAAGGGACATAACTCATAATAACCACTGGTGGCGCTACGATCGAGCCCAGGAATTCCAGCCTAGTTCGGCAAGGGTGGAAACTGGACTTTTAGAGTCAGTTAACTCTCTTGCCCCAAGAAGATGTCCCTCCTTAGGAATTTTGGGTAGTTGGTAGTCAAATTGTTAAAGCGTACATCATGCCAACGTCCTGTGTTCAAATCTCACATTGGTACAGTGTGTGAAGCCTATTCTCAGTGTCAGTCTCTCTGCTGTGAGATTGATTTGTATTGCTAAAAGCAGTGTTAAATTATACTCACAAACACACTCACTCAGCAGCATGTAACACATCTATTCTGTACAATGACTGGAAATACAACCCAGATTCAAAATAACCATGCACTATGTTTCACATTTTTCACCCAAACCATCAACCACTTTACAGTTTTTAGACTGGCCATGCACGTGATGACTGTATTCATCCCTGACTTGTGCTGTAGTGTGTGGTGCCACCATGTCATCTGTCAACACCCAAGTTGCCATCGCTGTAGGTACTTACCATTCCAGTTAAGATGAGGTACCGGATGTGCTGTCACCATGGTTACATGCCCTGTTGTCACCTGACATGTATACAGACCTACCACATTCTGGGAGGAGTTAGTGAGTTGGTTTGAGAATTTATTTCCCAAATTTACCAGTTGTTAAATTTTTTAGATCTATAAAAATACTGTTTTCCTTGTTACTTTACGAACAGGGCTCGTTCTACACAGCAGTCGAAATGCCTTTGTCTTTGTTAAAGTATGATGGTATGACAGTCTTAATGTAATATTGCTCTGTCGAATAAACTCCATGGAAGAATACACTAGTTATCTGGTTCTTCTGAGATAAGATTATTTAGTGGTTGGTGTAAAATGATTCATGAGGTCTAAAGAGACAGAAATAAATAATATTTTTAGTGATTTGAAATATCCTTCCTTAACATAAGTCATAGCAAGAAAATTATTTATTCTAATTTTGTAGTATTAACTTTACAAATTGATTTCATCAAGCCCAAGACATTCTATGACTAGCAATTCGTTATTAAGATCTGGTACATTATATAAGATAAGGAGAATTTATGGATGTCAACTTCTTTATTATGAGGAACAAAACGTTGTGTTCCTCATAATAAAGAAGTTGACATCCATAAATTCTCCTCCTTATGTGTATCACTTCTAAATGCCTTTCAAAGACTTGGATTGTATAAGAGATTGACCAGGTAGACAATATATGGTGCTACAATGAAACTATTCAGTACCCTGATGGTATTTTACAGTAGGACATGTACTGGGAACATATAATGTGCCAGTGTGGTTATCACTGTTACCTACATTTCGAGGCAAGTATCATTAGTTATTCTCTATCAGGGCTGTTAGGTGGAAAAGCTTGACCCTATTACTGTGTTATTTGTATAGAGATGTTTGTAATTTGTAGATCTTTGCCACAAATATCTTGGTTCAGAATAAAGAGATTTTGTTGTTAACACTGTTGATGTTGTCTGTTTGAGTATTCATTGTTCCAAATGGGCAGTTTGCTGATGTAAAGGAAACTTTCTGTCTAAGATTCACAGAACTCTTAATAGTTTAAAAAGGGGACACAAGGTGGTCCAGCCATCTAAGGTGCCAAAATTCACTTCAGAATTTACTTTGATTTTTGTTGCATTTATGGTGGTATTAATGTTTTCCCTGCTTTCAAGATAAATTTTAAAAAGTAATAAAAAACAATCCAAGATACATTTCCTCCTCATCCAAGGTGTGTTTGTAATGCAAATTATCAATTTGATAGCTTTGTTATTACATTTTGTTAAAGGTCATGAGGGGAATTTATTTACATTTTGTTATAATAAAATGGAGACTGGTCCAGTCTAATCACCTCCCTGACATTGATTTTTGTTTGACCTGTATAACCTCTGCTTGATAAAACAAGGGGTGTTGCTTACTCAGTACAAATTTTTAGGTTATCTGTGTGTATTACACTTCAGAATTAGGCGGTCAGGTAAAGGCAAACAGGTGTTGTGTCCCGCGGCCTGACCTCACCTAGCTGACCACATGGGAGATGACGTGCACATGATCTCAACTACAGTCATGTGAACAGCTGAAATGATTAAAGGTTGTTGTTCAAATACTACCAATTTTAATAAGAATAGTTGGTAGGAACATTTAATTTATTTTACTCACAGTTTGGAATCCTTGATAAATTATAACATGGTAGAAAGTAAATTTTTTTTTTAACTTTAGCATCCAATGTTAATGGGTGAATAATTAGAATATGTTCTTATGATGTTTATGGTTAGTTCAGTCTAGAACAATATTGTATGCTCTCTCCTGCTGATGAACTGAACATGGCAAGCTTGAATGTCATCATAGATACAGTTTGGCCAGTGTTACTACTTGATATGACACAAATAATTCTCACAGCATTGATATACAATCAACCTCACTGTCGCAATCTGATTACACAACTAGAAATTGGCCCTGTTTGTATACTCTGCAACAGAAGTTCCTGTGACACGATATGAAACAAGAACCTGATCGAAGTAGACGCACACATCTGAAAGAATTCATATTTTCAAACAATGGACCAGTAAAACAAGTTTGCACATTTAATGACACATTTCTATCACAGAAATGATGTTATGACAAGAGTGAGTGAGTTAGTGAGTATTGTTTTACGCCTTTTAGCAATATTCCAGCTATATGACGGTGGGGGACACCAGAAATGGGCTTCACACATTGTACCCATTACGGGAATCGAACCCGGGTCTTCGGCGTGACGAGCAAACGCTTTAAACCACTAGGCTACCCGACCGCCCCTGTTATGACAAGAGAAAGATGCAAGAACAGAATTGTCAATTCACACGTCAGTAGCGCGTGTCCCTCTCGCTTGGATGCATGCAATGCATTTGCTTTGCATTGAACAGATCAAACATCTAACACAGTATTGCATCTGGTATCTCCACCAGCCTGTCTCTCAGTTCCTGTACTGTAGTCGGAGCACGTGGTAAACGTCGGAGACGGCGGTCCATTTCATCCCACATGTGTTTGATTGGAGAATGATCTGGAGAGCCAACAGGCCATGGGATCACATTCACGTTGTTCTGTCCAAGTGCTTGTCCAGACAACATTGGGTTGGGCATTGTCATGCTGCCTGTTTAAATTGCCATTGATCACTTGCAAACAAGTTCTCTGACTCTTGGTGATTCCTCCCCACACCATAACACTGCCTCCTCCACAACTCAGTTCCCCACGATGTAGGTGTCCTCGTATTCGGCCATTGCTGTAAAAACGAGACTCGTTGGTATCCACTCAATTGCCGTCCAATGCACTCTATTCTACATAACTGCAGACAAATCAGCGGTGATTGTTGATCAGAATTGGGCGTCCGGCTGGTCTCCTCACAACAATCCCGTAACGTCTAAGATGGCGACGTACAGTCTGTGCCAATAATTGACAAAGGCCAGGGATGGTTCTCGCAATGATTGTTGCAGGCTGGAACCGATTTTGTAGATGGGTGGTTCGAATCCAACAATCTTGACGGACACTCGTAAGGGGGGGCCTGCCGCTCCTTGGGCGGTCACTCACAATGTTTGTTTACTGCCACCACTGCCATAACATCCAAATGGGGTTTCCGTTTACGTTCAGTTGCCTTGCAACTTCATGTTGCGAATTTCCTGACATACCAATGGCTCTCTAGCGGTCATTTTTCAGATAGGCATGGCATCTCCAAACTTCACATAATGATTGAAATTTGATGTTTTTTCATGTTGCAGTTGTTAAGACAAGCAGAAACAATGCATACCGAATCCCTACAACACGCGTGCTTTAATACCCTCGTTTACATCATTAATTACATGATTCCTACATGAAAGACACTTTTTTCCACCATGTTTTTCAGCTGAGGTTGCGTTTGTGTTACATGTTTTCATATTTTTGTATCCGATTTGAACACAGAAAGGTTTTTCTTGTATGCAACCAATTGGAAACGGGTGTCACAGGAACTTTTGTTGCTGAGTATATTTTGTTTGTTGTTAAATAGGCAGTCGTTAATACTCCAGCTATATCACAGCAGCCTGTAAATACTAAAGTGTGGACCAAACAGACCAGTGATCAGTGTTTTGAACATGTTATCCTATGGGTTAGAGTCAGTTGACATGCAATCGACCAAGTCACTGTGTCTAACCACCTGAAATAATCTTAGCGGTAGTGAATACTAAGATCTGATTTTAATGAGATTGTTTAAAACAAAATATGAGGTAAATTTTAGTGATTGGCATTAAGTGAGTTCTGGGTGAGTGTTATGACTGTTTTTAGCAATACTCCAGCAATATCATCACAGGAATCACCATAAATGGGCTTCACACATTGTACCCATCTTCAGGACAGAGCCCAGGCCTTCGGTGTGACAAGTGATTGTTTTAACCATGAAGCTACCCCACCACCACAACTGAGTTCTCAATGCATTACCCTCTAATCATCATGGCATCTGTTTGTTTCAAACATCGTGTTTTGTTACACTTTTTGATATTAGAATAGAGACCCAATCTAAGTAGGTTACTGTACAAACAAGTATAGACGGTTTTATGAGATATATCTCATTGTCTAATCACAAAAACAATAGATTTTATAAATACCAGTAATAGTTTCTAAATCCCTGAAAATAATTACAAAGGATGAAATTCATTGATCACTATAAGAATATATACATAATTACACGTATTGCTCACAATGTTTTTATTCCACATTGAAGACTCAATCCAGTCTAATACAAGGGAAGAACAAGGATTAAATCATCACAAATAATGATGCGTAATGCTCAAGAAACGGGGCAATACTGACATCAAGGGGGGCAAGTATCGAGCATCAAGTATAAATAAGAACTGTCGACAAATGTTTAGCTCACCTTAACTGAAGTCTGTCCTAAACATTTACATTTTCAGCATAATGTTAAAAATCACATAGTCTATGAAACTAAATTTTGTATGATCGATGCAATTGCATCATTTAATTGCTCCTAGAATTCTGACAGCCATTTTGACCTGATATGTCCCTGAAATAAGCTTATGTTTCACTGATCAATTTTGTCTACAGTTATAAAGGCATTTTTTTTTAACCTGATGATGACAACAACAATTTAGGTGAGCTAAATGTCCTTCGACTATCACCATTTAGTGTTTTGATATGAAATAAGATTCATGGTAATGGCTGCAATCCTATAACAATATCTATAAAAACACCCACAGATATCTCACTTAAACCTGATGCTGTCAAGCAGGAAGACTTCTACACAATCACAGAACTGGGTTGAGACTGTAAAGCACTTACGGTCATAGGCTTTGGGTGGAAGATGCTACACAATGGAGGAATGGGTAAGGTCGCTAGTGATGTGGAAGTCCTTCATAACAATTCACATTACATTGTACTTTGAAAAGAAAATGCAGCAATACTGCAAGTTAGGCCAACTTTTGTAATTACTTCGATCACAGATCCTAATTTTATAAAGTGCAGAGAATAAACAGAAAATACTTGGCTTTGATTTAGCTGATCATATAGAGGGAAGCCCTGTTTCTTCAGACGGTAACTGTCCAAGTTGAATTATCCAGAAATCATGATCATGCTGTGATAACCTTAAATTATACATACAGACATTCCAAATAGTTTGGTTTGGTAAGCAGGGATTATGGACAAACAGGGTTTCAGCATAAATATTTCTTATTATTTAAGCAGGGGGGTCATGTATTGTACGATGTTGTACTGTACAGTTGATATTGCAAAGGTTGGACATAGAAGAAGGGGATAAACTGACTGTTTCTGAAGGAATACTGGATGTGTTTGTTTGCTTTAACTCTTGATAAAACATTTTTGGGTACTTATTTTTCCTTATCCAACTCCAGGGTTCCGTTAAAATAAGTCTGTGATCCAAGTAAAGAAATAGGTTGGCCTTCATAAAGTAATATCTTGAATATTCCATGTTACTGATGTGTAAGTTGTTAGCGATAACTGGTGACAATCAAAATGCCAATTAAGATTAAGAACTACCAGGTACCGGTACTTCTTTTTTTTAATCTGTTATTCTGAATACCCTATGTATAACCATGTTAGCTTTTTTAAAATGATATAATGATAATTAATTAAGTTTTAATTCTAATCCCATTTTCTAGTCAGACAGTGAACCATACTTCTGGTATTACCATAAGTACTACATGAGCTAGTGTTCAATTGTTAATGCCATTTGTTTGGAATCTGATATCCACCATTATGGATTAATTTCTACATGCCCACAGAAATAGTCAGCCAGGAAAAAGAATTAGAAATGTTAAATTTGAATGACATGTGGGAATAAAGGATGTTTAATATTGAGTCATCAATAAATGTAGAAAATATTCATCATGGTAGATACTTTCATATAAATATATGTCATGTAAATGACTTTGACATAAATTGTCAATAACACAGATCATCACTACAAACAGACTACAATTTAACTAGATATATGTACACAACAATGATATGGTATTTACAAATGCCTACCCTATAACACAATGGGAAAATAACTCCAGAACAGAGTGCTTCTTTCTGAAAGACTTATCTCTGAATGTAAACACAACTTAGATAACATGGCACTGATTTCTTATATGCTGGAACATTCTGGGATGGAGCTTCAAATTAGTCATGAAAAACCTATACCATAAATTGCTGACATCTTTCTATTTAATTCAAGAAGGAGGAAACTGACCAGCCTTGGCAGGTCAAAATACTGGCCTAACAAACCATCATAACTTTACGTTTGTCACAATCTTGTGAAAACCCATGCATGTCATCTCCAAGTCATGACCTCGTTAGGATCAGTATGACATGACTGCTGCACTAAATTAGTTCATCATCAATTGTTCATTTCACGAGTGAGTGGGTGAGTGAATATGGTTTTACGCCGCTTTTAGCAACACTCCAGCAATATCACGGCAGAGGACACCAGAAATGGGCTTCACACATTGTACCCATGTGGGGAATCGAACCCGGGCATTCGGCGTGAACAGCGAGCGCTTTAACCGCTAGGCTACCCCACGGCCTCTTCATCATGTCACTAATTAAAGACAAATATAGGTTGACTTTGACTATGTTACACTGAAGCGTTGTAACATTTTTCTTCATTTTTGTTGTTAATATGGCAATGGGTAATATATTACCAGTCATAGCTAAGACTTCTTGCAAACCAAAAACATAGTACACTCTCTTTTCAGGATACACACGTCCTAGCACACTGGTCCACACTGCTGCAGGGATGCTCACACTCTAGGCAGAATACACAGGGTACTCGAATAACACTGTAGGCCACATGCTGGAAGTTAGGAGGCTTCATTAATGACTAATGTGACTCGCTTCTTCCCCTTCCTGGACTCCTTGTGTGACTCGACTGCTTGGCTTCCAACAAAAGAACTGTCAGGGTGTGCCATGCGGGCCACGTCTTGTCGGTCGTTCAGGTGATCCTGCGGACAAAGAAGACAAACATGTTAATATTGATGCAACAGGGTATATCTATTTGTAGACTTGGCGCCAATAAGTGTGACTATTAATTTATGATGATGTCCTCATGTGAGGTTTCAGACAACAGAGGAGTTCCTAGTTTTTCCTTCAGGCTGTGCCATCAAAATGTATGAAACATCTCCATTGGATAAGCATAAAGTAGCTAAGCTATGATTATAATCAATGCAGTAGTTTGGATGTAGTGTTTAAAGGTGCTATTAAAGTATTGTAGAGTAACTATGTCTATGTATTTTAGTGTGTTTAACACATATTTCAGTTGGCGAACTTGGGTAGCTGTAACTTTCTAACACACTTCTATTCCTGACTTAACCGTATATTATATATTATCCTTCAAACATGACTACCGAGGTACATTACAGGATAATGAGTGAACAAATTTTGTTTAGCACAGTGGCAGCAATACTCCAGTTACATCACAACTTGTACATAATCAAATATGGGCCAGACCAACCAGTGGAATATATTAGGAGCAAGATCCCATGTCATTGGAGTGTGATGACATGCAGTCAACCATGTATCTGTGTCTGCCCACCCAATCCAATTAAGTCGCCTTCAATACAAGTGCCTGGGACCTGTTTAACCCAGATCCCCATTGGGTATGTCAATATAACATCATCCATTGTGTGTTAAAATATTTAGAACACTTACAAATTAGAGTAAATATGTATTGTCCCTCCAGACTGACAGAGGTCAAGCTCTGAAACCAGTCTTTTTTCTTCACACTTGGCATAGTACCCAGTGGGGATTCCAGGGAGGAACTGGGCCCCCAGCAACATATGCTTGTCGCAAGAGTTGATTTAATCGATTGGATGGTCAATCTAGGCGGCTTGATGGCATGTCATTGTACCCCGGTGGCGTGAGACATTTCTCATCATATCAATCACTATTTTTTTTCTGGTCCAGTATTGAATATATTCAGACCACTGTCATATAGCTGGAATATTTCAGAGTGTTGCATTAATCAACAAATTTGGTGCAGTATGACATCCTCCCTGTCATGTCACAATGACAAAAATGTCATCAATCACAGAACACACTATTCTTATGAGGCATTTCTATCTCACTACTCCTCACCTGAAATAAGTTAATGATTGACAGTTGTTGATTGGCATGTTTTACTCACTTTGATTCTGTGTAGTTTGTCGTCTAATTCCATTTTCTCTGCCGGGAGTTCTATGACTTTTCGACATTTTTCATATATGTTATCGATGGCCATGAGAATTACACCATACTCTGTTCTCTGAAATGAAATAGTTTGGGTTATAAGTGGTGATCATTTACAGATCTGAAGAAATCTAGACTTGCCCTATCACAGATTTGCTTGGAATGTGTTGGATATTGTCTGTGTTTGTATGAGAGACTACCCACCCTCTTCCTGAGGTCCCCCTTGGTGAGGGCGAAGTTGAGCTCCTTCTCCTGGTTGGAGTCGGTCTTGGTCTCCTGGTTCTCCTGGAGCCGGGCCAGCTGGGAGTTGATGGACACCTTCTGCTTGTTGTGGTCCTGGGACATCTCGTCCAGCTTCAGCTTCAGATGCTCTAGCTGGGGACATACCACATACTGGTTACCATGGTTACACTGCTTCATGGGTAGTCCCCCTTCCACGGTTATCCACCCCTTGTACACCAGATTCACCAGATAGTATGCCACCCACCTGCCCCATCTGCACCATCCATCCCTGTGCCCCACCTTCCACCATGGTATGCCAACCCGCCTTCCACCCTGTGTACACCCAACTGCCCCATCGCCATCCACCATGTGTACACTCACCCACCCACCCATGTGTGGCTCCCACCCTCTGCCCTCTGCCCTGTGTACACCCACCTCGTCCTCCATGGCCACCAGATTGTTGACCAGGTCCTTGTTTGACTCGCTCAGCGTCCGGTGCCTCATCATCAGCCCCTTCAGCTTGTCCTCCGACGAGGGCAGATAGTCTACAAACAACCACAACTTAATTCAACTCTCCTCATATACATCACAGCCTACAACATGCTGCATACAAAGTGACCCATATATAGAAGCCTTGATACATTAGTGCAAACTGGTATACCCATTCTTCAAAACAATCTTGATAAAAGCCTAGATGGCACCTGTGGAAGAGGTTCAAAATACTACACCTTACACAGGTGAGAGGTAATTGCATTGATGCTGACTGTCCATTACCATGACTGTATGTCAAGGACTATCATGGTGGGTTTATGTTTTATTGCTACATTAACTAAAAATGATCAATATGACTTTGTCTCCTCCCATCTCTGCCTCAAAGTTACCTTGTGGGTCAGAACAGGCCCCACAATCACCATGACAGTCGTTAGGGTCAACAAACATGGGAATCGGTAGTTACGATGTGGACAGGGGCCTGTTCCACAAAGCAATCCTCTGAAACGATTCTTAGTTGTAGCCCAGGCTGATTGTATGTCATTGTAAACTGCCAGCATGGATTGATGGTCATGCTATCAGCCACTGGCTGACTCATCCAGGCCACTTTCATGTACGATAGTATTCCTGACTACAGCATTAAACAACATTTGCTCACCCTCTGGCATGGCATCGATGACTCTCAACAGGTACTCCTCATACTTCTTGTACTGGACTAACTGTTCCTTCAAGAAACGGTGTCTGCAATCAAACAGCAAAAGTACTGTCAAGGCCTCACTTTCCTGTCATAACTAAACCACTTAACTAGCTACATGGTTGGGTACCTTAAAACTACATTCTGCAGGCAACATTAAGCAACACTTTGGTTATATTTTGATTTAGGGATTCGACCAGAAAAAAGCCACAATCAGAAAATGAGTGAGTGAGTATGGTCTTTTAGCAATATTCCATCAATATCACGACAAGGGACACCAGAAATGGGCTTCATTGATTGGAAAATGAACACAAACTAGTTTAAATTTATTTTATTGTCCGACTTATCCGTCTTTGATAGAAAAGTAAATAGTATACAAATACAAAAAGCATACAAATTAAAGTAAGTTGTTATTTATATAATAATTGATTAAATTCATTGTTGTAAGGGCCAGTATAACCTCTCCTAAAGAAAGAAAACCTTCTCAGATGTAAGTTATGGTTCTGTAAATAACAGTAACTATCCTGCATTATAAACAGCATTAGGTCCTACTAAACTAACCAACCAAATCTACTTTACATGCAAAATGACATAAAAACAATACTGGTCCACAAAGAAAATGTCTTATGTTTATTTCAACCAACACTATCTGAAAAGTTTGCAAAGAAACGTAAACCCAAAAATGCCAAATGTGTAACCTAAATGTGAAAACAATCTATCATAATATGTCTGTCACTGTCCATTCAAAAGTTTTGAGTGCAGGCACACTTTAACACTTAAGGCACAGCCTTAAACTTGATGATGCACTTCAGCAAAATGTTAGTATCCTGGGTGAGGTGAGATGGGGTTTAACGTCGCGTCCAAGATTATTGCACTTATACAGCGACGTGCATGAACCTCTGTGTGTGTGTGTGGGGGGGATTGTACTAGTCCGGACTCATGCCAATTCATAGTGCTATCCCACTGAGATACCATGCCACAGTTCAACATGAATACCCCACTCAGACAGAGTATACTGACTCTGAGCCGACCAGACTTTGTTTTAGCCCCTTTTAGCCACCAGACAGGGTAACAACAAGTACCATCTTTTAACGTCTTTTGGTATGACGTGTTTGGAGATTGAACCCTGGATCTTCCACTCTCCAGGTGGACACTCTACCCCTAGACCATGAAGGTGGTCTCAGTCTCTTAGTGAGTCACTAGACAAAATCCATCCTCCTGGATAGCAGTTACTAGCTGACTGAATGTAAACCAGTGCACAAACCTTGCTTTCAGGTCTTCCAACTGCTTTAGAAGCAGGTCAAATTCTGACGTCTTCTGTATTCGTAACCGGACTTCCTGCTGATATTTTTGTAATGCTCTTCTTCTTTTGGCTTCATTTTCTTGGATAAACTTTTCGAATTTAGAAACTCTGTCTTTCATCTGAACAAAACGATCAAATGAAAGAGTCACACAGCTATTTATCAGCAACACATGAAATGCAAATAGTTATTTCCTTACTGAAGATAACTGTATTGTCTAGTAGGGGATACTTTACTATGATCATACTATATCTTTTTCATTAACCATGGATTTTCAGTCTCCAATAAATTATAAAGATTCACATTTCCCGAAACAGTTTTGTAACTTAAAGGGGAAGTAAAGTCAACACAGCAATCACGATCATGATGATCGGGCTGATGCCCAGTCTGCCTGCTTCTGCCTCTGTCTGCTCGTCCATTCAATTACCATGCCCACAAGTTATGTCGCCTTAGTAACAACATTGAAGATGCCTTCATTTGTTTTCTCTTGGGATTTAATGTGTGGACTAGGACTGTGGGCGGCTGTTGGTTTATTACCCAAACAGGATGTTAGTAATAAAATGCTAGTTACCAATTGTTAATTGTTATTTTGATTATTCTCAATGTCAAGATCAAAGGTTGTTTCACACATTCAACTATGCTCTTATTTTTGTAGGATTAACAGAAATAGCCGAAACAGTATATGTAGAATGTCTAAGAATCACAAAATAGATAAACACCGTGCACATATCAGTTAATGAAAACAGCTGTCATCGCTGTGCTTGTAGTTTTAGGTCACACACCCAAATAGGTTTGTTTTGGAAGCTGATTACGGAGTGCGTGATTTCAGCACTTGAACTTGGACACTTAAATACTTTCTACAAATATTATTAATTTTTCTGTCTCGGAATTAAACTAAATGCATCTAGGAAAATTGATTCACAACAAAATCGCAATAATCTTTTTTCACTTTAATTGCTCTTTGAGGGGTAAAAAGTACTTGAATCTAGGGGCCCCTTAAATCTCTAAACTCGGCCTTCTTTATTGCTTTATTTTGAACACTCCTAAAGATACAGGGTAAAAAAACCATTTAATATACATTGTAAATTGCTCTAATTTTTATAAATAAATTTTCATTCAATTTTGAACTGATATGATACAAAATAAAAAACTTTCATAATTCAACATAATACAATAGTATACTAACCTGTTGTTGTTTTTTCTGGACATGTATCTGTCTCTGTGAGCAGGCTTCCATCCGTTTCTTGAACTCATACCGCTTCTCTTCAAGATCGGCCTGGACCTTCTCTACCTCCACATCTTTCTTGAGGAGAAGGGTTTTCTGCAAAGTGTTGATACCAGTCTCGATAAGTTTGTCCCCGGATTCCTTGACCACAGGGAATGCAGAAATCTCATCTTCATCATCTCTGAAAGTAATATGGATACACACATACAAATAATTGATAAGCCTTTTATCTCTACCTTGTTCAATATCCATAATGCAGAAAAACTTACCAATTCATATACAGTGTTTTCATAAAATCACATTTTAGGAGCATTCAGTATGGAAATAGAATGAGAACATAAACATTTCAACAGTTCTTTGAAAATATTACAACAATAGTTTTTCATAGGACCTGATTCAATGTACGAGTTTATTGAATTCTCCATACTCTTCATTTTTAGAAAACAGCTTTACATGTGGCATGATCTATCAAACCGAAACCACACACAGGAACATTTATAAACAAATTAGACATTTGAGTCAAAGAGTTAAATTTGCAGCAAACATGTTTCTTTGTCGAGAAACAAAAGGCTAAACCTTATAGTGAATAAGGTGTTCTATGAATTTGTATATATGTATTAATTTTATATTTCCCTTTAAACTTGTTTTAAGTTAAAGTGTGCCACTCACAATACCATTAAAGAATATTTCTGTCTCCATATATATCATGATATATGCTTATAGAATTGAGAGACAAACAAATAATCAATAACTGTTGATGTCCATATAGTAAGAGCCAGAAAAATGATAACCAGCGTGTTATTTAAAAGACTTAATAATCTAAGTAGAAACGGATTTTATTAATTATATGAAACATAATTAAGGAACAGACCGAAATAAAAAGAGCTGAAGTGGGATTTCAGAATAATCAACGTTTAGAAGAGTGTTTTTGATCCTCGCTTCTTAAACACACGGCAGTAGGAAAGTTTTATCAATAGAATAAATAATGTACACGACAAAATCCCCCCGAGTACAATCTAAATCACGGGTAATATCACTATCGTCACGCTTGCATGCACCTGTCGATAGGTCCTCCATGTAGAACAAAGTGACCTTAATTACAACAGTGTAGCTTCATCAAACATTGATCGCTTCCTCTCACCTGTCATTTAATTGTGTCACGAAAACATTCCTCTTTTGTTGTTCCAAGTCTAATCTATATGGCCCCGATGCTGCCATTTTTGCACAACTCCAGATTTGTTGTTTTTTTAGCCAGTAAATCACGGTGCGCTATGAGTTTCCGAGTATCAACATTTCGCCGCCATTGCAAAACAAGTTTATGCAAATAGGAGCACCTTGGTGATCAATGGTCATGTGATTCGTACGCCGGTCATGTGATGCACTAACGTGAGCGTTCAGGGCTCCTAGCTTCAAATGAACCATTTTTCCCTGATTTGATTTGATAGTAATAATAGACTGATTTGACCATTTGAACGTAATATGCCATACAAAATGTTGCCTGTTAGTCTACATGTAACTCTGGCGCTGATAAATGGCATGCCTTGTCATAAATAAACCGCCGGGCAAGGGGAAGTAAAAACTTGAAAATTAAATTTGACATACAAATTATAAAAGTTATCTAAACGTTACTAGACTGAAAACGATCGTCTAAATGCTGAAACTATAATAACATTGAATAACCATTTCTTGTTTGTTTCATTTTAAGCCACCATAAATGGGTGTTATGTTTTATTGTCAAGCAGTTTCTATCACCGACAAATGCATAGATTGTTACAAGTGGTGTGTGTATACTACAAAGGCTTATTCTATAGATATTTTTTATGAATGATAAAGATGGGTTTACAGTAATGTGTGTACCACACCAATTTTACAATGCCAGTGTCAGATGTTTTGTATTTCCCGTGATGCGAATAATCAACCTCCTCTATGGAAGGAAGGGCGGTCGGATAGCCTAGTGGTTAAAGCGTTCGCTCGTCACGCCGAAGACCCGGGTTCGATTCCCGACATAGGTACAATAAGTGAAGCCCATTTCTGGTGTCCCCCGCCGTGATATTGCTGGAATATTGCTAAATGCGGCGTAAAACCATACTCACTCACTCATTTATGGCAGGAACCGGGTCGAGGACCTAACAGTATGTACATTATGTCAATATATTTAATATTAGAGTGTGACGTCACCATCTAGGGTGAAGTCAGTAATCTCACGCCGCCTTTGAGAGTTTGAAACAGTTTGCTTTTACACAAGTGCTTCACATGGAGTTTTAATAACCCTCTTATTATTACCATATGCGTGATAAATACAGATACATAGTCTTATACATATTGATATTAATTCAGATCAAGTGATCCCTGAATGTACTCATGTAAATATATCACGGTATTAGACAGGACGAAACATAGCGAAACAAGAGGTTTAATAACTGATTCATCAAATTTACCTCTCACTATGCAAACTGAGATACGCTAAATAGATAAGCCTTCTGTTTACAAATGCAGAAAAGACAACAAGTTGATTAGTTATAAGTACTATCAGTGATACTGTCAGACTTTGGACGTCTCGACAACAACATTCAGCCTCCATGTTTTTATCTCTAGAATAGCTGTATCAAAGGCCACAGCATCCCAAAGCGTTGATGAAGATGAAGGTGGGTGTATCATTGTTAATTATTTCTAACAGTTAATTGCATTGTGCATTGTACACAATTATGAAAATAACAAGTGCTTTCAATCATTCGTATCCCTTATGTCAAACTACATGGAGTGCACCCCTAAATGATGCATGAAATATATAATCTGTATGCACTTGTGGATAGCGTTTGGAATGGCAAAAATAACCTTTAACTTTTTGTTTTGCATAAGGGACTATGTGCAACAATCTGATGTCAATTTCCATTGTAGACCTTTACATTGCAAGATGTGTCATGCTTGAAACTGGGTTTCTAATTGTTCCCTTTTAGTAAACAGTTTATAAACATTATACGCCCCGGTTATGTTTCTAGGTTTGATACCTGCATACCCGTTCTCATGGGTTTCACCGAAGTGGTAGACGTCTGAGACCTTCATCACTGTCTTTCCTCCCACATTGAGCTGACACACCGTGAGATAACTGGAAAACTGTTCAAAACGGCGTTAAACCAACCCAACTCACTCACTCATGTCGACCATGCAAGCATGTAAATACAAATCCATCTTGACACATTTATATATTTTACAACTCTGAACTGTCAATGTGTGCATGTTTGTATACAGTTACTGGTGTTGTTAAGTTGTGTGGTGTTGGCCGCCACTGGGCTGCGGGTGTCGACCCTGACCTCCCACAAGCAGCAGAAACTGAAGAAGACCACGATGACCGTCCTGAAGATGCCCCAACCTCAAGAGAAGGTTGACCTTGACCTTTGCCCGACATGCGTCAGCTTCACGGAGGAAACCATTGATATCATGATGGATATCCTTCTCAGTAAGTCTATCAAATGTGTATATAGTCACCTAATCTAGCTTATAGAAATTCCCCGACCGCCTCTGTTGGCTAGAGGATAGGGCGTCCGCCCGGAGGACGGAAGGTCGGGGGTTCGATCCCCGCCGTGTCATACCAAAAATCACATTCACGGTCAATTTCTTATTTGCCCTGATGTATAGTATTGTAATAGCCAAGATTACATATCCCTGTGCATGCATTCAAAGGAAAAATAACTACACCCGTGTTTGTACACTTGGCTTTCAACGGAGTGATAACTGCCCGTGTCGCTTTGGGCTTCCCTTCCATTTAACTGATACGACGTGAAATAACTGACTGATATGAGGCGTTAAATCCAACTGACTTACCCACAACGTGTTATTTCCACGTTTGTGTTCAGAAGTGATACATCTGCAATCTAAACCCAAGACCCGAAGAAGCACATTATTGGTCGTTACGCAGACAGATTTTTACATTTTACAATTGATATTTGTGAGAAGGACATCTAACAAATGACTTTAGTCTCTTTCAGTCCGTATATTAACCCTGCTAAATATCGGGTTTCTTCCCTTCATGCTGCAGATATTGGTATTCTGGACTCTTGTGGCGTTCTCTGCTCTATCGTTGAGCAAAAGACAGGAAGCCAGGCTATAGGCGCCGTGTGTAACATCCTGTGTGACGTCGTCGGCATAGACGACTTCGTCAAGTTCATCACAAAGTTAGTATACTACTAAGAAACATATGATATATTTACGTCAAAATGGAACCTCGTGAATGACATACTCTTTCTTATATCACATCTAAGATGTGAGCATTCGAGTTTCTGGTAAGCACGGTAAATCGTTTCATCAGATAACTATTATGCCTATACTGTTACACTTTTCTATCAATATACATCAATCACGCTGAACAGATGAGTTCATTCCAAGAAGTATTTAGACTGATGGATGATAATGATCAAAATATTCAGAACCATAAATTCAATTGTCATTAAGGCTTGCTTGCATCTGACATATTTGTATCCCTCAACAGGGCTGACTTAGATCCCATTTACTTCTGCGAATTGACGAAAATGTGTCCAATCTTCGACCAGGGAGATGCGACCTTGACAGAGCTTAACATCCTTCCACTGAAAGGACCCCCAGGTACTTCTGTCCCTCTTCGCCCATGTCCATTTCGTCCATTATACAGGAACAGACGTTTGGCGTAGGATTTGTTGTGCTCATCTAGATATCTAAATTCAACATCCAGTGATGCCATGGATTTCGTCAGACATGTTGTCGGTCATTTTGGATATCAAAATGGCCGCGATTCGTCACTATTGAATTACAACGACAACGTTTTTCATCATTGTCCTTCGAAATAAAGTGAAATGTATAACACCTAAGTGTCAATATTATAGGTAACAATCATGCGTTTTTAATCGGGACATTTTACTAACTGTTTTATGAACAGGTGATCGCACTATAAGCTTCACGTACAATTCAACGAACGGCACCGGCACAGGCCAAATCAACATCAACATCACGACTGTGGATAAGTTCCCTGTGTGTGAGTATCCCTGGTCCATCTGAGCCCGGGTTAGTTGCATACATTCATACACAGCAAACCTTCAGAAAATGCTATCAATGCTAATTGACCAGTGCAATTTTCTAATCATGATGAAGACCAATTTTAATTTGTTCACCAGTTAAATGTGAGCATTATGTGATAGGAAAGCAGAAAGGGACGCAGTTCTGACAAACCAAGAAATATACTGAGGGTAAATCTTGGATTCGAACCCACTATCATCTAGTCCTGATACGGTTTAGGGATGCAACTGTGCTACCCTCTACCTCCCTTAAAAACTGCAGATACAGAGCGGTACTGGACCAGTGTACCTTTCGACAAAGCGACCTAGGGCAACGACGACAGTGAGTCTTATGTTGAAGCATGGGAGATACGACAGTCGTAGTGGAAAGATCGCTTTGTGGATCGGAGCCCAGAAGTATATGCTTTTTGGGGCGTGTAATTTATATTGTCAGGTATAAATGTAGGTTGTTGTTTTTCAAAAAGGGATAGATCCATGCCCTCTTGGTCCCATTTTGAATCCGCATATAACATAAACTTCCCGACAATGGTTATCGAACGTATTTCATATAATGACGTTTTCTTTACTATTATAATACTGTTATTATCACATCTGTGTATGTAGCGAGCAGTTTGCTGATACAGAAGCAACCACCGGGGTTCTACCCCACGGCCTTGAAGCTTTCGGCGGAGAAGTCCCCCGACTGCCACCCCCAGCAACAGAAGTGTGAGACCTGGAAACACGGCAACTATACACTCACAGTGTGTAAGTATACACAGTAGAAGGAAGGCTGGCAGACCTAACGTAACGCGTGACCTTACTACGCCACATTGGAATGCCCGTTTTGCTTGCCCTAAAGAGCGACTATGTTGTCGTAAGAGGCGACTAACGGGATCGGGTGGTCAGGCTCGCTGACTTGCTTGATGCATGTCATCGTATCCCAATTGCGTGGATCGATGCTCATGATGTCAATCACCGGTTTGTATGGTCAGACTCGATTATTTACCGACCGCACTCAAAACGGTGGAATATTGCAGAGTGCGGCGTTAAACAACAAACAAAACAAAAACACAATTAATTAATCTTGCAAAACGAGGATACAAAACCCAGGCGACGTTAAAACTGATAATGTAAGCCTTCTTTTGACATCAAGCAGCGCTAGGGGTGAGCCGTCAATGGCTACCTTTAATCGGTGGTTCACTGGGGATATGCAATCAGTGTTGAATGTATGTACGAGGATGCTTAATAAAGACAACAGAGTGTATTTTTTTGTTAAAACCTATTTACAAATTGCATTGATATAAAAGTAAATACTTTGTTTAGAATCTCTTAACTTTAAATTATCTTGATGCAGTAAAGCATTTCTTCTGTTGCAGCTGTGTGTAATGGCGAATGTTTCAGTGAGCATCCCCACAGCAAGGTGTATGACCGGAAAAGCATGAACTTCACCATTACAAAGGAGACAATGGGCAGTCAGCACTGACAATACACAATATTTACAGTAGTCATAACGTCAAAATGTTTTTTTTTAAAAGAAATATAGGTGAATACAAATGTGTTTATATTGTTTCTATCTTGGAAACAAAATACTAGCAAATAAATAATTTTCGAGCAATTACAATTTGAAAATGTCTCCGAAATACACGGTGATGACTTGAAAAGCAATATTTGTAAACTTAGTATTAACAGAATATCAAACGACGTCCAGATACGACGACAGTTCTTAACAGTCACACATTGTAACCAACAGATCCAAATTTATAATAAACTATTTCTTTCTGTGTGTATTTTATTTTGTCCGTTTGTGACGGCAATGTTGTAAGCTGGGTTCCGTCTCTTCATGTCACAAGTTGACGACACGCAGATAAATCCTAGAACCAGCTTATCAATGCTGTCGTAGAGATCTGTCTATGACGTCACATTCTTCGTATAGACGTGTCTATGACGTCACAGCATTGTCTTTACAGACAGGAAGGAAAAAAGACGTATTTCAGCCCACATAGACTCGGTCACTTTTCAACACTTTCTACATTACTTTGGTGCGTTCGGAGACTATACATTTAAACCTCTGCTTGTTTCTTCATTGAAGGTATGACTAACAATGCTCGTGTTAATTTACCAACAATAGATGGCCACTGGTAAAACTTTTCTTTGACCGTGAAATGACGAAAATATTTAAATACTTTCGGTTTTCTAACCAAGCAATTTTATTTTTCGTGTATGTTATAACAAACAAACAAAACAACAACCAAAAAACAGGCCATGTACCAGAATATCAAATAATGTGTTTCCTGCAATGGTAATTTAACCAATAAGAACTTCTTCCCCCCCCCCCCCCCCCCCCCCCCATGTAAATCTGGTATTAGACAAGGAGCTGTCGCCTTTCCTGTTTGCAATATTTTAAAATAATCTCGAAGGGGCATATGATTCGTGTACAGATGTCCAATTGAAACCAGATGAATTCTATGATCGAATCGAAAATATTATCACAATATTTGTATTATTGCATGAATATGATGCAGTGTCATGAGCCAAAATGCTCATGATCTACAGCAGCCGTTTGACTCATTTCATTGCTATTGTACACATGGGAGATTTAAGTTAATAACTATGTTCTATGTTTTATGCCGAGGACGGACATTAAATTTATCACTAAAATGTGAGTTGCGGTTTTCTGAAAGTATGAGTACATATAACAGATCTTCTCTATGGATGCGAAGTATGAAGATTTGACAACATCTTCGCTATGGCACATAGGGAACATGGAAGATTCCATCTATCAACCATAGTTAAAACGAGAATATGTTTGGGGGCAAAATATTCTCAGGGAAATGTATCTAAATTATCTTTCCTTTTATATAAGTGATTGTTTAATGACGACCTATGTGAAAAGTGTAAACATACAAAGATTACATATACACCTACAAATTAATTAGGCACCTCCCTGTTTTTGTGTGTTTTTTAAAATAAGGTATCATTCACGTCAAGCCTGAGCTATGGTGGAGTAGTCAATGTCTAGTGTAAGACGAGACTATTGACTACTGAAAACACAGAGAATGATGCAAATGTTCAATATTTTCATTGCCTTAATAACACAGTTGCGATAGTAATGTAATTGTGCAAAATTGATAATCACGAAAACTATGAATCTGGGAAGTTCCATGATCAGGTATGAACGACCATTACTGTCCAAAAGCGTTCATTGTTATCTGACAAACATAATCAGAATCCTGAAAATCTGTAACGAGTGTTACCACCCTGTGCCTGGATGACAGATTCGACCCTTCTCCTTATTCCTCCATTGCGTCATCTGAAACGATCAAGAAGTAACTGCTGCCACTCCTAATACAATGCAGCCTCTAAAGCTGCCACATTCTGCACTGGTGGATCCATTGCCTGCAGCCGACGTCCTTGAATGTCCCAAACATGTTCCAATGGATTCATCCTGGACTCATAGCGGGCCAAGGCAAAGTGTCAATAGCGTGTCCTTGCAGAAATGCAGTCAAAGTACGAGAACGATTGAGTGTAGCGTTGTCTATACCATAAACACAGGTCGACATGGAAGTGCATGGTTGTCAAAATGTGGATTGAGGATGTCCTGGATCTAATGATCGCCGTTGAGATTGTCTCGTACTTTTACCATGTCCAGTTTACAGTCATGAGATATTGCTCCCCACACCATGACGGAGCCTCCGCCATAAGGGACTGTTGGTACCATGTCCCTGGGAGTATAGCACCTGCGACGTACAGCAAGACCAATCGCTTTAACCAGACCAATGGATCCGTCGCCACGTACTCATATTGCAATGACGTCGAGCTACACACCATGCCAATCAAAGAATCTGATGACGAGCAGTTAACGAGAGACGTCTGATGACCCTTCGTGACTTCAACCCAAATTATTTTAGCCGCTTTCGGACAGTTATGGTGACCAGATGCCTGTTGGGAAGCCATTGTTCTTTCAGAGCTTTACTCGTGGCAAAGGGTTGCCGCCTCACAAAACCTGCTAGAGTCCTGTCTTCCCGTACAATTGTCTTTCGGGGTGGCCCTGGTTATGGACGGTCCTTTACTTCACGTGTCTGTCGGTATCTTCTTATGAATCTGCTGATGACAAGCCAAGTCATAGCCAAGTTGACGTCCAATGGGCCCGTATGACATACCTGTGTCTGCATGCCAATAATTTGGCCATTTTATATACCCTTACTTGCATCATTATCAAAATGATTTTCGTGAAACTCGAGGTTATCATGCTTCACTTTCATATGTCTTTGTGTTTGGGCGACGCAGTCAGTTATTGTCATGACTATACTCGAGATCGACAGCTATTCTATGAATGAGTATCACGAAACTTGAATTTCTAAAGACGGGTATAACACTGTACAGTAAACTTCGGTTACAACGAACACGATTTTAATGAACTGACCGATATGACGAACTTAATTTTTAGTCCCGGCCTTTTGTTGTATATATGCTGTATACCTGCTTATAACGAACTGCGGTTATAACGAACTAAAATTAGTGGTCCCTTAGAGTTCGTTATAACCGTAGTTTACTGTATTTTATTTAATCAGTAATTTCGACGAACATGGACTTAGTTACATCTGGTGATCACAAAAATTCAATAATTTTACTTATCAAAAACATTTAGCCCATGAGAAATCAAATGACATTAACCTACAGTACTGCAATACTCTTGAACGCGACGTCAAACCCCCATTTCACCTCACCTCACATTATGTGTACATGTATATGTTGCGAAATATATGTTTGTACCTCCATGCTGACGGCAGTATTGTATTGTTGAAGTATACATACGGCATATGATAGGAAGTTGAAATAATTGTGGCCACATGGAAAGCTTTTAAATATTGGTTTGAAACTATCAGACACATTCCAATGGGTGACAACTTTTCGCGCTCTTACACTCGCATGTCTTGCACTTCCGACTTGGTTGATGCATGTCATCGTATCCCAATTGCGTGGATCTATGGTAATGATGTCAATCACTGGATTGGCTGGTCCATACTCGATTATTTACAGATCACCGTCATGTAGCTAGAATATTGCTGAGTGCGGCGTAAAGCAACAAACAAACAAACAAACAAACCTGATAAACTGTATAAGAAAATCTGACAAAATGGCTTCTTTTTGTTTTTTTCAAAAAACTAGAAGGTCTGCGACCCAAATTGATTGAAAGTGTGGAAATGAACAAAATCTAATTTTCTTTTTTCTAATGTACATATTTTCCATAAAGATTTCTCCGTTCGTTATAACAAACACATATATACATTAACATGAATAAGCTGTTGTACTACATTTATATGAATGGATTTCAATTTCAAATAATTTGGTATTGATACGATATTCCGTTGCTAAATCAGTCGACATTTGCATACAATCCAAATACATGACTGTTTGAACGTATAACAAGCGGCACTCATATATATTTATCACATATAACTCCCTTTTCCCAATGAAATATTGGTACAATAATAAAAGCAAAGCCACAGAGCCTGACCCAATAGAGACGAATATCGTATTCAGACTCACGCCCAGCGGACACAAACAGGACACGCCCCTTACACAATCACCCTGCGACAACAGCACGCTCTCGCTCACGTCATAGAAACGACGAGATCACGTTCGTCTATGACGTCATCCCATTCTCTGTGTTTAGCGACAAGGCATCATGTTGAACAGCTTAGCCTGTGGTCAGTAAGTACGACATGCACACAAACACTCATTGATGCTCCTTATGGCAACATATCCGTGTGCTTATTTACGCACTGATTTAACTTAAGACGTTTAGTAACTGACAACAGTTCATATATACTCTGTTTATTTTTAGTTAACGGGTGAAACCAACAATTCTACGAGATGGTTGAGTTCTGGATTGCGTCTTCGTCACTCCTCGCTGGAGCGTACGTTGCTTGGAAAGGTAAGAAGATAGAAATATTTCCAGCTTCATATTTAGAAACATTATCATAGATGCAGCATATTGTTTTGAGCAGTCATTTGTTTGCCAAAATTCGCCTCGAACATATCCGATAATGCTTGTTCGTGGTTTTAGCTATTGGAACATGTCATATTGTTCATACCAATATTTCAAAGTTTAAGGCAACTTTAAATTTAACATTTCCAGTGGGCCAAATAGCGCCCTAATCCAACTTGGTCCTTTCTAATTGACAAGATTCCAAATACCTCATAACTCATCATAACTACATAAATCCCAACTGATACTTTTATAAAGTCTCACAGGTTCATCGGTCTGTAATTCGTAGCTTCACAGCAGGACTAGAAGAATTTCTTGAATGTAACTTATTCAACTATTGATTTGAAAAATGGTTTCGATATCAAACGATCTGTACTGAACGTTAAATCATTCAAATTCAATAATTCCAGGTTACAGTTGGTTTCGACGCAAACCAAAGCAAGTTGTGCGATGGGAGGTTATCCCTCCTGTCACCACACAAGGCTCTATCAGACGGACAAGTGACAGCAGCAGTAGGTCCTCCACTACCGGCTTGAAGTCATCCTGTCACAGAGCTGGATTCTCGGATCCTTTCTTAGAGGTCAGCTCCAGGGTTCCAACAGCCAGTTCGACACGGGGCATTGATTCTAATAGATTTCGTTCAATTAAACACCAAACCAACAGATCAGCTTTGAATAAGGACTCTCTAGGAAGGATCTGGCCCCATGTGCCATCCAGAGTTCAGTCAGATCCAACTCTGGCGTCGGGAGAACCAGCCAAAGAGACGAAACAGGGATTGTTGATGGAGGAAGACTTCACGGACATGTACGAGATCCTGTCTCGAGTTGGGAGGGGGACCTTCGGCTCGGTGTACAAAGCGATGAAGCTGGACTCACTAGACATCGTGGCGGTTAAAAGGGTGCGGCATGAAGGTGATGTGGACAATGCTTTGACAGAAGTGGATATACTCAAGTCACTTCAAGACTGCCCTAACATTGTCCGTCTGTTGGACTGCTTCCAGCTCGAGTCCGAGATAATCATCATCATGAACCTGGCCTCCGGCAGTCTCAAAGATGTAGCTATTGGGTGAGTGTATTAGTTGGCTGTTTCAGTTCATTTTATTAATATATAAAATTATATAGTCTTTGTCTCATTTAACAAAGTGCACTATCCATACGATATAAAAGTTTTAAAAAAATGACAGTCATATAACAGATATTTTTAAACGTTCCTTGATATGGTATATCAGCATCATACCATGCTTGTGGGTTTCACCAGTGTGGTAAACGACCAAGTCCTGCATCACTTCGGACTGTCCTACCACATCTATCAACTCAAATTATAGTGAGTGAGTGAATGAGTGAGTGAGTTGGGTTTAACGCTCAATGTGGGAGGAAAGCCCGAAGAGATGCAGGTCTCAGACGTTTACCACTTCGGTGAAACCCATGAGCACGGGTATGGTGCTGACTTACCTAGAAACCTAATCGGGGCGAACCCGGACTCGAATCCACAATCATAGGTTTCTGGCGCGCCCAAGGGACGCAACTCTGCACAGCGAATCGCGGCGCCTTAGACGACTGTGCCACCCGTGCACCCCTCAAATTATAACAACAACAATAATAATAATACTCTTTATATCGCGCCGTACCTCCACAGCACGAAGGGGCGTACTCAATTCGCATCCCTGTTCAAAGCTGCGTAAAACCCAACTCACTCACTCACACCACCATATTGATTTATATTGTTCCGCTTCATTTCAGACACAGAGATTCTGAGTACATCATGAGCCTATTTCTAGACATCCAGTCGGCAGTTGGCTTCCTCCACGACAAGCTGATCGCCCACAGAGACTTGAAACCTGCCAACGTACTTCTAGAAGGAAACAAGGCGATTCTCGCGGATTTTGGCTGCGCCAAGAACGTCCAGGGATTCTACGGAAAGGAGGTGTATATTACGAGCACTGCAGGAACCTATGCCTACATGGCACCCGAGGTTCTCAGCAATGTCCGCCTGTATTCTGCCATCAAGGCTGACGTGTGGTCTCTCGGATGTATAATCTACTATCTGCTGACAGGGGAAGACCTCTTTATCGGCGAGTGTGTTGAACTTACCGTCGTGGAGCATGCTGAAACCGTGGTGGAGTTGCCGGAGTTTGTAGACGTCAGTGCCATCACTTCTAGTCTGGGTGACAGTATGAAGGCAGCCCTCCAATTCGACCCCGCAAACCGACCTCCTGCATTTATGCTGTGAGTGACTGAGTGAGTATGGTTTTACGCCGCTTTTAGCAATATTCCTGCAATATCACGGCGGGGGACACCAGAAATGGGCTTCACACATTGTACCCATGTCGGGAATCGAACCCGGGTCTTCGGCGTGACGAGCGAACGCTTTAACCATTAGGCTACCCGACCGCCCCTATTTATGCTGTGAAGTTTGGACACTGGAACAGAGAACAGTCTCTGCTGGAACATTTGCCATCGATCTGTACTACTCATAGATAGCTGATGCTGTAACGAAATAAGTTATTCTGTTTTCCGTCTTCTTAATACACTGCATATATATTTTCATAAAATTTCTTTTGTATTTAGAAACTATATTTAAATTTAATCAATCTTTAAATATTCAATAACATTTAATTTATTTTTTTAAATTCAAAAATTTTAATATATGGCTTATTCTTTAAACGTATGATTTGGCCTAATTTGTTTAAAAACTTAACGAAATTGTCAAACATATATACGACTTTTCCGAAATGGTAGATTAATCGATTTCAACATGTATATAATTGTGGTGTATGTATTGTTTGAAACTTTATTAATTTAATTTTGAGATATATATTAATTTATTATTGCACATAATAATGTAACGATGTCATATTTTTTACAAGAAATGTCACATTTGATAATTTACACAAGTGTGGTCTGTTTATTAAGCTCATATCCACAAACGTGTATGTTTATATATTTTCATATACATGTGATTTCGAAATGAATTAGATGTCAAAAACAAAGCTCGTTGTGTGTTGTCTTAGACATCGGCATCACTACTATAGAGAGTGTGAGCAGGTGACTGAATGTTAGAAAACGTTTATATCAGATAGGTCTACCGTTATTTACGCCCACAACAAGGTGTACAGAGGAAATGTGAGCGCGATGAAAAAATATGAATAACCCGAGCCAGGCGTTGGAATCTAGAAGATTTTCACTTGAAAGTTCTACTTTTCTATATGCAAAATAGATGAGCACAATAGAAATATACGCGATTTCAAGCCGTGACACGTGAGCGGTGTGTGGGTCGAACCTGGACTCGTATTGGGTCAAGTATGGCAACACGGTTTTCGCTCACGGACGTCTACGTCCGCTTTGGGTTACCTCCCTTTATACTGGCGAGTCGAGTGTTGTCACGGATGAGTCATCTCAGCTTTATTGATCGCTACCGTGCACGGCGAAGTCATAGATACAGTATTATGCACAACCTTCTTCAGCGATCCATTGTGGTCTAGTGGTTAGGATTCCTGGCTTTCACCCAGGCGGCCCGGGTTCGATTCCCGGCAATGGAACGTAATATTTTTACTTTAATATTTTTTTAAGGTAAATCCAACAGGAAAAACATGAATATTGATAACGACATCACACAGATCCGCGAACAATAAAGACGATAATATGTTTTAATTTTGGATAACGGAAAAATTGTATATTATGATAATGTCTTTTCTATTAATTTGCGGTTTTAGATACACGAAACATAATATGTATATGAACAGCAATTACCTCACTCACTGTATTTATACCGTTTTAATCATTGTCTCCATGACACAGAGTAGATATGCTTTAGGGCGACAAAGTAACTTTTCATATATAAATATGAATTTTGTCTCTCTGTTTCCTTCTCTTAGTAAGGTAGTAAACCAGAAAATGTATTTGAAATGTTTAAAAACTGTAAATAACAGACAACAGAAAACAAACGTAAATAATATTTATATGACAACGAATTAAAACAGATCGAAACATTTGTCATATCTACATCTGGGCATCAATATGCTGATATTATTCATATTCTAAATTATGTAATTGTAAATGTTGAGTTTTTAATTTAAAGGCAAAATTTCAACTTAATTTTATCTCTTTATGTGTGCTTTATTTAGATGACTGGTAGATTATTCAGCTTTATTATACGTTATGATGATGATTAATATTCTGCAGAAAGGTGAAAAAAAACTCCCTCCTTCTTGATCCGCGTATTGCTATACCATGGTATGTGTGCGTGCGTGCGTGCGTGCGTGCGTGCGTGCGTGCGTGCGTGTGTGAGTTCATGTCATGAACAATATCACTTATGCAACTATAAACATCTAGATGGAAGTTCACAGAGCAGCAGAAATTATTTATATACACAGCTACGCTTATTTGTAATTTTTAATCCCAGATTAACACGAATATGAGCACATACATGACAAATACCTTGATGTGATTGATTACATCTAAACATACATATTAGTAGGTCGTGTACACTTATTGTTTTGGAACTAACTGCCTGTTAGTATGATACCCACATATCAATGGGATTGACTTGGCTCTGTTGAACAGTGACCACTGCAATAACAAATCGGAAAAGAAGGGAATAGTAAGTGTTGCACTTGCAGCGGAAGAATCCATTTTCACCGAGGTGAGGTGAAATGGGGTTTGACGTCGAGTTCAAGATTATTGCACTATATAGCGACGTGCATAGGTGGATCCAGATGGGGTCCAGGGGGGCCGGATTATACATGTAGAATGCAGACACCGGTACATACATTAGTAAAATTCCCCCACCCCTGTGCCAGATTCAAGACATACTCTATGATGTTCAAACAAGGCCCTAGTTTCTCCTGTCACGGGGCGCGCTCCCCGCTGTGCTGACACATTGTCTTGTGAGAAGATAACCGCACTAAGGAGGCAAATGTAACCTTGAACAGGTTCGAACCATGACCCGTATTTAGTGTCAGGTGTTACTTATCACTACATACTATCCGTTTTCCAGATATGTGTCAGCATGAGGCATATTTACTATGACACACTTTGATAACGGTTTTATGTCTATGTAGATGTCAACGAGTTAATGTTTTATCCAGGGCGCGGTTATAATGAAAAGAGTTTTAGAATAATACTAATTTGAGTAAGGGTAAGATGAACAACTTCTTTATTTTAATTAGGAGCGACGTTTCGGTGTAGGTTCTCAAGCAGGAATCTACCGAAACGTTGCTCCTAATTGCAATAAAGAACGTGTTCATCCATATATCTTATCCTTAGTACTCCAACTTCTAAATGCCTCTCAAAGAAGTAAAAAAATACTAATTCTGGTATTAACGCCATAATTTGGAGACACTTTCTTATTGTTTGTGCATGGCGAGTGACACCAGACCAATACAACCATATTCGCCGGTACATTTGTCTGAAATCAGTAAAACAAATTTAAAATTGCCACAGAAAATCAAAGAAAGACATTATGATTTGTCTCCTATTGGCAGGGGGTGTTTCATATCAGAAAAGTAGAAGCAGGTACAGCAGTCAAGACATATTGGGTGTACCTGAGGTGATGTAGTGTGTGTTCATAACTGAACAGGAACAGAAACAACTGTCACCTTGTCATCCTTTACCTTCAAAAGAACTACGAGTCTTAAGATGTGACAAGATAATACTTTGTTAGCCGATTTGAACACATTTAAGGAAAAGTCATAGAAACATGCCACATACATACAGACACAAATACAGGTTAACATGAGTGAGTGAGTTGGGTTTAACTCCGCTTTTAACAGTATTCCAGTTATATCGCGGCGTGTCAGCTTAATGTGGGAGGAAAGCCCGAAGTGATGCAGGTCTCAGACGTTTACCACTTCGGTGAAACCAACGAGCACGGGTATAGTGCTTGTAAACCTAGAAACATGGGATTCGAACAGGGATTCGAACCCACAATCATAGGTTTCTGGCGTGCCCAAGGGACGCAACTCTGCACAGCGAATCGCGGCGCCTTAGACGACTGGGCCACCCGTGCCACCCAAGTTAACATGAAATGCAACAAGATATGAATGAACATACGACAACGATATCACTGTGCATTAAGGCATATGAGCAATAAAAGATGAAAAGCTACCAATGAATAAAAGCGTATGGCTTCTTTAAAAAATTGGTGGTCTTATTTACAAGAAATAAGATTAACAGGTTAATACTTAAGTTAACAATAAACAATAACCCAATAGAACATTGAAAGACAGCTTAGGGATAAAAGTATATGGCTTGTATATGGCTTGTAGTAAGAGGCGACTTTAAAGGGTGATCGGACGGTCAGGCTCTGTGATTGGCTGGATGTTTCTTAGTGGTCAGATGGCGTTGGTCTTAGCTCATTTTACTTGTTTGGTTTAACAGACTGCTTTGATAAAGTTATGTAGCCACTGATTCATAGGATTAACACTATCTGTAGCAGAATAAAAACGTTATTCACCAAAGCTGGAGTCACTCCAGCGTAAGGTACACCACTCAAGCGAAAAGAGTGCAAGTTATACATTGTACTTTCTAACAGAAACTGCTTGAGCTTTACAGTGAGTGAGTGAGTTGGGTTTAACGCCGCTTTTAACATTAGTCCAGTTATATCACGGCGTGTCAGCTGTGGGAGGAAAGCCTGAAGTGATGCAGGTCTCAGACGTTTACTACTTCGGTGAAACCCACGAGCACGGGTATGGTGCTGACAAACCTAGAAACATAATTGAGGTGAACCCCGAGCTTGACAGAGCTTTACAGAATTTTGAATATATTGGCTGGTGCTTTTGACATCGCTTTGATAAATGCAAAAACCGTCGTTTTTATCTACAGTCACAGGTACCGTATATAACCCGGTTTGATTTGTTTAGGTGTAGTATGTTACAATCCACAGAATGACTCATGTTTAGAAAAAAGAGAACCACTCAATGTTGAAAGAATACGCGAGACTGTCAAGACACGCTTGTCCTGTGCATTATTGCGAACATGATTGAGTTACATCCTGGCGCGTTGTTACTGATAGGTTGTTGCAATGATAGTTTCATTCCGTTCTTATAGGCGGTAAATACTCAAACATCAGCTTTATACCCTAAACTATCATTTGTAAATGGACATGCCGTTAACCATGAAGTGGACTAATGCTGGTTGGTCATTAACAGTGTTGGTGAGTGTATATACATGTTAGGTTTGTGGCGAAAGATAAAGGAGATTATCTTTTAAGGGCACATGAACTTTGAGTACACTGAGAAATGGAGATGGTATGGAGACGCATATGTGACAAATCACAATACGGATTATCTGGAAATTATTGTCATGAGCTAATCCCATTAATGCAAACGTGAGTTCTAAATGATTTTAATTATCCTAAATAGAAACGATTCAGCAAGATTCACTATACGGTATACCGTCCTGAATTAGATTGGATTTCATTATGAATCCGCCGACTTAAATTTTCACAAATGTGGAATAAAATATTCAGAACAGTATATTTTGTAATCTCCCCTTTCAGTTTTTAACCAGGTTTCAGCATAGTAATAAAACAGAGACGATCCATATATCAGAAGGAAAATACATCTTTGACATTCTGCTTGATAGTTTAGATTTCAATGCATGAAATAAAACGTAATAAACTTAGCCCCTAGGGCGCAGCAATTCACCCAGCACAAGTACAGCAATAGTTTAGGCCTTCAAATGGGCATTGTAATACCCTGGTATGGGATCCCCACATACACGGCGGAACTAGTATGTCCACATCGTCTTCAATAGTGTTGTTATACACCGGCCTGCAGATAGTCGAGTCTGAATCAGACAAACCCGTGGTGCGTATTAAGAGCATCGTCCCACGCCGCCGGGATAACGATGTCAAGCAATCAGCCAAGTAACCGAGCCAAGCCATCATGTCCATTTATTCGCAGTCAGCTTCCTAGAGCTTCTGCAAAGGTCTCCGGGGTTTGATCTCGTGAGAAGATCTTTCATAATTTTATTTTACTTCAAGTTAAAGAAAGAAAACCCATATATTTTGACGCCTTGAAAAAATGTGATCCCCTTTATGATAAGAAACAGTAAGAACAAGTTTCAGCGCAAACAATCCATCGAGCGGTTATGGAGATCATATTGCCTTTAGAACATCATCTTCAGCGGTGAAAGAGTCGTGCTGATAATGATGCATGCACTGAAAACAATTGAACCATCTTATGATCATTATTATTTGCGCATTATGTTAGGGTGGTTATGAAAGAAGCTTATTAAGGGCTTCTGACATGAACCTTCTTGTCGGCCGTTTTTAAGAATATAGCAAAACTTGACTCTGACGACTTTGAAGAAAGGTGAGACCCTGTTTGTCAGGAACTCTCATAAAAAATACCAAGGCGAAAATGTGAATGTTCCGCAAGGTGAAAAACAACGAGAGTTGACAAACATGTACGTGTTAAAAGACCGGAATTGACACATGACAAAACGATAGAAGGATAAAACACCAAGGCAGGGGAGATGCAGTCTGTGTATACATATATCAGTTTGGTTGGATTTTCAGATGGGGAAATCATTGTAAATTTCCATTCATTAGATCGGGATAGTTATGTCCCAACAAGACTTCCATACATCAGGCTTTATAAAGGAATAACTCTGCAAAGCGTCTCTTCCTTGCTGTGGATCTGGCGGGGATATACGTACAATGAATATCAAGGTAATTCACACTAACGATTTCTATGTTTCTTTAATAGTACAATATGCACTTGTAGAAAGTGATAATGTTTATTTGTACTTTGAAAAGACAATGCCTTTTACAAAAAAAAAGTCAAATTTATCATATGTCAATTTGTAATAGTTATTTATGCGTTTATGTTTTACAATACATTTGTTAGTTTGATATTATCAATTTTCCTAAAGAAATCCACATACTGCTTTGACTTAACATACTTCTCTTTTCAAAAGTACAAAGGTATATGTACATGAAGTGGCGAAATGTACAGGGCATTGTCTGTTTAATCTAAGGTGAAGAACAGACAGGTGTCAGTATTTTTCTAAAAATAATATATGTTAATTGGACATAGGTAAGGATTGTTCTCAAGATAATGGTATATTTCGTTGGTGTAGCCTAATTGGCCAAAGCGTTTGCTCATTCCGAGTTCGATTCCCGTGTTTGGTGCAATATGTGATCACATATTCTTTGTGCCATTATATGGCTTGACTAAAGGTAAAATTTGTTTAAAGCCCAATTCAGTCACTAAATCCAAACCGATGAACTTGATTCAGAACATGCAAGAATTATATTGATTGTTACATAGGTACAAAGGTAATATGTCACACGACAACCAATCAGCTGTGGTTACTGTGGTTATAAGTACCTTTCCCCAATAACCTTACGTGTTATTTGTCATCGGGTATGTGTTGATACTATCAACCACACATGTTTAGAAATATTCCAGTAGCTCAAGACTTTGGTTTCTATAATTCACTTTTGAGGTTCAATCGAGCATGCTCTTTCTACTAAGATTTTAAAGGGGACAATACGACTCTTGCTCATAAGTTATTTTGATGAGGGCTACAGCGTTCAGGCCTTGGTAAAGCTTTTTTTTAAATAATGGTAGACATGTGACGTATCAGTGATAGCAATTATGTCTGGTGCAATTTCCTATAAATGTGCCATTGCATGACAACCGTCTTCGTTATGCCTGATTGACCTATCACGGAACTGATAACTAAGTCAGGAGTTGGACACGAAATGTCAAGAGTGGTCACGAATGATATATGTACTAGCGACAGGAGATCACTTTGACGAACCAGATGGGGTGAATGCTGGACACACGCGGGTCTGATGGTTCTCAGAAACCATTTATCGAGAGCTGTGAACATTGCAAGATGAAAGGGAAAATCTCTCATTGTCCCTTTACGCATGACCACTGCGATGGGGACATAATTGCCATTTAAATACTTAAACTACAGTGGATGCAATGCAGCTCCGGACAATCAAGCAAAAAACCAGACCTGTCAAATTTGATTGATAATGATATTTCTTCAATCTCATTAAAATCAGATTTTAGTTCTCGCTATCACTAAACAAAGATCTTTGTTTCGCGGCAGCGAGAACTTAGGTCTGATTTGAATAAGATTGATATTTCTTGAAATTTATGCCTCCACAGGTTAACTATGATAATCTCAAAGACAAGGGAATACCTTGCTTCATAAAACACTAATACAGCATTGTGAGTTAATTATGACAAACAAAGCAAATATTATCACGAATAGCACAATAGATAGATGCACGGCGTTCTAAACGTATTCCCTGTGAAGGTCAAAGGATTCTTTGGTTTTAGACAGTTTCTGATGAGAATATTTTCCTCGCCCTGTGATCTGCCAGGTGTCTGAAATAGGTCGTGTCCTAGAATAACTTCATAAACAATTTCGTGACTAAGATATAACCCACGCATGAAACATTACACTTTTTTTTCTGTGGAGCCACATACTTACTACAGAGTGATTTTTTGGTAAATCAAGTGCATTAACAAACACAATGGTGAAGACGAAATATGAAGTGTCACTAGCAAAGTGCGATATCCAGTGAAGACAGAACTAAGGCTCAGTAGCTCATCTGGGTTAATTACGATTAAATCAACGAGTAAACTTGTAATTGCTCAAACAGATTGACAAATGTTCCTGACCAAAATTAATGTTTTTGTGTGGGTCACACACACACACACACACACACACACACACACACACACACACACACACACACACACACACACACACACACACGTGCGTGCGTGCGTGCGTGTGTGGATATATATATATATATATATAGTCGGTATCCCGGGTCACAACAGGTCCCCAGTACCCAATGCATGTCTCCCTGTGGGGATTCCGGGTCACAACAGGTCCCCAGTACCCCATGCATGTCTCCCTGTGGGGATCCCGGGCCTCAACAGGTCCCCAAAACCTCATGCATGTCTCCCTGTGGGGATTCCGGGTCACAACAGGTCCCCAGTACCCCATGCATGTCTCCCTGTGGGGATCCCGGTCCTCAACAGGTCCCCAGTACCCCATGCATGTCTCCCTGTGGGGATCCCGGGCCTCAACAGGTCCCCAAAACCTCATGCATGTCTCCCTGTGGGGATCCCGGGTCTCAACAGGTCCGCAGTACCTCATGCATGTCTCCCTGTGGGGATTCCGGGTCACAACAGGTCCCCAGTACCTCATGCATGTCTCCCTGTGGGGATTCCGGGTCACAACAGGTCCCCAGTACCCCATGCATGTCTTCCTGTGGGGATCCCTGTCCTCAACAGGTCCCCAGTACCCCATGCATGTCTCCCTGTGGGGATCCCGGGCCTCAACAGGTCCCCAAAACCTCATGCATGTCTCCCTGTGGGGATCCCGGGTCTCAACAGGTCCGCAGTACCTCATGCATGTCTCCCTGTGGGGATTCCGGGCCTCAACAGGTCCCCAGTACCCCATGCATGTCTCCCTGTGGGGATCCCGGGCCTCAACAGGTCCCCAGTACCCCATGCATGTCTCCCTGTGGGGATCCCGGGCCTCAACAGGTCCCCAGTACCCCATGCATGTCTCCCTGTGGGGATCACGGGACTCAACAGGTCCCCAGTTCCTCATGCATGTCTCCCTGTGGGGATCCCGGGTCACAACAGGTCCCCAGTACCTTATGTCTGTCGTAACAGCCGGTTAAAATAGGTATGTCTGGTCACTTGACTTACTGCGTTACATCGTGACCCGACGGTGTTGACTGCTGCCTAAACATGCGTCCAGTCACTGGTTTGTCCGGTCAATTATGCCAATATTCACATACTCGCTGTTCCTTTGCCTGGCGATGTTTTTAGATTGTGTGATACAGGTATTATATTTTCCTTTTTAGGGTGTAGCAATATTTTTGGCGGCCATGGTGGGGGCACAGTGCCTCCCCAGCTTCTCACAACATCCCCGTCATTCCAAGAAGACACACCACGTCACCATGACAAAACAAGTCGCGCCCTTCGGAGGTGTAGCCCTCGACCTCTGTCCAACCTGTGTCCAGTTCACTGGAGAAGCCATTGATCAACTCCTCAACATCATTCTCAGTAAGTGTCCTCTGTGGGGCTTGTGACAGGGGATGTTTTGCTATGCCAATACCTAATGCGTACTTAATGCAAGTCTCGTGACGTTACCATGTCAGAATAATTCCCCAGTACCACGTATTTGTCATATGAGCCGCCTAATGAGGTTGGCTGGTCATAATCTGATGCCACTGATTTTCCGTCATCGTTGGTCATTTCAACCACTGGTTTGTCTGGCACAAACCTACGTACAGGCCATCGTAACATAGCTTGAACATTGCTGACTGTCGTTGGTGTATGACCGTAGTATTTTGGCCTTCCCTCCCCCAGGGATGTGCTTCTGAATTACTGGTCAAAGGGCGTTAGTTAGTTAGTTTGTTGTTTAACGCCGCACTATTCCAGCTATTAGTATATGACGGCGGTCTGTACATATTCAAGTCTGGACCAGACAATCCAGTAATTGACATCACGAGCATCGATCCAGGCAATCGGGATACGATTACATGCATCAACCAAGTCAGTGAGCCTGACCATCCAATCCCTTTAGTCGCCTTTTACGGCAAGCATGGGTTGCTGAAGACCTACTCTAATCCGGATCTACACGGGTCTCAAAGGGCGTTAACTCACCGACATACTTGTGCAACTGCAACATATATCAACATGCATGCAATGCAATTCTATAGTAAAGTCACAGTTGGGACCGAGTCTAAGGTTCCAGATTGCGGTATGTATTTTTATCTCGAATTCGTGATAAACTGAAAATTTTCATATAGTGAAACGGTTGGGACCGGAGAATAGGTTTGAGATATCGGCACATTATAGATAACGGGGTTTGACTGTATATACCTGATCTGTATTTTAAAGTGCATGACACCCAGTAGTGTTTTCAGGGAGATATTTGATTCAAACTCTTTTCACATAGTTGTGCACATTGTATTGGTAATATATATGTCTTGAAATACATACCTTGACCTGTTAAGCAAGGATGTAAGAAAGTTATCACTGCAGGGATTACATGGAGAACAGACAACCTATTCAGGTTGACGCACGTGTATGTTGTTTCCTGCAGATCTCGGGGTTGTTGGATCCTGTGAAAAATTGTGCGCAGCTCTTGGTCAGAAGACCGGAAGTCAGGCCCTGGCGGTCGTCTGCGATCTTCTCTGTGACATTGCTGGTATTGACGAGTTTGTGAAACTCATTCAGAAGTGAGTAAACATGAATAGGTGAATGGGTTGAAGGCAATACAGGTTAAATATAGCAGTGTGGTATAGTCCTCGCCACTTGAAATAGTATCATGAAATATCGCAATTATTAACTAACAAATATATCTACATGTGTGCTAATACTTATAAAGTGAAAACAAGCCATTCAAGCGATAAAGAATATTACTTACAGTAATGACAAAAATTGCAAAGTGCGTTTTTCAAGAAATATCCATTTTCCTTGCGATAAATCATTGGTTTTGATCAAGCGGTTATAATCAGGGTGAGGATCAGCAGTAAAGTGACAACGAGTGTTTATATTTAGCAGTGCGTGCCACTCGAAGTAGTTCATTTGAACTTAAATTACTACATCCGCATGATCGTTCCGGTAATGTACGTTCATTGCTATTGACCTAGTTCGAGATGCAACACAACTCATAGTTAAATAAAACATATTTTACTTCTAATTAAAAAAGGCACAGTTGCTTTGAAAAATATGCGTTAGCATTAAAGAAAAGAAAAGTGCCTAATCTCTCCACAGAATTCGTTGTGATACTACTGTTTTCTTCCACAGGGCTGATCTTGACCCAATCTATTTCTGTGAACTTCTTAACGTATGCCCTATTTTTGATGACGGGGATGCCAAAATTACGGAACTTGCAATCGTCCCAGCATCAGGACCCCAAGGTAGGACGGCAACAGTCGCAGATAAAGAGAGGATATTTGTATTTTTTTGTCAAATAACATCTTTATTTCAGCGAGTGACATAGTTGAAATTTATGAGTGGCGCAGTCAAGAGTGGAATGATCAACTTCGTTAGGTCACGAGAATAGACAACATGTCATCTGACAAGAAAAGACAAATGTTCTGTTTATTCTGTATTTTCTTACTAATTTCAATGATCGTACTGTGAAAACCACTGACAGTAGTTCCGACATTAAGTGTTATGTCACTTGAGTGACATAAAAATTATACATATTTTAATATAAATGCAAAATTTATACAACAAAATAAATAAGAAAGTGTTCTACCTCACCTAAACAAATAATGTATTTGTTGTCCATGAAGTTGCCCACAACACCATTACACTACTTTTCTTCTTACATTTATTGGAGAAAGCAGTTTCGAAGTTACTAAAACATTTGTCCGTACTATGTTACCGCCTAATCAAAATTAAGTAATACTGTTCCTGTGCCTAGTTGATGCTTGATACTGATTTTTTATTCAATTTGCTTCAGGTCAGAAAACAATCAACTTTTCTTACACCTCCAAGAACGGGACCGGAACTGGAGAGATCGTTGTTCTTGTAGAGACAATTGATGGGCTTCCAATTGGTGAGTTACCAGCAGTCCGGGTTAGAATAGAACCCTAGGAGCCTCTGCTTATCGCTCGAGGCGACTTTATGGATTAGGTGGCATCGTTGGTCACATTATCTATTAATTACAGACCCTCGTTATATCTGGAATACTGTGTGGCGTGGCGTGAACAAGACACTAACAAGATGACACTACTGACGATGCAGGCAGTCTCATAACTATGACTACTGGCCAATATAATACTTTATAAGTTAATGTAAAGAGACGCCAGAAACCTTTAACTCAACCTTAAAGATAATGTAACACCCGGTAAAATACTTATCTTTATTCTAGCCAATTTTTGTCACTCCTCTTGTCTTGAACTATGAATAACAATGAATAACTCGATCATTACTAACAATGGGGGCATGACTACAACTTGTCGGTACAAATACGTTATAATTAGGTGATTTTACAGAGAAGTTGCATTAACTTGACAATAAAACTTTAAGTTTGTGGCAGAATATTTAGCCTTGGTATGGCTATCGAACCGACCATAGCTCGGTAAATTTACGATGGTCACCCCGACGTCGAGTAATCTTGGTATCACTGTATATCCTATAGTATAAAACATACAAGTTCATTTCTCTCCACAGAGGATAGTTTCCTGAACCAGAAGTCTCCAGCAGGCACCTATCCCACCCGTATGACCCTGAAGGCTGAGCCTGACCCCAGCTGTGACCCATCCCAGGGACCGTGCGAGCAGTGGCTACCAGGAAACTACACCCTACGTGTTGGTGGGTGCAACGTGCAATTAACTACACGGGGTCTGGTATCTGGCTCTCTACACCTGGCACAATAGCGAACTCTTCGAAAACAACAGCATGATTTACTTTTCGGATTTTGATGAGCCTTATTACTGATGTGGGGTAGTCTGCTGGTTAACTCGTACGCTTGTCACACTGAAGGCCCGGGTTCGATTCTCCACATGGGTGTACAAATTGTGAAGCTAATGTCTTATCCGATAGTAAAATGAATGCGAGGGCTGCAATCTGTAAACTTCGCAATACAACTTCGCGAATTTGGTGCCACATTAAGTAAGTATTAAGTTTGATCAATACTTATCAGAACAATTTCCATTTAGTTGTTTTTTCACAAATTTTGCTAACCAGGCTAGCTTGTTCCGGAAACGGGATCAAAATGAAAATTCAGGGCATAGCATATTACTAATAATATCCGCAAAACTGAAAACTCATCATGTTAATTCATCTCTTGATAACATATATTCATCAGACTGATCAAGATATATTTTCCCTTTAGATATCTGTAATGGCGAGTGCGGCAGCGACCATCCCCACAGCAAGATCTACGACAGACGCTCCATCTCTTTCCTCATCACTGCATAGATATATTGTGTTGTAAGGACTTAGTTGGAATAAATATGGAAAATGTAACTCCCATCTTGATATATATCCTTGAACCGACAACCCCGACATTTGATGTTATTGTCACAACTCCTTCACAAAAGTGTATAACCGTTTCGTCACCTGAGAGAGTGTGTATTTCACCCATGCTACGTGCTACTGTTTCGGTCCCCATTGAAGGATTTGACTGGATGAGTTACTTTACTTTGGTGAGAGGCCATTTTGATGTCACGGAAACATTCTTCAAAATTATACTTGTTTACAAAGTTTACAGACACGCATTTGGCGTAAAACATATATACTGAGAAGACTACATACCGGCCCTTTCGATAACAGGAAGTTTGGGATTTCTTCTTGTGTACAGGCCTTCTTATGTTCCACAGCCAAGATAGGAATCTTGGAGATACCTACTGTCGCAGGGATTTCTGCCACTGAACATCGTTTTAGATGTCATATTATGACGGAATTTCAGTTTGAAATACTTGATGACAGCCAGTTTCGTGTCCATAGACATCAACAGAGAAGAGAATGCCGAAGAGAAATTTGCTACTTGGTTGTGTAAATGGTTCAATTGCAACCTGTATGCATGGAAAGTTATCTTCTTAGAGACCGACCCGTGAAGATCCGGGTTAGAATAGGTCTTCAGCAACCCATGCTTGTCGTAAGAGGCGACTGATGTCAATCACTTGATTGTCTGGTCCAGACTCGCCATAATAAAGCTGGAATATTGCTGAGTGCGGAGTTAAACAACAAACAAACAATCAAACAAATCTTAGAAACCGGTCACTGCACTGGGACACAGGGAGTTCGTTTTAACTGAACCGTGTGATCGGCACACTTTGATGTATACATTTCGAACCCTAAATTGTATATCTCTAATATGACATAGTTTAATTTTGAAGTCAGCTTTATTCATCGAAGTATGATGCCGTAGTATTACCTGCAATCCAAAATAATTACAGCATACACTTGTTTCTGCTCTACGAGATTTCAATCTTGTATTTTAACTTTTTCAAGCAAAGGAGGCAACTCTTACCATAAACCAACATAAAAATTGTACCAAAGCCAGGTGAAGACCCCTCACTACCAGCATCGTATAAGCCAATTTCCCTTACCTCTAATTTATGTAAAATTATGGAAAGAAAGTTACCAACCGCTTGACTTATTATCTTGAGAAAAATGAATATTATCCAGAATTCAATCAGGGTTTCGAAAAGGTCGCTCATGTTTAGACAAAATTAATGCCTGGTGTTCAAAATGGGGATTCTAAATATCCCACTCAAAGTCAGTAGCAATGATGATCACTCGTCGTAAGATTCCTTCAAAGGTTGGGGGAACATCGTATGAGTTTATTTTAATCAGAGACGTTCATGGTGAAGACATATATCCCATCTTTGTAGCCGTTGTAACATTGTTATGAATCTAATCAAGTGTGTGTCCAAAACACAATGGGTAGCTGATAAATCTACCAAGTTATTGCCATGTAAAGCACGTATTCTATCAAGACTTGACTATGGCTGCCAAGTCTCCATGTCTGCTTCTAAAAGCCACCTAATCAGGCGTGATCGCATTCAGTCAGTGGCCTCAGAATTTGCACTGGAACTCCAGTCTTAGCTCTTCGAGTTGAGTGTTCCGACATGCCCTGCTCCTTCGACGTCAACAGATATCACTTAAATATTTTCTAAAGATGAGCAGCTATCATTCAGTTACTGATAATATTTAATGAGTGTGTCGATTATGAATGTTAGATATGGCAAGATTCCGTTTGGCTTGGACATTCAGAAATTGGCAGCACAACATGGAGTTGATCACTTGAATCCAGCAGATGAACCCACACCTTCTAAAGCTGCTCCTTGGACTTGCTTATAAACTCAATGTTGTTAAGAAGTCTATGAGTCAAAATATACTGAGATCAGTTTCTGAGAATGTTATACAAGAACACTATGTAGACTTTACACACATTTATACTGACGCCTCCAAGGATTCTGCAATGGTTCGAACAGCTGAAGCTTTCTGGATCCCTGAATGTACTATCTCCGGCGTGTTCAGTCGTCATGCTTACACACCGGTTTTTGCATCAGAACAAGCATTGTCATGGGTGGATAAATATGGTCACGAAGCACTCATTTTTACTGATTCACTGACAGCTATTAAGATTATCTGGAGTTAATGGGCCCAGGAATGATATTGTTTACGAAATTTTGAAATTATACACAATTTTGAAAACTTAATGTATCTCATGTGACATTGTATGGGTTACAGCTCATGTCCGTTGGCAGGGTAATGAAATAACATATTATCTTGGGCGTTTAGGATTGATGAAGGAGGAGGTTTATAAAAACTTCATGCCTTGCCAAAGAGATTTCGAATACTTAGTATGCTCTTGTGAAATCGTTCTCCATAAAATGGCAACAATTCTGGGATGTTGGTTCTATTGGAAGACATATGCACAGACCCTGTCCATCAGTTACACAAAACATCATTTGATGCAAATAGACCTTATTCCTGGTCTAAGCTATACCACTACCACCACCACCACCACCACCACCACCACCATCAAAATTACTGCAAATCTTCCATTGTCTCTTGCCTCCTTAGCGAGTTTAAATCCCAACTTTATAGGGTTCTTTTTTGCTTGCTTTAAACACTCCATTCGCAACATTATCTTTATTATAAAATGCCCATTTTTACATTGCCTTCACCAAATAAATGTATGTGCATTATCTTTGATGACTTTCCCCGACAGACTGTTATATTTTTGGTGACCATTCCCTTATTCCCTCACATTCGGAGTGAAAAGTTGACTGGAGTTTGGAAGAATTGAATAGGATATGTGAATGTATGTGGAAAACCGGAAGTGCAACTTGCTTTTTGTTGTATGTTTGAGATGCATGTGAAAGTTGTATTCTATGCTACCACAACCCCTTCCTCTATAGGCAGACGTACGTATCACGGCCTTGTGTGATAGAAGACAGTACCGAACCAAGACTGGCATCAGGTACTGAATTGTGCTTGGTGGCGACCTATTGGGAAAGATTAAGTGAGTGAGTTGGGTTTAACTCCGCTTTTAACAGTATTTCAGTTATATCAAGGCGTGTCAGCTTAATGTGGGAGGAAAGCCCGAACTGATGCAGGTCTCAGATGTTTACCATTTCGGTGAAACCCACGAGCACGGGTATAGTGCTGACAAACCTAGAAACATAATCGGGGCGAACGGGATTCGAACCCACAATCACAGGTTTCTGTTGTTCCCAAGGGACGCAACTCTGCACAGCGAATCGCGGCGCCTCAGACGACTGGGCCACCCGTAGCCCCTATTGGGAAAGAAAGCACACAAGTACAACAGGTTGTTGGTTTACGTCGCAGTCAGCAATACTCCAGCTACATTACGGTGGCGTGTAAATAGTCAACAGGACAAGAAGACAAGTCAGAGACTCTGATCATCCAATACAGTCGACCTTTACGACCAGCAATGAGGTGTTGAGTACCTATGAAACGGGTGGTGAGGCTCGGTGACCTGGTTGATTGCGTGTCATCGTACCCAAATGTCATCGAGCGTTGCTCATATCAGTCACCGGTTTATCGGGGACAGACTCTATTATGTACATGCCACCGGCACATATCTGGAATATTGCTGAGTGTGGCGTTTAATAACAAACATCGATCTACAAATATGAAGCTTCTGGCTTCCGGGTTTTATAAAAGAATTTTTTGGCAACGAAGCCTTGTACAGAAAAGGGGTTTTCGCCATTGAGTTGTATGTCCGTTACATTATGACAGCTCATATTTAATGACAGCTCAAAGTGATACAGCTTATAAATTCAGAATTAAAAACATAGTTCACATCCATATTGAATCTTTGAAGTAAGCCGCTGACTTCTGAGTATCATTCAAAGGTCCTAACATGCAAGTGAGAACGTGCTGTCTCACGGTAATTTTTCCTTAAAATAGAATGGAAGAATTGAGAATAAATGATGACATCAGAGTTGCTAGCGTTCCAAGATTTATTCAGGTGCAGTGTGTTTAATAAACATTTCAATTCAATTAATCACATAATCATATCTAATAATCATAAATTATATCATTACAAATAATTGTCATAACGTCGTGGTTTCTTATGACATACTCAGAATATAAAACAATAAGCATTTCGCTTCAATCTTATAACATATCAAATAATCATCATTACATTATATACAAGACGTTTTCTCATGGTATGGGTATGGTGCTGACAACCAAGAAACCTTATCAGAGGGAAGAACTAACTGCAAAATGAAATCGTTATTTACGTAACTTCTGTGAATTTCCACTCAGGAGAACCAGATATAAAAGTCCCTACCGGGCTTCCATACACCAAGCTTTATAAAGGAACATCTTTGCAATGCACCTCTTCCTTGTTCTAGGCCCGGCTGGGGATATTACTTGCAATGAACGTCAAGGTAATTCACGCATTGGATTTCTTTTTCGTTTACTCATGACAAATCAAATGTTACGTATTACAACAGATGCCAAGGTTGATTGTAATGGTTCAGTAATCACACTGAAGATAAAAAAAAATCGAAAGATGAATTATAAATATAATACAATATAGTTTGACATATTATTACAATTGCTTTCAAAAAGTGTTTTTTGTCTTCTTCTTTTTAATTTTGAAGGTCTAGATAAGTAATGTGTGATCTTTATTTGTTAAATAAATATCTTTTGATGAAAGTATAAAGTTGAATGTCCATGTTCTCATTCTGCACTGTGGTCCGCAATATACCAGAGATAAGCCCTGTTTCAGTTTCCCAGAATAACCTCATAGCCGACCTCGACGTCAGAATACTCGACATTAGACAGCTGAGATAAAACTCAAGATTGTCTGAAACATTACAACCAAAATACTAATTATTGTACTGACATATTCATACATCGTTGTTGTATCACAGCTTTTGTAAAAGCCAAAGTGGGCTAATAGCGAATGCAGGATTGATATTGTTCAACATACACAGAAGCAATCATGTCTAGTTTTCTTTTGATAAATTTTATTATTTATTAGAAGACAAATTCTATATCTTACGTCAGTCTAGCAGTTGTTTTGAAAGTATATTTTTAGACTTGAACAGAGACATGTGACCAGGAATACTGATGTTTCATTGGATGGGGCTTACTAGAGGTAATGTGAGGTTTCGACATGTGTATGAAGAATACCATCTCTTGGGAGACACAACACCAAGTTACATACTGATAACTGCCTCAACTGAACTTAAGTTAGATATTTAAGGGGTGTGGGAAACAGCGAGAATGGAGAAAAACTGAGAAACGAGATGTGATTAGATACCTGCATAAAAGGCAGATCACCAAAGGATATACAGGAACAGGTACGCTGCTTTGGGACAATTGACCTTCATATTCATCTGTAAAGAGATGACTTCTGATTTAAGCGGGGCAGAATAAGCAGCGGTCTGCTCGTTTTGATGATGCCACATCTGACACTCAAGTGGAGGCTGACCGACGTGTTACAAGTCAGCATATCGATGACACTATTGAGATAAGCTTTTGGGACTGTACGATCTATCCTAACTGAAATACTCGACACAAACAAACAGTCCAATGTTGACACCAGACCACCATAAGCTGATTCGACTGAACAAATCCAGGGACCACACGACCAATTATTAGCTAAATCCTGATATTTTCATGCGAACTGTTACCTAAAGTGGACCTGGGTACATCCCTTTGATGGCTACAGGTGAAAAGATTGGCCTCGTCGGCACCAGAGAAATAGAAGCGTACGGTATCAGTTGGCAAAGTCATGTCTTTAGTATTCTGAACCTGCAGGGGATAATCATGACTGACCATTTGCAGCGTGGAAACACTATCAACGTAAATGTTATGCCACAGAACTACGTCTGAGAACACTTATCAGGGAACAACTGGGATTTTATCGAAAAACACAAATTGTCCCCGAAAATATTTGAAAAAGAAATTATGCTTCAGACAGTGGGAAAATGTATTTGTCTTCCACTAAAATTACATTGTTGCAATGTGTTTTTCGGAAAACAATATTGAGACTCATAGGTTCAATTAAAGAAATTACTGGTTTTGCAGCTGTAGCTGAAAGATATTCCCCACTTTCATCGTCTGATTGCAAAGGTTATATGATCAAGATAAATATATGGTTATCAAAATCACACAAAGAAAATGTATCCCAAGACTCATTGTGACTTAATACATCTCAGTATAAAAGAAGGTGAAACTCAAACGACTGTCAGTTATGTCATTGGTTCACTTCTGTGTGATACCCAGTGTGTCATGGTGATAGGGGAATGGTTCTTGTTGTAGGGTGTAACAGTATTCCTGGGGGTTCTGGTCGGAGTCCAATGTCTGCCAAGCTTCTTCCATCAGGCCCAGACACAGGACATCCAGCACACCGGAAGTGAAGCCATCGGCACACGCGTACAGTGCGAGACATGTATACAGTACTCTAGAAAGTTCGGCAATGATCTCCTTGGCATCATTCTCAGTAAGGGTTCAATGAATACCATGTGTAGGCATCTGCACTCAACATCTGCCATCAAATAAGCTTGTCCTCGGGGAATACCGTCTGATGTACACCGCACCGTACACGGCTGCACAGAGGGTACCTTATTCCCCGAGGAATGCCACATTTACCTAATTTGAAACTAAACAGAGATGGACATGCGAAACGTGTGTAGACCACAGTTTGTATATGGTTGGGCTCTGTGCATCACGTACACCTAAAGTCAATGTTCGACAGCAACACAAATTATAAGAAATATCTACTAAAAGCAGAGTCCATTGTACGATTCCTACTAAACCATAAGCATGTGTTAATGAATCACTGTGGCACCCATCACGATGACATGCAAAGGCAAGTCATATGTTCACCTGAAAAAAACACGGGATCATCATTATATGGTTCACGTCAAAATAGGGAATTGCATCGGACATAAATTTTTGTCACTGATGCGTCAAATTTGGAATTGTTCTCCACATGTCTACCTTAATACTTTTGAAAGCTTTACTCAGGCCTTAATTGTAATCCTGGTCAACAGTAACTTTTATATACATTACGCGGGGACAGGGCTTTAAATTGTAGAAATAGCAGAGAACGGCAAAACCTACGTTGCCATGACAATGGGGTATTCCAGTTGTACATCGTTGTAGCGGGAATATGAAAATTTATCGCAACGTTATTGACCAATATGATTCAAGTGTTTTACTTGTGTGATAACATAATGTTGTCTGAACAGCTGTTTAACATATAATATTAACATATCCAGCGTAGAATCTGCTTCATTTCTTGCAGATACAGGTACTCATGGTTCGTGTGAGAAGCTGTGTGCAGTGCTCCATGACAAGAGTCTGAGTCCCATGTGTGATCGTCTCTGCGAATCTGTTGGTCTAGTTGAATTTGCTGAATACTTTAAGAAGTGAGTTAAACCAAATAACCCTGTAAAAGGTAGGTCGTTAAAGAAAAGAGTAAAGGTACATTCGTCAAATGACAATACAGTGTTGGTGTCTATCTACATGTGTTTCTTCAAAATGCATGTTTTCGTTCCATAAATTTCCAACATAAAACAATATTAACATTGAAATTCTTGAATCAGCCACTAAACATTAAGACATTCGATCCCTTCAAAAACAATACGCTCTTATTTCCTCTACCTCTCTTTGGTATTCCGAATAAGAATATAAGTCTCCCGGGTAGCCTATGCTGTTCGTACGAGGCAACTTAATGGATCGGATGGTCGGGTGTTGTGAATTAGTTGATTGAGTGGCAACGTAACTCGGCGGCGTGGGACGATGCTCAAACTACTAATCATGGTTTGTCTGGACCAGACTCGATTGTTTACAAGCCAGCGACATTTACCTGGAATATTCGGCTTTAACAAATTCACAAACAAACTGTGAAACTTGTTTTACAGGCATATAATTAATGCTACACGTGCTTGAACCATCTCCTGTGTTCGTTGTAGGAATACTCTAAAGCTATGATTATTTTTTACTCTGCAGGGCGGACGCAAACCCTTTCTACTTTTGTGAGCTTATGACCTTATGCCCTGGATTTGACAACGGTGACGCTGAAATCACAGAGCTGTCAGTGGACCCACCAGTAGGGCCTCAGGGTATGTCCGCCATTTGTCAGAGCCAAATTCGGTTCGTCCACTGAAAGCACTGACTTCCTGTCTTCTGTAGAGAAAGCTTTGTCTACATGTAGTGCATCAGTGTTTAAAACTTATTAGTAGACACGCCTTTCAGTATAACTATCCAAGAATATAAGCCTAAACATTTTGTGATTGAGAAGGTAAACTGGCTTTAAAATTAGGTGAATCAACACACCTAATGAACACAACGTCCCTTAACTTACTCAAACTAATGTTTCATGTTGACATCATACTTGGTTTGATTAAGGGAATGCATATATAGGTACTTTAGTTTAGTTCAAAATGTTCTAATTGGCAGTCACCAATGCCCTGTTGTTGTCGATGGGTCCAAGTGCTGGAAATCGTTTTCTGTCAAGTAAGCTGTGGGAGCCGATAAGTCTGTAAATTACATTGACATATGAGTAGATGGGTCTGACGTGATAAAAAAAACATTCATAAAACCATTTAGAACCGAGAAGGCCAAACTTATTCAGTTACGAATGAATACAGTTGATAATCAATGCAGATGCCATCGCCAATACTTGGGGGGTTTGTATACACCATGATTGAGGACGCAGTGTATGCAGACCCCCAAAGGAGTGCCGATGTGCTGCCTGAAAGTGAAGATTACTCCGCTTTGTTCGGTGCCCTATCCTGGCAGGTTTGTTGAAGGTAAAACCAGTCGTACCGATATAGTTTACCCTCTTGTTACAGGCACGAGAACAATAAGCTATTCTTACACCTCCAAGAAGGGAACAGGAACCGGAGAAGCTGTTCTGCTTGTTGAGACAATTGATGGATATCACATTGGTAAGTCCTCAAAGATCACGTATTGACATATACTTTTATAAGCGTTATCTATTCTTAAAAAACAGAACATGCAGTTCGTGAATAACTGAAATACTGTTCAAATCTCACCAGATATCTTCCTTCACAGACGATAGTGTCCTCATCCAGAAGTCTCCGCCAGGCACCTACCCCAACAGCGTCACCCTCACGACTATCCCCCGCCCCCACTGTAACCCTAACAAGGAAGCCTGTGAAAAGTGGGTTCCTGGAAACTACACACTATTTGTGGGTGAGTGTCTCGGCTACCATAACTCTCATACATGTACATTATATGCCGTTAGCTGTTGCATGACCTTAGCCATAATTGCTCATGGAAGTCTTCTGCTCGATTCGGTTCGATTCCCTATTCGATAACTCTCATATATGCACCTGACATGGGGTTAGCTGTTGTTTGACCTTAGTGTAACTGGTGTTTTTAGTATAGAGTCAGGCAGGCCATCTGTTCACAAACTACAAGGGGTCGGTTATGTAACCTAGTATAGTCACACTCGTCACACAGAAGGCCCGATTTCGATTATCCACATGGGTACAATGTGTGAAGCCCATTTCTGGTTTCCAATCCCGTGATATTGATGGAATATTGCTAAAAGCGGCGTAATATCCTATTCACTCACTCATTTGTTGTCATTTTCGGCGGCGTAAAACATACTAACACAAACAAAAAGTGTGACTTGATATTTATATATATAGTCTGATTTTATATATAGTCGATTCTGTGACAGTAATGTCATTTAACATCATGCCATTTTCATCTTTGAGACGTGGACGGCGTTGACACCAGTATTATAAACATCTCGCCACTGCGTGACTAACGTTGTTAAGGATGTTTTGTCTAAGACTCGATTTATCAGCTTCATCATCATACCATTCCAGGTATCTGCAATGGCAGGTGTGGAAGCAACTTCCCACACAGCAAGATCTACGACATGCGAAACACCACGTTCGTCATCACTGCCTAGACAAGTACTGGTGTATGGTGGAATATATGAGAAAATGTGCCTTTCGTCTTAATGTATATGTTGTACAAGAGCCATGATGTTCTAATGACTCCTCTGAATCTCTGCCAATTTGCAACATTTAGACAAAATTGAAGTTTAACTATAGGTCATATGGCCTAAAATATTGAATAAACTTCTGTCTGTCTGTAAATGGTGGACCAAAATTACTTTTTCAAAATGGCTGTTTTGGCGAAACCATGAAGATGAGATGAGGTGAGGTGAAATGGGGTTTTACGTCGCGTTCAAGATGATTTCACTTATATAGCCACGAGCAAGCACGTATGTGTGTGTGCGTGTGTGTCTGCTTGTACTAGTGCTAACCCAGTTCAACATGGATACCCCACTCAGACATAGTATACTGACTCCGAGACGACCTCCTTGTTGTATCCCTTTTAATACCGGCACCAGGCAGGCTGACAACAAGTACAAACCTTTAACGTATTTGGTATGGCACGGGCGGGGATCGAACCACGGACCTTCCTTTCTCCGGGCAGACGCTCTATCCATTACACCACGGAGGCTGTCCGCATGAAACGCAAATGTAACACATTCGTAATGCACGTTCACATTCGAACCTTCTGCGTCAAGATAAATACATACTAGTACATTTTCCATATTACTACTTTGGTGGCCATGTTTGATTATTGAATTATATCTCTGTAAGCATTTCTTACCGGTAAAGCAGGACATGCTTGTCCTTTTCGGGAACACCTGGTGTCATCACTGGTAATAAAAGCTTGTGCTGTCATTTATGAGATCATATATATAGCTAATGGCGACCGCCTCCGTGGTCTAGTGCCAGAGAGTGTCTTCCCGGAGAGCGGAAGGTCGTGGGTTCGATCCCCGGCCGCGTCATACCAATGAACGTTAATAGATGGTTACCTTGCCGGGCGCTCGGCATTAAGGGGCTAAATCAAGGTCTGGTCGGCTTGATTTGGTCTGAGAGGGGTATTCATATTAAAACTGCGGCATGGTATCTCTGTGGGTTCGCAGTATAAAAATCGGCATTATTCCGGACTGGTACACGCACACACGTTAAACCCATCTCCAAGTGCCATAATCACCTTACGTCACCGCTCAGAGGCGATGTGCAAAATAGATCATGGTGGAATGTGAGTGAATGTTGTTAAACGCCGCACTCATAAATAGAAGTGTGTATACATATTTTCTTAAAAGGGTTGCATTTACTCATACAACAACAACATATTAAATAAATGGAAATAATTCGAAAGACATTATGTGTTTGTTCGTCGTTATAATTTGTTGAATACGTATCACCAAATGATTTGGTTATAGTGTTGTGATACCTTTACGTACTGTTTTGTATGCTTCCAACACGTATCATCAACAGCGTACACATAAGTGCACATTCTATAACAATAACATGTCCATACGTCAGGTTGGTTATGTTTGTTTGTTCATTTGTTGTTTAACGCCACGCTCATTAATGTTCTAGCTTTATGACGGCGGTCTGTAAATAATTGAGTCTGGACCAGATAATCCAGTGATTAACGTCATGGGCATCGTCAATCCCCGCAATTATGATCAAAGCGAAAACTGGCTACTTAACATTACATAGTATATACCTCTGTAGCTCTAGATAACATCCCTGCTTTGTGTCCCTTAGTGGGAGATGCAGATGTGGTGCATCCAGCATACAATAAGATATATACGAAGAGTGTGTTGTCAGATATAACGCGGTGGTTATTGGGTACTGAAACTCTATGCTTGTGTATTAACTTCGAAGTTCAACATGACGTCAGGCACAGAAAGCAGTAGAAGGGAGAAACAGCCGACCCGACACGTCAAGCCATACATCAAGAAAAGGTTGACATCGCTATATAGAATCTGTGTAGTACCACAAACCTCTAATGGGGCCGTCACACCATGACGTTCTGGTCAGCGTTCTATGACGTTTGAGGAAACGTTGGTAGTCGCCCATGGTCGCTGGGATAGCGCCAGAAGAGCGTTGTGTGAACGCTAGTGAACGTCGGTGATCGCCGGGAATCGGCGGAGAACGCTGGTCCGGAAAAAAAGTTTTGAACATGCACAAAAGTTCTCACTGAGACCAGCGTTCTTCAACGTTTAATTTTAAACGCTGAAGAACGTTTTACTAACGTTCGCCGAGCTTTGCACGCGTTCGGCTATCGTTAGTCAGTCGTTACTCTAGCGTTACTTGGTTGTTACTAATCGTTTGCTTTGCATTGAACGACTCACTGGCGACCTGTCAACGACCGCTGAACGGTCCCCTAGCGCACGCAGCGCACGCAGACGCTATTCTGTCGTTATTCACACGTTAGTCACACGCTCAACACGCTCGTCTAACGTTGACAAATCGTTCGTCGCGCGCCAGTGGCACGTTAGCACACGCTAATGGTTTTCAGGGGTATCTTACTTGGTCGCTGTTACACGCTTCTCGTGCGTTAGACACACGCTAGTCATGCGTTAGGCACACGTTAATCAGACGCCAGATGTGTCATCCTCATTCTAGAACGCTCAAAAATTGAACGATTGAAATGTTCAGAGAACGTTGACCAGAACGTCATGGTGTGACGGCCCCTTTAATTAAAAGACATTCAAAAGACAAAATAAACTTTCAAAGCCTCGTTTTATAATTGCTCAATATGGACATTATTTAATTCCCTTTTCCCTGATAAATTAGTTTATATTTAAGTTTTAAATGTTATATACTCTTTCGGGAGACACAAATATCGCAGTAGTGACTGAGCAGGTGAGCTACGAAACGAGGGTTCGGTTTGCTGCAATAGGCATAAATATGATAAAGGCATACATCAGGTCAGTTACTATAGACTTCATGTAATTGTTACTGTAAAGACCCGCAGATAAAAATGATAGAAGGACAGAAAGACAAGTCGACATGTAGTCACAGGAACACCTAAACATATTAACACATTTAGAAGACGACACCATTATGAGTTAATACAACTTCATATAAATGTCTAACTAATGGATTAAACTAGTTAAACAAATAATTATATGGATCACGAGACAAATGGTCAGGGGGATATACATGCGGAGGCATAGACGGATGTTGGTTTGCTTTAATGTCCATTCAGGGGAACAATACTGTATTAGTATGTTATAAGATACCAACGCGATAAGTGGCAAAGAACAATGAAGAAACGCAGCGTGGTTTATTTCACGATAAAACATTGTTCTATCATGACGTCATTTTAGATTCAAATATGCGCTCGCAACTCGATGACGTCATAAATTGAACGACGTTTTTTTTCAGAGGGAATTGTTTTGTGAGTTGTGGACCAATAGATGAAGCTGGGCAACGTAGATAAAACAATGGCCGAACGATCGCTTCCAAAAGTGGGATTATATGACAATCGGTATTGTGAGAAATAGAGAATCTCACCCGAGTATCTTTTGATATCAAATATATCAAAACGAGTTGATAAAAGTGGAAAAAAAGTGTTGATATATTTGATATCAAAAGACACGAGGGTGAGATTTTATTTATCATCCAACATCATTCTTCAAACTTTTTCAATTTGTAGACAGTAATTAGCAGTGACTTCAGTGTAAAAATTACTGCTAACAGCTTCAGTAGCAGAGCCATTAGTGATGTCATTTGATTGTGACGTCATGGTAACCCGTGACGTCACAATGGTCTGCAAAGCATTGTGATTTAATTTCATTGCAGCGATATCTACAGTTTATTACTTGCCCGTGAAGAGATCACCCGTTTAATAAACATACAGCTGTATTACACATTGTGTAATACCAAAACGCGTGCTTATGTACTCTCGGAACACGTTTCACGAACAAATACCAGAACTATTCACTCGTTTCATAAAATTGGTATTACACGGGAGCTTGTTTAGTATTCTATATGTAGATATCGCTTGATCTAATCCAAGCGATATCTCCTGTGGGAGCCAGTTTTGGATGATAAAAGGTAGAGATCATCGACGTGAAAATTATGAAAATATGCGGGAAAGACCCATTTTAACCCCTGCTCATAAAATGGACTTGTCCGACATTGTCGCGGTCGGATTATATTTAATACGGGTAAATATTTTTAAAGCGAGTAATTTTTACTAAGATCCTTAAAGAGACTTATGTAATGTTGATATCTCATATAAGAAAACAAATTACTCGTGGTCGTTGTTTGTCGTACAATAAAACACTGCCGGGAGAATAAACCACGAGGGGTGAAGTGTTTTACTGTACGATAAACAACTTCCACTCGTCGTTTATTCCTTAAATAAAACAGTTGCAATTCTATATTTTGCTTTGTACAATGTGTTCCCGCTTTTGTTCCGGTGGTCACTGGACTTGCCTTTGCATGTGTTTATGACGGATGCCACCGATAACGCAGGATACACTCACCTCCGCCCCTCGTGGTTTATTCTCCCTGCAGTGTTTTATTATGCATCGTTTATGTGTTAAATAAATGTCCCTACTGGGCTTCCGTACATCAGGCTTTATAAAGGAACATCTTTGGCACGTGCCTGTTCCTTGCTGTAGATCTGGCTGGGGTATACGTACAATGAACATCAAGGTAATTCACACTAACGATATTTTGTTATAAATAATAATAAATTATACGCGGTGATAGTTACTCAGACACAAAAGAAAAGGGGTTTAGAATATAAGAATAATTTTTAAAAATAGGTTACAAGATTACCTGCATTTAAAAACAAATATAAACTCTAGACGAAATGCATATTATTCAACACAATAGATTAATTTCAATCAAATGTGCTCATTCTCCCTTCTCGACTCTAGAGTCCGATAATTAGTTCAAGATAAAGAATATATTCATTGTGATAGTGCTCTATGTCGTCCTGATTCCGCTGTGTGATTTGACAGATGTCTGCGATGACTTGTGTCTCATAGGGGACTTCAGCGTCATTCTGTCGACTTGGGACATCTCAGACTACGGCTTAGTTAATAATATGGCTCTGAAACACTTCATACTGACGGGGTGAAAAATGAATAGTCTTGTCAAGTGGAGAAGACGTTTCTGAATGTCACTGGCTATTTATGTCTAATAAAGATAATGCCAGTTCTGTAGCTTAATGGTATAATTATATGAATTCATGGGTAAAGTTTAGGGTAGAGGGCGTTTCCAGATACATTTTCCTATTTTGCCTTGTACAATGTGTTCCCGTGTTTGTTCCGGTGGGCACTTGACTTGCCTTTACATGTATTTATGACGGATGTCACCCATGATGCAGGATACGCTCACTATTTCGCGATCTCTTGGCATCGTCACTTTTTTATAGGGATTCATAAACACATACTTATGATGTTGTCAGAATCGTGCAAGGGATTCTTAGATATTGCTTATGATTATGTTTGGGTTTTTTCTTTTACGCCGCACTCAGCAGTAACCCAGCTATAAGACGGTGGTCCGTAAGTAATCCAGTCTGGACCAGACAATTCAGTGATTAATATCATGAGCATCGATCCACAAAATTGGAATCGATGACATTCATTAACCAAATCAGCGAGCCTGACCACCCGATCCCTTTAGTCGCCGCTTACGACAAGCATAGTCGCCTTTTACAGCAAGCATCGGTTGCCGAAGACCTATTCTACCCAAGATCTTCACGGGTCTACAGCAAAACGAAATGGTGTAATCGTTTAAAGTGTTCTCAAAGTGAACATAAATACATAAAATACATAAAAACGTCAACGCCAAAGAATGATCAGTCTTGATTATCTGCCGAAAGAGATTACTTTGGGCGAGAATTGGTGAAAATAATAGGAATAGATCACTGAAAACCAGTGATGAAAATCCGTTCATGTGACTGAATATTTGTTTTACATCTGTCAGACTCGTGCTTCCTTATTACCCGATGTCTTGAGATTCTGTAAGGGGTTCTTACCATGTTGTAGGGTGTCACAGTATTTTTGGCGGCCCTGACGGGGGTCCAGTGTCTGCCAGCCTTCGCCGAATCCGGAGATCAGCTCACGGGAACAGCCGTCAAGTGCAAGACGTGCGTCCAGTTCACTAGAAAAGCTGGTGCCGACCTTCTCAACGTCATTCTCAGTAAGGGCGTCTAGGTACAGTTATACTTGTTTCAAAGTTCACATCTGTGGACCTATAATGTCTCTCACATGAAGATTGAAGAATCTTGAGGATAAAATAATCATGGTTAAGTTTAGGATTCATACATGCAACTTGTTTGTTGCAGACTCTGGGGTCGTTGGTTCCTGTACGGAACTGTGTGCAGCTCTGAGTGACAAGAGTCAGGCGGCCATGTGTGGACGCCTCTGTAACTTTGCCGGTATCAACGCGTTTATTCAGCTCTTTGTGAAGTGAGTGAAACCAAGCTACACAGTCTGAGTGTGTGGGTGAACAGAAAAGTGTGGTTGTATGACGGAATCATTACACAACGGAGCTGAGTACGATGTGTGCTAAATCAGGTTTACAACTGATACATCATCAGGACACCGTCTCTCCTCCCTCACCGGCCTTCCATGGAAAAACACAACTTTCTTATTTTTAAAACAAAACACGAATGTTTAATTTCTAATGTAAGGGGTTAATAGTTTTTTGTGAAGGGATATTTCTAGTCACAGAATTAAAGCTACATTTCTAAACCCTTCCATAGCCCGTTGTAAAATGACCCGGTCCGAGACGGCGACCTCAGTGCTTCCAACCCTGTTTGTCTTGGAATCGCCATTTGTTAGCACTGCGTGGTAGGATAGATTTCTGTATACTGAGTTCTATCTCGGATAGATTTATGCACTACACCCGACGACAAATTTGCCCCTTCAGCCTTCAGTGGTAGCAATGACGAAGATTTCACTCGCTTGGAAGGAATTTGAACGGTTAACGGTCAAAGGGAGACAACTCAATCATCGGTTTCATGCTCTTATTTCAGACTTAGGTAGTTAGCTAAGTGTACCCTGAGTGGATACGGATGTGGTTTCACTGACGATTTCAGTTTTATTCGGGTTTACACGGTTTATTACGTAACCTGCATCGATAAGACTCATTGGATTTCCGGAGCCGTGATGTTGGTGGTCAAGGGGAAGAAACTTTAATTCTGTTTACCGTTTGCTAAACAAACTTACCTCCCTTTGAGACAAGGGACATGACTCTTGATTTGTTCCACGCGATTATCTCCCTTTAATTGAGGGCACACGCCATATGTGAAGTTTTAAGTGAGACACTGTGCAGAGTTAAAGACAAGGGAGTTAACTCTTGTACAAACACGATTACCTCCCTTTGACCATAAACAAAACCACTACCACTTCGTCATTTGAAATGGGGGGTTTTCAATACCAAATCCATTTTTTGTAATAAAAAGATTAGCATAAAGGGAGAAGAATATTCAAATATGCACGCTGAGTTATACTTCACGTAACTGAACCAGTTTAGTGGCAACGGTGATATCGAAGATTAACGAAAGTGTCACTTGCTGGGATTGGCCTTGTTATGCAAGGTCAAAAAGGGATAATTAACGGTTTCATGCACTAATCTCAGTGTTTTGTAATTTGAGAATACATGATTGATTGACGGTCACGGGTGTGGTTTCATGGGCCGCGCACGGACAATTTCGTTTTTATTCGAGTTTACTCGGTTTATTCCGTTACCTGCCTACTACATCGATAAGAATCATTGGCGTTGTGGAGCCTTATGTTGGTGGTCAAAGGGAGGTCACTTTTAATCCTTTGCTAAACAAACTTACCTCCCTTTGAAACAAAGGGGCATAACTCTTGAGATGTTCTAGCCGATTAGTTCCCTTTGGTTGAGGGCACACGCCGTGTGTGAAGTTTTAAGCGAGACACTGTGCGGAGTGAAAGACAAGGGAGTTAACTCTTGTACAAACACGATTACCTCCCTTTGACCATAAACAACCACTACCGACTACCCCTTGGTTATTTGCAATGGGGTTTTCCATACCAAATCCAATTTTGTTACACAAAGATTCGCATAAAGGAAGAGATAATCATACACGCACGCTGAGTTCTAAATCACGTAACTGAACCAGTTTAGTGGCAACGATTATATTCGAAGAGTAACGAAAGTGTCACTCGCTGGGAAGGGGCTTGTTATGTCAAAGGTCGAAGGGAGACAACTCAGTCAACGTTTTCATGCACTAATCTGTGTTTTGTAATTTAGGAGAATACATGATTGATTGACGGTCACGAGTGTGGTTTCATGGGCCGCACACGGAGGATTTCAGCTTCATTCGGGTTCACTAGGTTTATTTCTTTACCTGCCTGCTACATCGATAAGAATCACTGGATTTGTGGAGCTGTGATGGTGGTGGTGAAAGGGAAGTAATCCGGTTTACCGTTTGCTAAACAAACTTACCTCCCTTTGAAACAAGGGACATAAATTTTGAGATGTCCTGCACGATTAGCTCCCTTTGATGGAGGGCACACATTTTAAAGTGAAACACTGTGTTGACCTAAAGGCAAGGGAGTAAACTCTTGTACAAACACGATTACCTCCCTTTGACCATAAAAACCACTACCAACTATCATGTGGTCCTTTGCGATGTGGGGACATAGGTAGCTGAGTCATGTATGGTGCCTCAATTCGCTGCGTCCCTTTTCGCTTGTCAGAAATATCTGATTGTGGGTTTGAATCCTGGTTCACCTCGATTATGTTTCTGGATTTGTCAGCGCAATTGCTGTGCCCTTGGGTTTCACCAAAGTGGTAAACATCTGAGACATGCATCACTTCAGGCTTTCCTCCTACATTAGGCTGATACACCATGATATAACTGGAATTCTGTTCAAGGCGGTGTTAAACCCAACATGCTCACTCCTTTGGGATGTCTATTTTTTCCATTTCCACGACAGAAAAGCTATTTCTAAACATGCAGAAAGGACATACCTCATACAACTGTAATTTAACTGTGTATTTAATGGCTCATTAAATCTCATATACATCACTGTTGAAGATTATTTTCAAAAAAATGTGTTTTCTGCATTAAAGTTTGATATTAGATTGAATAACTTGAGACTCAAGCCGTATGTTTCAGCATTGTCATGTCAGCGACCTTACTGTCACAACGGTCCTAAGCCTGTATAAAAGCATGTTAGTTTGATTGTCTCAGACTAAGATCCTTTTGAATGACAGGGACTGAAACAGAAACTCTTATTTCTTCTGCAGGGCTAACTTAGATTCATTCTACTTCTGTGAACTGCTCACCATGTGCCAAATCTTTGACCGTGGTGATGCCCAAATCCGAAAGCTCTCCGTCACCCCATCCATTGGACCTCAAGGTATGTACGCCATTTGTCAGGGATACATTAGTCTCTGGAGGGACCAACTCATGTGTATTACTTTTCAGTTGGAGTCAAAAATACCTATAGGAGATAAACCTTCCGTATATGATCTTGGTTGATTGATTAAATGCTAATGTATGTTGTGATTGGTAACTGCGCTGGCATCAGTGAATGTCCAGAACTTGTTTAAGAAATAAGGTTTGCTCTACCCCCATGTGTAGTGTAATAAAGTATAGTTTTGCCCTGAACTTTTGTAGTTAAATCTCGAGGATGCTTGTTCTATAAATGATAACCTTCCAAAGGTTTGTGTACTTACCACCAAAAGAAATGAATACCCTACATGTTGGTTAATATATGAAGACTTACTCATATTCAAGAGATATTAGATTGGTTCGATGCACAAACTAACATACTGGTATTTCGTGTGAACTGATGCTCATTCATGGATCCATGACTCGAGATGCACCATGTGTCTTGTTCAGGATTAGGCTGTAAAGTTTGTCGTGTTACCACAGAGTGTCTTTATTCTTATCACGATATGCTGCACGTGATATTGACTGATTGTTGGGTTTGTCATTAATTGGTACACATTGGAAACATCTCTTCTTAGCATACATACTTTTCTATATGTTTATAGTTCATGTTTCTTTAGGCTGTGAGTATATATATTGAAAGAAGTGCTTCGTCACAAGTTTGTCCTGACCAAAAGTAGTAACATGTCATCAGTTGCCTACATAAACGTCCATATTTAAATATGGAATTATTGAATTTTGTTTGTTTGTTGTTTAACGCCGCACTCAGCAATATTCTAGCTATATGACGGCTGTCTGTAGATAATCAAGTCTGCACCAGACAATCCAGCAATTGACATCCACGCAATTAGGATACGATGACATGCATCAACCAAGTCAGCGAGCCTGACCACCCCTATTATTTAAAGATATCTTAGAATACATCTGACCACTTATACTTCGTTTGATTGTAAATGGATTTCCGTCATTGGAGACAACATTTGGCTTTTCTGTAGATTATTGGATTAAGCTGAAAGGTTTTGTAGCTGTTGTTGACAGGGATCATATATTTCTTAAAAATCACCTAAACAAAGCAGGACCTTGAATGAAAATGAACATGCACAAGCAGCCTCTGTTTTGCACAAAACATAATGCTCAGCATTGGAGATGATGTCCTTAGACAAAATAATTGAAATCAAAGAAACTGAATTGTCTGAAACTTAGCAGTTTGGTTATGTGTAGAATCAACTGTCATGCTTTGCCTTAAGGCTGTTTTTTTATCTCCTGGTTTCGGATCTGGTTCCTTGAAGGAGGCTAAATAGGGTTAAGTTACATAGACCAGTCAAAATCAAGTCCTCCCAAAAGCAGTTTTTGTTTGATTATTCATGAATACTGATTTGTTTCTTCAATATGGTTCAGGCAAGAGAACAGTTAGCTACTCCTACACCTCCGACAACGGGACCGGAGCTGGAGAAGTAGCTGTTGTTGTTCAGCCACCCAGTGGACTTCCCATTGGTAAGTCACCATGAATCAACTGTCCTCGGAAAATGTCAGGACACATGGACAATACATTGCATAGTGTCTGCACATTTAATCATAACAGAGATGTGAGTCAGTTTGGTTTTATGCCTAATTTAGCAGTACTAGGGCTGGTCAAAAAGTTCTAAGCCTAACAAACATAACAAACAATTGTGGAAGTGTTTTTCATTTCATTTTTCAACATAACCTCCCTGCTTTTCAATACACTTCTCATATTGATAGTCAAGCTTTTCAATTACAGTCAGGAAGAAGTTTTCTGAAGCCACCCTTAAAAACCCATTTACGGCAGCTTTGAGGTCATTGTGGGGTTTTTCAGTTAAGGAAACAGGTGGAAATCACTTGGTGCCAGGTCTGGTGAGTATGGAGGGTGAGGAAGCTCTTCAAACTCACATTGTCGCACAGCAGCCTTTGCAAGTCGACAGGTGTGAGAAGGGGCATTGTCACGAAGTAGTAGAATTCCAGCAGTCAGCATTCCTCACTGGTTTTCTTTTATAGAATCTCTCGGGCGATAGTAGGCATGGTAATTGTCTTTTGACTTTCTCAGTAATCAACAAGCATCACACCCTTTGCATCCCCAAATACAGTGGCCACAACTTTCTTCACTGATCTTGAAGACGTGAATTTCTTTGGTGTCAGCATGGTCAGAGAAGTGGAATGGTGCCATTCCATGGATTGACGTTTTGACTCGGGATCATAATGGTAGACCCATTATTCATTTCCCGTTACTAATCTCTTTTTCTTTTTGAATTTGACGGAATCCTCCTTAATAAGCTCTAACTTTTCTCTGGCAATGTTACTTCTTTTTTCCTTAAAATCAGAATTTAGAAACTTTGGCACCCATCAAGCAGACATCTTATTCATCTGTAAATGTTCATGAATAATAATGTCAATGATCCATGGCTTAGACCTGGGGTGTTCCTGAAGTTCAGCAATGGTAATACATCTATCTGACAGTAAACAACTTTTTATCTCCTTCATCTTAATCTTCATTGATGGAAGTTGACGGACGTTCAGACCTAGGGTCATCATCAAGGCTTGTTCTCCCAGCCTTAAACATAGCTGCCCATCGTTTAACAGAGGTATAGCTAGGGCACTTATCCCAATACACTTGTGACATGCGGTCATAAATTTCTTGGGGAGTACTTTTCTCTAAAGTCAAAAACTTGATGGTTCTCATTCTTTTCCATTTCTGTGTCCATTTAGACCCACATCACATTCAACTGGCTGTGACTAATATACAAACGGCCTCAACAGACCAAATACACTTGCCATGAACTACTCAAACAATGTACTACATTGACTAGTTCACTTTATTATGGCCCATATTTGAAAGTTAGTCAGGCTTAGAACTTTTTGACCAGCCCTCGTATTCCAGCAATATCATGTGCTGTACACAAGAATTAGGCTTCACCTGTTGTTTACATGTATTGAACAGAACCTGGCATTTCTATACAACACCTGTTGTTTAAACGACACATGATGTAACTTTACAGGTGACAGTTTCTTCATCCAGAGGTCACCGCCAGGCACCTACTCCAACAGCTTCATCCTCATGGCCAAGCCTGACCCCCACTGTGACCCCAAGAAGGGACCCTGTCGAAAATGGTCACCTGGACACTACAAACTCAGTATTGGTAAGTATTAATGTGGAGATAGAGCCACATATGCATGAAATATGGTCTTACTTGGTGTTTGCTTTTAGATCAAACCATGTGTTAGTAAAGGAAGAAAAAGCTTGAATACATTAGGTACCACTTGGACTCCAATTGTACATAAACATTATGTAACATAGGATTTCCTTCCATAAACCCTGCCAAGGTTAGATAATACTTCTGTTCTTAATTTAAAGAGGGACACATCTCAAGGGAGCATTTATTGTCTGTAGCAGGAAATAATTAGTATCAAAATCGACTCATTTTCTCTTGGATAATGTTAATGGCTTGACTAATATACATAAAAATATTTAAGTTAGCAAAGTGTTTTTGATGACCCGTCTCACCCTGACTGACTACATCTTAGCCAGTCTGGTGATGGTCACTCTATAGTTACTATTGTTAGGACTTTGGGGTCTCATTTCTAATTAGTATTTAGTTATCCACCAAACTTATCAAATACATTCTTTCCCAGATGTATGTTACGGCAAGTGCGGCAGCGGCGACCCACACAGCAAGATCTACGACACCCATGATGTCAATTTCATCATCACCTCCTAGACATCTCGTATTTGTACAGAGCAATAAAGATGCAAATATGTGTCTCTTGTTTCAAATTTGTTTGTAAAAGACACCAATCATTTTGGAAGGCTTGCAACTTACGAACATAAAATGACATCCATATGGTGATTAGGTTAGAATAGGTCCCAGGTAACCTGGGCTTGTTGTTCGAGGCGGCAAAACTATCAGAAACATCATTATTGGGATCTTCTATACACACCTTTGTAAAACAGTGGTTTTAGATACTTTCAGGGGCTACCAATCTCAGAAATGTATCTTTTTTATTATGGCGAAGGAAATTTTTAAGGACTGAAACGCATCATTAAATTTGTGACGGTATGTGCAAGTAAAGGTCAGACATCTTTGGGTAAAAATCACGAAAAAGAGGCAGTTAAATACATAATACTTCATGCATATCAAATCATACGTTGATTAATTAGGTTACAGGTAGAAATAATCAAGTTCATAAAAATCATGTGTGCAAATATCACCTCACGTGCACCAAAGTATTGTTTACATCATCTGGACGGCACTGCTGACGTCATTCAAATCTTAAAGTGACATATTGTTTGAATGATGTCACACTAGAAACATCATAGCTGAAGATTGTTGACGACATTTTTCTAAGACGGAGTTCATGATCAGTGTTTGTTTCTATAGGGGAGCTCAAGAGGATTAAAAATAATGGGTAATAAAGAAATTAGTACCCTCGCATGTGTGTCATACTGATTTTATCAAACTTGTGTAAGAATTAATGTACTACCCTGGCTCTCGCTAGGAAAATCTAAGAATTCTGACACTCGTTTTGTAAAATCAGTATAATGGACATGCTCATATAATCATGATAATAATCTATATAAAGTGATTGGTAAGACCAAAATGTATTTTTATATGACTGGAGGGGAAGTGTGAAGTTGTATTTGAACTGGATGCAAATTTTTAGCACCATGGACCTTGAAATGTCTGGGGACTTGTTTAAAAGTTATCGACCCCCCAAGACATAATGTAAGCTGACAAGAACCTTCAATGAACACTGCCATGTTATTTTGTCAATACTACCCAGGGATGTAGCTGTCCTACAGGAGTGAGTAAGTGTTTTATGTCGCTTTAAGCAATATTCCAGCAATATCAGGGCAGGGGACACCAGAAATAGGCTCCACACATTGTACCCATGGGCACGAGAACCAGGGCCTTTGGCATCATGTGGAGCGAATGCATGTATCACTAGACAACCCCACCATCCCATGTCCTGAAGGAAATAATGTGGAATTGTTTCTCATCAACTGAGATATGGTTCATATATCTCACAAGCAAGACCCTGTTGGGACCAAGGTGGGACTAGGTCCTCACTACCCAGACTAAATGGTAGACTTGGTCAGGCTCCGCGACGTATCTGAAGATAATTGTGGATGTAAAATTCAATGACAGGTGAAAGAATTTCATGTTAGGTCCCCAGTAGCCTATCCTACGACTTGAATGATAACCTATACCGACAGAATCATGCATATTTTATAACATCAAGAAATGGTTTGTCTGGTCCACACTCTATATAGTTGCAATATTGCTGACTGTGGTGCAAATATATAACAACAAATAATGACAGTTGGAAAGGGAATATTCAGTCTGCACCACCACCTCTATACAGTTCTTTCAATGAATGGGCTCAAACCAAACACCAAGCAGCCCTTTAAAATAAAGCTGCAAAAGCACAGAGTGTTAAACATGTTGAACACATAGAAATACAATAGGGCAACACTCTCATTTATTTACACAAACACATTCACTCAAAACAATCTTACAATGTCGCTAAAGAAAACTGCCTCAGAATGACATATAAATAAGTCATTAATATAAAAATCAGTTCATAGTGAGGAAACAATTGTACTTCATTTACAGCTATGTCAGTTCAGTCAGTCTCCAGTCTTCCTCTAACACTGTCAGCATGCTGGAGTCAAACTGGTGGATATATGGCACCAACATATTTGATCTCAGTTTTTGAGAAATGTTATAAGTAGGTGTACTTTGCTCTAGACACTTATTTAACATCTTTCAAAAGAATACTCTTCTTGACTGTTGGGATTTCTCATGTGTGTTGACATTTATACACGAATGAGGCCACACAAACACATCTTATCAGATTCTGTTGGTGTTTATGACAACATAAATGTTCCAGTGTCCATGGTGACTAATCTGGCACCCTTCAGAGGATCACAATTACATGAATCACACAAATCACCTGAAAAAAACATTGAAAATATCTTAAAATTAACCATGATCATATTCACATCAATATACACTGATATAAACTTGTAAGTTTAAAACAGGATCAAACTCCAAGGGTACTTATTATCTGTGTAAAGATTAAACATTCATAAATCATGTAGTCATACATAAGGCATATTCCGAAAACAGAATGATTGATAATAGGAGTATTTTTATCTAGAAGATAGATAGTATCATGTAAGCAGGGGCGGTTGGGTAGCCTTGTGGTTAAGTGTTTGCTCACAATGCCGAACACCTTGGTTTGATTCCCGACATGGATACAATGTGTGAAGCCCATTTCTGGTGTCCCCAGCCGTGATATTGCTGGAATATTGCTAAAAGTGGCGTAAAAAGCAGTGTATTTATGCTGTATCATGCTCTGGACAGTTAACATTATAACATGAAATAAGGATATACAGATATACATAGTTTTAAATCCTTCTAACCAGCAACCAACACATCAATTCGCAGAAGTTTAGACCACTGGAACATTCACATCTTTTTGGAGGGGTGAAAGGTTGGGTTTGAGACTGTTGTTTGTTTGTTGTTTAACATTTTTAACACCGCACACAGCAATATTCCAGCTCTATGTTGTAAATCGGGTATGGAGCAGACAATCCAGTGATTGACATCATGAACATTGATCTTTGTCATTGGGATACGATGACATGCATCAACCAAGTCGGTGAGTCTGACACTGATCCCTTTTGTTGCCTCTTACGACTAGCATAGTCGCCCCTTAGGACAAGCATGGGTTGCTGAAGACGTATTCTAACCTGGATCTTCACAACTTGTTTGAGACAGTGCCATCTTACCTTTATAATCACTCTTTCTTAAATTCTTCTGTCCGCACAGGTGTCAGACCGGACATTTGTACCTTTTCTATAGGCTTATTTCCTCCAACAGTGACCAACTGCATGTACTTTTGAGCTGTAAGGAGAATATTTAATGACAGATTAACTGTATGGTCACCATGATAGTCAATAATGAATACAGCCAAACTGACATATAGCATAAATAAAAGTATTAATTTTTTTTTAAATTATTTACATTATTAGTCATTTCATTTGACATAAAGACTGATAGAAATAGACTAATAATAGCAAACACTTTTCAATACGTTTTTCATTCATGACCATGCATTATTACCAAATATGTTTCCACATTGAAACTTACAATCTCTCTTTCTACTTACTACTTGTCAGGTTATCCCATTCTGGCGTTTCATCTTTCTTTTTCGACTTGTACACTTTATATACGACAATGCCTAACACGTTCCAAGCTGCAAGGAAATACAATGCGCTTTTCCAGTGTATTCGGCTAACTTTTGACGGATCGCCATATCTGTACCGTCTCATTTTTAGCAAAAACACAGACACGTGGTAAATATGTCAACAAGCTGGAGGAAAACCGGAAGAAGACCGTAATTGTAAGAACACATTTCATTGGTCTGGATTTCCATTCCGGTCTTCAAAGGTGAAGGTCATTTAAAATATATCGCGGGAACATGTCTGTCTACTTGAACACATCATCCGTTCCAGGGGTTGTGGAACAATCCTGTCATTTGATGCCTTTTGACATTGAACATGATGGAAGTGCAAATGTATCTTCATACTTTAAGACGTCAATTAGGGAAGAACAAGAAGGTGATGTCCCAATTAGTGGTCATAGTCCAGAGAGCTCAGTGTGGCTCATACAATGATTGAACCAGTAATGATTCAGGGACACTCACAGTAGAGCTGGCAAAAAAGATCGATAATCGGAATTATCATCGATGGAAAGAAATATTAACGATTATCGAAATGAAAATTAAATTGTGTCATCGATAATATCTTACATAGATCTATACTATTGTGATCAAATAAAGTTTAGATTTACCAAAACAGATATGTTATTGTCAGTAATGTTAGAACGAAAGTAACTGTTTTTGTAATATCATATAAATGTCCACTAGATCTAAGTAATCCCTGAATAAATGTGTCACCAGTGGAGTGAAATATGTAAATTTCTTTAAGATTTTTTTTTTCGTATTTGCTCAAAGATACAGCTCATTTATTTATCAATAATATTGATTGATATTTAGTTAACGATTATCAATCTCCATGATATGTAGCCAGCCCCAACTCAGACAGTGTGTACATGAGCAACTGATAACCAAATACAGCAATTCGTAGCTAGATCAGTAACCTATACAGAAACATGTTTCATACCTCATGTATACTACATGTGAGCATCTTGTGGGCGTTGTTGAATGAAATCAAATCAAGAATTATGCCTAGTTAGTAATTACACTTTGCAAACATATTTGGTGTCCAGTGACCATGGTGATATTTGGATATCGATATTCTTCTTATCATCATTATCATACTTTAGTGCTGGGAATCGTCCAAATTTACTACCTGGGTACCCGATACCCTTTTACCTGGCCCAACCCCTGCACCCGCTATAGTTGGGTACAAGATGTCCATATGGGAATTGTTTTACCCAAGTCCTGGCAAAAACTATTTACATACACATGAGCTATACTTGTAGTGTAACCATGAAGTTTTATTGTTAATGTCATTAAACACTATCACATGTAAGGATAAGAATTTATGGATGAGCAACTTCTTTATTACAATTAAGAGCGACGTTTCAGTATCACATAACTAACCACTGGTCCGGGTCCTACTCAGGACCCACCTGACCAGAGTTACCCATCCAAGCCTTATCATACTTATACTTATGTTTCCAGCCCTGACAGCATCCTTTCGAGGTAGACTATTAAATGGACAGGAGATCACTTTACCAAGCGGATATACAGGTATTGTTGATAATGGTGATTGCATACATTGATTAGTTACAGTGGGTGAGCTGGTTTAAAGGGACAGTATGTGGCTTCAAGTATGTCAACGGTTTTATGTTTTTTTTAGATCATGCATGAAATAATCTTGTCTGATGTTACATGCACGATTCAATTCTCAAACCAAAAGGATAGAGCTCTGTGCAGATAAAACTGGCTTTAGTCATGTTTTTATTATATTTGCAAATTGAAGAGAAAGTTTGTTTGTGGACGATACACCAACTGTGCAATCCAATACGTATCATAATACCTTGCTCACGATCCAATACGTTACATGATACTTGCATGTGCTCTTATCTGTTGTGCGTGAGCCATCTTTTTCATAGACAGAATACCTGTGAAGATTCGGGGTAGAATAGGTCTTCAGCAACCCATGCTTGCCGTAAAAGACGACTATGCTTGTCGTAAGAGGCAACTAACAGGATCGGGTGGTCAGGCTCACTGACTTTTTTTGATGCATGTCATTATCTCATGATGTCAATCACTGGATTGCCTGGTCCAGACTCGATTATTTACAGACTGCCGTCATATAGCTGGAATATTGCTGAGTGCGGCATTAAACAACAAACAAACAAACTAAAGGGCCAAGCCTCAAGGAATCCAAGACCCCCTTATTTATGAACACTGATTATATGATTATCATACTGAGGTCATCAGTACCAAGTGAAAGTAAATCTGATTGTTGATGGAATACGACTCTTTTAGCATGTTTAGTGTATCATGTGACACATATTCATTTTGTTTGGTCTCAATATTGTATCGCCAAAAAAAGTGGTTGATCATTATACCTCTTTGTTTTGCAGGAGACGTAACTAAATGACTCACACAACATGTAAAGTTGTACATAGAGAAATGGTGGTGTTTCAGGTATTGTGGTGAAGGAGAACAGGAAGCCAGTGACAGAAGATGAGGACCGAGACCTCAACATCACACACCGGTTCCAGAAGATGACATATTGGAACTTAGACAAGCTGCCAAGTGCTGATGACCGCTTTGCTCAAGCAATGCAGTGGGCCGACATAGCGAAAGCAGTAAGCATATAATGTACACAGGGAGAACTGAGGAATCATCAATGCAATCACTCTTAAATGTGTCACAGTAAACATTGTAAGGCTAAAGAAATCTTAAAATACCTTGTTCTTTGGGAACTTGTTTTTAAGATTTTGTGTGAGTAGACTGTTTTATTGTATATCATTTTTTAAAACTGAAATGGTGATTAACTGAGGTATCAGAATCTTTTTCTAATTTTGTCCCTTTTTTTCAGTGTTCATGTGAGGGAGTTAAAATGCCAAATAACAAAGCCCATTTATTGTCAGTGATTGGACCGAAAGATGGTCATGGCTACCAGAGAAATACTATTGCCTTGGAAAATGATTGACTCTTATAGTTGTCACACAGAAACTATCCTAATGAAATATGACTTCCATATCGAGGTCCATGAGAAATGGACATTTGTTAACTGGTTGGAGTCGTCATGGAGTTATCTAGGTGTTCTCAAAGTGGGAAATTTGTGCCCATGTCTGCTGCAAATGGCAGTACAAGTTTCCAGTTTAGAATTAATATTGTCCCAACTCAGTAACTAATCTGTAATTTAATGTAATGTTAACGCCTAGCAAGGTTGACTTGTATGAAACTAATAACAGGACCAAAATTAAAAGGTAGTAGTGTATCATTATGTGGAATGCAAAGTATCTTTGATTTGAAAAAAGTGAGAGAGAAAAAATCTACATTTTCACGATTTTAGACCAAAGCATAGTTAAGAATCCAAGATAGATATCTGTTCATATTCACTGGCTTAACATGAATTTAGCAACTTGTAGGTACCTTAATTTCACATTAGTTCCCTAGAAATAAAGTAAGCTTCTTGCTCCATCATTGTCAATAGGAAAAGATGAAGCTAGGGGACTGTCATGTGTTGTATCATGTTATTTCTGCTGCAGCTTCACCGTCCTGTGGATGAAGAGAGCAGTCAGAAGAGCGTGACTGGGAAATAGTACTGGCAGTCCTGAGTGATACACAGCAACACTGGACATTAAGACTACAAAGTTGCATGGATGGTGTGCTGATTGTAATCATATTTTTCATGAATGTCGAGTGTGTATCAATGATATTATATTTCAAAGGCGAGACATACTATTTGGGTTATGACTGTCGGCATAATCAGATTGGATTGTATGTTTAAAGTACCAGTTCTGAGTTAATTACAACCGGGAGGCATGAGCAAGACTGGAACAAGACTACTTAATCTATTACTCTTTCAACCTTTCACTGGTTGTGGACAGCTGACCACGTTCAACCCTGCAATAGGTTTATATCACTGCAGTGGCTCCAAAGACTTCCCTGGTCAGCTGTATGTCACATGTATCAGGAACATAATGTATATATCAACATGTGGGTGCCTTGTACAGTGTGTTGGTTTAGGTTCGAGCAGTTGAATATGTCATACAAATATGATGGATGCATTCATCTACAGACAATAAAGCCAACAAGGTCAATGCAGTCAATATTCTTTGTTTTTATTGAGCTAAGTATGATTACATTTACTTACAAATTTACACATGAAATATGCATAGTTTATGAAAGTAACAAAAGTTGAGGTTTTCCACAGTTATTCCATTCAAGGGGAAATTCTGAAAATATGACATTGGATGTCACAGGATACACATTTCAAAATCATAAATAATGTAGAAAACATATAGAATCAATGAATATTATTAAATAAATTATATCCCTTTTGTGACAGAATGTTTACCATTGTTGAAATCTACCCATTCCAGCTGACCCATGTCTATTGTCATGTCAGCTCACTAAGTTTTCTCAAATATTGAACCAACTGGAAAGTTCAAGAATATTATTCTTTTCTTCCCATTTTAACAAATTCTAGAAAAAAAAGAACCTCAGTATTGATTTGGAGATAAGAAGACCTCAAAGCAGCACTTTTCTTTATTTAATTTGTTTTTAATTCACTCTACCACTATGCTTTTATCAGTTAGTTCAGAAATAATCTATTAACCAAGTAACTAAAAAGTCTTCATATTTGAAACTCTTGTGGTAAATGCATGAATACAAATAATTCAAGATAAAGGACATATGAAAATGTGTCCCTCCTGAACACAAATTCAAGACCAAACCATTGTCCTAGTCCAGCTATCAGTAGAAATAATCCACTCCATAAGAATAAGACAAATCTAACCTCACAACCAAAAATAGCCCCCAGTTTTGAAATGAAACTTCTCATATGACATAATCTGAAAACATAGTACAGACAACTGAATGCTCCAAAAAGTTCCTTGCTGTTGAAGGAAAAAGAATAATAAAGGTTTGTATAAAGTGGGTCTAACCTTCAGGAACACTATAATGAAAACACCAAAGGCAGTTTAGGACCAAAGTCATCTCTGAAACTGAATGATAAATCACAGAGTTGACATACTGAACACATGACTACTACATGTAATTTGGAGTGTTCAAAATTAAGCATGCAAAGCAAGGGTCCTTGTCATAACCCTTACATTAAACTTTAGGGGACCCTAGAATTAAATATAGGAATACCTCAAGGACCCAGGACTCCCCTTTATTTTGAACACGGCACACCTATTCTAATAATCACACAATATAAACTGCTTGGTGGAAAATATCTGGTGAACGCATATAAAATTATTCTAAAATAGATTTCTGTTGTTGAAAAACATTACTATGTACAATTGAAACACTAGTCCAATTACACTTTTCATACATCAACAAAACAAATTTTTTATGAATACAAACAGGGCTCTCTTTACCTTGCAGCAAAAAGATTACACTCTAAATATGACAGTGAAATGCCAACATTAGTGAAATAATTGCAAATAACACTTGTTAAAACATTAAGTCAAGTTGATCAACAACATCACCATTACGTCAATGGGATGATAGGACCCACGGTCACATGGCTGCGAGTTGGGGATAATTTACTTAGGAATATTAATGTTTTCTGGTGATGTAAGATATTTAACAGAATATTTGGTTAATCTTGTGAAATAACTTGTTTTGCTGACCACTCAATGAGATTAAGATCATGTGAATATTAGTCAAATAGCCTCTATATCCCTTTCACGACCAATCTGGGATTGTACTCTTTGTTTTTGCAGAGCTTGAAATGCTGGCTGTTTCGTTTACAATTTATAGTCGAGGACTAAACAACCGCGTACCGTCTTTTGCCCTAGACTCGCTGCACATATTTAGTTAAATATGAGGAATTAGTAACAATATTGTGCAATACCAGGGACTTTATATACAGAATGCCCTGATTTTACTCACTGAATACTGCTGACTTTATATTTCCGTGTACTGAACCTGCAATCTTTGTATCTGTAGCTGTGAGTGAACCACAAGGCGACAGAGACACTTATAAATCTCAATGCTTTTAAGAATCTCTTTTTCAAGTACATGTAGGCCAGCAAGCTATATTTTATGCACGTTTCCTAAGGTTCATTCATCAAAAGTATGTTTAAAACATCAAATTGTTGATAAATGTTGTCTCAGATTTTTCTTTCGGTTTATAAGTAAGACAAAACACTTGCCCTCAGGATGTTTTAAATGTCACAATTTTATCCTACACATAAAAAGAACTATTGACCTACTTAATAAGAGTCTCCGTGTGATAGCAGGGTTTTACCTTGACTTACAAAAGTAAGTACTTATTACTCCCCATTAAGTAATTTAAAGGGTCCTTGCAGGATTTTGTAAAGTTATGAATGGTGTAGTGTATTGTACGTTTTGATAATACCCTCAAAAGCCAAACTTGTAAATACAAACTGGTATCTGTTGCTCCAAGGATATATATATATGGATTTGCTGTAGTTCATATGACCTCTGGAAAATGTCAGTCTCAGACTTGGGTGCTGGTTATAATTTGACCAGGGCTCATACATTTGTTACACATTCAACACTTTCTGTTATTACCTAATCTTGTTTATCAATGCCGCACATTACCATGTAATTTGCAACTGAAACATGTTACACAATTCCATTTTGGATTTTGATTATCAGTGACCTCATATTAAGGTGTTGCATATCACTTACAAGTTTCTAGCACAGCAGTTTACAATAGTAACTCGGTTTAGCTTGAGAACTATCAAGCAATTCATCCCTGAAGTGTTGAGTTGCATTATGTGGTCAGTAGAGACGGTCACCATCGTCAGTGTCTGTCTATAGATGCCATGTCAGTCTACAAACAGCTGATGGCACCAATGCTGGTATGCCATCTATCACAGATGCATTCTACTTAAGAAACACAGTTGACACTATAAACAGCCGTCATCATGCCTGCTCCCCCTGCTGCATCGACATCTCCATCGCTCTCTTCAACATGGCTTCTTCACTCAGATCATCTGAAACACAGAGTGGATTTGGAAATGGTAATCTCATCCTACTGGGTACCCACCCACAAAGTCACGTGCCGAAGAACACCGCATGTCCTACATGTGTTTCAGTGTTGAGTAGGACCGATACCCTAGAACCTCTCAGGCAGCCCAACTGTTTAATGTGGTCTTGCATGCAACTACTCCCTGCGACCAATGTTGCTTAACTTCACCTAATTTGTGACCTGTGTGCTATGCACAGGACCATGTGCAACCAGATATACCATTATCTTCATTAACTCCAAGTCATTGGGAACATGGGCATATATAGAGTTACACATGTCAGTAGTTTGAGTGTGGAAGCCATTGTCATGAATATTCCAGCAATGTCACAGCGGTGTGTAAATGAAGTTTAGGCAAGGAAAAGCAGTGGTTGATAGACAGAGCAACAATCCATGCCACACAGCCAGGTCACAGTCTGACCATCAACTCAAAAGACATGTTAAACATATCCCTTAGACAGGGCTAGAAATTAATTTCATGTTCACAAGTCTGCACAAATAATCTGCTATAGAATTGCCATTTTGTTTACCAGACGGGTAAAAGTGATTGCCACAAGTCCTTCCAGAATTTTAGTCTGGGACTAGCATACTTCATTTTTCAAACCCTCTTTGGTGTGTGAAAAATTCTAAATAATTTGTTTCCACATTAGCATTATACTGCCAGGACACACTAGGTGTATTCCCTTGATGGATAGATGACTCACCCTCGCTAGCTGGTGTAGTTTCTGTTTGGTTCGGTGTGGACGGAGTATTATCAACCTTGCTGAGAAATGCCAACCTCTTCTGCCTCAACTCTTCCTGAGTGGGAGTGGGGGCACCTGCTGTACTTGTGCCAGGCTGTTCACTCAACAGTCTCGGGCCCACACTCACCTCATCATCCACTATATAACCTGATGAAACAATTAATGTCTTATTACACAATTTGCCATGAGAAATAAATCTTGCAGGAAATCGAACTATTGGCTTCCCCTGCTTCCTACTCACAAAGACATGTCTACAAGAGACTGGGGGGTCAGTGGTTGATAGAGTGGGGGATGCTTTGTGCCACAGTTTACTATTTTCCAGCTAATGCATGACAGCGTCAAAAGAATAAAACTTGTGCCAGGCTATTTTTAATCCACAGGGTTCAAATAAATGAGTGAGTGGGCATGATTTTACATGATTTTAGCATTAGTCCAGCAAATATTAGTATCTCTGCAGGGGAATTATCACAAACCTAATGCCTCATTTACCTATAGTATAGTAGGTATCTTGCTATCTCATCACCTCATGAGGTACTTCTTTCAAGTGAGACCTGCTTTGAGATTTTACATTTGAATTGTACAAACAGCCTTTTAATATACATCTAATGTTGATTTTTGACAGGTTAAAAGTCGCAATGTTTTTCACCTGAAACCTTTTCGAACCTGCAACCTCGCATATCATGTTTTGCATTGTAACCGACTGTTTTCCCACTGAGCCACCTTGGCAGGTGTGAAAGCGTGTTCAAGCTTACATGTCATGACTTCAGTTGTCTACATGCTGCACACAATCTTTCTCTTGCCTGCTGTCATCAAATTCATTTAACACCTTGTGTACAGTATTATATCACTATAAGGTATCCCAATGTTTTCTTATTCTTTCTGGTATTTCTTTTGTTATGACGGTTTATAAGTACAAGGATTTTCACAAGCTCAAGGTTTTACATTTTCAACCAAAACTAAGGAATGTTTTAACTATAACATAAAGGGATTTAAACCTGAGTCATAACCATGATAAGTCTACTTCGTACTTTGCCCCTCATTAAATAATGATGGAGGACAGCATTTTAAAAATATATTCAGAACTATTCCAATACCCTGCATGCTCATCTTTAAAGCCTGTTGTAACATCGTGTCATCATTCTCGACTAGTCTGCGACTCTCCTCAATGGCACGCTGCAGTTCCATGTCCCCATCCCCTGATTGGTCAGAGGTTTCAGCTGCCTCGTTTATAAGGGTAGGTTTGATTGGCTGAACTGCAGGGATCATTTTTAAGAGCTGATCTGCCTCGCTGTTTGGTAGTTTGCCTACTATGATGTATATAGCATAGCCTGAAGAAAAAAGCAAATAAAACCACTGACATAATTATAAATCATGTTATTATAAGAGTGAGTGAGTTCTGTAAACAATGCTTTGAACAATATTCCAGTTATATCAGAGCATGTCAGCCAAAATTTGCTAGGAAAGCCCAAAGTGATTCAGGTCTTCAAAGTTTACCACTTTGGTGAAACCCATGAGAATAGGTATGGTGCTGACAAACCTAGAAACATAATCTGGATGAACCAGGATTTGAACCCACGAGGGAGAGGTTTCTGGTTTGCGCAAGGGATGCAACTCTGTACAGCAAATTGTGGTGCCTTAGACAAATGGACAACCATTGGTTAATAAAGGAAAATAATGGAGCACCAATTGTTGGTGAATTATATTTAATAGGTGATAGTACATAAATTCAATTTGGATCAATAATAAAAGTGTTCAAACAAATAAAACCTTCTTATGCAATGTTACATTTAATAAGTTCAACTTTTCAGTTTTTCATTCTCTTAAATTATTTTTCCTATATGTCATGTTTAACATTTCAAAACATATAGTATTAGGTCAAATGGAATTAGAAACCGTACTTAACATGCTTAAATGTCAGTTCGTCTTTTGCAAATTCCTCATCCGTATATATTGTATGTACAGGACATGTGATCAACCAGCTGTTATAATGTTTAAGAAAGCCCAAACTGATGCAGGTTTTAGACATTAATCACTTTGGTGAAACCCATGAACACTTGTATGGTCCTGGAAAACCTAGAAACATAATCAGGGTGAACCTGGGATTCGAAACCCATCAGAGCTTTGTTTTTTGCACACATGAAGAACAGCGAATCATGGCGCCTCCGACGACTGGGCCACATGTGCAACCCGAGTATCAAGGATGTTTTACTGAAGGTGAGACGAGATGAAATGGGGTTTAACGTCGCGTTCAAGAATACATCAACTTATATAGTGATGTGCATGTGGATTCTTGTACCAGTCCTGACTTATGCCGGTTTTTCAGTGCTAACCCACTGAGATACCATGCCACATTTGTTTTTAACTTGAACACCCTAATCACACAGTCTACTAACACCAAGCCAACCAGTCTTTGTTTTATCCCCTTAATGCCCAGCACCAGGCAGGGAGACAACAAGTACCATCTTTTTTATGTCTTTTGGTATGATGCAGCCGGGTATTGAACCTACGACATTCCGCTCTCCGATCAGACGCTCTATCCACTAGATTTGCTTTAAGGCTCAGATTAACACATTTTAACTAAATAAAAAGCTACCCACCCTCCTGCTGCAGCTGTGTAAGAAAGAGTGAGAGGTATGTGTCTGAAATGAGCTCTGGCCCTGTGAGGAGGGAGTTGAGATTGAACCACTGGTGACCCAGTTTCCGGACACTGAACCAGTGTTGCTTGAAGTTACATATGTAGGCTTCTTCATGGCTGAAAATAATACAACAGTACATTGGATAAAAAATACCACATTACAGTAAAACCTACTGACACACACTTCAGTGAGAACAAATTGTAGTTTGACTGTTATTCTATGAAAAGGTTTTTGGTCCCAATTGCAGGGATCGATGCTCATGATGTCAATCAATGGATTGTCTGGTCCAGACTCGATTATTAACAGATCACCATCCTATAGCTGGAATATTGCTGAGTGCGGCATTGAACAACAAACAAACAAATTATTGAGCAAACATTAGTCATGGAAACTCTTATCATCTGCACATTCTACATCACATATTCAGTTTATCATCCCAGTGAATCCATTAATCTGAACAGTTTTCAGTGAAGAAACCATCATTAACATAGGTCCAGATTAATGAAATGGTATTTTTTAGTAACATGAGAGAAGTACCTTAAATTCAATTGATGGATTTCTTTGTTATTCACATTTTACTTCATCTGACTGTTAGGCGGAGTCAACTGTATGCATATTGCTTAACCAGCGTTAGAAATTGGCACTAGTACTGTAGTCCTTGCCAAACTGCCCAATAGTTAAGGTATCATAAGGACTAGTAGAAATTTGAAACTTTTAAGGGTTTTGCTATATGTTATCATTATAAGGACTAGTGGACTAAAAATGTTAGTTTCTACATCTGGCTTTAACACTTCTTAACATTACACAGGATATCTTGCTGAAACCAATACTTTGGAATCTAAGCAACTATACATTTAGTTTATACATACTGTTTGAAACAAAGGAACAGTTTTTTCAGCTGTTGTATTAAGCTATGTATGTTTGTATGTTTCCTGTTCATGCTCACATTGGCTCTCTGCGAGCTTGTATTGCGATGCCATCTTGGCTGTTATAGGGCACCAAGTCAAGTCCCCATACACGTAAGGCCTCTTGGATTACTTGGATAGAGAAGAAACCACTGTCATCAAAATTGGTTGATGGTTGCTGGAATTGTCAAAAATATTTCACTGAACAGGTTGAAGACGGAATCAGTTTTGTATATCCATCATAATTATTCAATGTACAAAATGCATAATAATGAATGAAAAGAACATTCAAACATTGATGGAAATAAAACATTTGCAATTTGAAATCATGTATATGAGCATTGAGAAACTTAATGTATTTTTATTAGGATGAAAAATGGACAAAGAACATCAGATTCTGTTTGACATCGTTTAACAAGGATCTAAGTTAAACGATGCAGACTCACTGTGAGGTTAGGTGAACTAGTAAGTTCCTAGATATATTTTTTACATTTGTTTACTTATCCTGCATTACTCATAATTGCATTACTACTTGTTCTTGACAGAGAAAAGAGCTGTGTGAAGATCTTTGCTGTTCCAACTAGCTGAGAGGCCAACCCTCTCACACAGCTCCCATGTGACCAGGGGAAGTGACGTCACGGATCCTCACATTACTCTGGAGTCCGGAACATCAGAAGGAATCGTGGGGAGTCAGCTCTGCGACTGGTGGGTCTCTTTGGACGCAGTAATGCAGTATAAGTATACAAATATAAAAAATGTCTAGGGTTTTAATTTATTTTTTACTTTTCCTGCATTACTCCTTAATGCATCTTTATCCGACGGAATGGGTGGAAGGCATACCTTCAGATGTGGACTTTCATTTCAGCTGTGTCGTCAGCAGCAAATGACCAATCTGTAGATGGGTACCAAGAGTCAGGTAAGCGGGATGCCCAGGTACAACCCAGCCATAGACAATAACCTTACTCAAGTTAAAGTTGTAGACTGACTTAACGAGCCGCATGCAAGGGGCATGAACCTTCTACTCAAGGGCACTTAAGCCAGCGGAGGTCGAGAGGCCGGCTCTGGATATGGTGGCGAGGTCAATGGCATCGAGTAGTGATAACCTGTAGGGGCACTACTAACAGACAAAAATTGTGCATGCCTTGCACATCCTCCAAAGCGACATCTACCAGGTAGTTACTGGTGAAGACTGTGTTCGATTGCCAGAAACACCCCATTATGGCACATAGGGAGCAGTTACTGTGTAGCGCCATGATGGAGGCAACTGCATGGATCTCATGCGGGTTGTTAGAGCTTGGGGGATCCAATCCCGCGGCTTCAGTGGCCTAGAGAATGATGGCTCGCAGCCAGGCGATCGTGTTGCAGCTCACTTCCGCTGGTGAGGTCGCAGATACCAGTACGAAGAGGCGGTGTCGTTGTTTGCGACTGGGCACAGGAGGAGCTCTTGTTCGTCTTCTGCACCATCAATTGATGATAGGGGAGGGATGACGAACGATTTATTTGGCTGTCCTAGGAGCTGGTTCTTGGCAATGAAGTCCCAGCACAGTCTGAGATGAACGGCTCCGTGCGATCCATGCTCAAAGCAGTCATGCGCCATGTCCAGGGCGTGTAGCTCACTTTTTCATCAGATGGTAGAACACCTTCGTGTCAAGGGGCTCGAAGAGCACGTCTCTCAGCAGGATGAGAATGACGTTCAGATCCCAAGCTAGTGAACAGAATTTCGCCTTCTGGTCTAATAGCCTGAATGAGCCGAGCAGAGCCTGTAGTTCCAAGATTTTCGTCATGCGCCGATCTTCCGGAACTCCCAGGATGGAGTTGAGTGCCACAAGGTAGTCGTTATGGTACTACCTTTGAGTCTACGCTTGTGGCGAAATTAGGGCAGGAACTCAGCCAGGAATTGAGGCGATGCAGTAGTGGGGTCTTGTTGTTTTTCCCTGCAAAAGCTCTCAAAGGGTAGCCACTTGTCGTCATATAGACTTCCGGTGGTTGGGTGATGAGCCATTGTGATGGCCTTCGCTGCTCTGGCCAAGTAACCTTTAGCGTTCAGTGCTCTTTGTAGATGGACCAGACATGAAGACATAACCTGTCTGGTCCTGTCTGGTTCCAAATGGGAGGACCGCCCATTGGTAATGGACTCCGATGAAGATAAAGCGGGGGAATTTCCAGTCATCGGGATGGATTGGGACATGGAAATATGGTCATCGAGGTCCCGGCTCATAAGCACATTGTGTGCCTGGATCGGTGATCGCAGCAGCCTGATTGTGGTCATCATGAATTAACGTGGGAACGCCAGGTTGAAAGCGGGGAGGTTTTGTATCATCCTGTGTCTGTCCGAGTCGTTCTACGGGACAAGGAAGATGGTTGAGTAGAAGCCTGGTGCTAAGACTGGGGTGGAGGTCCCAGTCGTGTGTGTCTGGTGATTCACTTAGAGTCATTGCGGTCACCACCACCGCCCTTGGAGTGGCCGTGGCAGGATAAGTACGAGCCCGAGGACTTTCCTTTGCCTCTGCCTCTACCCCCAAAAATTAAGGCGGAGCTCTGCCCCGGGGCTGGAGAGTGTTGCGTCATGGCTGGTAGGAGGCTGGCTGTGATACCATAGCCAGGGCCTTGAGGGCAGTGTCGTCCTGGGTGAAGGCTGAAACTCAGGGGGGAGACCTGTCCATTAAAAAGGTCAGAAGTAGACCAGGGTTGACGAAGCAGGTCCCTCTTGAATTCTGGGTCCCAGTCAGGCAGAGCAAGGTTGCCTTGGCGCCGCGTGGTAGTGAGTTCTATCAGAGGGGCTCGCATATGGGAACGCATATGCTCGACCTGCCGTTGAAGGTAGGATAAGATGGTGGTAAGGTGGTGGTAAGGTGGTGGTAAGGTGGTCTATCCGGTGTGGATAATCCTCCGACAGTTCCTGGAGAACGGCTGTGGAGGTCGACGAAGTGAGAGTGTCTTGAGAGAGCAAGGAATCTCTGTCTCCACATAAGCTAGTTTGTTGTCGGAAACTTGTACTGAGTTGGGACGGATGGAACTGGTCATACAATGGAGAGCCTCAGACAATTGAGACACTCATGAGCGCGGTCCGCAACCTGGAGAGAGAGCGGATCGGAAAATCGCTCCGTCTGTTGCCCAGAGCTCTATAGGATGGAGTCAAGGATGGAGTCAAGGGCCGAGATCATATCCTTGATCAAAGGATCCGGTGGGAGTGATGTAGGGTCTGATCTTAAATTGATCTCTATTCCAGGGGACGGAGCGACTGCCTCATGTCTGTCTGCCAACCAGGCTGCTACCTGGTCTAGCCCAAGATGGGACTTGCCGTCAGTGGGAGTGTCATCATAGCATGGGACAAAGTCACCCTCCGAAGAGTCCGAGGTGTATCTGCTGGAGCGTCTAAGGAGGAGAGCGGCTCCTAGATTGGTGAGTCCGGCGAGACGAGCGACTGTCACTCCAACAAGAGGATGTACTGGGCAAAGCAGAGTCCAAGGAGTAACAGGAGGTAGACGATAGATCGACGACCAGTAGCAGAGAGGGTGTCTGTATAGGTGTCCGACAAGGCTTGCCTCAGAGAGGCGCTACAGTCAGAGGCGCTGGAGGTGGTACGGGCATCTGTATAGGCACTGCCGCACTAACTAATGGTTAGGCACCATCTGCATGCGCTTTGAGAGATGCATGTATAGGTGCTTGGGCCGAGGCTGAGGCAGAAGGTGTTGGCGTCTGTTGCATGGCCCGCAAGTACTGGAGGAGAGAGGTGTCCATCATAGGCGACTGGGATGTAGGTGGGGGCCACTGTTGGAAGCCATAGACCAAGGGCGTCTGTCCGGTGGACTGAAAAGGCACCATCAGGAAGGAGAGTTCCACGCGGAGCATCATGGTGGTGGTCACCGCCGTGAAGATAGATGTTGTGGTCATCAGGGTCCTCTGGGAAGAGACTGAGACCGAGGGGTCCGACATCATGGCAACAGTGGAGGCTGGCGAGTTTTTCCGAGGTAGCCGACGAAGCAGCCCTCTTAGTAGGCAAAGTCTTGGAAGTGACGGACATCTTATGCCGGAATTTCCTTGCCTGCTGCGATCTCCGCTTTTAGGACACACTGATGTATTGCCGGAAAGCTGTGGGGGAAAGCGAGAGACTTTCTTTTCATGGAGAAGCCTGGAGGCATGGAGATATACAATTAAGGAACAAAGGGTGGGGATCCCATGCTGACTTATTACGCCGGCTCTTGGAACAGGATGGCATGTTATCTGCAATGAAGCAGTGAAAAATCACAATGCATCCCCGCCCGATTATGTATGCTGTTATTTGTTTTCACACTATGTGGGTTTATGAAACAAATATTACAAAAAACGTAAGACAACATACAATGACAAAACAGTATATTTGCAAAGGTACGGCAATTATGTGGTACCAGACAAGAAGAATATAGCACGTAAGCCAGTTTATAACCACGTGTCCATGTAAAATATCCAAGATGGCTACTTGAAACAACAGGACAACTTGGATTACCGTTGTTTTCTTTTTTTAGAAAACGCCAGCAGGTGTCAAACACATGCACATGTTAATAACATAGAATGTACAAAGATACAAACCATATGCACAACACAGGCACAAAGAACATTAACTCATGAAGCAAAAACGTGAGGGTTTGAACAAGTTTATGCTACAGATCAAAAACAGGTCTTCACTCAGCAAGTGACAAGAGTAACGTGCTGATCTGTGACATCACTTCCCCTGGTCACGTGGGAGCTGTGTGATAGGGTTGGCCTCTCAGCTAGTTGGAACAACTTCTTCAAGCAAATATCTTCACATAGCTCTTTTCTATGAGAGCAGTAATAAGCATTAAGGAGCAAAGCAGGATAAGTAAAAAATACAGGGTTTAACATCCCATTCATGATTATTGCACTTGTATAATGTGCATGCATATGTGTGTGTTTGCGTTCATCCGCTTGTACTAGTCTAGAGCATTGCCTGTTTTATCGTGCTAGCCCACTGAGACGCCACACCACAAACATGAAGACTTGGTGTTTTGGTCAGCACCACAGGTTTGATCAGCCTTGGACACTGTTGTCCATTCACAGTGTTGTAGGCAGAGTGTATAATGTGAACATGATGAAAGGTGTCATGCTGGTTATCGTGATGCACAAGTGCACTTCCAGTTCACACAAACAATAGTTAGGATGCAGAAAATAAGTAAACTGCCCCAACATGGCCAAGGGTATCACAAAACTTAAGAGTAAGATGTGTCTACCTCGAGGAACTGCTGGTACTCCACTGAGTGCAGTCCTCCCTCCGCCATGAAGCTCCTCTCCTTCTCATCAAGGCTCTGAGCTATCTGGGCCAGATCGACAGGGGAAAAGTATTGGCCCTGTAGCAGGCCATTGAGACAATGCTGTGCACATAGTGATCCCTCTTGCTGGAAGGTAAAAGAAAACAAATTTCATTCTCAAACAGCGTTTTCTATTATAGAATTATCATGTTAATGATATCATACAATGACACACCAGATACATGTTATAAGTAAACATGAGACTGCTATCAGTATTTTTACATCCATATAATCATAATCACTGTGGCATGGAAACTATGGAGTCTTGATCTGACAAACCAATGACTGAAAACATAAATTATGCAGTCAGGTTGTATCTCACAATGTGGTGATGGAAATTAACTCTAAAAACAAACAAGCTCACCTGGCTAGTGGGACTTTTTATCTGCTAGCCTTGCAAATAAGAAGACTTTCAATCTTAAAGATTTGAAAAGTTGTGCCAAATGTCAAGTGCTGCAATTTGACAGGGGGAATCGAGAAGACGATATATAACTTACAGCATATGTCAAAGAACTTACAGGCCCTAAGGGCTAGTACAATTCTAATTTTATTAGCCCAAAGTACTTTTTGCTAGCCTTGGGCCTACAGGTGAGCATAAATTTCCATCCCTGCAATAAGTAATCAGGGTACTGGGGTCCTTTTCTGTTATCATAATGGTTTCTAACCTGTGTCTCCACTGGGAACAAATGATGGTGAACATATGTCATGAAAACAGCACCTGTACCCAAAATCAACCCCTGGCAAACATCCACTAACTTTTTAATGGAATACGAACTTACGAACTTACAAACTTATTACGATCTCACATACCATGTATGCATTGTTTCAGTGCAGATGCTAGTTCCCTATTCAAGTAAGTGATTAGCTTAATAAATATATTATCAATACTGGGGGTACACTGCCCCTATAGTTCCAGTGAAACATGAATTAATGCATATTATCTGAGTATCACAGTCATAGTATCACTGCCAGTTACACAGTTAATTAGAAGTTTTAAATAAGATAAAAAAATATGAGGAACTAGGCTTGAGTAAATTGGAAGTCATAGCAAATTTGAGTGAGTCAACTTTACTTGTGTGCTGAAACCCCTGAAGACATTTTTCATGCAGATCAATCTAGCTACATGATGACCCAAACTACAAAGAGACAATGTCTTGTTTCACACGTGGCGTTAACTGCAACATCTAGAACTAGCCTCGGGAAGAATTGCACTTTATTGGGCACACTCTTTTGGATTTCGATTTTTGACACGTAGAGGATCCAACTCGCTTTGCAAGCTTGAAGCTAAGCTAATGAGTTATTCTAATTAGCCAAGACTTTATTGAGGGAACATGGGTGCTATAAAAAAATATAATTGCACATTTACCAAGTGAACTGCATTCGAGTGTTTACCTCTAAGCACAGTAGCCATTTTCCTCAAATTACATTGGATTAATTCGTTCAAAGAGATAGCAAACCCATACCCAAATTCAGAACTAACCCTAGGGATTGTAAAGGAGTGCCCTCCGCTAAGAATAGTAACGTAATGTTAGATTGGTGAAGGGATGTTTTGAATGGAAAGATGTACCTAAGATTGAAACGATCCTTGATCGGAAAGTGGATGTGGGTAAGGGATAGACATGGGGGTAACTGACCTAAACCTGCAGGAATCGAAAAGGCATGAGACATCTTTGAGCATAGTGAAGCAATAGCGGCAGCCTGAGGCAATTGGCACTTCCACATATGCTGCAACTGTTGCCCAGACACGAAATTGGTTGCAAATCTACTCTTATAATTGCTTGGCTTCAACACAACTACCTTACATTCAATGAACACGATATTTGACAAAAAGAAAGATATTTCCTTTGTCATGTTCAAAGTATTCAGTGCCATCGTGATTCATTATTTTCATGCTTTTTGGACATTAGCGTTTTAGTTTCGTACATTCAGTCCCAGTTTACTGGACCGGAAGCTCAAATGTCGTTAGGCAGGCTTTTAGTACTTTATAATGTTCAATCAATTTAGGCTTACCTTGCTTAAAAGTAAACACAAACTATTAAAAATAAAATATCATGACACATGCCAGTTCCGGATGTCATTTAAACTGTGTTTGAAAACATCCAGTAAACATTCAATGGACTTCCAACAACTAGAATATACCAAGCCATGAAAAATAGAATTATAACTTCACACAAAATTACACTCGACAATACACACCTTCTCGTGAAAAATAGCATCCATGACTGTCAACAAAAAATACCGGAAGCGGAAAAACTATAATAATCTGGGACAGTCTATTTGTTTGTCCTCCTTAACCAGGATATTCCAAACTAATCTTTAGCCAGTTTAGGTCTACTCTTTCAGTATAGACGATACTTTAACAAAACGTTATGCTTATTTATACGCAATAGTGGACCATCATAGTATAGCTACAAATAATTGCTCAATTTGCTCAGAAGACAATATTACACATGCACTTGATAATTCGCAACCTTTATTGGACCCCGTAACCGAAGGGACATAACTCCTCAATATTTTCGATAACTCCGCACGTGGGTGAATGACATTTATTGCCATCAGTGAGTGTGGACCAGAAACCACAGCCTCTGAACGTCATGAAAAGAAAACATCAAGATTTAAAACCTAACCCAGGTCACAAGAGCCCTCACCAAAGTGGATCATACATAAGTGATCCAAAGCTTACCCCAAGAATAAAACAGGTGGGAGTGTAGCGCAGGTCACATCCTACACTACAGACCTAAACAATTGTAGGCCTAAACAATATGTAATGTATGATACCGTTGTTTATATTACTGGCTGCATCCTTTGTTTATGTCACTGACTTCACCGATGATTGTCATCACTACCCTTGTGTATACACAACAGGCTTCTCTACTCCAGTATAACAATATCTACTCCAATGTATAAACATTGCCTCCTACTTGTATATATATACTTGCCAACCACACTTTGTATATCATTTGCTTGATAACGGTGTTAGAACCTACACCAAAACGTCGCTCTTAATTGTAATAAAGAAGTTGTTCATCCATAAGTTCTTATCTTTACTTAGTACTCCAACTTCTAAATGCCTATGAAATAAGTAATATGTTATTTTTAACCATTAAATAATTTCACTACTACTCAATCAGATATTTATGTACCAGTAGAGTTTCTATTACCAGTAAGACAGATTTTTGTAACTATATTCAGCCATTTATTACTTGGTACAACATCTTCAAGTTCTGTGTGGTTTTAAATCATCCATGAAATAATTACCCGATTCACACCAAAACAATACAGCTCCGCACAGCAAAGTCGACAACGCAAGAGCTGTGCATATTAAACTGCCTTCAGTAATGTTTTTTTAGACGTAAAATGAGTTAAAAACTTGTGTGTTTTTCTTACCAATGAGTTACAAAATACTATAATTACCAGCTTGATTAGATTAGAAGCCAGTCATATTGTGCAATTCGCTTAACCCTTTCTTTGAACTTGAACGGTTATGTATGTGTATAGGTGTTTTGTCAAACGAGAAAAGTTTGGTCACGGTATAAGACTACACCCGCGATATGGTCACTGGAGAAGAGTAAGCTCAGGGTTATCGGCTATTGTTTACAAATAGTACTTAAGAACGGTTGACATACTGGCTCTTTAATACACCAATCGGTGCCGTTTCTACTCAGTGGTGTTATGCTGAGGTACAGCTCAGCTATAACCACCTTTAGTAATTTCATTTGATTAGTATAAGTTTGTTTTTTGTGTTTATGATTTCAGTATATGAAAGCTAACAGCAACAGAAAACATCTCAGTATTTCATCGATATCTGAAGATTTGCAGCGACAGTATGGGTAAATAGCAATAATTTGACTATTTAGGATCAATTTCATTAAACACTGTAACAGGTAGAAGAGCAGATTTTCAAGTGTATTTGTATTTCTTCCAACTTGTTTTGAGAACTCTATATTATATAGCCTACTGCATGTGAAAAGATACCCTGAGTTATCATTTTACATGATATCAAATTATCTTTACATGATTAAAGGTCTGTTTGTCCAGGATTCCAGCAAGGTAATCAACTACAATATATGTTTGTTTCCTGCAATAGTTTGGGGCAGGGGTTGCCCAGTCATCTAATGGGCTGCAGTTCACTGTGCAGAGTTGTCCCTTGGGAAAAATCAGAAACCTATTATTGTGGGTTCAAATCTCTGTTCACCCCGATACTGTTTCTATGCTATGTATAACCATGCTCATGGATTTCACCAAAGTAGTAAAGTCTGAGACTTGCATCACTTCGGGCTTTCCTCCAACATTAAGCTGACAAACCTTGATTTAACTGGAATGCTGTTAAAAACGACGTTAATCACAACTCACACACTCCAGCAATAGATCACACATAGTCAAAGAATATGTCTCTACCATGTTTAAATCCTGTAATATGATATTTTGATATCTATAGAGTAGACAAATTCCTCTTTACAGTAAAGGCTCAGTTTACAGAGTCCGCTCTTCTGCGACTCCTCTGCATTATGCAAAGGAGCATTTAACAATGAGACCCTTGTCTAGGTTTGGAGAAATGATATTTATCATGCTGTTAATGTTTAAATACTAGTTGAGTTTATGAATATGTATAAATGTAGTAAAATGATAAGATCTCTTTACAAAGAGATTAATTAACAATCACATCCGCCATGATATGTGTGCAGGCTACTCTGTATGATGTGAGTAATCTAGTCCATAGATGACATGTTTGACAGCATTTTGAAGAGAGTATTTTTTATTTTTCAGTGAATACTCCCGAAAGAAAAAGAATGCTTTTCACAAAATGGTTGAAAAAGGTATGTGTTGTCAGATACTGTACAATGCTGGCAAATGTGTGGATAACAGTGCTGGGAGTTGGTTTACATTTTCAGACTGATTAGTTTAGAAAAGAATACATTGTGGATTAATGATCAGTCATAAAAAGGAAAAGACAAGTGTTGCATCAAGAGAATACTGAGTGTAACTTATGTAAATAGCAGTGAACAAACTGTGCAAACTTCTAAATATTTCTTACTATTGTCTGCAACCCGAAGACACATCTACTTACAGATTTGCAATAACAGTAAGCATTGGTAAAACATGTCTGTTATGAGAGTTTTGTTTTAAAGCTTTATGCTTAGGCTAAAAAAAATAAAAGAATTGGTTGTCAGGCAATGTTTTTTTGCGGTGTCTTTTTCCTTTTGATTTGGTGGGGTTGTTCAAACTAGTATGTAATCAAATAAACAATTGTGTACAATCAACCTGGGAAAGGGCCTCCCGACATAAATGTATTCCTTGGCGAGTAAAGTACTGGAAAACTGTATTTGACTACTGTTGGAATTTTTTTTTTTTTTTTAAAGTGGAAATATAAAAAGAAACATACGGTGAACTTTATGATTGTGTGGACAGTGCCTGAGAACCAAGACTTTTATTTTTTTTAGTCTAGCTTTGTTATTCTATATAAATTTATTCCAACAAATATATATAATTGGATTTTCATCAATCACTGATTCCAAAATTGATTCCCTTGTTAGAAGCTAACTCCAACCTGTCATCAATGAAATACATTAATTTGATAAGGACTATTGTATTCTAAAAGAACCTACTTGCATGAAAATGTTTCTGCAATCAGTTTCTGTATATCTGTCATTTCAGCCTATTCAGTAGCATGTCAGCAGCTTGCAGCAGAGGAGGGGGACAGCTTTAATGTGGCAGAGGAAAATCATATGAAGAAAATTAAAAAGAAGAAAACTGATTCAGAAAGGTAATTTATGTTTGTGATTATCATGACAAGAGATGCTGGGGTTTCAACTACATTTTCTCACAATGGTACGGAGTAAACAGAATTTCCTTGAATGAACTCTGTTTCAAGTACACTTTAATAATACTAGGAGGGAACATCATGGCACATAGTTCAACCAATACAATTCTTGTTTACAAGGTAGGTGCAAATGAAAGTGACAAATTTTGCCGGGATGATTTTGTTCAATTTCCAAAAAAGCCTCTTGAGATATAAAACAAGTTTACACAATCAAAATACAAAAAAGATATTCGAAGTAATTATATTTTAATCATGTTTTTTAAAATAGTTTTTCAAAAGTTTGGAAAATCTCTATGTAAAACAAGTAATATTAATTGATCTTGCTATATTGTTTGTTACTTTTTAACTCAAGTGTGAATATTATTCCTGTCATAACAGACCGCCTCTGTGGTCTAGTGGTAGAGCGTCCGCCCGGAGAGAGGAAGATCCGGGGTTCAATCCCCGACCTCGTCATACCAAAAGATGTTAAAAGATGGTACTTGTTGTTACCCTGTCTGGCGCTCGGCATTAAGGGGCTAAAACAAGGACTGGTCGGCTCGGAGTCAGTACACTGTGTCTGAGTGGGGTATTCATGTTAAACTGCGGCATGGTATCTCAGTGAGCTAGCACTATAAATCGGCATCAGTCCTGACTAGTACAAGCAGACACACAAACACACACACGTACATGCACGTCGCTATATAAGTGCAATAATCTTGGACGCAACGTTAAACCCCATTTCACCTCACTCCACCTCACCTGTCATAACAACAACTTCAAGCCTGTTTTGAATATATTTATATGTGATATTGGATATTAGATAGATTAGTGGAGCAATCACTTTGGTGTTCAGTACTCCAGATAATTGTTTTTAATCCATTGAATATTTACGCACAAGTCATTATTCTCTTTGGGGGTAGCTATCTGTTGCCTTAATATGTTTTTGCTTCCTTTGGTCCAGTCTGTTGTGTATTGTTAACCAATGAGTAGGTATTTGTTAAACATAAATCAGCTTTAAATGCTGTTTCAGGTGTCTACTAATTTGAATGTGTTTAATTTGCTGCTCCTCGGGTGCCAAGCGTGTCACATTTTGTATAAACTCACGTGTAGTCATATATATGTGTAAGTTACAATAATCAACACATGGAGTTGTTGTGTATCATTCACTGCAGTAGAGTTCATGCATGTGATGGCTGCCCTCACTCAGTAAGTGGCAAGTACAGATCTGTAAGGAAATACAGGTACTCAGGCTGTAATGGCCACATTGGGTGATAATGCACAATGTTCATATGATGTTGATCTGAAAAACAATTCATGCATGTTTGTGTAAGTTGGATTCAAACAGCAAACAATTATTGGGAAATGGTGAATATTTTTCCATATTTTATGTTTTTACACAGGTTATCTGGATCTCTGTGTAAAAAAAAAGTTTTTAGGTCACTGAAGTGTACTAGTTTTAAAAAGATCAGTTTCAAAAACGCTGGTGAGCTACCAGGCCTACATGCTGTATTTAATCAGATGAGGGTAACAGAGACACACTTTTGTTTACTATCTCACTGGTTTCTCTTGGCCAGTATGGTAGATATCCAGATTTGGAACTTCATGATATATAGTGGGTAGTTTGTTTACAAAGATCTTGCAAATAAACATGCTTTTAAATTATTCTCTGTTTGGGTTTTTCATTGTTACAGTTCAGATGATTCAGATTCGGACAGCAACAGTTTCTCGTCAGATAATCCAGACTATACAAAATTTGAGGTATGCAGATCTTTTCCACTTTCAGTGAGTAGGCATCAGTGTTGCAGCAGACTCTCCCTTTCCAGTTAGTTGTGTTACATGCTATTCTATATTCCCACTAATGGATTTGTGGAGGAGATTCTCCCACCACCACCATCATGACAATTAAAGTTTAAAGACACTGGAAAAAGGTTAAAAGGTGGGTGTTTTTGAGCGTTTGATGCCTGGAATTGTTTCAAAGTTGGACCTTCGTCTACCATATTTTCCTTAACGCAACTGACAAAGGATTTGGGGTGTGATTATTAAGACACATACACAACAAGTTAAATTGTTTTCAGAGATCCAATAGTAGTGAACAAACTTAATTAGCTCTCAAGTCGATGAAAATAAAATGTGTTGCAATTATCTATAAGAAATTTGTACTGTGCACAAGCAATATGGACTGTCATGTAAATGTTCGGTCTAAGGGGGCTCTTGTAAAGATTACCTACCAACTAGTCTAACAGTTGGTCATGGGGTGCTTATTATGGCGAATATGGTAAATATAATTTTCAGGCAAGAAATGTCCAAAAACACTCTCAAGTCACTTACTTTCCTGCCTGAATGACATTATCGTGATTATCATCCGTATCATTTATAACCCCAATCACTACTGTGGTTAATTGTAGGACTCCAATGCAATGAATTCACTGATGTCTGACTTCTACAAGAGTTCACCATTGCACTCAAAACCTGGAGAAAAGTCGCGGGAAAACAAGGAAAGCAGCCCTCTGCCTGTTGATATGAAGAGTGGGAAAAAAACACCTGTAGCATCTCCCAAGGTTGGAGGCTGGTATATCGACAGAGGGATGCCCAAAACTACAAAGGATGATGTTGATGATGCTGGTGATGTCAATGATGACGTCAGTGTGTGTAATGAAGTCCAAGATGTCAGCTTCACTGACACAAGCAAGTCAATGTTGCAGACACCAACCTCTCAGAAGGTAGGTTTGTGGTGCCAGTGGTCTGGTTATGTTCCCTGTAGGCACCATGTTTGAAATAATCAGACACAAAACTGCAAAAGAATTTTAGCCCTTTTGCTGTGGTGCTTATATTTCAAGTAAAATAGCAATTAAAACATCCCTTTTTCATCTTCCCAGTATCATTCATTGACAATGTAAATTTTGTTTTGTGAGGCATCTGTTCAGACACTAAGTTACTTCCATGATAAGCTGAAAGCTTGATATTTCATAACTTGCACAAGACACTGTATTACTTTGCCATACTGATAACATCATTTACCTAACCTGATATTGAATACTAGCCATCAAAATTTCAACGGAAATGATTCACAAAAAACTTGAATGCTTGCTTGGACTGCATTTGTGGTGCTTTCATCAAGTAAGGATTGTCTTTGCCCATTTGTACATTTCAGCTCCAGAAAGAGGAGGTGACAAAGAGTGGGAAGAAGAAGGTCAGAAAGGTGGGAGATAAACGGGAGGAAAAGAAAAAAGGTGAACATTTGACTAGAACAGTCTCCATTTCATTTCGATATTGTGTAAATGATGTATGATTCCTCATACATTAAACCTACGCGTCATGACATATTTGTTCAAGCAGCTTTAAAGTGAACTGTTTCAGGGCCTGCGGTGCAGACATCGAGTGTTACATTTAGCGATGTAGGAGGGAATGATGCTACACTGCAGGTAGGGCTTCCCTGGGTGTGGATCTACATCTGTTGGTCCACTTGTTATGCTAAGTAGGCAAATCTTTACCAGCTCTACATAATGATGTCGTACATTGTGACAAAGACAGTTGCCAGTGCCGGACAAGGTGGTTCATGTCAGATGTACTATGCTTTGACAAAGTGAAACTTAGGTATCTATCTATGACATAATACTGGAGGTATCGAAGCATGGAATGGGACACTGACAAGAGTGAATGAAGACCAACATCTTGAAGAATAATTTGTTGGTCTGGCTCTGGACAAACTATGATGAAATGATTTGTTTCCATAGGTGTATTAAGGATCGCCATGAATAGCCGCAAGATTTCTGTTAGGAGTTAAGTCTTGTTCTCTCACTGTACTGCAGAAACATTAGGGAATAGAGTATTTTTTGGAGAGGATGGTTTGAAACATAATGATGAAATATTTATACAAACCCTTGTAACCTTTAATACGTTTGAAGTACGGACTGGCTTGTCTGGATTTACTTGTGTACATGTCTATACTGTACATAAAAGGTTAAGGATCTTGGTTATTTTTAAGGATATGTTTTTAAAATATTTATGACCCCTCACTACTTTTGCTCAGTATACATTGATCTCCCTGTCTGCAGGACATATGCAAGTTGCTGGTGCACATGAAGCACCCCGAGGTGTACCAACAGCTGGGGGTCACCCCACCCCGAGGATTCCTGCTGCACGGGCCCCCAGGGTGTGGGAAAACACTCCTCGCTCATGCTATTGCTGGGGTAGGTCCACATAGAAGTTGAAATTGTTATAGTTTTTAGTTAATTGTTATTACATGTATGACCAACAGTGAGTGAGTATGGTTTTACACCGCTTTTAGCAATATTCCAGCAATATCACGGCAGGGGACACCAGAAATGGGCTTCACACATTGTACCCATGTCGGGAATCGAACCCGGGTCTTCGGCGTGATGAGTGAACGCTTTAACCACTAGACTACCCGACCGCCCCTATGGCCAACAGCTTCAGATGTATTGCTTTCTATTTTTATTTCAATAGTTTGAGGTTGACCTACCAGTTCCTAAGATATGTTGTTAGTAGACCAATACCCAGGTGAAAAATTCTTTCAATTAGTATTTTGTAAAACATCAATAAGTTAACATCACATGATTATAACATATTTGGACAGGAGAAAGAAATATTATTAGTACTAACATCATCTCCATTGCCAACTGTCAACAACAATCAACAAACACACCTGTTCTATGTTTAGCATTATAAAGCCCCCATCCTTACAGATAATATGACATGTGTCTGTCTGTGTGTCATGGCATCCTAACAGATGTAGGACCTGTGTCTAAAGTGTGTCATAGAATCCTTGCCATAGGTCTTCAGCAACCCATGCTTGCTTTAAAAGGCGACTATGCTTGTCGTAAGAGGTGACTAATGGGATCAGGTGGTCAGACTCGCTGATTTGGTAGGTACATGCCATCGATCCCAATTGCTTGGATCAATGGTCATAATATTAATCACTGGATTGTCTGGTCCAGACTCAATTATTTACAGACTGCCGTCATATTGCTAAGTGAGGTGTTAAACAACAAACCAACCAACCAACCAACCAACCAACCAACCAACCATAATCATATTGATGGAGAATTTAGGATTTGCAGTTATAGCTGTATGATGGCAGCCGGTAAGTATCCAGTGATTGATATTGCAAGCAACATCCACATCTTAGGTTTCTGATGACACAATCAACCAAGTCCCCAAGCCAGACCACCGGATCCATTATGTCACCTCTTACAAGCATCGGTACCTGGGGAATCCCCACTGGGTTTAGTGAGGCCTCAGATAGTAAATGCTATACCAGAAGCCCTCAAATTTCACTGTCTGCTTTCAGGAGCTGGAGATGCCCTTCATCAAGATTGCTGCAACGGAGATTGTGTCAGGAGTATCTGGAGAGTCTGAGGAGCAGATCCGTGACTTGTTTGATAAGGCTGTTGTAAGTACAGATCGGGGTAGTTTATGCTATGTGTATGGTTCATACTGATATGGTTTCTCATGTCAAAATAGTACCCGTGAATATCCGGGTTAGAAAAAGTCTTCACCAACCAATGCTTGCCGTAAAGGCGACTATGCTTGTTGTAAGAGGTGACTAAATGGATTAGATGGTCGGGCTTGCTGACTAAGTTGATGCAAGTCATTGGTCCCAATCGCGGGGATCGATGCTCATGATGTCAATCACTGGATTGTCTGGTCCAGACTCAATTATTTACAGACCGCCATCATATAGCTTGAATTTTGCTGAGTACGGCGTTAAACAACAAACAAACAAGCAAAAATCAGATTACAGTGTCTCCTATTCTGATCTATTTGTTTCTTAACTTCCCTGGCCTTATTTTTGGTAATCTGTGATTTGCTGTGATCTTCCAGGCTGTAATCTGTGATTGGCTGTGATCTTGTTCCAGGCTGTAATCTGTGATTGGCTGTGATCTTGTTACAGGCTGTAATCTGTGATTGGCTGTGATCTTGTTCCAGGCTGTTATCTGTGATTGGCTGTGATCTTGTTCCAGGCTGTAATCTGTGATTGGCTGTGATCTTGTTCCAGGCTGTAATCTGTGATTGGCTGTGACTGTGTTTCAGGCTTTAATCTGTGATTGGCTGTGATCTTGTAACAGGCTGTAATCTGTGATTGGCTGTGATCTTGTTCCAGGCTGTAATCCGTATTTGGCTGTGATCTTGTTCCAGGCTGTAATCCGTGATTGGCTGTGATCTTGTTTCAGGCTGTAATCCGTGATTGGCTGTGATCTTGTTCCAGGCTGTAATCTGTGATTGGCTGTGATTTTGTTTCAGGCTGTAATCTGTGATTGGCTGTGATCTTGTAACAGGCTGTAATCTGTGATTGGCTGTGATCTTGTTCCAGGCTGTAATCCGTATTTGGCTGTGATCTTGTTCCAGGCTGTAATCCGTGATTGGCTGTGATCTTGTTTCAGGCTGTAATCCGTGATTGGCTGTGATCTTGTTCCAGGCTGTAATCTGTGATTGGCTGTGATTTTGTTTCAGGGTTGTGCCCCCTGTGTAGTGTTCATAGATGAAATTGATGCCATCACCCCAAAGAGAGAGACAGCTTCAAAGGACATGGAGAGGAGGATCGTAGCTCAGCTGCTGGCTTGTATGGATGGTAAGTAGAGTTCCTGATCAAACCCAGTCTGAGACACAGGGGTCAATCCTGTGGCCAGACACGGAGTGCCCAGAGATTATGATATGCATATAATCAGTATATGGTTAGCAAGATTTTCCTGTACACATTGTATAGGTCTGTTGAGATGTAGAACGTTTTTACTACTGCAAACCAATCACTGTTCTGTACTACATCATCCTGAATATTTGTAAAGTGTGACATTTCTCTTCATTATGCTGTGAGGTGACAACTCTCCATACCTATTGACCCCTGCTGCAAAGGGATATGATGGTGTTAAACGTTAAAAGTTAGTTCATAAGTATCATGAGATCTCGCGAGACTCCATTTAGGATGGCGGTGCCCAGCGAGTGATCGCATTGGATGTCGCCATGGTAACATATGACTGGTAAGTGTGATAGTATATATGATGTAAGGGAGGTAGGTTGCTAGGGGGGATGACTGTTAGATGTTAGTCTGGTTGAGACTGCTGGTGTGTGCACACATACTTGTCTTGTTATAAAATATATAACCGAATAAACAACTTTGACTCAAGACATCATCTTTGTGTCATCTGGCCCACATTTCAATCTAACAATTGCATGTACAGTTCATACTTTGTTTGGCAGTCAGAGGTTTTGGAAAGTGTGGAACTAAGCAGAACAGATGGTCCTGACTTTGAGTTGTGTAAATATTATTGAAGGAAACTGTTTTTGTTAGTTTTGTTACTGGTTTAACTGTCGTTTTATCACAGATCTGAACACAAAGACTGCCCCTGTGTTAGTGATAGGAGCAACCAACAGACCTGACTCTCTCGACCCTGCTCTTAGACGAGCCGGCAGGTTTGATAGAGAAATCTCACTTGGGATCCCTGATGAAAAGGCAAGAATAAGGTAATTGGTGCTCTGTTGGTATGTTATCATTAAATGTGACATTGTATACTACAACTGTTAGATAAAATGATTGTGTATCAACAGATATCGAAATTAACATACAGATTGTTTCATTCGAAAAAGCTTGTGCGACAAACATACTGATAGATGCCAACGGAAAAGCACATTGTGCCTAGTCAATGTACATGTTGTATCTTAAACAGTCGCTGATTGGTGATAGATAAAATAATGCCTAAATTACAATGCTAGGTTATGCAAACAAAAACGGCTTTCACGAGAGGGAGCAGCACGCAGACACAGAAGGAGTTACTACTATTCATATAGTTCTAAATGATTTACAGGGATTGTTACGAAACAGGTTTTCAAGTTAAAATACCCAAATGTCAAGAAACAGGTGGGTTAAAAAAATTTTGAATACCCTCTAAAAGTTGTGGATACCTTTATCAAAAGCAAACCCCTGGGTAAAATACCCAAATAACCAAAAGCTTATCTATGGCTCTGACTATTGCTAACCAGATTTTCCAGTTATTGTTTGTATTATAATCACAAGGGACTTTGTATATGATAGATAGACTCAGGGAATACATCAGTTAAGTTTGATAACCCATTAAACATTTGAAATTTCCCATTCCTTTGACAAAATGCTCTTATTTAATAACCCTTTGAGGATTTGGGGTTAGAATTGGTATCTTGCAACCTATGCTGGTTGTAAGGGGGTACTTAGTGTATCGGGTGGTTAGACTCGATGACTTTGGTGATGGCATGTCAATGTGCCCTGACGGTATATATCATTGCTCATAACATGAATCACTGGATTATCTGGTCTCGATTATATACAGGCCGCCATCATATTGCTGTAATATTGCTGACTGCAGTGTTTAATGACAAGTGAACAAACATACAATCTTATGAAGTAAGCTCTGTGTACAATGTGTTTATAGGTTTGCCATGTTTCAGGATCCTGCAGGTGCTGTGTCGGGGCCTTCGTCTGTCAGCAGATTTTGACTTCCAGCATCTGGCTCACAACAGCCCAGGTTTTGTTGGAGCAGATCTAATGGCCTTGGCCAGGGAGGCGGCCATGATTGCTGTCAACAAGTAGGTGTAGGATTATGTGCAGTGGGATTCATATTCTGCTCAACATTTGCTAGGGATATTCTGAGTGTCCAGATGGTCGATAATTCTGACAGGTTGTTTGGAGATGTTGGTGTATCAATAGGATGAGATTTGGGCTGGACCTGAAACAACTTTAGAGTCATTTCATGATAGACAAAAAATAATAGTTTTTGTATTGACCAAGTTTAATTGTTATGATCTGTTCGTTTTCCAGAATTTGCTGAAGGGAAACAATGTAATTTTTTTCTGCAGATGACAAACATGTTTTTATTGCAAATGTAGGGATTGTGTATGCGCTGGTGATGTGCTTCATTCCGATTCGCTTTATAGACGGGGTACATAAATTACCATTGATTTTGGAGGCCCGTATAGAAGGGTCGTCTTATACGTGGGGTCGCTTTATAGATGGTGATATACAGTAAAGTTGTCTATATGTTGTTTGTTGTCTCCCAGCTTTCATAAGAGTGTGAGCTAGAATAGTATCCCTATCAGAAGTTGAGTAGTATTGTCCAGACTCCTGCATTAAAGTAATCTCCTGTAGTCGTTTTTGGAGAGAAGTAACAGTGTCTCACCACAAACACCTGCTGTGACAGCCATGCATATCCGATCATCTAGGTCTGGGACAGGTAATTCGGGTACCCGGGTCGGGTGGGTACTGACTAGGACCCGGGTACCCACAGGACTACCCGGACCCATGGTTAGTCAAGTGATATATTGTCTAATGACTAAAACTATCTGGAACTCTATGGTTACATTACAAGTCATTAATGTTCACTTCTCTTTCTGACAATGCACCCATTCCTTCTGAGTTTTTATATGGTTGAATAAAGATATAACTTAAGTCAACTTCAGTGTATGCATGACCAGATTGTTTAATACATGTATCTAAATATGTTTTGCCAGAGCTATGCTAAAAAAGTTCCCAATCGGACATTTTGAGATCTCTCCTGAGACCTACAGTGGGTACCCAGGTAAGGTTGGGTAATAAGAGGTTGGATAGCCAGGCAGTAAATTTGGACTTGTCCAAGCCCTACAATCATCCCCTCTGAATTATCCCCATCTGGACATTCAGTATGTTCCTATTAAGTCTTTAGTAATATTTTTTTACAGGCAGTTCTCTTTTTACTCCTTTCTGTAGTTGTAGACTCAACCAGTTGTAATTTTGACAGCTAACATGTAGACAAATGAAGGAAGTGAAATGAAACATCTTCTCTGAAGACAGGTGTGTGACTCCCAGTGGCGTGTTTCAGGGTGTTTCAGGAACTGCAGAGGGAGAAAGTTACGTCTGCCTCAACATCCTGCCAACCAGACATCGTAGACAGTGTAGAAGACTGCCCTGACAACAGGAGACACATATCTCCAGAACTCGCATCAGGTGAGCATATAGTCATCAGTCGGTCCTTTTTATACCCATGACTTACTTTACAGATTTCTGTTTAAGAATATAGGGTTGGCATGTCTGACTGCCAGACCTGTAAAACATATGTTATTAAAGAAACGTGTTGCTCAGAGTGTTTCTTTAAAAGACAAGTCAAAGAGTGACTTCCCTTCTTATTACTGTATTCTGTTCTTAAACATGTACTCTGCATTTGTGTAACTTTGGATCAGGTGAAACAAAAACACCTTTTATCTGCTGGAGATATTGAATTGCCTTATAACATAGACATAAGGATTGTGTCAGGTTTGGCATGATTGTTGTCTAGAAATATTAGAAATAAATAAAAGAATATAATTAACTGTCTTGTAATATTGATTTTTTTATCTAAGTACTTTTTACATGTGTTTATGTAATATATTTAGTGTTGTCATGGTTACTGGATCACCCTCCATTGTCGGAACAGCAGTTACAAGATCTTTTCATTAAGATGGAGGACTTTGAGGTATGTACATTCTGCAGTATAGTCACAAGGAGATATGTAATCAATAGCAAATTATTAGTTGAGACCTTTTTAAAGGTTGTCACTGACATCTGTGAAACAGAAATATCTCAATATTTATTTCACAAAACATGGAATTATTTGGTGAACATACTCTGTTTGATCAAGAATCACTTCATATTTGATTTTTTAAGAAAAAAATCCTACTCATTGTTTACTAATATATTATTTTGTAAACATAGCAAACAATTTTATTTAAATTTGATTTGTTGTTGTCAAGTCAAGTACTATTGAAGAACTAATAAAATATAAAGTAATTACAATTCTCAATGTTATACATTATACAACATGTACAATTTAATTGATATCACATGCTGTCATGCCATATGTTCCTTAATATATTCTCTGTATACTATTAAAACAGAATTAAGCTGTTAAAAAGAAAATTAAGAAACTAGCCTAATGCTAGTTGTATTTCCTCTATCAGTGTAAACTTGGATGTTGTAGCTTCACTTGCTAAGGGGCTGGTCACTAGGTTTATGGGGGTTATTCTGGTGGGGTTGTTCTTAGGACTGTCTCATATTTTGCTCACCTTTCCCTCATTCAATTCAACAGGAGGCGTTAAAACATGTGCAGCCATCAGCCAAGCGTGAAGGCTTCGCCACCATTCCTGACGTGACGTGGTCCGACATTGGAGCTCTTCACTCAGTGAGGGAAGAACTGCAACTCGCTATACTTGTACGGTTGGTTCTGTATCATAGTGTATTGATTGATAGGTTAGTGAGTGAGTGAGTGACTGTTGTTTAACGCAATATTGCATTTATGTCACTGCAGCGTGTAAATAATGAGTTTGGACCAGGCAGCCAAGTGACTGAAAACAGGATCAACAATCCACATCATTAGGTCACAATGACACAAAATCAGTCACCAAGCCTGACTTACATCTATCACATTGTTTATTGTGAGTGACTTACATCTTACATATTGTGGGTTGTTTTTGGTCAGTGACTAACATCTTACATATTTTTAACCCTTTGTCTCCAGCCTGACTTACATCTATCACATTGTTTATTGTGAGTGACTTACATCTTACATATTGTGGGTTGTTTTTGGTCAGTGACTAACAACTTACATATTTTTAACCCTTTGTCTCCAGGCGCCAGTGCAACACCAGGTAGAGTTCCAGTCACTAGGGTTGACCAATCCCCCAGGGATACTGCTGGCAGGACCCCCAGGCTGTGGCAAGACACTTCTGGCCAAGGTAAGTGGGCAGTGAGTGGGTAGGTGAGTGGGTGTGGACGGAATGGAGGCATTAGACAATTAAATCTCATAAATCAATATAATTTGAGCCAGACAAACCAGTGGTTCACAGCATGAACAGTGATCCATCTCCTCAAGATGCCAAGACGAACAACTAGGAAGGTCACTAATTATTAAAATCTGATGTCAGTGACTGATGATAGTGAAGGACTGGTGTACGTAAAATAGCGGAAGAGTAGGTTTGACTTGGCATAACAAATTACTGGTAATGGCTTGTGCAGAACACATTTCAAACATTAACCTGAAATATGATTTCCCTGTGGAAGCATTCACAAGCATGGGGACCTGTACAGGGGCAGATGTCAATGTGTATATTGTTAGCTGTCGTAACGATCAATATGGGACAGAAATGCTATTCTCAGAGGCCGAAAATACACCACTTTTTAAGATTATGTTAAAACTTATCAGCTACAGTAGGCTACGTTGAATTCATTCTACACCACATATGAAAGTTATTAATATTTATGGTAAACTTATTTATTTTCAAGGCAATAGCGAACGAATCTGGAATCAACTTTATTTCAGTCAAGGGACCCGAGTTGCTTAACATGGTGAGTTATGCAAATGGTGATAAAGGATGTTCTCCAGTAGATAGGCCATGTCTTGTCAATTTGGACTGATATGACCTGGTTATGAGACGGACAGTATTTACTCTCTCACGTTGTAGTTTACAAACTTCATATTATTCACCCGTGAAGATCCGGGGTAGAATAGGTCTTCAGCAACCCATGCTTGCCGTAAAAGGCGACTATGCTTGTCGTAAAAGGCGACTAACAGGATCGGGTGGTCAGGCTCGCTGACTTGGTTGATGCATGTCATCGGTCCCAATTGCGTTGATCGATGCTCATTATCTCAATCACTGGATTGTCTGGTCCAGACTCGATTATTTACAGACCGCCGTCATATAGCTGGAATATTGCTGAGTGCGGCGTTTAACAACAAATAAACAAACAAACAAACATCATATTATTCTGTCAGGCCACACTCTGTCAGTGTTCTTGAATCTAAGAACATTTGAAGATGCAATCATTAATGAATCTTATAACTGTTTCCATGATTACTCTGAATTCTTTTCATAAGGTTGTTGTTAAAATGAGTTTAAGTATAATTAGTTTAGGGAATCATAATGAGTTTTGTTCTTCATTCTAGACATATATATAATAAGTAAGATCTAATTATACCAGAAACCTAAACTAAGGTGAAACGATGGGAACAAACTAATTATTCCAGTGTGTCATCAAGAGTGAGAGAGCTGCTTAACATGAGAAACTCTCAGATACCATCGTGTTGCTATTCCAGTATGTCGGTGAGAGTGAGAGAGCCGTGAGGCAGGTCTTCCAAAGGGCACGTAACTCCTCCCCATGTGTCATCTTCTTTGATGAGCTGGATGCTCTCTGTCCCAAGCGGTCAGGCTCAGGAGAGGTACAGTCAGCGGAAGAATGACCAGCTTGTGTACCTTGTCATGTTTTTCCATGTTTTGTTTCATTTGAATGTAATACCAGATTATTTTGAAAAATGAATTATACCTAGATTTATCGTCATTAATTATACTTTTTCATTTACCTTCTCTCAAATAGTTTTGTCTAGTTATGATTTCACCATTACTTAAATACTGTTATGAATAAGAGTCATACCCATTTGAATGATTGATCCTAAATGCCTATTTTCCCTGCAGTTTTATTGTATGATAAACAACAACCATGATTCCTTTATTTCTTATATGAGATATCAACATTATTCACAACCTCCCTTAGGATGTTAATCAGATTTACAAGCTTTAAAAATATTTACCCTTATTTAGTTAATGATTACTCCTAGAATACAATTCGATCTCGGCAATGTTGGACAAGTCCAATTTAGGAACTGGGGGTTATGTTTGCTATTTCCTGAATATTCTCACAGTTCTTAAGGTGAATATCTGTACCTTTTTTCTCAATATAGGATGCATGAAGGTCCGGGGTAGAATAGGTCTTCAGCAATCCATGCTTGCTGTAAAAGGCGACTGTGCTTGTAAGAGGGATTGGGTGGTCAGGCTCGCCGACTTGGTTGAAGCATGTCATCGATCCCAATTGCGTGGATCGATGCGCATGATGTCAATTACTGGATTGTCTGGTTCAGACAAGTTTATTTACAATCCGCCGTCATATAGCTGGAATATTGCAGAGTGCGGCGTAAAACAACCAACCAACCAACCAACTCTCAATATAGATTGCAATATCTCACACACTACGTTGCCCAGCTACATATAAGGGTAACAACTCACTACCCTCCAAAACATTATATCTAATTTACGACATCATCACATTGTGAGTTAATATTTAACGTCACATCGGCAATATTTCAGCCATATCGTGATCATGTTGTTGTGAGCATACGTTCAAGTCTCCAGAAAAGATGTCATGATAGAACAATGTTTTGTCGTGAAATTAACCACAACATATTCTTCAGGATTTATCATGTAGCAATCTTATATTCAGTTATAGCAAACATTCCATCATCTATGATCTCATGCGTTAAGACCTGTGGGTTATGTCATGTTTTTTTACCACGAACACACAAGACGGTACAATCCTTTAAATGTCGACCATTGATATGACGAAACATTTTGTCATTCAGTAGTTGTATATTTATTGCTGTTATTATATCTTTTACCTGTAAACTGTATCCTGCTTTGTCCTACAGGGAGGTTCCAGTGTGCGGGTTGTCAATCAGATGTTGACGGAGATGGACGGGCTGGAATCTCGTAAACAAGTCTTCATCATGGCTGCCACAAACAGACCAGGTAACCCGTCACTCCTCATCAGTACGAAGACTGCCTCTTTGGTCTAATGGTAGAGCATCTACCCGGACAGCGAAAGGTCGGGGGTTCGATCTCACATAACCATATTAAATTACTGACAATTTGGCATCATGTGCATCCAAACTGAAGTGAATTGTAACATCCGACAACACCTTCAAACCAAGTGAATCATTACATCAGACAACACATACCATCAAACCAAGTGAATCGTTACATCAGACAAAACCATCAAACCAAGTGAATCGTTACATGCGACACCATCAAACCAAGTGAATCATTACATCAGACAAAAACCATCAAACCAAGTGAATCGTTACATCAGACAAAACCATCAATCCAAGTGAATCGTTACATGCGACACCATCAAACCAAGTGAATCATTACACTGTCAAACCAAGTGAATCATTACATCCGACAACACACACCATCAAACCAAGTGAATCATTACATCCGACGACACACACCATCAAACCAAGTGAATCATTACATCCGACAACACACACCATCAATCCAAGTGAATCATTACATCCGACAACACACACCATCAATCCAAGTGAATCATTACATCCGACAACACACACCATCAAACCAAGTGAATCATTACATCCGACAACACACACCATCAAACCAAGTGAATCATTACATCCGACAACACGATCAATCCTGCTTTTTGAGTTGGCAACATATTAACAGAAGATACTTTTCCTGTTTATGTTTCAAATTTCTCAATGACGATGAAAATTATTTTGTATTATTGTTGTACTTTTTAAGGAAATGAAATTGAGAACTCTGTCAGTGCATTTTGTACACACACCAAGCTTAATCTTTAGCCCTCCTATATTGTGCATTACTGGTATTCATGATCTTTTTCAGACATAATCGACCCTGCCATCCTGCGCCCCGGTAGACTGGATAAGCTGTTGTATGTGGGTCTTCCATCACAGGAAGACAGGCTGGATATCCTCAATACCATCACCAAGGTAGCTGAATGTCAGTATGGTGGAACATGTTTGACACTACAGCACAAGAAAGATTCAGATATTTATGTGTTTGTAAATGAATGGGTTTCAAAGTTCAATGTTCGAACAAAGTCTTAATTCCTAAGTTTAGTTAGAGGGGTTAACAGGCCTGTAAGTTTTTGATCAGACATTATCAACTTTTCTGGGGTACTGACAGCCCTATGTATGGTTAGTATTTTAATTTACCCTGAAAATCAATAAAGAACATCTCTTATCACCAAAATCTTCATAAATCATTGTGAATGGAGGATTTGCTTGACAACATATTTTTATAGGGTTGGTCACTGAAGGAGTTAATTTTGTTTATCAGACATTTAACTGTGTCACTGTTTGTTGAGAGGAGAGTCACACATTCTGTCATGTTGCAAGCTTGCAGTTTTGCAATGAAGTTTATAACAACATTTCAGGAATGGAATATTGTTGTCAAAGTGACTGAGAATGACTTGAGATATTTCACATTTGGCCGTCATGTACCCGTACTAAATATTTGCTAAATGTATGGTCCAAAAGTGTCAAATTCCTTGTGGCTGTTAAATGTGCAAGTCTAACCTGTATTACAGAGTTAAAACCATGTCTGTATTTCAGAATGGGACCAAGCCACAACTGGCACCAGATGTCAGTCTTGCCACAGTGTCCATTGATCCTAGATCTGAGGGATTCACGTAAGTCAGCCCACTTCCCTCCAAGCAGGATATTGTGTCTAACCCCTGTGGGGATATCGAGTCACAAAGTAGATCTCTTGTAGTAGACTTATACAGGTCAGGTGGTCACAATGTATGACCTGGAGGGTCAATCACTCCATTATAGTCCACCGTGATGTATCTGAAATATTGCTGACTGGCCTAACACAACATCCATCCATGTAGTTATGTCATGTATTTTTATTGAACAACTGACACAGTTTGACATCAACTATCATTAAAATAACACTGAGATGTTTTCTTTTTCTCTGCTTGCATGTTTATGGATCAGCTGGTCCGCCTCCAAGCTTGATAATCACAAATTGTGACAAGTGATGTATGCTCAGTAACCAGGGGTCTGGAAACGGTCATATGCACCGGACATGTCCATTTGGGAATCACAAATGTCCGGTTTCAAATATTGCCTACTGGACATATAAATTTTTCTGTCCGGACACTTTAAAAAACAAACAGGGTCCAAATAATTGATGAGCGTTATCGTATCCCTTCAGCCAATTCAGGTGAAGAAACAGGTATAACAAACTTTCAATAAAAGTATGAAATTTGATATAAAACATCACTAGACATGTTGATTTACCATTAAAATGTATTTCCTGCTCTCCAAGGCATTGTTTTATATGCAGAGATTATGAGAAAATACACATGGTGATCTTAAACTAAGCCGGAAATAGCAATCAGCTGTGCACACGTTTCCTCCCAATCTACCAGTGATTCAGTTAAAATGTACCCAATGATACAACTTCCAAGAATTTTGATGCAATTGTCGGATGAAATTGTATCTGAAGTTAGTTGCAGCTTCCACCATATATACTTAAAATTATAAGAACCATAAGCGTAGCATTTTGGTACAGATGGTATGCAGGATATTGTTTGACATATGGAACGACTTTGACCAGTCACCGTAGGTAGGGACTTCCCGCAATACATGTATTTCGATTGCGAAAACGTTATGTTGACATTTAATAGTCAAACTGCCTCAAATATGACTTTAAGCAAGTCATGGTACGGCATTTATGATATGTGTATCCATTTTCTTGCATCTAAAGTTTGTTTCATGGCGTCAATAGTGGTAATCTTTCTTGGTGGCTGTTGCTGTTGTGCAATCTACTGATCACTTCGCATACGATTTCTCTGAAGTTATTGTAAACATTATTATAATTATTGAATAAAATTTTGAATACAATTAATATTATATTTTGCAAACATTATTCCAGATTAACAACGAGGGAACACTGAACATAACTTTTAATGTGTGTGATAAATCGTACTAAAATACGCTATTTGAAATGGGCGTGGCCTAAATGCAAATGTCCGATTGGGATTTAAGTTTTTCAGACCCCCTTTGATGACCCATAAATGTTCACTGATAACTTAAGGTGGAGAGACACAACAAATGCTATTCTTAGGTATAGCCTCACTGGTACTTCAAACAGTGTTACTTCGTTCCCATGTTAATGTAGCGGCCTTAAGATTTCCGAGTCCCGTGATGGGATTCGAACCACGGGCCTTCTGATCAGAGGTCGGACGCCTTGTCCACATGACCAAAGAGGTTAACCCCGTCAGCAAGCTAACAAGGTAAGGATGTCATCTGTGGGATGACTCCACGCCCTGCTACATACTCCCCCGTCAACAGAAGGCACGTCCCGGGCCGCATAGTAGGGTACTGAGGCGTATTTTGCTCAAATTTAATATGAACGTGCTCAGCCCCACGTTGGGCGCCAATGTAGCGGCCTTAAAATTTCTGAGTCCCGTGATGGGATTCGAACCACAGGCCTTCTGATCAGAGGTCGGATGCCTTGTCCACATGACCAAAGAGGTTAACCCCGTCAGCAAGCTAACAAGGTAAGGATGTCATCTGTGGGATGACTCCACGCCCTGCTACATTAACATCATAAAAATGTCTAAAATTCAATAAAATGTTCACAAAAAATGTTCACAAAAAATGTTAAATGAATTATGAAAAAGTTTTTCTCCATGCTGTAATTGAAACACTGTGGTAAATGGTGTTAAAGGGGAGCTAGGTTTGGAAAAATTGGCACTCTCAGCAATTTTGATTTAAGTCTCTCAAACTCTACTGCTAACATCTGCTGTGTCAAATTTTATGTATCACGATTTAGCAGTTAATGATGACCGAAATTACACAGAAATAATATCTCATTTTCACCCTGGTATTTTAATTACAAGATCTAGAACAAGGCACGAAATGAACACGATTCAGACCTCTGGGTTCCCCTTTAAATCCATCTCCTTTCACATGCTTACTTCAACAGAGGAGCTGATCTGGCCGCACTGGTTAGGGAGGCATCAGTGACGGCACTCAAAGACATCATCAAACTGCCAGCCTCTGACCGCCCTGCTACAGTCAGTGTCACAGCCCAACATTTCGAGTCAGCATTCAACAATGTCAAATCATCGGTCTCCAAAAAGGTAATTCATTACACAATAAACATGTTGGGGTATTTGGGGGAATACATTTCAGTGTGCTGTTGTAGCATCTGTGAGTTGCAACTTGCATAGATAAGTTATCAAAATAAAATCTGTTGCTTAGTTTTATGTAAGCAGTATATAATGGATGATTGGCTTAGGGACATTTATCAAAGGAGATGGAGTGCAGAGTGAGGCATAGAGAGTCACTAATGGTTCTATTCTTGATGTGTTCCTGCCACAATGCCACTGGTACTACTTCTCACTATTGGTAATAGTTTTGTAAACTTTGGCGTTTGAATTGAGTCGCGAAGGGTAAAAAAGACACTTTTCAGTATAGTACTAAGCTTAATCTGAACATAAATTTTGTTTTATAAATAATAAATAAATCATTATTGAGATAACATGGTATTTTGAGGGCTTTGATGAATATGTTAAGAATAACACTGAAATTTTTCTTTGCAGGATCAAGAAAAATACTTAAGAGTGAAGGATTCCTTAAGATCTTGAGAATTGTGCAATCTGTACATACTTTTTGTAAATAAAAATGTAATGTCATATACAGCAGAGAGATGGTTATGATTTATTTTGATCAAGTATCTGCTGAAGATACCCAAGTTGTTATATTCCAGGGGAATATTTCTAACAGCTCATCATAACATAGATTTCATACATTTATTTTGTTTAAACAGAACATGGCATCAAGTCAGAGTAAATGAAAATATTAATGAGATTGAAATTGTGAGATCCAGACATTTGTGTGATGAATCTTACTCTTAGATTCACCGACTTGTGGCCAGAGTTTCCACAAAGTCCCCTTGACCAGAAGATGAAACTTTTGTATAATCCTTTATGTTGATCAACAGAGAATGTCACATATTTCAAAATGACATGTTGGAATTGCATTTCCTGTGGGGACCATGGTTACATTCAATGGTGTGGATAACTGCTTGGTCATGTGACTCGACTGATTGCATGTCTTCCTTCCTCGATGGTGTGGATCGCTGTCTGGTCATGTGACTCGACTGATTGCATGTCCTCGTACCTCGATGGTGTGGATCGCTGCTTGGTCATGTGACTTGACTGACTGCGTGTCCTCGTACCTTGATGGTGTGGATTGCTGTCTGGTCATGTGACTTGACTGACTGCGTGTCCTCGTACCTCGATGGTGTGGATCGCTGCCTGGTTATGTGACTCGACTGATTGCGTGTCCTCGTACCTTGATGGTGTGGATTGCTATCTGGTCATGTGACTCGACTGATTGCGTGTCCTCGTACCTTGATGGTGTGGATTGCTGTGTGGTCATGTGACTCGACTGATTGCATGTTCTCGTACCTCGATGGTGTGGATCGCTGCCTGGTCATGTGACTTGACTGATTGCACGTCCTCGTACCTCGATGGTCTGGATCGCTGCTCATGTTTTCAGTCACTGGTCTGCCTGTTCCCATGACTCGACTGGTTGCGTGTCCTTGTACTGCGATGGTGTGGGTCGCAGCTCATGTTTTCAGTCACTGGTTTGCCTGTTCCCATGACTCGACTGGTTGCGTGTCCTTGTACTGCGATGGTGTGGGTCGCAGCTCATGTTTTCAGTCACTGATTTGCCTGTTCCCATGACTCGACTGGTTGCGTGTCCTTGTACTGCGATGGTGTGGGTCGCAGCTCATGTTTTCAGTCACTGGGATGCCTGGTCCTGACCTCACATTCACTCACACAATTGAAAAAACTTAAAGTAGAACCACAACAGAGCCATGGAATGGTTTAGCGTTTTCATTGTTATGTTTATTGCAATGGAAACAGTAATGTGATGTGGACAATACTTTATTGCAGACAAAGATATCCAAATAACATATTAATGGAATAAATAACTTTGTAAAATAGTGTAAAGACAAAAAAACATTTATCAAGTGAAATAAGAATTCTACCAAAATAGCTTCATTGAAATTCTGGAAACAAACCTAATCTTTATAGGAAGTTTTACAAATTGGATGAACAGGAGCTATTTCATCTATGAAATGATAATATTTTATTCTACTCAATCTATAAAGATAATAAACTGAAAACCGGGCTTGTCACAATACACAAGCAATTATTTTCAGCTGCTCCTACGTCATCAACAGGCCTGCATGTCCGTTTTGTAAAGAGTTCTGGTCCAGCATGCAATATTATTACACTAATTTATAAAATTCTTATAAAAATAGTTATGATAAAAAATATACAAATCAAAATGCAATGTAAGTAATGTTTTAAAAACCTGAGTACAAACATGAACGTCATTTCCATTTTTTTTATAAATATTAATTAATGTCTTAGAATAAATTAAACAATCAATCAAATCGACTATTTGAAATATTATTTCCAAACAATTCCAAAATGTTTTCAGAAGCTCTGAATACATTCAGAACACACCAGGGATGACCGTATAAATGTACCCTATATTTTTCACGTATTTTTAAAATTTATTTTTGAAACGGAGACTATTCTAGCTGATGGTTTGATAAAAAATCAGCTCAACAGAGTAATATGTGCAAAGAGAACTAAAAAAAAGAGATCACAGAAACTTGCACACTAGAAACTGCAATATGTACATATAAAGATAGAACATGAAAACGTATGAATATTTTCTCAGGTTGGACAAGTACAACATTTTTCTGAAATGTGGCTATAAATATGCAAACATCCACAAAACAATAGAAGCAATGGATAGAATATTCTTGTATGCCATATTTGCATCACATGATACTGTTTTTCTGGGTGATGTCACATACTATTTTGTACTCATAGTGAACCAATGATGGAGGTGAGATTTAGATGAATTCCTCATCTTGCAACCAGCTTCAAACTTGTTGAAGTTAAGGCTGAAGACCTAGGTGATGTATTTATCACAAAAACATACACTAAAACCTTTGTTGAAGAATATTCAAACACAAATATCAATTTCTCTATATCAGCACAACAATATTGGAAAGTAAAGTACAAAGTTTGATACAAAATATATAAAGATGTAAACACTTTATGATGACTACTGAGTGGCTTTCTCACCTTGAATACCAGAATTACTTACATCAGATTTCTACAGAACATTTAAAAATAAGCTAAAAGACGACTTCCAAGGCATTGTACCACAGAGAGGTCTTGGCTAGTAGTAGGACGATACACTGATGCATCGGTGGATCACAATTTTTTATTTCTCATTACAAGTATTGATCACAGTCGCACACTATGTAAAAAATATCTATTCTTACCTTAAATGTTTGCTTTAATGACTGTTCCACTATACACTAATCAGTAGTGCTTATTAATAGTGAAAACCCAAATATTTTCATTTCTTGTGCCATACTTGACACTGCCAACTGTAATTCGTCAGTGTGCCAGGTATTTGGCCATCCTGTCTATGAAAAAGATGGCTTACGCACCATCATGAGTAAGGCACCGTGATACGTATCGGATCTCACAGTTTGTGTATCATCCCAGCCCTAGTCTTGGCATTATGACATTGGTAGAACACAGACTTGCGACAGTCCCTATGCTAAGAGCATGTGGAGCAAGGCCAAGCTTAGTTACCAGAATAGTCCACATATAACATGTCACATTAATAAAACAAGGTGACAAAATAAAATACACATATTACCAGTATGTTTCAACAGTAACAAGGAAACCCAATGTTTCATTTCATTAATAGATAGATAAAATGCTCACAGTGGAGATGGAGATCACAGGAAGTTGAGAGATTCAGACATGGTAAAGACAAAACACTACGCCAGGGTTACTCTAGTACAACTGTCAGATCTGTACTTTATTCATGGCAGCGTAGTACAGAAAAAGAAATATATGACTATATATGAAATATATGAGGTGAAAACAAGTTACATGTATCTCTAAAGAGGACTGGACCAGCTGCCAATAACACAACCATGAAACTATGTATATTCACAACAAGAAAATAAGCATGGAAGCAATGACATTGAGGATGAACTCTTTCAGTGGTGACTTCACCATGCAGTCATTGAACTTGACCAAGTCAGGAAATGGGCATTCTGAGATGGAAGATGTTTGTCAGGGTCACGGATGACGCCCTCATGGGATATGGGTGACTGGGGAAAAAACAATTTTCACTGTTTTGGCAGTATCCAAAGTCTAGTTCAGAAATAGCTCTAAGTGAAGAGGGGGGCATGGGTGGCCCAGTTGTCTAAGGTGGCAGGATTCACTGTGCAGAGTTGCGTCCCTTGGGCACGCCAGAAACCTATGATTGTGGGGTCGAATCACAGTTCGCCCCGATTATGTTTCTAGGTTTTTCAGTACCATACCCGTGCTCGTGGGTTTCACCCAAGTGGTAAATGTCTGAGTCCTGCATCACTTCGAGCTTTCCTCCCACATTAAGCTGACACACCGCAATATAACTGGAATACTGTTAAAAGCGGCATTAAACCCAACTCACTCACTCACTCACTTGAAGTGAAGAGGACTTCTGTTGAAAATGTAAACAATTCTATAGTGTGGTAATTAATGGCTGAAATGTAATCAAGGTAGGATGTTGGATGGAATTATGTTATTGCAAAGATAAATGTTCAGATTGTAGAGAGGTCTGATAAATTACATATATTTCTTGTGTGTGTGTGTGTGTGTGTGTGTGTGTGTGTGTGTGTGTGTGTCTGTGTACATAAAGGTACTTATCATACCACTGCAGCGCTAATGCAACAGTGGTACAGACATGGCCACTGTATCACAAGAGTGTTTTGGTTGCCCTCATCCAAACATCTGTTTATTCACTATAGCTTTGCTTCAGCATCCATCTTCTCCTTAAGTGCTTCCACCTGAAACAAACATACATGTTGTGAGGGAGACGCTGGTCATACTTGACTTCAGGATAAACTAGATGCACCAATGTGTCACTGTTATCACTAGCTGCAGTAACATAATCTGTAAACTAATACAATTTGTGATGTTGGTTTTTGTATAGTATTCCAGTGTTATCGCAACCAGTCTGTATATTATTGACCCTGTTCAAGGCAAACCAGTGGTTGATAGCATGACTAATGGCACATGCCAATTGGTAGGGTGACACCATCAGCCAAGTCGCACAGCCTGACCACCCAATCCCCAGTTGAGTCAACTCATATGTGAAATGAAGCACCATAGGGTGCTAGACCATCATGTTACCTTCAACAGCTTGTATACTACCAACAAACAAAAGGGAAATTGATGAAACAATAGTGAAGGTGTAATGATGACAAACGTCAGTAAAATATATTTTGGGCATGTAGATGAGTATCTGCTGTGTCCACCACGTTGGACAATACATGCATGACACCTTGATGGCATACTGTTGATATAACTTTATTGCCTTGCTATTGCTCACCATGTTGCCTCAAGAGCTACCTCAAGCTAGGTCATGTTGTGGGGTGCTGGGTCTCCCGCATAACCCTCTGCCTGAGAACATCCCTCATATTCTCTAATGAGGACATGTCAGAGGGCCAGTCCAATGTCAGATCAAAATTCCTGCTGCTAAATTCTAGCGAATTGAACGACAGGATGTCAACATTTCGTCAACATATCGCTGACCAGTCAAATGGCCTTTCACAATAACCAAATCAGTTCGCCTGTCATGTGTGATATATCCCCACACCATGACATTACTGCCCCTATACCCATCATGGCCAAGAATTGTTGCCCTAGCATACCAATTGCCGCTATGTTGCCAATGTTTTCTGCCATATGTGAATCTCAGGCATAACAATAGCTACATTCAAATCAATAGTTCCCATATATTTTGTTGGTAGTATATTTTCAAGGTTAAACTAGATGATCTGTACAAGCCCCATGAGTGGTTGGCTGGTTGGTTTGTTGTTTAACGCAGCAACTCGGCAATATTCCAGCTATATGATGGCGGTCTGTAAATAATTGAGTCTGAACCAGACAATCCAGTGATTAATAGCATGAGCATCGATCCACGCAATTGGGATCGATGACATGTATCAACCAAATCAGAGAGCCTGACCACCCGATCCTGCTAGTCGCCTCTTACAACAAGCATAGTCGCCTTTTAAGGCAAGCATGGGTTGCTGAAGACCTATTCTACCCCGGATCTTCACGGGTTCCCAAAAAGTGAGTTGAGTTCAGTTATGAGATAAAAAACAATACAAAAAGCATGGTCTTATCTTTCAGCACCATTTGCAGACCAATCAGAGAACACAATTTATAATGTCATGGTAGAATACCCCCTTGCACAACATTTCAATGAAATCAGACATGTCAGCTTAAAGTAGCCCTAAGTCAGCATGCAGAATGTTAAATATCTGTTAACTATCCCCCTTATGTAATTGAAACCGATTTTGTACACTTTAGCCTGCTGAACAATAGGGGTATCTGTTGCTTACCTCTTTTTTCATTTCATCAGATAAGGAACCAATACTGGTCAGCAGCTTTTTCAGCCATTGATAGGCTGCCTCATTCTCACTGCAATGATGCAAGGTCCGGGCACATTTTAATCGAACTTCATCGCTGTGGACACCTTCACTATCCAGTTGTTGCACCAAGGGCAAGGCTTTCTCGAACTGCTTGACACTGCACCACACAGACACGGACTTTCCTATCAGCATCTGGGAACAAGGACACAGTTTTGTAGCACAGCCATTCATATAGCTCATATTCTTGCTGGACTTTATCACTAGTTGTATCATGTTGTATCATGCTGTAAGGGCTCCAGGTCAATTTCTGGGTATCTGAACTCAAAATGTAATATGGTCACTAGATCACCATCTCCAATATTTCAAAACAGTACCTGGTATTCTAATAACCAAAACGCTGAAATTTTATGTGTGAAATGATGTGCAGTCCTTTATTTATTCAATGTGTCATAAGTGGAAAACAATTATTGTGGCCATCTGTCAAATCTTGGCAAAGTCAGAAAACTGGCTTTATTGCTTTAGATTATCTCATTTGATTTAAACGACACAAAACAATACTTTCTAGAATGCATTCAAGAGGAGAAAATATCCCCAAACTACTGAGTATATCTTCATTGTTGATAGTTGTTTCTACACAAAAATGATTACGTGCTACCAGAGACCATATAATAGAGGGACAGCCCTCCCCAACAGTTTATCATAAACCATCAGCGCTACGGTCTGGCATGGTAACTGATACACCCCGACACCCTGCTGTTAGCCTCCCTTTACCGCTGCAGATGCGCAATAGATGCGCAGACATTCACAACTGACCATTCTGGTAACCAAGTTAACAATATCACATAATATCCGGGGCTAGAGTTAATTCCCCAGCCAAGATTTCTCCGACTACGACCAGCAACAATCAAATAAAAGGACGTCTCTTTGCAGATTACAAAGATTTTTTATCATATCTCTCATTAGCACATGTCAGTTGGCTGCATATTATTTGCCGAAAATGTGTGTCTTCAACTACATTTATTTCAATTTACATTCGCCACAGCTTTGGACGACTTCATTCACTGGGACGATTTCGTCTTGTACCTAGATATACCACTTGAAGAATTCCCACTCTACGACCAGGGGTTGGTTTCGGATGACTCGTGGTCTGAATAGAATGACAGTGATGTTACCGCTACCAAGCCGTCAGTAATACCTCCCAAAACGTTTCACTCAAAGAAAACAATAGAAAATGAAAATATGACGGCTGTCTACGAGCGTAGGTTTTCGAGGCGTGTGAAGAAAAAGCCAATCCGATATTTGTTTTAAAAATCAGTAAATATATCTCATTTTATGCTTCAATTATAAAACTATTATAAATAAACAAACATACCAAATCTACTACGAATGCCACAGAAAACTACGATCCGGTAAATTGCACAGGAACTCAGGAAGTGTAAATATACAACTCATCCAGATGCAAGCAAGACACTTGTAACAGATCACCATATTCCCGATGTCCACAAAATATGTCTCCAGATTATCTTCATATCTTATAATAAATCCAGGCTAGATTTACGTGCAAAAATGCATGGTCACTGGCTGGTGTAAATGCTTTACTTTTAGCCAGAAAAAAAATGACGCCATGACTTTATTTCATGTAAATTCGCTACTATTTTATAATGCAAATAGGTCCAATGAATAAAAAATATACATTAAACTACGAGCGTTGTTAAATGAATTTTCCGACAATGCGCTTCGCAGGTAATCAAATGTTATTGGTTAATGCCAGTTTGGGGCTAGCAGTGATAATGGGGTTTGCCGGAGCTACAGAAGATAACAAATATAAACGATTGTGTTTAGGCCCAGATCATATAGCTCATAATTAATATTTACACGGTATATAATAAAAAATAGATTAAATGTAGTCATGATTAATAGAGACAAAATCTACAGAATATAACAAATATAAATCATTGTCAAAATATGTAGTTTTCTTCAGCGCAATATGTAATAGAAGCCTAACTGAAACAAAGTTAATAGGTATGTCAACCTTACCAAAAAATGGCGAAAACAATGGTAAAAAAAATACTGATCTTACAAAAATAACTCTAATATCATACAAAATTAACACACTTTGTAGAATGTTTCAAAAGATATATTCGGACGATAATCACAGACAAAATGCATGCTATGTCGTCTGCTATATGGTAATTTAATTCAAAATATATGACGTAAAATATGGGTTTGCGCCAATAAATCATACAAAAATAACTACCGATTGTACCTAAATAACTTTGGTACCAAGCAAAAGGGGAAATCTTGATGAATGTAAAAATATTTATTTCAGGACTGATACTAGGAACACATTCGTCTGAAAGCATGCGAAAATTAAGAGTTGTGGTGTAATTATTTCGGAAAAAATACAGATTTAGTCGCATTTCTGGAGTCAAAATCAGAAATTTCGCAACTGCCCTAAATTTGTTAATGACACTAAACTAATTTTAAACATATCTCCTTTTTATACACCTCGGTAACCAAGGACTTTCATTGCGAATTAGTGGTTGTTATTAAAAATCACAATCTGCACTTTTGCCGATTTTACACGTGCGCCATTTTGCTCTCTCAGACAAAGACAAAGCGTGATCACAGTCATCAAATACAATGACAACCACATGCTTTAGGGCACCAACAAATCTCGGTTGTAATGTTGACAATGTTAAGAAATACATGAGTGTACATATGTATAGTGAAATATATCTTTTTGCATGGAAAAAAAGGCGACAACGATGACTGCAGTGAGCGCGTTTCTGCTCGCTTCCCGACAGTCTGCACAGAACAAGCCATAGCACTGATGATTTCGTGCATAGGCTAGAGGGCCGTCCCTCTATATGGTCTCTGGCGCTACCAAAAAAACCTTCCCAAGAACCAAATCATGCTCTACACCTGGGTGTAAGCAGGTGCAAAACAGAAAGTTCTTTCAGGTATATCATGGTGTGTCAGCTGGAAGAAAAATCGGAAGTGATGCAGGTCATAGATATGTAGCACAGTTTATCACTCTGGTGAAACCAAGATATTCTGCAGACAAACCAAGAATCATGATGAGGCCGAATCTGGAATTTGAATCTACTGTCATAGAAATCTGACATGCCAAAGGGACACAACTCCAGTGAATTGTGGTACCTCAGATGACTTGGCCACTCATGACCTCACCACTCCTGAAAATGATCTCAATAAATACTACCAAATGGAGAAGGCAAAGAAGATTCTCAGTCTGAAAATAATAATTGCCTAGTGATGAGGAGCTAGTTGTGGTTTACCTGGTTGTCTGGGAACTTGTGGAGTGCCCTGTCTATGACTTCTGCAGCAATACCAGGCTTGCCCTCCTCCTCACACCAGCCCACCACCTGTTCATATATCTCCGCTTCAGAACCCCTGGCAGTGAGGAACTCCTCCAACCCCTCCAGGTCCCCCCGGGCAACAAGGTGCACCCTCACTTTCTGCTCAAACAGGTCTTTGTCCCTGGGGAACCTGCAGACACAACATCGATATAGGGAGGATATGTGAAGCACTTAGAGGTGAGGTGAGTGACATATGAATGATATGTGAAGCACACAGAGGACAGGTGAGTGATATATGTGGAGGATATGTGAAGCATATGTAGGACAGGTGAGTGATATATGTGAAGGATATGTGAAGCACATGTAGGACAGGTAAGTGATATATGTGGACGACATGTGCAGCACATAGAGGAAAGGTGAGTGATATATGTGGAGGATATGTGAAGCATATGTAGGACAGGTGAGTGATATATGTGGAGGATATGTGAAGCATATGTAGGACAGGTGAGTGATATATGTGGAGGATATGTGAAGCATATGTAGGACAGGTGAGTGATATATGTCGAGGATATGTGAAGCATATGTAGGACAGGTGAGTGATATATGTGGAGGATATGTGAAGCATATGTAGGACAGGTGAGTGATATATGTGGATGATATGTGAAGCACACAGAGGACAGGTGAGTGATGTATCTTGAGAATATGTGCAGCACATGTAGGACAGGTGAGTGATATATGTGGAGGATATGTGAAGCACATGTAGGACAGGTGAGTGATATATGTGGAGGATATGTGAAGCACACAGAGGACAGGTGAGTGATATATGTGGAGGATATGTGAAGCATATGTAGGACAGGTGAGTGATATATGTGGAGGATATGTGAAGCACATGTAGGACAGGTGAGTGATATATGTGGACGACATGAGCAGCACATAGAGGAAAGGTGAGTGATATATGTGGAGGATATGTGAAGCATATGTAGGACAGGTGAGTGATATATGTGGAGGATATGTGAAGCATATGTAGGACAGGTGAGTGATATATGTGGAGGATATGTGAAGCATATGTAGGACAGGTGAGTGATATATGTGGAGGATATGTGAAGCATATGTAGGACAGGTGAGTGATATATGTGGAGGATATGTGAAGCATATGTAGGACAGGTGAGTGATATATGTGGAGGATATGTGAAGCACACAGAGGACAGGTGAGTGATATATCTTGAGGATATGTGCAGCACATGTAGGACAGGTGAGTGATATATCTTGAGGATATGTGCAGCACATGTAGGACAGGTGAGTGATATACGTGGAGGATATGTGCAGCACATGTAGGACAGGTGAGTGATATATCTTGAGGATATGTCAAGCACATGTAGGACAGGTGAGTGATATATCTTGAGGATATGTGCAGCACATTGAGGATAGGTGACTGATATATGTGGAGGATATGTGCAGCACATTGAAGATATGTGAGTGATATATCTTGAGGATATGTCAAGCACAAAGAGGATAGGTGGGTGATATATGTGGAGGATACATAAGGCACATAGAGAATAGGTGCATGATATATGTACAAACCTTCACAAAAATCGAACAATAGTTTATCATTGTTAATAATTCTAAGAATACTACCTCTATTACACATTGTCCCATCTGTTGTCATATAAAAGGGCACAATCTTGCCACAGCTTCTGAGGCAAGTTCAGAGTATCCAGATGTCTGCATCTTCTGTGTGATAATTTCCAGGCGGTTAGATGTAGCCTGGGCAGATTTTCGTGAAAAATGCTGGACTTGAGGGCAGATCTCGACGAAGTGGTAACTGTATAGGTTCATCCATTAGTAGCTTCAGTAGTCTGGGGAACCCTGCCCTGCTGGGCCATATTGGAACTATCAGTATTATTACGCAATCCGTCTCCTCCACCTTGTGGATGACTTTGTCTAGGAGAGACCATGGTGGGAATGAATAGGCAATCCAATCCATCTAAAGAGCATTGATCTGGTGAGCTCTTGGGTCGGGAACTGGGCTGACATAAACCGGAAGTTGGTTGTTCTGGCAGGTGGCGAATAGATATGTATGTGGTATTTCCCAGAGCTTGGTTATCCAGGTGAAGATCTGTGGATGTAATGCGCATTCTGTTGCCACTATTCTCCCTCAACCCGAAAGACTGTCGGCCAGTATGTTCAGTTTCCCGGGTATATGTCTTGCTTCCATCCGGCAAATTAAGGAGTCTGACAAGGCAAACAATCATGTAGTCTCCATCATAAGGGAGCTGGATCTGGTTCCTCCATGCTTCTGAATATAGGCCACTACTGTGGTGTTGTCCGTGGCTGTGAGAATGGATGATAGATGAAGATGTATCCTCCATTCCAGGATGGTGTGATATATGGCCTTCATTTCCCTGCAGTTGATACGAAGGTTTTTCTCCTCTTTATCCACGATCCCTGCACTGTGAGATCGTCCACATAGGCGCCCCAACCCGAATCTGATGCATCTGTGAATATATGGTGTTCTGGCATTATGCCACTTATCACATGTTGTCTGTGATTCCACCAATGGAGGTCTCTTAGTTATCTGGGAGGTAACTGAGTCTGGAACTCTAGGCCATAAGATCGTATTGACCCATGTCTGTAGATCACGTAGCATCAGCCTTCCTCTGAAGGTCATATCCTGTAAAGATGTTAAGTTGCCTAGAAGAGACATCCACCACCTCAGCGACTTGCTGGGTTGACTTGAAAGTGATTGAATCATCTTTATAGTCTTGTCGAATCGATCCTCCGATGCGCATAGATATTCCCTGTCTAGCTGGAATCTTGCTCTGATGTATTTAATGTCTTGAACCCGAGTAATCTCTGATTTGGATGGATTGACTAGGAATCCTAGGTAGGTCATAAGTTGGACCAAGGAAGTCATCCAGATAGCCATGGATTTGAACTAGATGGAGGTGAGCAAACTTGATGACTGGCACTGTAATCCTGGTGAATAGCCAAGGGGCTATTGATATCCATGAATGGTAGGACTTGGAATTCGTAGCATCGGCCATTGATGGCTAAGCGTAGATACTTCCGAGATGAAGGGTGTATTGGGACGTGAAGATAGGCATCTGTTAGGTCTAGGCTGATAAGCCAGTCCCCTTTCTTCAACGTCGACCATAATTTCTGTATGGACTCCATCTGGAATTTTGGGGGAGGTACCAGATATCTCTTGTAGAGGGTCTTTAGGTCTATTATCATCCTCATCTCAGTTGTATTTTTCTTGGGGACTCAGAAATCCGGAAGATAAAAACCCTTGGTGTTGTTGCTTTCTTTCAGTTCTTTCAGTTCCTGCAGTTCGTAAACGATACTTTTTCAAAGCATATTGTGGTCTACCTCTTTCACATTCTTTTTAAAAAAAATTGAAGACGTTGCAAATAATTGACTTCGCGTCGAGTGATGTTCTCATTGTTTCAGGTATAGCAATCACGCATCTATGGTTTGCTCAGCAAGCCTTACGTCACTTTCGCACATGAAACTCGCCCACCTGGCTGTTCTATGAACAACTGGTCCTCCCTGGTATGGGATGGCGAAAAATGTCAACAATATGATGATCGTTTGTTAAACAATATTTTTATTCGGGTGTCCAAAATTATGAGACAAACCATCAGAGTTGGTCTGTCCAATTCATGTCGCTGTGCACATTTTGGTTTTGTTGCAATTATTAGATTTTGAATTAGTGAGCAATTCATCAGTCTCAAATGGAATCAAACAGACTGTAGTTTTTTAAAACTGATAAAAAGAACATTCTGGAATGGCTTATAGATGGCCTATATTGTATGGATATAATCATAATACCCGTAACTGTCGTTTGGAATACCCTCTGTTAAATATTTCGAGGTTGCATTAGTTCCACGAATGTATAGCCTTCGGTGTAATCTTGTTGAGGTGAGTTATCAGCTTGATCCTAAAAACCCTCTGACTCTGCCTCTGAGTGGCCTTGGGTGTCTCCCCTGTGGGGTGGATAATCGTAGCACTCTGCTTCTACCCCGTAGGTTTTGTCATCATCCGATGACCATGATTCCAGTGTAATCTGTCTCCGTGTGGCTTGTGGTCAGTAGTTATGCGGTGGCTGTCCTCTCAGCTGGCTGGCCAGCTGGCTGAGTATACATGTGTAGTCCATGCAGCTGGCTTGGGAGCCTTTGGTTGATGAAAGTCATATGGTAAGCTGTGGTCGGTCGGCTCAGTAGCCGTGGATGGCTGGCCCATGGAGTCCGTGCTACACGGTATCATAATGGATGGCTGGCTGGACGGCTTATCAGTCGGGTGGGTTGCCATGGAAGGCTGGCCCATGGGGTCCATGTGACCACCGTGCCGCGTCTGGCTGGTGTGGCTGGTGTGGCTGGATGGCTTGGTTGCCGTGGATGGTATTGTCCCATGGTAGGGTGAAGCCTACTGGCTTATACCCAGTTGATAGGCTGGCTGGCCAGCTGGCTCAGCTTGCTGGTCTCTTGTAGAAGGGACTACAGCCATGGGAGAAGATCTGATAGTCTTTGCCCTAGCTATCTCCTTGATCTTTCCTATCTCTGTGTTCATTGATGGGAGCTTTGTCTCGAGCATGCCCTTCACCATCAACTGCTGTTCTTTGAGCAGTTGGTGGATCAGACTCGTGGAGAGTGCAGGAGATGGTAGGTCGGCTTGAGAGGGAGGCGTTGGAGTGGAAACTGATTTCTCCGTCACGATGTTTTCCACTTTTTTCTTGGCAGCCTCGTGCCTGTTGGCCTTAGTCATGGCCTCGGACATCTTGGAGAAGATCTTCTCGGATGTGTTACTGCATTACTCACATCTCTTCTCCTTGCTGCAGGTCATGCCTCTGCACTTCGTGCAGTTTTCATGAGGATCTCCTGTGACCATGAATCAGCCTGGGGTAGACGGAGACAACATGGAAACCTCACAAAATCACCAAACACCAGCTATACTTACGTGCGTGTTTGACTCTCCAGCAACACTATTAATTTATACTTATGTGTCTGTTATTATAGAAAACTAATTGGAATAATCTTAGGTTAATGTATTAACTATTATAGTAGGTGTTAACTCTAGCACACACAGGAAAAAAGTGATGTTGCCACCATTATGACATCATGGCATGGGTAGTTACAAGACGACTTGGCGACAACTAATTGCGTGAGTGACAGTGAAGAGGACATCTGTTGAAAATCTGAAAATTTTAGTTAAAATACAGGATTTATGGCAGATATGTAATAGAGGTAGAAGTTTTGTAAGAATTATTTAGATCTGCCAATCTTGATCTCCCAAAACCATTTGACCTAGTGACATCAAAGTTTCGCAAACAGGACTGATGTGTATTTCGGTGGGAGGAACTAAAATTATCCTCAAAAGTATTTTGTTAGTTGTCCGGGAGTGGTGAGGGGATTCAGTTTCTCTCTGTAGATTGAAAGTCCGGATCAGAAAAAGTATAAGAGTTAACAGTTGATCAGAAATACTATTAGGCTCTTCGATACATCCTTTAGGTATGTGTTGTATTTAAGCAAATCAGGCTACAAGAAACTGAGGACTGTGTGTGCATATTTATGATAACTTACATCATAAATAAAAGGAATTGAGCAAACAAGCTGACTTACGATTTTGAGAGTGACATCATCCCAGGAACCAAGAAGTGGCTGATGAGTACAAGTGACCAAAGGTAGAAGGGTATAGTACCGACTCCTAAGGTTACAATTATCCTCCTTCACAAGTAAAAGACCTCCAGGTCCCATAAACCTTATCAATATCACTGCTAGCTTTTCTACTTGTAGCATACAGTAGCACTTTGATCATACACAAAGTGTCTTGAGTTTACTTTGGTAGAAATACATATATCTTGGAAATCATTAATATAACTCACAATTCCATTCCATATTCCAGGGTTTCCTCCCTTGGACGGGGGTTTACGTCTGACCTTGGATTCTGCTGATCAAGTATGTCCAGCAAGTAAAAGGTTTTAGCTTTTCTTCTCTCCTTACAATGCGACAACGCAGTCAGGATACGGTCAGCCTTGTCAAACTGGTCGTTGGTGATGTAGTGACCAGCTATTGTGTGGTGAACATATGGTAAACAGTCAGCCATGAAGCCTAGCCTTATTTGGACATCAACTGAAGAAACAAAGCAACATATATTTAAAAGACATATTTACAAAAACATACGAGGTGGTGCTGAGCAAATACAGTAATAAACTAGGCTTAATTATGATCTGGTTATAAGTGAGTGTGTGTCACTATAAAGCGTGTTTCAGCTTATGGAGAGATCAAAGTGATGCAGGTCTTGGATGTTTAATGCTTTGGGGAAAGCTGCAAGCATGGGTGAGCTGCTCACAAATTAAAGAGCCAGGATGTTGTCACTTATCTTATTTAATTGTTTAATGAATGATGGCTTGTTAAAGGGATAATATACTCACACGCAAAAGAAACACAAGTCGAGTATGCAGTATACATGTTATTTATTTTCAACAGTAAAGACATAATTGTTTTTTATTCAAATGTTAAGGGCTTACACAGTTTCGGGTCAATACCCAAAATGTCAGTCAATACCTGGTGTGACCACCATTTGCATTGATCACTGCCACGCATCTCCTGTACATTGAGTGGATCAAACGATTAGTGAAGGCCCTATGGATCCGCCTGCACACATCCAGAGCAGCTGTGCATAGTTCATCGGCAGTTGTAGGGACTGGGCGCACATTGTGCAGACGCCTTTGAACCTCATCCCACAAGTGTTCGATGGGGTTCAGATCAGGGCTGAGGGCTGGCCACAGTAGAACACGGATGTTGTGTTGTTGCAGAAAGGCCATGGTAGCTCTGGCAACATGGGGACGAGCGTTGTTCTGCTGGAAAATGTGTTGTTGGTGTTGTGCAAAAAATGGAACCACGTGGGGTCTGATCACTTGGTCAATATACCGCTGAGCAGTGACGCCGTATCCCCGACCTTGACCTACATTCAGAAAGCACATGGGTCCAAGTCTCGCATTAGGTCCAATCCCTGCCAATATCATCACGCTAGGTCCACCCCATGGATCCCTTTCCACAACGTTTCTGTCAGTGAAACGATCACCTCGACGCCGTCTGCATGGGAGACACAAAAGCGAATTTCACATCAGAGAAGATGACACGCCTCCACTCACGATGACGCCAATTGCGATGACCATGTGCTTGTTGGAGAACAGGACGACGTGCTGGTCGGCGACATCTGAGGTTGTTGGAACGGAGATGTCGGATCACAGTGTCTCGGCTAATGTGTCGATTATGTGTTCCTATGGTCTATCGAGCACTTTCACTTGCAGTTAGGAACGGATGTCGTTGGTGTTGACGGGTAGTCTGCCGATCTTGTCAAGGTGTGGTGACCCTAGGACGACCGCTCCGAGGAAGGTCTGTGGTCTGTGTAGCATTGTATTGATGCAGGAGACGGTAAATTGTGGTTATATTAACGTTGAAATGACGGGCAACATCTTGGACAGACTCTCCAGCTTCCAAACGTCCGATAGCCTGGTTTCTCTGAATTTGATTTAGGCGTGGCATTGTTGACCAAGGAGTGGTAGGTCCAAGAATCCGCCACAGTTTTATACCCACTACAGTTCGTGCATTTTCAATTTCGCGAGAAATGCTTGCATGATACCGACATATGAAATGGTGCGTTTTGGCGATTCATTTTTTATGTTGCCTTTTTACTTGGAGCTTCCAAAATGCAACCAAAAATATTGATAACACCATCAGGCTTCACTACATGCTAAAACTCGTATCAATTTATGGTTCTGTGTTTGTTACCTATTTGCTTAAAACCATGTGTTTCTTTTGCGTGTGAGTATATGTTGACCATTCTGAAGCATTATTTGCAAAAAATAACTGACAGCACTCAAGCTTACTTGGCTCTGCTTGCCTTATTCTGCGAGAGAAATTTCTGCTCCAGTGACCACACTGCAGGTGTGGCCTCATAAGCTGGTATGGGAGCGTTTTGTTGAGGGGAATACTCTGCCTTGTTTCTGCAACGTGATTGGCTTCATACGATCGAGGCATTTATATTTTAATCTAGCTTTTGATAGATATGGCAGTTCTCAGTTTGTAACTCATCCGTAAGAAAAACACATGAGCTTTCTCTTCAATTTGCCTCTAATAAAACATTGCGGAAGCTAGTTTATTCTGTACACCATGACATTTATTTTGGGACCTTCATGAACAGCTTGCTACAATTTGTTCTACTGAAACTGATCCCCAAGAAGCTAGCGAAGTTGATAATGCTCTAATTTCATGAGCCTTGCATTCACTCCAGATAGGCAGGGAGAGCTCTGCATGTCCATTAGTTTCGGAGATGGTGGTTTTCAACCAACCTATGACATTAGCCTTGGAGATATCTTTATCTACAGAGGGCTTGCAGGAGATGAAAAGATGTTTCCTGTGGCGACGATGGTCTTACGTCGCTGCGAGGTAATACTTTAGTGCTCGCAGTGCTGTCTAGAAGGTCAACACACCAGCCTAGAGCGGGGATGTAGTATTGCTCATGACCTAAAGAACCTCTTGCTGTGGTCTTACAATGAACTCTGGGAGAGCCAGCAGAGTGATCCTTCCCAATCTAGTGAGTGGGGAGAAGTCAACGATATGGAGCTCTGACATGGAAAGCATAAAAGCAGTCTTCTCAGATGCTGATGGAGAAGCCATTATTCTGGATGATTGATGCTAATCGGTAATGTCTCCACGTGTAGAAGTAGCAGAAAATCTGCTACCATGGAAACAGTTACTTCCATGTGCTCCAAACCACTTCCTCTCCATCACTGTCTGAACTTGTGCCACAGTGCTTTTGTAGATGGCGTGGGGAGGGAGGTCTCCAAGACTGTGCAACAGCATTGGAGGCAGAAACTGGAGATGTAGGTGAAGATTGTGAAGGCTTCGGTGGGATAAGTCCTATCCGAGCAGATCCGGACAAAGTGGGTGTTGTGGAGAGCTTGCTAGTCTGGTACCTATTTTGATCATTTCAGTGGATCATATTAGGTCCAGCAGACTTTTTATATTTTAGTCTTGTGACTTTATACTACTGAAATACTACTGAAATACCTGCCGACAGGTATGTTCTTGTAAAAAAATCTGTAAAACAAGTGACAAAAAAAAGCGTGGCCTGAGTAACGGTAGTCGCTGGTGGATGTTTCTTAGCCTCAGGCGCACATGTTCTTAAACATGTGCTTAAAGTAAATCACCTTGCAAGTAGACAAGCAGTACTTGGTTATCACGTGGGTGAGGGGTAGCGTTAGGTGTGGAAAGCATGGCTATGCCTCTACAGATGAACCTCACGTTGCTGACATGTCTGGGATGTCATCTTCCATAGTAATAAACTTCCCAGACCCCGATTACCACAATGATCCGAGTTGGGGCAGAGGGCATTTTCAGATTGGTTGGCAAGTCCAGTGTCTCGAGACACAGCCTGTTGTAGTCTTAAATTGGAGACACACTCAGACATCGAGTCTAAATGACGATCCATCAAAGTCGTGATGGATTTAGTTAGTCACTGACGCTGTGATGGACTCAACCACAGATGACATACAAGTCTTAATTAGATTCAATGGTGATGGTAGAGTCTCGGTTGGGACTGTCACGCGGTTGGTCAAGTGTTCCCGCTGGCTTTTAAACTCTAAAATTTACCAGTCCACCCAAATTTTTGCCAGTCCCAACTTTGAACAAATAAAAAACACATATGAAAATTACCTGGTGTTAATTCCCTCAAAAGTTTATTTGTTCTATGCAGTGTACATGCAGTCACAATTTTCTCTTTTTTTGTATGAAATATTCCTCTTGCTCATGCATAGTTCATTTCGTCTCCAACCGCATGCATATGCAGTTTCATTAGGTTATTCAACCTCCTTTGACTCAGTCTATTACGACTGGCTGTGTGGATTCGGTTTTGAACGCTGAACCCGCGCTCTGCAGGTACGCTGCTTACCAGAATTGTGATCGCAATGGTAGCCAGTAGTGCAAAATCGGGAATATGTCAGCATATTCCTTTATCAGGACCTGGCATGTGTTCGCAAACATAACAGTGCCCAGGCCAGCTGCAGCTCACTTGAATTGTTGGAAGTCAATGTCAGAACGATGTCCAGTGACTCCAAGATACTAAGACTTTCAGCAGACAAACAATTGTGTAATGAATGAATCAAGACTTGATCCACTCGTTTGGCTTGAAAGGCAATGACAGACCTCGGATCATTCTCATTCAAATGTTTTTTTTGTGTTTTCCAGTTCCATTCAATAAGTTTGTAGGCATCCAATGGTTGATTCCACCATAGGCTGTATCATAGCTAGGTTCATGTTGTCCTTTTCAAAGACGGTGACAAGTTTTTACATGTACGGCAGAACATCAGAAAACATGTACATAGTCACAACAAATTAACATTTTCAATAAAGCATTTTGCGAGATTCACCTTAACTGTGTTGTTACACTGGGCTGCCTCTTCCTCAATTTCAATGACTACAGCTGACAAATCAGTCTTGTAGAAGTAACAGCTCGAATCAGTGACAACCTCCTTACAGTACAGGGCTGTTTGACACTCGAGAATTCTGTGTTGTCCAAAACTTTAGAAAGTTCTTTTAATCTGTCATACCGATATGCACTTTGATAGTTTAGCTGCCTCTTGCAACGTCAGGGCACCACGATGTGCAATGCAGCGTACATGCACTAAGCACATCCACTTTTTGACAGTCCACAGGGTCTGGCAGGCACATGAATTACCAGTCTAAACCTAATTTTACCAGTAAAAAAAATGGTAATTACCGGTAAACGGGAACATTGTGGTCATCAACCCCAAATCCATGCGACACTGCTGTACCCTTCCTGCCAGGGCCTGCATTATCAAGGCCTTATGAAATAAATGCTTCTTGGTTGAGGACTTAGTAGACGCCTTCCGCGATGATCTTGCCGTCCTAGGTTTGTGTGAAGACAACGTTTCATGCAGAATGATGAAGGACGAGTGGCAGGGTGACAGTGGGTTTGAGTCCATATGGGCTTCCCAAAATATGTTTACAAAAATCTACCTAAGTGTAATACACCCAGAAATGCTTTTGCACGTGATACTATTTGCCTAACAACTGGTTGGAATGGCTGTCAGTGAAGAGGACATCTGTTGAAAATCTAAGGATTTTTATGTGTGAGGTTTGTCAAATTGCAGAAATTCAGTGCATATTAAGGGCCTTTGTTTTCTTCATTTGAACAGTTAGATTAAATAAGTAAGATTTTAAACATAATCATCATAGAAAACATATATACAGATCAGGAAACAAAAAAGAACATTATCACTATCCCCTGCCACGGGGTACATAAGAATTATTTTGTTCACATAGAAGTGAATAATATAGAAGTTAATTTTAACTATAAAAAATAAAGTCCTACAAAGAGATAGGCAGCAGTGTGGATTTATATCATGAGAAAACTTGATAAAATGTGATTTGTCTAACTTAAATTGTTTTTGATTTTTTTGTCCCCATTGAGAAGCAGACAGAAGTACGAACTATGTTCCTATATCCCCCCACCCCACTTTGTGGCAGGGGATAAGAACCGTGTCCATTTGCATTAATGAGTGAGTGAGTGAGTGAGTGAGTGAGTGAGTGAGTGAGTGAGTGAGTGAGTGAGTATGGTTTTACGCCACTTTTAGCAATATTCCAGCAATATCACGGCGGGGAACACCAGAAAATGGGCTTTACACATTGTACCCATGTCAGGATTCGAACCTGGGTGCCTCGGTGTGACGTGCGAACACTTTAACCACAAGGCTACCCGACCGCCCCAATTTGCATAATTGTGGATATGGAAATGATTTATTATTGTCCTGACAACAATCCCCAAGCAACTTACAGACATCCCAGAAGTAAGGTTCAGCCTCCTCGATCTTGTTCTGTTTCAGTAGGCAGTTTGCCATGTTTTCCTTACATTGCCAGTAAGACCGATGATCCCCATGCAACTGGTTAATCTAAATAACAAGTGAGTTGGATTTAATGGCCCTTTGAGTGAGTGGGTGTGTTTTTATGTCCCTTTTAGCAATACTCCAGCAATACAGCAGCAGGGGCCAGCAGCAGGGGCCAGCAGCAGGGGCCAGCAGAATGGGCTTCACGCAAAGTAACCAAGTGAGAATGGAACCTGTGCTTCAGCTTGACGAGTTAATGCTTTAACCACTAGGCTACTGAACTTGTCTACTGAACTGGCCTACATGCCATTTTAAACAGTATTTCAGTCATATCACAATATCAGCTTAATGTGGAAGGAAAGGCCAAAGTGATGTTGGTCATTGGTGGAAAAAAACATAAGACACAGACCAAGCAACGTGCTGCAGCCTAATATTCATCCTTAGGCATTCTATTTTAATCACTTTAATCAATCTTATATAAAACTTTCTGTTATCATGAAGTTACAAATATGTAGCTTGTCTAAGGATTTTATATTTGCTTTGTTGATTACACCTTTAAATGTTGACCTCATTACTGGATGGAAATGTGGTGTAAAAGAATTGGAAGTATGCCATAACTGAATAATGAATTTTTCCTGATAAAAATGTCATTTATACCTATCCTGACTCACACGAATTTGCCTATCTTTTCTTATTCCCGAAAGGTAGTGGAAACATCCTGTGCTGTGTTCCCAGTGAACAGAAAGCATCTCACCTCTCTCACGCTCAGGCGCAACAGAACCACGTGACCAACCCATCTGACTCAACACATCATCTGAGTGTGCAGGGACAGCTTGGTGGGTGCTTCAGCGTATGAGTCAGGTTAAGTATTAATGAGATTTTTATCCAAAAAAAATCTTACTTAAAATTATCCTGACTCACATGAAAATGTCTGTCCGGTTGTCCAGGTAATTGGTTCTTCGCAATGAAGTTCCATATGAAACTGAGATGGGCCGATGCATGTTCACCGCTGTCAAACCTGGTACAGCTGAAGTTGAGCGCATGAATTTCTGACATTTGGGCTGCTAGTAGCTGATGCCAGGAGAAACAAAATCTTTTGTGTCAGGTGTTCAAAGTCAGCTTCTTCTAGAGGTTCGTAAACACCACTGATAATATGTTGCAGCACTATATTAAAATCGCAAGCTGGGGCTCTAAACATTGTCTGTTGATCCTCAAGTTTGTAGGATCTCAGTTCGGCTACCAATTCGGGAATCTTTGTGAGTTTTTCTACGTTAGTCATAGTTAAGACGGAGCTGATTGCCTCCAAATAGGTTCCTAAGGTTGAACCCTTGAGATTTCTTATGCTCTGTAGATGACGGAAGATGATGAAGACATTGGCCACCTGGGATGAAGTAGCTTTTGCTGCTGTGAACCCTTTTGTTCTTACGAATTGGTCAAAGCTCTTCCACTTGTCATCATACAAGTTCCTTGTGGAGCTACGAAGAGCTGGGGAGACTGACTTAGCTGCCCTGGCAGAGAAGCCTCATCTTGTGTGGTTGTTCGTAATATGCTCCATACGTGAAGTTTGTAAATATTCGGTCTTGGGTGAACTTGCTTTGAGTGTGGATGACAAAGCAGATTTGGTCAGTTTGGAGTTGGTTTTCCTGCTATTGCTAGAAAGGTTTGGAAACCACGTCCTCGACGGCCAGTAAGGCGTTACCAAGAGCAGTTGAATGATCTTCTTTACTGATATAGAATGATAATGCCAGCACATTGTTGGACTAAGCCTGAGGGTCTGGTACTGGGGAGACGAGGTTTGTTGTTTGTTGAACCTGGTTGCAAATAGGTCCACTGATGAACAATCTCCTTATAACCAGTTGGAATGCTTCTGGATGTAGCATCATTATGTTAGTGACGGTACTGATCGTTGCAGCCATTCGGTCAAAATATACAAAGTTGAAATAAAGGACAAAAGTATGCAATAATAGTTAAATGTTACGAATAAAGTAATAAATGTTACTAATAAAGATCAAAATATATTAGTCAAATGTTACAAAATGATGTCATATGAAAAGAAAGAACAATGTGTACCATAGAACATCAGTGCCCACGAAAGGACATTTTAAACTACTACAGGACGTTGACAATAAAGAACACCAATTTGTAAAACATTCTGAGTTTAATCGGCTTGTTCTGCTGTGTACTCGTATATGATAACTGCATGCTGAGGTACATAATGTATATTATGTCATTTTAAAGACATCTGAAAAGTGAATGTTGTGCGAGAATTGTGCCTGCGTGGCAATGTGTCAACCTCAGACTATAAAATTATGCAGAGATGTAAAATGTTCACTTTCCTGTCTGGTGGTGTGGTGTAAATGTAACTGCAAATATGAAACGGATTTGAAAAGACACTGCTAAGTGTTGTCCCAGCAAATGTCGCCACTTATTATTGTACACTGCTTGCCAGAAATGACACAGTGCACAATTCTCGCACAATGTCCATTTCACAGATCTTATGAAAATGTGCATCTGAAACATAACTCGGCATCATGACACCCTCGTGTTGCGCCAAGCAAAAAGGACCTTTCCCGGTGACAATGCATAAATGCAACATTTATATACACCATGTGTTCTTTATACATTATACATATGTGACGTCAGACGGTGGGTGCACGAGGAATGACGTAATACACCGTGTACCTCGGCATGCAGTTATCATATACATAACAGAACGAGACGATTAAACTTGGAATGTTTTACAAATTGCAGCGCCATCTGGCGTTCTTTAATTTCAACGTCCTTTAGCAGTTTAGTGTCCTTTCGTGCGCACTGACGTTCTTTAGAACACATTGTTCTTTCTTTTCATATAATGTCTTTTTGTAACATTTGACTATCATATTGCATACTTTTGACCTTTATTTCAGCTTCAAATTTTTTTTAACGGCATCTGTTTGTTTTGTATTTTGACCCTAATTTGTTATATTTAATACTTTATTCGTAACATTTTACTATTGTTACGTACTTTTGTCCTTGTATTTTTTGATCGAATGGCCACCCTTGGGTATGGACAGTGTGTCTGGTAAGACATTGATGCTCCTGGGATGTGTCTTGCTTTGATGTTTAGATTCAGACTGTCTGTCAACTCATACAGCTGAAATGTCAAACCTTGTATTGGATGCAGGTGGAGTCTGCCCCATACTGTTAGAGCTTGGCGAAAGTGAGTAGAACACTTGCCACCGATTGACTGATATCTGTTTGTGAATTGCTGCTGGAATATAACTTTGGATTTTGATCCAACAATCTTCTGGAACTTCTGCCCTGTCAGAAACCTGATTCCCCAAAACTTGAGTACTTGGGATGGTTGGAGGTCAGACATCTGATAATTGACTAACCATTCTAACTGTGTTAATAGTTTCAGAGTGACATTCAGTTGAAGTCTGAGTAGCTCTGCTTGTTGATGAGCCTGAATCCTGTCATCCAAATAGAAGGCGCAATGGATCCCCTTGTTATGCCGAAAGGCCACAACTGGTTTGGTAACATGTGTAAACTACCACAGGGCCATGGAAACTCCAAAGGGCAGGACTTTCTATTTGTAATGATGACCTTTCATAGGAAATATCCTGGAGGCTGGATGAATGGGGATGTGATGGTATAATCTTGAAGATCGATGCTTGCCAGATAATCGGATTAAGAGAGAGGAAGTCTGGACTGTAGCCTTTCCTGAGAATGTTTGATACCAACTGGTTATCCAGGATGTCCCAATTTCTCCAATATCTTCCACCAACAGGCGATTGCTGTACCTGAACGGCTGGCGGTTGAAGGTCCCAGTCGTTCAACAGCTCTCCTTCAGCAGTAGGCACGAGATCTTCTTGATCCTTGGCTTCGGCTGGACTGATCACGTGGTCTGTCCTGAGGTAATCGAAAGGCTGTGGTCTTGCCTCCTCGATAGCTGGTGGAGCACTTGTCCTTTGCTTTCAGAATGCCGGAGAAAAGAGTAGTGAATTGTGTCTTCTGCACCACTTGTCTGTCTGAATTGATTAGACATTTTTATCCGACGGAATTGGTGGAGGGCATACCTTCAGATGTGGTTTTTCATCTTTTTTTCAAGACTCTGTTCCCTCAGCCAAGTTGTGTGGTCGGTTTCAAGTGACCACTATGTAAGGGAACCTCCATTTCCCTCAGCCCGTCCTCGGCTGTATGGTCGGCATCTATGACCATTTTATGGATGGGAAGAGTCAGGTATGCGTTGTGTCCTGGTACTACTCAGCCATCGACAATAACCCTCTCAAGTTAAAGTTTTAGACTGGAGTACCGAGCCGCATGCATGTGGGGCATGAACCTTCTAGTCCAGGGCATTACGCCGGGAGATCGAAAGGCCGGCTCTGGACTGGAGGCAAGGTCAGTGAGGTGTAGTAGTGGTGACCTGTTGGGCCACTACTAACAGACCAAGCTGTGCGTGCCTTGCACATCCTCCAATGCGACATCTCACATATGGTGACTGGCGACAATTGTGTTTGATAGCCTAAAACACCCCTCCATGATGGCACATAGAGCGCAGTTGCTGTGTAGAGCCATGGTGGAGGTGACCACCCGGGTCTCATGCGGGTTGTTGGAGCTTGGGGGGTTCAGTCCCATGGCCTCGTTGGCCTGGAGAATGATGGCTCGTAACCAGAGGGCAATTGTGTTGCGGCTGCCTTCTGTTCGCGAGGTCGCAGATACCGGTATGAAGAGGCATCGTCGTTGTCTACAGCATTCTTTGGATCATTTGATGTAGCAACGGAGCACTCTAATATATAGACGGAGCTCTTGTTCATCTTCCGCGCCCACAATCGAAGATAGGGGAGGGGTGAGGAACGATTTATCTGGGTGTCCTGGGAGTTGATTCTTGGCAAAGAAGTCCCAGCACAGTCCAAGATGCACGGCTCAGTGTGCTCAAGGCTCAGAGAGAGTACAGGTGGCAGAAAAGCATACGCTCTTAACCCTTCCCAGGGAATGTTGAATGCATCGATGGCCAAAGCCAGAGGATCCGAAATCGGCAATATGTAGGTCGGTATCTGGTACTTATGGCTAGTGGTGAATAGGTATATATTGGGGAGACCATGGTCTCAACAAGCAAGAGCGAAGGCGTCTGGGAAGAGCTCCCACTCTGCAGGGGCGACTTTGCCTGGCCGAAATAGAGCATCAGCTAGGATATTTCGGCAGCCCGGAATGTGTTGGACCTGGAACTGGATCCCCAGATGATCCACCAAGTGAAAGAATCAGAACGTCTGTTAAAGGATTCAGGTCTAGTGGGTTGCTCCCTTGTTCCGTAGGCACCAGACGACAGATATCTTGTCCGACGAGATAGAGAGTCAGGCATGTCCAAAGGCCTACTCCCAATGATCGATGGCTAAGATAAGCACCTCCATTTCGAGACTGTTGACATGCCATAGGTGCTGATCGGTGGACCACAGCCCCGAGGCAACCTGTCCCTCTAGGTGTGCTCCCCATCCCTGCAGGGAGGCGTCTATGAATAGGCGTAGAGAGGTCGTAAGCCCTGTGAAGGAGACGCCGCCTAAGACATTCGATTCCACCTTCCACCACAGGAGACGCTGCTTGAGGTGATCCGGGAGGGCGATGGATACAGAGGGGTCCTGGCATCTGATGTAGGGAACCAGGAACATCTGAACTGGGCGCAGTTGGAGCCTTCCTCTGTAGGTCAAGTCCTGCGCTGAGGATAGTAGGCCAAGGAAGACTTGCCATTGGCGCAGAGAGCGTGGTAAGTGGAGAGCTGGAGTCAGGTGCGACTGCAAGCACTTCCACCGGTCCCTGGGTAGAGAGAGGAGCATCTGGAAGAGCCATCATGGTGGTGGCCGCCACCGTAAAAATAGACGCAGGAGTGGTCGTCAAGGTACTCGGGGAAGAGACTGAGACCGTGGGGCCTGACATCAAGATAGTAGTTGAGGTCGGGGGGGTAATCGTCCGAGATGGCCAATCTGTTAGTGGGCGAATTCTCGGAATGGTCTGACATCTTGCCCCAATGTTTCCTTGCCTGTTGTGTTCTCCGTTTGCTGGACACATGGAGGTACTGTCTGAGACAGTCTTTACACCTATGACCCTGGAGGCATTGAGGCACAATTAAGGCACAGGGGGTAGAGGTCCCACATCGACATATTATGTCAGCACTTTGAGTAGGAGGGCATGATATCTGCAATGAAACAGTGTAAAATCACAATGCGTCCCTGCCCAATTATGTATGTTATAATTTGTTTATCCCACAGCGTGGGTTTCTGAAACAATTATTACGACAAACGTAAGACAACATACAAACGAAGACAAAATACTTGTGAGGGTACGCCTGTGAAAAGGTAGGGGGTTTGACGAAAGTCAGATGCTGCACAGATATGGAGGGTTGCTCGCAGGTGTCTTCTTTCGCAGAGGAGGAGGACCCCTTCATGGAGGAAGACTTTTTCTTTTTCGCTAGAGCTCTAAGATTTTTGCCAGAGTCAGATGAAGCTGAAGATTTCTTCTTAGACTTTGAAATGCTCTTCAGTTAGGAGTTAACACTCCTACAGCCAAGGGAGAAAGTCTGCACTGAGACAATGAAGTAAGCTCAATCTTAATCTCATCTTTCAAATATCCATCATCATCTAGTGGTATGCAGAATTCGCATTTCTGTTCTGCAGTACAGTGGTGCATAATGTAAGTAGAACAGAGGGGTCAGGGATCAGACATCTGTTTTCAGATTTCAAAGAGTCAAAAGGTAAACATATCTTGCCAAAATAAAAACATAATTGATGAATATCATGAAATGATGTTAGAAAAGGGTATTCTGAATCTTTTTATGAAAATGGGCAATTTTGATAGGATTGTTTGGATTATGAACACAGAGAAAAACATTTCCTCACAGCAAGCTGGCATGAAAATAAAAGAGTGATGAGTCAGACGGGTTGGTCACGAGTTTCCAGTGTGGCTGCATGTAATAGAGGTGTGCTTGGATGAGATGTTTTCTGTTCACTGGGAACACATGATGTTTCCACTTCCTTTTCGGAATAAAGAGAGATAAGCAAATAAGTATGAGTCAGGATAAGGTAAATTACTTTACTTAAAAGGCAAATTTCTTCAAAAACTGGATTTGCATTTTTCATAAATAGTTATATTTTCGGCACAACAACTTTTGTCACCCTTTTTTTTTATCTCTTGGGAACAATCAGGTTAATCTCACCTTGTATATGTGAAGAGCTTTCTCTGTAAACTGCTGAACTTTGACATAATTCTTCCTGAACATATACAGAGTGCCTAGGTTCATGTACGCTGTTGCAACTATAGGGTGTTCACTGCCAACTGCGTTAATCTTCAGTTCAAGTGACCTGTAACATAGTTTTCAGACTTAAACATAGACTTATGACAGTCATGGTGAAAAGGTTGTGGCACAAGGATCAGCAATGTAACAGACACGAATCTGCCTTGCTTGATCTTTACTGATCACATCAAATCAGGAACTAATCACAAAAAAGTATTATTCAAGCAACATTTATAACATTGTAAGTTCAGCATAATGTAGCCCTAGCAGTTTCAGATACATTATTGAAAATGTGAATGAGTAAGGGTATCCAGGATGCTGATAATAAGAGTCATGGTAGATTGGGTAGGCATCCCATCCCTTGTGATGAGCCGCGTAGGCATCAACCGCCGAAAAGGTCACATGAGGATAGCCACTATGGTGATACTCAACAATGGATGACCGATCTCTGCCGTAGAGAGAACTGGCCGACGGGTGGTCAGTTGAAGATGATCGGGAACGGGAATGATGACAATCATGGTGCGAGCATTCGATATCAGCCGAGGAGCGAGCATGGTAACTCGATCGAAAATGCCGATCCTGTGAGTGAGAGCGCCGATTGTGGGAGCGGGAGTGCCGATATGTCGTCTTGCAGGGTGAACATTGCACCGAAGTGTGACAATCTAAAACGAGCCGCGATGAAGTTATATCTCTAGCCCCCGGGGGAGTAGAGAGAGATGAATCCAAGAGCAGGATTTTAAATGGACTGGCGCAATCAGTCGCTGGTATAACGAGAGTGGGACCCCGGTTGGTCAGACAGACTGAGTGCACATCGACCAGCGTATCTTCTTGTTTGGAGTGGTAGACAGGTCATGAGTCAACAAATCGTCTGTAAGGAAGCTGTCTGAGGGGGTCTCGTCTGTGACAGAAATTAAAGGCTTGACAGGATTGTCTTTAGGACGTGATGAGCTGGTACTAGCTTTGGAATCCTCTGCTTTGGAAAGGCGATCGGCAATACGACAACGACAATGTTGCAGGTAAACTTGAAAAGCCAAGTTAGTTAGGGAATGACATTCCGCACATCGGGAACCAAGGGTGCACTGTCCCCGACAGTCGCAACATAATGAGTGGGGATCCGACGTGGAATAGCTACGTCTGCATTCTTTACAAGCAGGATGTTGTGTGTCCTTTTTTCCCATATTATTTAGAATACTCAACAACTTGGCGAAGTACAAACAATTCTGTGATGTTCACCACACAGTGGCGATGAGAAAGAGAATGAATTGGTAGAGGCGCACACATGGTCAGTTCAAGCAGGCACTGCATGCACGAGAGGCATGTAATTGACCTAGCTTTTGGAAGTAACCATGGAGATGCAGGAGGCCTGGTCAGCTATTCTTATTTTCAGAAGCTGAAAACATGATTCAAGCACATTCCCACATAGGATCGAAGGAGAAGGGAGAATCGAAAGTGTGAGATAGGATAAGTTTTACAATTATCATGTTTCTCTCATCTTGTGACGGGGAAAAAGGTGATATCTCCTTTCCTCCCATCACTCGATGCATGCCTCAGTACCTTCCAGAAGCTGGGTTTACCTGTTTCACATGAGAAGACAGTAGATGCTGCATCTTGCTTAACATTCCTAGGGCGTGAATTCGACAGGACGCAGGTCAGAATACCACAGGAGTTACTGGTGAGTAATCTAAATTTCATGTGCCAGGCTGTAGCGGTAGGAGAAAGCGATGAGGGGGAGTGTAGCGGTAGGAGAAAGCGATGAGGGGGAGTGTAGCGGTAGGAGAGAGCAATGTAACGAGATATTCTTAGTGGTATGCACAGAACATGTGTTTATAGAAATATCTCCCTAAGTAGAAAAAAAAGGATTTGTTGTTATGAAAGCACGTGGTTGAGAAATCCTCGAATTTTGTGTTTACTGAGAGTTGCACATGTGAATGGGTCCCTAGCAGGGTACCGCTATACAGGCCATACCCATGGGTACATTGTCTTGCCATAAACATCATATGGGGTGTTCGGGAGGACCTAGAGGTTTGGCTAGGGTTCCTGGTGGGTTTTAACAATGTCAGTTTTTCAGAATCAAAACTGGGCCGACGATACATATCTGAAGCTATTCACAGATGCGGCCAGCACCATGCTGTTCAGGGCATACTTTAACTGGGTACATGGTCTCTGCCCTAGTGCGTGGATGAAGGATGGCTCAACTCGTGACATGACCCTGCAGGAGTTGTTTCTGACGGTGTATGTCGGTTTGTCTGTGGGGCACAGCCTTTGCTGACAGGAAAAAACGGTCTTCAAAAACACCCAGAATTATGTCACTGAACTGTAACTCACACACCATCCCATCCCAGAGATAACAATTGAGCCAGAGAGCCTTTGATAGCAATCCATGGCAACATGTGGGCGAGTGACCAAGCAGGAACTTTAGCGTTCCAAGCTTTCAGTGCATCACAGGACCTGGGAGATGTCTGGCCGGTTCCAATCACTCACCTGGTACATATATCTGTCTGGTGAAAGAGGACAGGCTGTCCCAAGGTATTGTGGTTTCTATTTCTGCCATACCTGGCCACAATCTGTGTCCAGTGGCTTCAATTAAAGTACACTTAACAGTACGACCACAGGGTCAGACTCAAGCATCTGTACACTTTGACAAGTCTACCCTGACCAGGTATCAATTTCTTGGCTGTATTTCCTCGCTGCATTGGTAAGCAACATGGGTTGCAGGGCAGCGGTTGCTGCATTAGTAAGCAACATGGGTTGCTTGGCAATGGTTGTTGCAGGGCAGCGGTTGCTGCATTGGGGTCACTTACAGGAATTTAGCTTTCTGCAGTCAATCAGTACCTCCACTTCCACGAGCATTTCATCCGATTAACATATCTTGTTATAATTTCAAGTTCCTCTATCACGCAGGATAGAGGAGCCCAGCCTATTGGGGTCATGTCATTATATAAGTGCCTATCAAAGACTTACTTTTGGTAGAATTCCTCCGCCTGATCCAGTTGGTGGTCCCGTCTGTATGCCAGGGCCAGGTTGGTGTACACGTTCCCGATGCTGTGAGGTACGGAGTCAAAATAGTGTTCCTCATACAGCTGGAGATAAAATAGTTACCTTGGTTACTACAGGAAAGCCTTGAGGGGATTAGTATAGGTCACATTGGCCGTCCTAAAAGGCAACTTAATGGGACAGGTCAGACATTAGGGCTTGCATGTCATCATTTGCAAATCATTACTTATAGAAATCACTGGATATTCTGGTCCATATTCATATATTTACAGTCTGCAGGCTGGAATATTGTAGGTTGTGGCATTAGGTGCTGGGGGCATATTCTGTCCTGGAATTCCCATAGGGGAGACAAGCATTAGGTGCTGGGGGCATATTCTGTCCTGGAATTCCCATAGGGGAGACAAGCATTGGGTGCTAAGAGTGTATTCTGTCCTGGAATTCCCATAGGGAGGTAAGCATTAGGTGTTAGGTGCATATTCTGTCCTGGAATTCCCATAGGGGAGGTAAGCATTGGGTGCTAGGCGCATATTCTGTCCTTGAATTCCCATAGGGGAGACAAGCATTAGGTGCTAGGTGCATATTCTGTCCTGGAATTCCCATAGGGGAGGTAAGCATTAGGTGCTAGGTGCATATTCTGTTCTGAAATTCCCACAGGGGAGGTAAGCATTAGGTTCTGGGGGTATAATCTGTCCTGGAATTCCCATAGGGGAGACAAGTATTAGGTTCTGGGGGTATAATCTGTCCTTGAATTCCCATAGGGGAGACAAGCATTAGGTTCTGGGGGTATAATCTGTCCTGGAATTCCCATAGAGGAGACAAGCATTAGGTTCTGGGGGTATAATCTGTCCTGGAATTCCCATAGGGGAGACAAGCATTAGATGCTAGGTGCATATTCTGTCCTGGAATTCCCATAGGGGAGACAAGCAGTAGGTGCTAGGTGCATATTCTGTCCTGGAATTCCCATTGGGGAGGTAAGCATTAGGTGCTAGGTGCATATTCTGTTCTGAAATTCCCACAGGGGAGATAAGTTTCTGGTTTCTGTCCTGACTGTACCATCTTATGTCGGGTAGTGCTAGCCCACTGATATACCATGCCAAAGTTTAACATCTTTTTGTGAGCACCAGGTAAAAAGCTATTGAAAAAGTAATTAATCAATTATCGTTAATTTTAAATTACTCTTAAAGCTTCCTCAAAGATCTTGATAGCCTCTTTTGGTTTCTTCAAACCAAGTTTGATCAGACCAATATTTGTCCAGCAATCTGCAGCATTACGGATATTCTTGTGCTTCTCATGAATGGCAAGAGAGTCCCTGAACATCATTTCTCCCTGAATATAACAGAATCATTTGATATAAAAATACACACACACGACACATGAATATTGAAAAGTTTATGAGAAAATGCATATTTATCCTATCTCACACTATGCACCTACCTTCTTCAATCCTGGTGAGGAAATGATCCCAAAACATGTTTCAAGTTTAACAAAACACCTCACCCAGACATATCCCAAAATAACTATGGTGGCCTGTTATGATCCACGATATAATAGGTCTTCAGCAACCCATGCTTGCCATAAACGGTGACTATACTTGTCGCAAGAGCGACTAACGGGATCGGGTGGTCCGGCTCGCTGACTTGGTTGATGCATTTCATTGATCCCAATTACGTGGATCGATGCTTATGTTGTCAATCACTGGATTTGTCCGGTCCAGACTCAATTACTTACAGACCGCCATCATATAGCTGGAATATTGTTGAGTGCAGTGTTAAACCAGAAACAAACAAAGAAAACATAACCATGGTTATCATCACCACCAATGGACTTCCAACCGCATGCATCTGGTGCTGTCTGATCATGTGATGTCCCCAGCTTATTCATTCCCTTTCGTGGAGCGTACTGGCTGGTGTAACTGTGATGCAGGGATGGTTGGGTGGGAGTTATCCGTGTGAGACAGGATTAGTATTATAAACATACAATTCATTATAAAATTTTCAAATTTTTGAAACCTATCCTATCTCACACTATGTCTTTATCCCAGAGTTGGAAGGTTGGGCGCAGATACCCAAGCCTGTAAAAGTTCTCAACCGTGAGATGTACATGAGGTGAGGTGAAATGAGGTTTAACATCATGTTCAACATTATTGCACTTACACAACGATGTGCATGTATGTGTGTGTCTGCTTGTACTAGCTTGGACTAATGCCTATTTTATAGTGCTAGCCCACTGAGGTACCCTACTCAGACACAGAATACTCACTCCGAGCCAACCAGTCCTTGTTTAACCCCTTAATTCCGAGCACCAGGCAGAATAACAAGTACCATCTTTTAACGTCTTTTGGTATGACTGTCCTCATGCATACATTCGGCTGACATAAGTTTGGTTCACCGTCAAAACAGTTGCGGATTGTGACGACTTCGGTGTTGAAGACACCAAGTCTGGGAACCCCAACTGTTAGAAACAAACAAACACGTCTGCCAAACACGTCTGCCAAACACGTCTGCCAAAAGGACACTGATCTGGGATACGTCAGTAGTCACATCTGTCGACAAGGGGAGCGTCATATATGTTCGGCTGCTTGAAGTTCTCACTAATGAGAGTGATAGATCTTCTAGATTGTCTTGGCCTAAAATTAAGGAGAGCTGAGGGACGGTAAACAACAGGTCTGCCTGTCCAGGGAGTTGTCTCTTTGCAATAAAGTCTCATCGTAGGCCTAGGAAGACAAAAATGAGGTGTGTTGGTGTGAACCGTTCCATGCACAGTCATTGTAGAACAAGTATTTGTCACAGTGTGACAATGTGCCCCTGTCGCTACTAAACGATAACATACATAATTTCCTTAAATTTAAGTAAAGTAGTCACACAATATTTCTCCATGATATCAATAAAAATCTAAAACAGGAAGTTGTCATTTCATGTGATGGACAATATAGAATACCTTCATAAAAAAGGATTTCAATTCAAAACCTAAAAAATCAATTTTCTCTGCAAGTCAAGTAAGTAAAGTTATGCTTCATGAGTTGACATACCTGCTACATCTTCACCAACACCAGGAAGTGGTCAGTGAAGAAGACAGGGACTGGTTGTGTCTGTTCAAGTTCTCAACCCTTGATGTGTGTAGATCTTTGACTGCTTTGCACAAGATGAAAGTCAAATCTGTTCACCAACTGACAGAGTTGTGCATGATTATTCATGTAAAGGTTTCCTGTCAGAACTGTTTTTCCCATTCCTTTTGGAAGTGAAGATATAGCTTCATCCAAAAGACGCAGAAAGTTCCTAAGTGGGCCTTGAGGTCGGTATACGATAACAACCAATACAGATGTCTCTGAATGTGTTACCATAACTGCCATCAGCTCCAGAGATGTTGGCCAATGAAGATGTGTGTAACTCAGATCTCTAACTAGCATTGCTACTCCGTGATCAGATGCCTGGTGCAGGAATGAATGAGAAGGGAGACATATCGGTGTATATCCTCGTCTTGGTGTGTGTTTTTCTGTTGTCAAAACACAAACCATTGAACTGTATGTAAGGCCTTGTGACTTGTGAACAGTAACTGCCCATGCAAGAACACCAGGACACCAGGATAATTTGACTAAGTTGCTTCCTTCAGGTCCGGAGGATTTCCTCTTCTAGCTTGCAATTCTTCATTAACATGGTCTAAATGAAATGTACCCCCTGGTTCTTGAAATATCGCCCCCGAAAGATTGCAAAGTCCAAATCTTGAGATATCACGCCAACACTTTTGTTCGTATGTACAGACAGATGGTCAGGAATACTATGTCCCCTGCTTCTCGCTATCGCACGGAGGGCGACAAAAGCATATATCATCAAACTCCTCTTTGCCATGGCTGCAGCAGCACATCCTAACAGTCATGCAAACAACATGTAAAGCGCACCAAAGGCTCGCATTAGGTCAATCTGTCCTGATTTCATTTGTAAGCTGGTTCGTTTACAAACCAGAGAAAGTCCTGACACGTGAAATGCAAATCAGCCTCAATGTACACCTCTGCACTGGTCATGGACTACTGCAGTCTTGACAAACACGTGGTCAAAGCTCCATGCGCTCAAAAAACATCACACAATAATACAATGAGAACTATGTTGCCTACAGACAATGTGGTGTCTTGAGTTCTGAAGAAAGAACGGTGTACATGAAACCAGTTCCCTGTAGAATGCATGCATGACTGGTGCTTTAACAATATGATCTTCGTGATATTTTATGCATGAAAATATATCTTGAAAATGTAAAAATTCACTGAATGACAAGGTGAAAGTTCAACGAACATTCCTGTCGATCATCTCATATGTTGGGCAATACTATAAACTTCAAACAGTAGCCAGGGTTTGGATATCCACAGGTGAAGTGAGGATGGTTGTAAACAATGCTCACAGTCAGTAGGAAGCACATGACGACCCAGTCGATCCTCTAATTGATCGACCCTATTGTGATTATGTTCCCTCTCATTAGGTGAGACTGTTGATCCGGCGAAGATCCAGTTCAAAATAGTCACAATTCTGGCGATCCTTATAGTAAGGGTTCGGTGAATGGTCCCTACCAACTCCTCTTTCTGATCGTCATTGCTTTGTTGCTCGCCTATGGTAATTACTCATCACAAAATCTCGTGACAAGGGTGACAATTCCGATCCCTATTGTTGAAACTGTGCCCAGCCACTTGGGAGCTCTTCACGCATCATGATGTACACTGATGATCCCTGATCGATCGTTGAACCTCATCCAATCCTCAAGGTTCATCGGATGGTGGATAACCCTGGGTTCCAGTTGATCTGAAAGATAGTTCATCACCACCCTAGAACTTCCTGATCTACTGTCCGATCAGTCCTTGGTTTAACATTTAACAGAGGTTAAGATCGCCGAATCCCCGTGAAGTGTGTCTTGCAAGTCATTATCTCGATAAAATGCTGTGGAAGCGATTGTAGCTGGTTATTAATTCACAGGACTACCTATTGTAGCAAACTCCATGATCTTTGAAATAAGTCGGCTATCAGAAAAAAGTTCCTACTATCACTCCTTTTGTTTTATGTCCGAATGCAAGCCAAGTTTCCATAAGAGCGGTAGATATGGCCTGCCTCAAAGCTTGAATATCACACTGAGAGAACGCCGATAATTGAGTCTGGTGATCCCATTAAGTAGGTAAGGGTCCTGCCGACCCATCCACCGATCCCTCCTCCCCTCAATACTATCCTCATACGCTCGCTCTTGCTCTTCACTGGGAAGAAGATACGCTGGATCCCAATGCCGCTCCAGAGTCCTGTTTTAGGATCATTTCCTCACCAGAATCGAAGAAGGATGAAATGCGTAGTGTGAAATAGAATAAGTTTTAAAAATGTTACATATTTCAATTTATACAAAAGTTAAAGAAAACAAAGATCAAACAATTTGAACTTGAAAATATCTCAGTAAAATTCCAATTAATTCATTTTTTTAAGGAAGGCCTCTATTACCTCAATATACTGCTTCTGATAATAGTGGGTGAGACCAAGTCCGTTATAACACCATGCCATTCTCTCCTCGCCAAGCTTTTTATCAATCTCACCACTCTGTACGCCCCTGAAAAAAAGAACTGTTTAACTAACTTCATTCAAAGTATTTTCAAGTACTTAAACCTCATTAATCTGGATCCTGCATTGACACATGTCCGCAATTTCACATGTTTTGTTCACAATTCCAAAGCTCTGTAAAGTGATACTTGACTCCTCACCAAGAGCCCCAACATTTCTCCTATGCTGGAAAAGGAGCTTTCCCCATTTACAGGAAGCTTCAAGGCTGTCTTTGAGCTGTGACATTTGTATTATACATGTTATATGGATCACAATTTCATAACTTTTTCCTGGACAATAAATGTATTGGAATGACATTTTATTTTATACAGGGTACCCAGTATGACATGTTAGAATTTACATTTTCTGTTTTAATATCACTCAAATAAGTAATTATATAAATAGTGAGCAATTGAGTTAATGAGGCAGGCTACTGATATGCCAAACACATTTAAATATAGAATAACGGACATGACAAAAAGTATCCCTAGTTCAGCTTAAAACACAGAAAACCAGACATTTTGATAAGTGATGAATATCTTGACTAGACTACAGACATCTAAATTTGTTGACTGATTTGAGTGAGCTACAGATATCAGGAGGCCGCTACCTCACACATCAACATGTGTAACATTGTGTGCATCATTATAGTTTGTTTACATCAAATTTCGAACAATAGCTATCATTGTTAATAATTCTAAGAATACTACCTCTATTACATCTCTGCCATAAATCCGGTATTTTGGTTTCAGTCACACTAACTAAACTTTTCAGATTTTCAACAGACATCCTCTTCACTGTCAATTACACACAACTAGTTGTTGCCAAGTAGCATTGTAACCACCCAAGCTATGACATATGCAGTGGCGACAATCTCACTTTTCCCCCACATCTAACTCCTACAGGTAGATGAATTAGGGAGGTGGGTGGGAGTACTTTGGATGTAATAGGGTAGTATTCTTAGAATTATTAATAATGACAACTATTGTTCGATAATTCTTACAAAATCTCTACATCTATTACATCTATGACAGACTATACCAGAGGGACCCATACGGATCTGCCTCTAGTAACTCCCTGTGTAATTGACAGTAATCCTCTTCTGGAAACCATTATTTACTGTTTCTAATCCTTACTGGAGATAATTTGCTCTGAAATTTACCCTGAAGACTTAAAAATCAGAAATGTATCAAGAATCAGTCAAATATGTGATACCTTCACTAGAATTACCGTTATATTTGCTGATCTTGATCATAATAATGATGTCATTTCTAATCTATTTCTACTTAATGATGTCATTTCTTGTTAAATTTGGATTTGTGACACTAATACCGGTGCCGACGTCACTTCCGGTGCTAACGTCAATTCCGGTTGTGACGCCACTTCCAGTTTGTCACTTCCCTTTTACTAGGTAATGACGTCTCTCAAGGTTTATTCTACCCAAAGATGTCATTTCCTGATCAGATGGACCTTGTTCTGCTATTTCTGATACTGACATCACTTCTGGTTATGATCTCACTTCTCGCGATGACATCACTTCCGGTGATGATGTCACTTAAGGTTATGATCTCACTTCTGGTGATGACGTCACTTCCGGTCACTGGAGGCAGTTGATACTCAAGGTGCTCCTAATCCATCCTACACCTAATAGACAGGATAATCAAGGGTGTACTCACCCTCTGATGCAGCTGGTGTCAGATCCTCGCTACCCGCCCCGGATGATAGTTTGCGCCACGACAATAAGACCAAGACCATATATGCCCTCTTGGGTCCAGCTGCACGTCACGCAGGTAAAAACTGTTGAAGGTGTTTTGTGAGGCCCACTGACAGCTAGAAACTACTTGTTCTACTGAGACTGATGTCCATGAAGCAAGACTGAAGCTAGGGCTCTGATGGAATTCTGAGCTTGTGTATAACTTGATGCAACGATAGCTTTTAGCCAGCCCGCTTATGTAGCCTTGGTGATGTCCTTGTTGGAATTAGTCTTACAAGATAAGAAGAGTCTCCTTCGATGGTGTCTATGTGGGTCTGTAGCCGTGAGATAGAACTTGAGAGCTCTGATTGGACAAAAGAGTCTGTCAGGGTGATCTACTGTTGGTCCTAAGGCAGGAATGCGTAAGCAAACAGACCCATCCAATCCATCCATGGTGCGTCGATCTGGTGAGCTCTTGGGTCGGGAACTGGGCTGACAAAAACCGGAAGTTGGTTGTTCTGACAGGTGGCAAATAGATCCAGGTGTGGTGTGTTCCATAACTTGGTTATCCAAGCGAAGATCTGGGGATGTAGTGTCCATTCTGTTGCCACTACTCTCCCCTGGAAGGGAAGGGTGATGGCAAGGATGTTCAGTTTCCCGGGTATATGTCTCCCTTTCATCCGGCAATTGAAGGAGTCTGCCAGGGCAAACAATCATGTAGTCTCTGTCATCAGGGAGCTGGATCTGGTTCCTACCTGTATCTGGATGTAGGCCACTACTGTGGTGTTGTCTGTGTCTATGAGGATGGACGATTGGGAAAGATGTATCTTCCATGCCAGGATGGCGTAATAGATGGCCTTCATTTCCCTGCGGTTGATATGAAGGTTCTTCTCTCTGGCGTTCCAAGATCCCTGTACCATAAGATCGTCCATATGGGCTCCCCATCCCGAATCTGTTGCGTCTGTGAATAGATGGTGTTCAGGTGTCGGAGTAGTCAGAGGGATGACTCTCATCACATGCTCTCTGTCCACCAATGCAGGTCTCGTACTAATCTAGGAGGTAACTGAGTCTGGAACTCTAGGCTGTAGGATCGCATAGAGTTGATCCATGTCTGTAGAGGACGTAGCATCAGCCTCCCTCTGAAGGTCATATCCTGTTGAGACGTTAAGTTGCCTAGAAGAGACATCCACCACCTCAAGAGACTTGCTGGGTTGACTTGAAAGTGATTGAATCATCTTGATGTCTTGTCGAATCGATCCTCTGGTTAGATATCCCGTTTAGTTGGAATCTTGCTCCGATGTATATGATGTCTTGAACCGAAGTGGTTTTGGACTTGGAGGGATTGACTAGGAAGCCTAGGTAGGTCATAAGTTGGATCAAGAATATCATGTTCTGATGTAGCTGAGCTTTAGATGATGAAGATTTCTTGTCCCAGGGACGTTTCTGGGGATTGGAAGATCAATGGGCTTTGGCAGCTAGGTTGACAGTTGATGTTTGGAATCGTTCCGTAGTATCTTGCCTGACTTCGTCTATCACGTGTCCCAATTTCCCTTTGAATTTCGTGGGAGCTGATATGGGTTATGACATTATCAACCTCTTGGTTTGGCTAGAGACAGCTTTGGAGCGGATCTTGGAATAAAGTTGTTGACGCTGTAGCCATAATAGTTGTGAAGACATCCAGAACTGGGTGGAGAATAAGTCTTGATCAGTCCTCATAGTCATGGGCGTGTCTTCGGTTATGCCTTCATAAGATGACTGTAATGGTGGAATGATGTGTCTGATTCTGGCGGTTGATATAAGCACCATGGGCAGATACAGCTTTTTTTAAAAGGGGGGGGTGGGGTGCACAATTAAGATCTATTTATTGTCTTTGGTGGTAATTTATACAGAAATAAAGATTTTTTTCGAAATAAAAAGGGGGGGTGCGCACCCCCACACACCCCCTCTGTATCCGCCCAGAGCACCAATGTCCATTCTGGAAACCAATGTCAGATCCTTAATCCACAAAAGAGGTAATGTGATACTTGTGTTGGGGTTGCCCACCATCTTGTTGAAGTCCTCATCCAAACTTGGGAATTCCGGAAGCCGAGCCTCGTATATATATCTTCCGCTTTAATGGAGGTAAGGGTAGTCGTTCATCATGTTTGAGCTTGTGTAGACTATCGGACATCTGGTCTACTACCTTGCCTGCGTAGCTAGGCCAGGGTAATGTCTGACAAATGTCTGACGAGACAATGTAAAAGCATGACATATCCCATATTCCAGCATCTCTGTCACAGGAGGTAAGAGTACAGGCATAAGATGGTATAATTCTGTAAGTTCTACGAAAGTGTAACCCTTCGTGTAATCCTACTGGGGTGAGTTGTCAGCCTGATCAGGCTAGTAGTCCTCCGTGTCTACCACGTGGGGTTCGTCATCCTCCTGTGTCCATGATCAGGTGTGAATAAACTCCATGCGGCTTGCAATGGTCCGTGTCTACCGGTAGCCATATGGTAGTTATCTTCTCGGTCGGCAAAACGGTCAGTTGAACGGTTGGTTGGACAATCTCATGTAGCTGATTGGGAGCCGCAAGTTCATAAGGTAAGCCGCTGCTACCATCAGTGTCTTAATGGTCGGCAGGCTGGTCGGCTGGCTGGCTGGCTGGCTGGCTTGGTTTGCCATGGACGGCTGCCGTGAGTGTTGATTTGACAGATGGCATCCCTATGTGGTCTCGTAACTGGGGAATTCTTCTTTGCAGGAGCTATCTCCTTTATTCTCTCCATTTCTTCAGCCAGGGTTGAGAGCTTAGCCTCAAACATGTTCTTTATCATCTCCTGCTGTTCTTTGAAGAGTTGATAAATTAGACTCATGGAGAGTGCTGGAGATGGTTGATCAACTGGACAGGGAGAAGCAGGGGTGGAAGCCGATTTCTCTGCTGTGATGACCTCCACCTTCTGCTTGGCAGCCTCGTGCTTCTTAGCCTTGGTCAGAATCGGCTATCTTGATGATGGTTTTTTTAGATGTGTTGGTGCACTTCTCACATTTCATTTTTCAATGCAAGTGCAAGTGCCTCTGCACTTCGTGAAGTCATTATGAGGATCTCCCGTGATCATGAAACGACCACACTTGTTGCACCCGGGAGTAAAGGGAGACTCCATTTTGACCCCACAAAAAACACCAAGCACCAGTTATACTTACGTGCGTGCGATCGTCACTCCAGAAGCAGCTTATTAATATCTACTTATTGTCAGTTATTATAGAAAGCTATTAGAATAATCTTAGATTAATGTGACTTACTACCAAGTCCTAGATCGTTACTACTATTACAAAGGGTTGGCTCTAGCACACACAGGAAAAAAAGTGAGATTGCCGCCTTGCATATGTCATAGCTTGGGTGGTTATGATGCTACTTGGCAACAACTAGTTGTGTGTAATTGACAGTGAAGAGGACTGATGAAAATCTGAAAAGTTTAGTTAGTGTGACTGAAGCCAAAATACAGGATTTATGGCAGAAATGTAACAGAGGTAGAGATTTTGTAAGAATTGCACTTGATTGTCTTTATTCTGGTCTCAACTAAATGTAATCTCAATAAGCATTCCACTCAAGTTAATGTTTCTTTGGAACACTTCTTGTCTTGTAGGTATCTAATATTCCATGTGTTGATGAACATGAGCATCAGCCTGGAGAGTGGAAGGTAGGAGGTTTATTCATCCAGTGATTCACACGTCAGTATATAAATCAGGCCTCCATCAAACACATGTCAGTAGCTTTATAAGTGCAATACTCTTGAATGTGACACTAAACCACATTTCACCTCACCTCACCTCCATGTGTTGGCCATGTTGATAGCTAACAGTATTAAGTATAAGAGGGCAATATTGGTGAGTTAGAATAAAGTTTGCTTACAGCTGAAATTCAGTTGTATAATTTGTTTGTTGTTTAACGCAGCACTCAGTTATATTTCAGTTATATGACGGCAGTCTGTAAATAATGCAGTCTGGACCAATTCAGTGGTTGACATCCTGTGCATCGATATATGCAATTGAGATACGATGACATGCATCAACCAAGTCAGCATACCTGACCACCCTATCCCTTTAGTCTCATCTTACGACAAGCAAGTCCAAACCATATCTCCACAGGGTCAATTCAAACACGGGGTCAATTATAAAGGGTTTGTCATCATGTTGTGGGAGTAATGTCAAAAGTTTACAAGACAAAGCCATGGGTAACAGACCAAGAATCATAATCGGGGATCTGAACCTAAGGGATGCACCCTGAGGCCCAAACAATATGCTAAAGGGTTGCTGCACTTACGTCCTCCAGTATTTCATCACCTTCTTGTGCAACTCCTCTCCCCTTTTGTAGTTGCCACTGTCGCAGTCGCTGCAGGCCAGGTAGTACTGGTGCTCTGCCAGAAGCTCCAGGCGCTGAGACTCCTCCTTCCACTTTCCCTCCAGATTCTCCTGCAGAATACAGCCCAGCCCATCAGATACTATCTTACAAAGCCCTTCATCCATCCACTCCTGCAGCATACACCCAAGCCCATCAGACACCATCTTTCACAGTCCTTCATCCATCCCAGATTCTCCTGCAGCATACAGCCCAACCCATCAGACACCATCCAACACAGTCCTTCATCCACCCAGATTCTCCTGCAGCATACAGCCCAACCCATCAGACACAATCTGTAACACAGCCCCTCATGCCCAGACACCATCTAACACAGCCCTTCATCCACCCCAAAAATCTCCTGCAGCATACAGCCCAACCCCCCTCCCCCCCCCCCCCACACACACACACCCATCAAGTCCCCTCACCTAATCCCCTATCTGGGTCCCTAATGAGTCCCCTAATCATCCCCTCCACTCATCCAGAATCAGTCACAACAGTCCCTGACCCCAGTTCCCTATTTAGTCTCCCTGTCCAGTATCCCCATCCAGGTTCTCTCCTAGTCCCCTATCCAAGTGTCTCCCCAGTCCAGTTCCCCTATGTAGAACCTCACCAGAGGGAGACCCAAAGAATAAATACTGAAAAGGTTCCATGTTTTGCAATCTTACCAATAACTGTGTAATGCGCTTCAGGGTCCTGATACTTCCTTCAATGCAACTTGCCATGTCCATGAAGAACCTCACATTTTCCAACAGGAACAGCAGCTGAAACAATGGACACAATACAGTTCAACACCAGATGCCAAAAGCACTTACAAGCAAAAACACCCTGCAACAGTCAAGCACTGACACCAAGCAACAGTCAAGCACTGACATCAAGCAACAGTCAAGCACTGACACCAAGCAACAATCAAGCACTGACACCAAGCAACAGTCAAGCACTGACACCAAGCAACAGTCAAGCACTGACACCAAGCAACAGTCAAGCACTGACACCAAGTAACAATCCAGGACTGACACCAAGCAAAGGTCAAACACTGACACTAAGAAATAGTCAAATACTGACACCCACAAACAGTCAAGTACTGACAGTTAGAAATAGTCAAGCACTGAAACCTAGCAACAGTCAACACTGACACCAAGCAACAGTCAAGCAATGACTACCACAAATAGTCAAGCACTGACATCAAGCAACAGTCAAGCACTGACACCAAGCAACAGTCAAGCACTGACTTCAAGCAACAGTCAAGCAATGACACCAAGCAACAGTCAAGCACTGACTTCAAACAACAGTCAAGCACTGACTTCAAGCAACAGTCAAGCACTGACACCAAGCAACAGTCAAGCACTGACACCAAGCAACAATCAAGCACTGACACTAAGCAACAATCAAGCACTGACACCAAGCAACAGTCCAGCACTGACACTCTCAAACAGTCCAGCACTGATACCAAGCAAGATTCATACATTACCATAATACAACAGTGACAGCCAACCCATGAAACAGAAGGAAGTATATGTGTAGCTTGTACTTCAGGCTGCAGGGTCAGTGTGACTTACTCTTTGCCCAGGTGGTTTTGACCGATCTCTGGGTTCAATGAGGCCGTCTTTCTCCAAGCAGTAAACTTCCACAAGGGCCTTGTCAAATGACTTCACATACATGTCAGCAATGTCTGTAAACGTGTGATCAGTTGACTTCCACAACTCAAATAGCTCATATTCATTCTTCCTGAAACCCAAAGCAGAAGACTAACAGTCTAATTAAGAAATAAACGATGATACTGTATGATACACAATCACCACAAGTCGTATATTTCTTATGAAATATCATAATTATGTACTGTCTCTTTAAGGATGTTAATATAATGTACAAGGGTTAAAAATATTTACCCGTATATAAATAATGATGACTCCCTCAAAACAATGTGACCTCGGCAATGTTGGACAAGCTCATTTTATGAACTGGGGGGTTAAGTTTGTCATTTCCTGAATATTTTAACAATTTTCACATTGATTATCTGTACCTTTTCTCCCAATACATTTTGTCATATCTCTCCCACCCTTGGAGTTGCTAGACACTTCCCTCTAAAAAAATAATGTTGTTCAATTTACAATGTCATCAAGTTTGTGAGAGCATGTTTAAATCTCCAGAAAATGTTAGAACAGTGTTTTAACGGGAAATAAACCATGCTTTGTTCATCATTGTTCTTAGCGATTTATCATGTACTCGTAGCTATCTATATTGAATAGTAATGGATACATATATACATTGACCACATACATGACATTTGACATATTTATTTCATAATACTTTATTTCAGAACATACCCGATCAGGAAATGAAACATTAGCAGATCGCTGAGCGTTGTAGTCAGACCATCCTTATCATCGATCTGCTTCTGTAACCATGACAACTCCATAGCAGGTCGCCTCAACAATGACTTTGCAGGTGTAGGAGATATGTCAAATGCCTGTTAAAATATTGATAATAATTGCATGATTCACTAAAGACATAAACTAATCAAATATTACTGTCCTGACACAAACAGCCTCTATTTCTATTAAGTTTAGCACAATGTGAAATTATAATCACAAGGATTTGGAAACATTCACAGATATTTATTCTTGGTGGTACAGCTTACCTTTCGCTTTTTATCGAAGTAGCTGATGAGACATTTTGCACTAGCTGATCTGAAAAGAAGAAATTCTAAAGTAAGTGCCCTTGGCACCTACACTGGGACAAAAATGATTATTTTGTTCAAACATTGGGATTTGTTTAAGGTTCTTTTTTTCTTCAAAACATACTCCATTCTGACATATTTTGACATTGCATAATATAAAACTAAGTATCAGGCCTCTTCTTCTTTATGGTCCTTTTATCAGTGATATACAAGTTAACTCTACAAAGCCATACCATTTAGTTATAGTGAGTGAGTGAGTGAGTTTGATTTTATGCCACTTTTAGCAATATTCCAGCAATATCACACCAGAAATGGGCTTCACACATTGTACCCATGTCGGGAATCGATCCCGGGTCGTCAGCGTGACGAGCGAACGCTTTAACCACCAGGCTACCCGACCGCCCCCAATTTAGTTATACATTATAGTTACATATATATAAGTCATAACCATATTAACATGAACTGGAATTTGTTTAATTCCATTTTGGGAACTTTTCCTGAGATGCTGAAAAGTTGGGGCCACATATCAGCCTTCTGAGAAGGGGGACAAACATGAGTAACCTGTACCTATTCTGACCCAGAATGCCAAAGTGGGATAATAAGCATGACGGATTGATTTTAAACCCTGACGGAATGATTTTAAACCCCGAATGCACGCAGGGTTACAAGCATGAGATACTGGGGATCGATTCTGATGCAGAATCCCCATAGGGAGACAAACATGATGTACTAGAGATCTATCCTGACCTGGAATCCCCACATTTCCTACCTGTCTTCTGTCAAGTTCAAGTATCTCTCCGCCACAGCTTTACCAAGCTCAGAGAAAGCAAAACTGAAAGTACATAAGGACAAAATCTTTCATGTTTTGAACAAACACAGTAACTGTTCCTGCACTTACTTACACATAAATGTCAGTTTATGTGGATAAGTTTATAAGATGTAAATTCAAATGTCAGATTATGTGGTATAAGTGGCAACCGTTTCTGAGTTGCTGTCTTCAACAGGTCAAACTGACACATTTTGCATTAATATTTGTTTTTACCTCGAATTAAAATTAATTAAGTATATTTACAGAATTATTAAAAGAAATTCAATACTCTCAGCTAACAAATAACAAACATTCCAAGACAGTACAGTTGATGAGATAGGAGGCAAACACTGACCTGATCAGTCCCGACTGGACAACCACATACTGTTCCAGGGCAAAGTACAACGGTGACCACACATGGGGAGAGAGATCTAGTATCTCCTTGAGTTCCGTTTCAGTCAGACCTTCATGAGACACCTGAAGTAACTTCAGTACCTACAACAAACAGTTGAACAATTAGGTCCATCCTAACTGGAACAAATTCATTTTTGTCCACCTTTCACAACATCACATTTAGGCCTACTGTGTCACAGTCTGTGTTGTTCAATACTGGTTTCCAGATGTTACGCAATTTCTTGTTCTAATCCACCAAATTTACATCTTGTTGTTAGCCACTCAATGAACAACTAATAGCTAATAGCTATCTAATGTACATGTGCCTTGTTATCTATATGGTTGCTACCCACCTCCTGTACAAGATCTGGCTGTTGTGCTGTGTTGTAATCAGACTCCAGTCTCTCAAGGACTTTCACACAAAGATCACGAATGCTGTAAAAGAATCATTTTTCACATATGAAATTAACCTGGTTAATATTGACTGACATGGACTACAAATCAATGCAGATACTCTGTATTTGTATACATCTCCACTTCATTAAAACATTTCTCTTTTTCATAACTCCTACTAAATCGCTGCACACAATTTTTACCTGTTAGATGTCAAAAGGTCATCTATCTTTTCATCCAGTTTCCGAAACGACCCAAACACAGACAGTTCCTGCAAGTCAAAGAGAATAGTCAACAAAGGTGACAAAAAGGTGACCTCCAAAATATTGATCATGGTGTCATAATGACTGTTTAGTGCAGATGTCATTTGATTTCTGATACAAGTCTTTAGATGTGGAGGCATGTAGTCACTAATTGTGGCACAGATACTTACAGCTATAATAATCTTCAGGAAGAGGGCGTTTTCAGTCTGATCCTTGTCAACAATCCTCTGCAGCTGTTGCTTGGACAACTCTTTTCCACTCTCCTTCAGTGTTCTCTGTACATAGAACATAGAGAGTAAACAATACCTCCCCCCTCTCCTTCAGGGTTCTCTGTCCACTGACAGACAAACTAGACAATGCCTACCCCCCTCTCCTTCAGGGTTCTCTGTCCACTGACAGACAAACTAGACAATGCCTACCCCCCACTCCTTCAGAGTTCCCTGTTTACATTGAATAGACAAATATAGACTTCTAAAATCCTGCAGAGTTCTCAGTACTCAGAACAGACAGACTAGAGAAACTCACCTCACATATCTGCGTCCGGTCTTCCAGCTGTAGGCCCCCTAGGGTTATCTTCCGGTATTTCCTTGCAGTCACAAGCTCCTCTATAATGTCTGGCTCAGTGTCCAACACTGACACCACAATCTTCACATTATCTGGAATTTTGTCTGGTAACCAGGACACAGGCTGCAGAGAGATAATTACATAGGCTGTAACCATGGTAACTCATCAAACATTTCTTATTAAGTTTACATAAGTTTTTTGCAAGCTTTTCTTATTTCCTACATTTAATCTTTCATGACTACTGAAAGAAAATGTCAGCTATATGAAATATTGTTATCAACCTGACTATCAATAACTTAGCCATGGACTTAGAAAACAAAGTATGATACAAACATTTCCAATTAAAAAATGGTGAGGTTCTGTCCTCATCATTTAGATCACTTGCAAATTGCTTTCATCATATATCATCCTTAAAACAAAGCAGGAGGCAGTTAATTTTGCTGATAACAGCATCTTGTCTTTTATAAACACAAAATATCAAACAATTAGTAAATGGCCAAGCTTAAGACCTCTTCAGATAGTTCATAGCTATATGTGTATTCAAATACTGGCAACTTTGTTTTTGACAACAGTTTTGGAAAAACAGAATTTGCAGACATTGATAGTCAGCCCATAATCTGCAGCCAAAACATCCTAATATTTGAATGAAAATATAAGACATTCCAAAGTACAGGGGAAACGATAATGCTTAGTGTTACATTGTCGATTTTCATTCATTAAATCCCAAAAATTGTTGAGGTTGCCATTGCTGAAATTTAGATAAATATATATGCAATAATTACTGTGCAAGAAAACAACTTCTGACATCTCTTATTTTAGTTTCTTCTTTTACAATTTGTACAGAAAATAGAAATACACTTTGTAGATGTTACTGAAAAAACACTGAAAGACAAGTTTGGGCTATGAGACCTTTGTAACATACCTTAGCTATCTTCCCAAAAGTCTCTTCTATCTTGTCTAGTCCATCAATGACTATGACAACCACCTTTCCCTCTGTCCTTGCCCTATCTAGTTCCCCCATCAGCAGAGTCATCATTTCACGAACATCCTTCGACTTCTCACTTTTCTTGTTGTTGTCCTTTTCCGAATTGTTATTTGTATCAGCCTTGTCCTTAGAACCATCCTCTTTCTCTTTTGAACTTTCAACACTGCCCTTTGAATCCTGATCTGTGTCTTCAAGGGTTACTTCACCTTGATCTCCTTGACCCTTGTTCTTCCCTGTGTCTTCTACGGCAGGTTTTTTTCCCTCACTGTCTGTACTCTTTGCTGTATCTTGGGTCTTTGATTCTGAGGATTCCTGTTTCTTTTCTGGTAGAGCCTCTGTGATTTCTGTTGTCAAACGTTTCAAGATGTTTGTCTTTGCTGTGAAAGTAAAGGGTCAAGTTGACACAAATAGTTTTGTAAACATCTCAATTCACAACAGGTTCTATCAACAAGTTCTAAGTCAGAATTCAGGAAGAGTTATTATATGGATCTGATGTCAGTATTCCTGAAGAGTTATTAAATGGACCTCTTGTGTGAGAATTCAGGAAAGGTTACTGCAGTACATGGACCTCTGATGTCAGAATTCTGGAAGAGTTCCTACAGTACATGGACTTCTGATGTCAGAATTCAGGAAGAGTTACTGCAGTACATGAATGTCTGTTGTCAGAATTCAGGAAGAGTTACTGCAGTACATGGACGTCTGATGTCAGAATTCAGGAAGAGTTACTGCAGGTCATGGACCTCTTATGTCAAAATTCCAGAAGTGTTACTACAGTACATGGACATCTGATGTCAGATTTAAGGAAGAGTTACTGCAGTACATGGACCTCTGATGTCAGAATTCAGGAAGAGTAACTGCAGTACATGGACCTCTGATGTCAGAAGTCAGGAAGAGTTACTGCAGTACACGGATCTCTGATGTCAGAATTCAGGAAGAGTAACTGCAGTACATGGACCTCTGATGTCAGAATTCAGGAAGAGTAACTGCAATACACAGATCTCTGATGTCAGAATTCAGGAAGAGTTACTGCAGTACATGGAGCTTTGATGACAGAATTCAGGAAGAGTTACTGCAGTACATGGACCTCTGATGTCGAATTCAGGAAGAGTTACTGCAGTACATGGACCTCTGATGTCAGAATTCAGGAAGAGTTACTACAGTACATGGACGTCTGATGTCAGATTTAAGGAAGAGTTACTACAGTTCATGGAGCTTTGATGTCAGAATTCAGGAAGAGTTACTGAAGCACATGGACCTCTGATGTCAGAATTCAGGAAGAGTTACTGCAGTACACGGACCTCTGATGTCAGATTTAAGGAAGAGTTAGTACAGTACATGGAGCTTTGATGTCAGAATTCATGAAGAGTTATTGCATGATCTTCTGATGTAAGAAGTGTTATTACATTATGCCCTGAAGACAGAATTCACTGGGACTTACTGCTACTATCTTTACTGGAGCCGATGAAGTGGTAGGCTACAATTGCTGTTGGATCTGAGTTCTGGGCCTGAGAGACCCAGTTGGCCAGGAGCGATGACTTCCCCTGCCCTGCCTCTGCCACCAGGACAACTTTCTCTGTTATACCTGTAAGCAGAACATGAAACATACTACTTTCCACAAATATATTCCATTCCATAAGATCATGTTTGTGTTTAACATAAAATGCCTTTAAAGCTGAAGGTTGACACATGACTATAATATTAATGTATGCTGTCAACTGATTCATCAAAGCTTATTAAGTGCTTATCAATACAAACTTAACCTCACAACATTTATTTTTGGAGTCAAATATCATTTAAATCCTGATTCATACTAATTGCTACTAATCTCTTCATACTAATCTCTCTCACTTTTCCAAAAGGTAGTGATAACTTTCTACACTGTGTTCCCGGAGAACAGAAAAACAGCTCACCCAAATGAACACCTGGCCTGTGCATGCGCATCAGAAACGTGTGACCAAGCTGGTATACTCAAATACATATTTTATCTTATCCTGACTCATACTAATTTCTTGAATCCCACAGAAGGCGGTGGGTTCCACATGTGTGCATAAATCAAAACAAGACCTATTCAATTAACCCCTTGAGAATATGATAGTCTTCTTAATTTTCTTTATATCCATGCAGGGTACCACTACCTACTTGTGAAAGAGAAAATGTCATAGATTTAGTGTATTTAGTAAAGTCTGTTAAGGAAAATATTTTTTCATTTACTTTAAACAATCATAGTTTAAAGAGAAGGCCATAAACTTAACACAATCGTTTTCACTCATGCTCTGAATTATGTAGTAAAACAGGGGAACATGGACTCTTTGCCATTGGTTAATGGACAGTAACCTGACATCAGGAAGTCTGCTTGACTATGGGTGAGAACTAGTAGAAAGGCCTATCTTCTAGTAGGCCCTGTCAGTTTTTGTGCAACTACTAACAGTACATATTGATGAATTTCAGCAACATCTTATGTGGAGAAGTCTCTGAGATAGTGAAGACTGTGTCTGATCTCCAGAAACAACTTTCCATAATCACTGGGATGGAGCAGTTGTGTGAAGCACTAGGATTGATATGGCTCTCACTTCGTGCTGATTGCATGCTGATGGTGGATCCAGTCCTGCTGCCTTGTAGGCTTTAACTGCTCTAATCCAGAAGAAGATGATTGTTCTGGAGACTGGATAATGGAATGAACTGTTTTCTCAGACTTTGTCTTCTGAAACATGTCCTCTGCAGATAGATACGTAATGCTCAAACTCTGCATAGTGACAAATCTTCGACAGTGTCTGATCCCAGGATGGGTGAGAGCAGAGGGACGTGGAATTATCTGTCAGGTTGACCTGGTAGCTGATTCATGGTGATGAAATCTCAGACAGAGATGAGCTGATGCATGTTCGCCGCTGTCGAGTCTTGTATGTGAGAAATCAATTGCATGTTTCTCTGACATTCTGCCTGAAATGGCTAGGGCAAGTAGAAATAGTGTCTTCTGGGTTATATATTCAAAGTCAGCTTGTTGTAGAGGTTCATAGGCATCACTGGTGAGGTGGTTAAGCACCCCATTCAGATCCCAGGCTTGGGGCTCCTAGTCTTGTGGCCTACGAAAGGCAGAAGACTTTCCTCCTCTGTGGGTAGATCACTTGTTATTGGCCTGCTTTTAAACTACATCCTCTGCATGTTGGTTTATACATAGAGTTCATCGTCTGGGTTGATTTGATCAACATCCGGCCTTTTGAGTCTTGCACCACATCCTTGACTGGATTCCTGCGCTTCTTAACATCGCTTGTTGATAGAATGTGACATTGTTAGGCCGAAGAAGGAACCAGTAGTCGTATATAATTGTGCTAACTTCTTGTCTTCAACTCTGTAATATCTATCCTTAGTGCTTTACAAAAGAGTGTTTCCTTCTCTACTTCCGGGGCCCGGAGGAAGAGTGTCATGCCATAGAGATGGAACTTCTTGAGGATAAACCTGGTGTCCTTGAGTTCTGGTGGCCTTGGTGAAGATTCTTCGCTACTAAGAACTTGTGAGACAGGTTTCATAGGTGGAATATTCAAAGTGTCACTGTCTTCCCCTTTGATACAGTAAGTATCAGAGGGTTAAGAGTCTCTGGACGGTGAATTAATGGGGCGTCTTATCAGTGATCCAGGCTAGAAGTTCATAATCCTCACAGATAGAAGGATGATCTTCCAATTGGGGTGACTCCTCTTCAAAGGTAGACTCAAACACATCCTCTTCCTGTAAAAGGAACAAGGGGTTTGGGTTTGGAGTTGTGACATCTCTGTGAAATTGACGGGGTATGCTGTGTTGAGTCATTCATTGAAGTCGTCTCTCATGCAGAATGAGATACTTCCCCCCCGTTTACAGTCCATCTTCTTCCTCTGTACTGCAAACAAGGACCGTGAAAAATCTTTTCCCCAAAGGCAGCACAGAAACTACATCTTTTTCTAATGTGCAGCGTTGAGGGTTGCAGGACGAGCAGATGGGTGAGAATCTTGATCTGAAACATGTACACTACATATTGTACATGATTTCATAGTGAAAACAGGGGTAACATTCTAAGTCTAAAGATATTTTAATATTTACGCCAAATTCAAAAAGCAATTGTTAAACACACTTCAAGAAGTTCCACTACCTTTCAGAAATAGAGAGAGATAAGCAATTAGTATGAGTCAGGATAAGGAAAACTATTAGTAATCATGTGTGTATGATTCAAACTGAATGATCCTCAGGTGGAGATAGGAGGGATACATGTAAATAGCCACGGGGCCACTGAAATGCCAATTGGGAGGACTGCCCATTGGTGGTGGACACCATTGAATTGGAACCTGAGGAATAGGCAGTCACTGGGATGGATAGGGACATGCAGGTACACATCCTGCAGGTCCAGACTCATCAGGGAACCATTGACATTGATTCTGGTCATGAGAAGTCTCAATGCGGAAATACGGCAGGTGGCGTAGGCACTACAGGAGCAGGAGGCGTAGGGACCTCAGGAGATGTTGGAGGTGCAGGAGCGGCTTGAGACGTAGAAGGCGCCCAAGGCACAGGCGCTGACTGAAGTTTAGACACAATCTGAGAATAGATCTCAGGCACCCAGGACTGCTGAAGCATTGATTGCATAATAGCATGCTTCCTGGTGGAGTCCATGAACAGTGAAGGCAGGGCCTGAGGAGGCATCTTCAGGAAACCAGGCGCTGATAATCCAGGAGGCGTAGGTTGATAACCAAAACCCATTTGAGCAGCAGGCACAGGCACTGGAGGGAGGAGACCCGTTGGTGCAGGCGCTGGCATTGCAGGACGCGCTGGGGCTGTCAGGGTCCTTGGAGAGATCATAGGAATCTGGGAAGGTGCAACTGGATGTGGATCGGCACCTGAGAAGGTTTGGAAGACATGATCAGCTCCCAACCAAGGTGGTGCGTCGAGGCGTCATTGCAGGAATCTCTGGTACAGTGGAATCTTGAGAGTCCAACATCTTGATGTGATGCTTTCAGGACACCTGCTGGTACTTGTTGAAACTTGGCGAGGACAAGGGGGAGCAAAAAAAACACTTTCTCTTCACTGAGCACAACTTAGTGCAGTCTCATAAATACAAGGGGTGAGGGTCCATTAGCGACTTCTTGCCACGACAAGCAAGCATAAATCCTCAATTTAAGCCACATGTTCCCAACAAGAGAGAGAATAATTCAATGTTTTAAACCAACATAACGGCAGTTAAAACAATAAAACAACTTTAATACCAATTAATGGTTGATAGAAGGTAATATTAAACAATTACAAAGCCATGAAAGTGAATAACAATTGGAACAACAAAGCACAAGTAACATCACTGTGACAATATGCCACAAACATGTGCAAAAAATTAATGCAAAAATATATTGTAAAACATGAAGACATCAACCAGAAGGAGGAGATAATCACACATAAATCATCAAAAAATGAACAACCACAAGGATGAACACAGATAGTTGGAGCAGGTTATTAAACACAACTTCTCATCCTAGTGACAAGCAGTAATGTGGAGATACTTGATATCCTCATTTCCATGGTCACATGAGTACTGTGTGATGGGGTCTGCCTTACAACAAATTGGAACTTCTTTTTTACCTGGACCTCACACAGCTTCATTTTTCTGTCCAAAGAAAGCAGTATTTGCGATTAGGAGTAATGCAGAATAAGTTAAAAACAATAATTTCTTAGAGTAAAAATATCATTTATACTTGTACTGGTACGCTAAAGCAATGAGTATGAGTCAAAATAAGGTAAAATAGATACTTTCATCATGGTTGTAGCAAAACATGCTAAAAGGAATAAAATGTCAAAACTACGAATGATCATGATCATGTTGATAAAGAATTGCAAATTAGGTCATGTTTTCAAAATGTATCCCTAAAGTTTGTGATACTTCCAAACTGGCTTGTTCACCTGAGGACAGAACTGTGTTGAGTTGCTGGAAGTAGTGGTCGCCACCGATGTACAGAGCCTGTCTGGACGCCATGAAGGCATGATGGTCAGCCAGCTCCAGGAGCCTCTCGGACTCTGCCTCGTCCCCATCTCGGGTGAGCATCACATTGTTCAGGTGCTCCCAGATAGCTGTGAACATGTGCTTCGCTCCCTGCAGGAACAGGGACAAGCAGACAATGCAAGCAATGCGTCAGCACACAATACAAGCAATGTGTCAGCAGACAAAACAAGCAATGTGTCAGTCGACAATACTAGCAATGTGTCAGTAGACAATACAAGCAATGTCTCAGCAGACAATACAAGCAATGTCTCAGCAGACAATACAAGCAATGTGTCGGGAGACAATACAAGCAATGTGTCAGCAGACAATACTGGCAATATGTCAGTAGACAAAATGAGCAATATGCCACTATTCAATATGAGAAAATTCCAGCTGTACTTACTTCTTTAGGGTTGAGATAGTCCATGTGCACAGCCAATGTCTGTCAACACCAATGAGCATGACATAGAAATAAGTATCAGACAACTGCCTAGTTAACACAGTGGTCATGTTAAACATCAAATGAAATACGGTATAATAAACAACTTATTTTCAAATCTTAATATTCAAAGAAGTGTCTCCACAAATAAATGTCTCGTGTAAAGGTGAAAGTACTTTTGTACAAAGAAAACATTATTAGCTGTCGACCGGTCTCAAGGGCTATATGGTGTGATGTAATCTGTGTGCGAGTCTATGTACCTAAGTCAATAGGCTTTGGGTACATAGGCCTGCACCTGGGTACATCACACCATATACCTCGAGGGACCGATTAACAATGAATTTATTCTACCAGCATAACTTTCACCCTCTTATCTAAAATATTTCCATCAGCAAATGATGTAAACACAAGTTTTTGCCCTAGCATTACAATCTGATATGCCTTTTAATGCCATCAACCTTGTCAATAATGTTATAGAACAGTTTATACCATGTCCATCACCTTGTCCCTGATGTTGTATAACACAGTTTATACCATGTCCATCACCTTGTCCCTGATGTTGTATAACACAGCCTATACCATGTCCATTGTCCCTGAAGTTATATAACAGTTTATACCATGTCCATAAACTTGTCCCTGATGTTGCATAACACAGTTTATACCATGTCCATCACCTTGTCCCGGAAGTTATATAACAGTTTATACCATGTCCATCACCTTGTCCCTGATGTTGTATAACACAGTTTGTACCATGTCCATTACCTTCTCCCTGATGATGTAAAACTCAACTAATACCACATCCATTACCTTGTCCCTTGTCATGTTTAACACTGTATATTATGTCTATTACCTTGTCTCTGGTGTCATGTATCCTGTCCTGCAGAGATGCTAGTCTCCTTGATGCCTCATCCCCCTCACTCTGATACCGCTTGGCTCCTTTGTCATCACCAGAGATTTCTAGGATTGATGCCCTCTCTTCATCATAGCTCTGATAACACATGAAGGTTTTGTAACTTCTTGCACACTTTGACATTCCTTTCATATCATGTTTTCCGAAGTTCAATACAGTTAATTGCAATATGGACAATTTTACTCTTATCAAATTATTAATGTGTGATATTTGCTAATTCATGTCCTAATAAAGGTGCTGACTCTAAGCATATTTCACAGTGACACCTCTGACCCCCTCCTCCTCACCTCAGAAATTTTAATTGTTGTCCCCGTTAATGATAATAAGCTTCCCTACCTTGTCTCTGAAACAGATGCATGCTGGCAGAGCTCCTGGATTGTTGAGATGTCCGTGTACAAACTCTAGCTCTGTCACACTCCTGTCTCGGAAGTCCTCCAGCCATGGATAGCGGCCCATCGCATTGTCAATGTTCCTTTGGATGTTTTTATTGTCAATCCCATGCCAACCATAACGCTGAAACAAAAAGAATAATATTATCATCATTTATATTTTAACATAAAGAATTTTTTTTAAATTTGAAAATCGCTACCTGTCTTATAAGACCAATTTAACAGTCCCAGTGTTTCTAAAATAACAGGCCCTTGCCTCGAGAAGATGGGGGCCTTTTTACCTGCCTTGTTCCATAACCTATCTAAGGTAACAGGTTGGTATTTAGCTGTGCATCCATGTTGTTGTTTTAAGCTGTCTAACAACTGACCGTCTAACAAATGGGAGGTTACATATATTCTGATGAAAATTATGGATCATGTTGCCAAAAAATCTTGTCCCATTAAGGTTAATGTAAAGGATTAAAGTTCACAGGAAAATAGTATCTATAAATCAATGAAATCAATTGGATTAACTTTGATCTGTGCTCAATCACTTTAGAGACCAACAAAAACAAACAACACTCTTCCCTACACACAGTCAGTAGAGACCCTGTTGCGGTATGACTAGTTGTTCAGAAGCTAGTCTATACAGTTTTCATCAACCTATCATTTCATGTGAATGGACCTATTTTTTCCATGAGATATTTTGCATATTGTTTGCAAACAGGAATACATGAATGCATATATAATTATTTTTTATCAATTTCAACAATAAATAAAGTTTAATGCAGCTATTTATTACAGTTGGTATTCTTAGCCTAGCAGACGATGCTTCATTGGTTTGTCGTTTGATCTGAGTATTTTTTACCACTTATCTCTGATACAATGGGCGATCTTTTTGTTCCAAAGGGCAATAACTCTCCTTTTGAAATGATATAAGCGACGGTCCAAACTGTCGCTTCCGGTCTGGTTCCCGGATCTATGCGCGCTGCGCCAACTACTGACATGTAGAGACGGAGCCAAGCTAAAGAGTTATCCTGTTGCACCTTCGTTCAAAAACGGTCATTTACAACTGAATATTTTTAACTAGCACATATTTTGTAGTGATTATTAGTTTATAATATCAACATTTATTGAGTCTTAACTACAAGACGAATTGTCACTATGGAAGATAGCGTGAAAACGTCATGAAAAACGGTATATTGCAACGGTATTTTCTGCGTCAGAAAACAGCCAGGCATTTTGTCAGTCTGGGCTAACATATTGCATCGATGAAATAATGCAAACTCATTTTATTTATCATCCTTTGTGTTATTTCCCACAACAATTCAAGCATTCAAATCTCAACAAATACTACCATGGACTTCAATTTAATAAAATTAGTGATATGCCTACCTTTGCAGCACACAGGCATCTTTGACAGGCCTTTACCAATGATCTATATAGTAAGTATACATCCGTGCCTTTACAAATACTTTAGGAAGAAATAACGTTCAAAATAATAAAACAACTGATTTTAAATGTTACTTTGTATATCAAACTTAAAGTTGCATCTGAATATTTAAATCAACCATGCATCTATTAAGCACTCAGTTACTCAGTTGCAGTATACATACTAGTCATCATACTTTGAAAAAAGGGATTTACCCATATTATTCTGCCCCTTATAACATGTGTCCCACCATTAAGTGCTCTGAGTCATCACAGGTGTTAATTCATTGATCCATCATTTCTTACAGAATTCTGATACTCATGGTCTTAAAATAGTAGTAAATTACAGAGATTTGTCCCAACAAACAACAAATCATACTGACTACCCCACAAAATGTGTATGATGCATAAATAGATGTAAATCATTGTTTTATCTTCTTGTTTTAGTAACATTATATTTATTTAAATGTTGACAAATTATTTCCCATACATACCAACACACTATCCTGATGTATCTAAGTATCCTGATTTTCATTCAACACTATTTCAAGACACCTATAATATAAAGTATATTTTGTAGATATTATTATCATATAGCAAATATGAATTTAGAAAGTTAACCATCAAATCTTCTGATGATTAAATAAATGCAAATTGAACCCCACAATCATTCCATGTAGATAAATGGATTTATTTATGTTATTTGTTTTTGCATATAACAGATTATACTTACATATGTTACAGTCAGTGTCTATAAACAGGCCCAATATGTATATTGACTGAACATTTTAGTCAATGTGCATATTGACTGATTCACTCAGGCAAGGTATATTTTTTCTTAAATTTTCATTAATTTATTATTGCCTGAAAAATAGGACCGGTTTTAGACAGACTGGCTGAAATGAATTAGACTGCATAATTTAATCTCCTCAATTTAATTTTGATCTATTTTGATCTTATCAAGATCAAAGTAACTTATACAAGAAATTAAAAATGTTTTCACAATGAATGGAATGATTCTCCAAACATGAAAGAATACCAGAGTCCTTTTTTTTATGTTACTTATCTTTATTAGCATAACATTCAGTTCAGAAACAGATGACTGCTGAAAAGTCATGCATGTGTAATCAAATACTAGTACACATGCACAAGTATGCCGAGATATTAAATAAAATAATAAGAGTCATTGTGCAATGCAGATATCTGTTGGTGTGAATAGAAAAAAAATAACATTGATAATTTGTTTATGTTGGAATTTGAAACATCAGTTTAGAACAAGGAAACATAAGAAGCAAGGCCTAATGAAGTTAAGAATCAGCTTTATCTGTGTTACAATCATATGATTATTGTCAATGCAAACTGGATGTAGACACTGCAATGTTAAGACAATCAACATTATAGAGATTGACAATTAGTATGAATATATTGTTTTATTTTATAAAAATTGTAGTTGGTACAAATACTCTTGAATATGTATTTTAACTAATATATAGGGTCCTCTGTGTCTGAAAAATTTTTTTTTCTACTTTGTAAAATTCAAAAAAGGCCAAAATAATATATATCTTTCATTGATCATACTGGAATATAATCATGGTAGTATTTGGCAACAAACAGCTACCATTAATATACATAAAATCCTTTTATACAACATGCACCAAATAACCCTCAATATCAAAACAGATTTCAGTGATTTCCATTACTTTTGTTTTGAAAATTGTATCATGATATCTAGTTGATGACAGTGCCTGTTTTATACTTACAATTTCTTGAAATCATTTCTTATTGCTCTCTGTTATATATCTGACAAATACTTACATGTGTTGTTGTCAATATTCACAACATTGAGGCTACGGGCAACTTTACGTTGCATAAGACCTTAACATTTCGCGTACCGCATCGCCTTAGGCTGTACATACTGAAATGCATGCATATGATGTAGCCTGCTCGGCGATACTACAACATAGATACAGGAACGTATACAAAATCTACTTTATTTTTAAAAGTGTGATATTCATACATCATGGGCAACACTTCTCAGTACTGATTGCAAAACGTCAACAAAGCGACCTGGGATGAACGATCAGCTGATTTCACCGCATTGCTTCGAACGCCTATCTAGTGGTTAACTATACAATATAATCAGTCGTGGTCATCCCTGATGTATAATTATATCAAGGAACATTTATTTCCGGACATGGCAATAGATAAATAATTGTTTAGGCGAAAAGATATACTGTCCAAACACAAGCGTTACCGTTGCCGACATAGGTGAAGGTTGTACTAGTTAACTGTCTATAGGCGTCATAGTAACATGGAGTGCTCGTATCGCGCATACCACATGCGCCGTCAGTTTAAGGTTGGACCGTCCGGGTCAGCGCACCTAGCGGGTTAGTGAAGGGAAGATAAATTGAAAAAGATCGCCCATTACTCATGCTTACTGCAATGCATATGTAATAAATCAGTTGTACAACCAAAATGTGTTACCATTGTGCTACATCATTCCAGCAGATGAAGTAAAACATGAGTAAATAATGTAAAGTCTGTACAGGAAGGGATAGAATCTACTTCATTTGGTGCTACTTACAGAAAAACATTTTTTTCCTCCACATGGTCATTGAGATTCCAAGGATATATTTAAAAACAAATTTTATTCAATACGGTAATACAATTGGCATTCAGTTGTTTATAGATTCACATATCTTAAAAGTATAAAATCAGCAATAAAACACTGTGCGGCCTCAAATGCAAGGTTGGTATTGAAACTTGCTTTCATCTAGGCCTACCAGACTACATTAGTAACAGCGCGATAACATCGCTGCTTGTGCCCGATATAACTGCCAAAATTAATAATGCATACCTGTCCGTAGAATCCGACAAAAATATCACATCGATCTAGCTCTCTAAGGCAAATGCTGACAGTCTGGGCGTTCTCAGCCGCCTCCGACGTGATTCCCCATCTCATGTCCACAGCGACAAATTGAATTCCCCGCGAGTTGCACAGGTGGTGAATCTGGGGGAAGTATTTCCGCGTTAGCTCCTCGCGCTCCTCCTCCATTCCTCCAAAAGGAGAGGAGAAAAATATCCGACATGTTCGAGGGTCCTTTAGTTTAGACGTTCCCGTCATAGCCAGATGACCAGATGTGGATGATAGTCTTGTCAGTGGCGGTCTTGTCACCGGTTGTCATCCAAAACAGGATGTAAACAATAAAAATACATGGATGTAAAACATGGATTGCAAAATGAAGCGAAACATGATGTTCTGCATTAATCTCGCGAAGAATAGCCGAACCCAAATCAAATCATTAACATTTTCATTGACAAGGTTTGTTTTCTCCTGATTGTTCACCTGAAGCGGCACTATGTAGTTTTTTATTGGACATAATATTATTCATTCCACGGTAACCATGCCGTCGTGGTATATTTGTAATAGTTCTGTAAAACGTACCTGGGCACATAGGGGTTATGGGTACAGAAACTGCATAGAAAATTAATGCATTTCAAATTTTGTCTAAAATTGTCTGTCACAATTCAGTTTTTGTATATGTGTTTTACTATGAGGCACCGTTTTACTATTTATTCCTGATTTTATGAGATCAACAATTCATTTATTGATATCACAAAATGAATTATTGATATCACAACTTCGATTATTAGATATAAAATTATTATTGTATCATTAGTTCGAATTTTAGATATAATAAAATCATTAATGGATATCCCAAATTCGATTTTTAGATTGCAGACAAGGGGTGTGGGTAATGTAACTTCTGATCAGAGTGTCATATCAAGCCTAATTAAACAACATAAATTCTTTAAATCTATTTGTGATAATTCACTTTCGCCAATACAATATATGCAACATACTTTATGCGCGAGAAGCGCGACAAGACAATATTGTTGACAAGTAACTTAATTATTTACTCTGGTATGACTTAAAAGGAGAATTGATATTTTTGTATGAACCTAGAAGTGAATATTGAGATAACAAATTCGATTGTTTATATCCATAATACATTTCGAATTATTAATATCTAAAATTAATTTAGTGATATAAAAAATAGAATTTGCGATAACAATAATCAATTTTTATATAAATAATTCGATTAAGTGATATCTAAAAATTCATCGGATTTTTTTATATCTCAGAATTGAATTTGTGATATCAATAAATGAATCATTGATATCATAAAATAGGAAATAAATAGTAAAACTGCGCCTCATAGTTTGACACATTACCTTTATGTTGTTAGTTGTTCAGTTTTATTTGTAACTGTGTTAATCATATGAGGCATTTTGCATATGACATGGAGCCAACAGAGACAGTCATATTACAGGGGGCGTCATAACCAGACACCCCATTGTCTTTGCATGTTGAACGGGCCATCGAAATCAGCCCTGTGGAAAGAAATTGGAGTTACGTCCCTTAGTGCGTCGTCTGCTAGGTCTGTTCAGCAAGCTTCCCCGTGACAATGTCTTCAATACAAGGTGAAAATGTATTGCCTTCACTTGCAAGTAGATACATTTTGCAATTTGATGTTATGGTATATGCTAAAAAGGTTATTGCATGTCAGGTTTCACATCATACCCCATATCAACCCTCGACCCACATTTGTGGTGTCTCGGGTTGATATGATTTTCCAAGCATGAATAATACACATTGTTATTATCGCTGTGGTATAAGTTATATTTATCCCCCACTTTAGTTGGAAATTCATACAATGTTTATGTCACTGAAGTAAGTTAGCCACATAAAACTAAGTGAGATGGCACAAATTAAGTGGTCATGTTGTATTAACCCTTCACACAGACAGACGGAATCTAATACCCGCGACCTCTGTTGATCAAGCGTTTTCGATGGCTTCCGAAACTGCTCATTTTGTGAAGTCCTGATGTTTGGACTTTGTCAAACTGAATTTGATGGCCGGGGAACTTTTGCTGGTGGCCTGAGAGGGCTGATTTCGTCTTCTTTTGCTATCAAAGTTTTAAGTTTTATGTTCTTTGATGCGGGTATGTACTGGGCGGGAGATTTCACAAATGTCACAATAATCTTATAGATCACTTCCTTTGGGGGTTGCTTGTTCGAGGGAGGGTTACGACCATCAGCTTGGAGGATAACAATTTACTTTTGTGTGTGTGCGCGCACGCTTGTAATATCCGGACTAATGCCAGTTTATAATGCTAGCCCACTGAGATACAATAGCCGTAGTTTAACATGGGTACCCCACTCAGACACTATAATTACTCCAAGCCGACAGTCCTTGTTTTATCCCTTAATGGGAAACAACAAGTGCCATCTTTTAACGTCTTAAATTGTGGTATGACACTGAACGAGAAAGAACCACTGACCTTCCACTCTCCGATCCACTGGACCACGGAGGCAGTCGTATCGCCAAAGAACGCAAATTGTGGTAGAAGACATGAATGAAGTAATGAAATACATTGCATCTTAAATATGTAGCAGACTTTTAAGCATTTTGTTCCTCCTGTACATGCATGTACGGATATTGGAGAACTCCATTAATATGTCAGAAATACATTGTCATTTGTTATTAATGAAACTGTCCATCCAATTTGATTGTCACTCTCTATAACAATCAAAGGTACACTTTAGAAGTGTCAGGGAGTCCCTGGAAGTATAAAATATATTACTTAGGTCAAACTGTGCACAGGCATCTTGTGATTCCATGCATGTCATTGATACAAGATATGTACAAGGCTAAATATGTAAGGGGAAGTGTTCCTTGGTGAGCCACTTTCAAAACCGTGTGTCAGTTATTTTTATTGCAGATAAAGAAATATTTGTCAAAGTTCCTGCATCATATGAAATGTACTCTGTTATCTATAAAATTGACAACAGCTATTGACATCATATAAAACAGAACAGTCCAGTGCCCAGTTGTGTTTGTTGGAAAATATTTAAGATGTGTTCCTCCATGTGGGCATCACTTTTGATGAAAACAAACCCGGTCCTACCCCACTCCTAACTTTCGAGAAAAGCTTGCCCGAGAAACATTTAATTCTATTTTATGCAGCCCAATTTAAAATAAGCAAAAGTAATAACTAAATGAAGAAAAACTAAAATAATTTTAGATTGCTGTTCTTTGCAGTATCTGTTTTGATACATTTCTGTCAAATGGCAATTTTGAATATTTGCCAAGAGTGGAAGGTGTTTTTTTCTGGACAGACAGTCGGTTACTTCTCCAACTTATTCCCTATGGATGTTATCAGTGAAGGGCCGAATGGCCTTTTAATCAATGGGCGGGTATAATACAAGTATATTTCCTCCTTGAAAACCAAACACCATGTCCCATCTGTCGTTATAGGTAGTGGACGAAGATGCTGTCGAAGATTGTGCCAACGCTGCAGATTTGGAGTAACCGGACGTTTGCATTTTATGCCCGATAATTTACAGGCGTGGAGTAGACTGAGAAGACTGCCGTACATGGTGTCTGATCTGGGTTGGTAGAGATCTTGACGTTCCGGTACTTTGAGAGGTTCGCCAGTGCTATGAGTATGACCATGCAGTCCGTATCTTCTAGCTTCCTTTGGACCAAGGAGAAGAAGAATATGCAAACATTCCCGTCCATGCATGGATAACGCTTCTACTTTTTGGGTTTGGCACCCAGCTGGCATACACTGGGAGGTTGTTGTTTATGCAAATGGCAAACAAGTGCAGGTTGGATGTATCCCATGTTGATGTTATCCAAGCGAATGTCTCCGGATGGCGAGACCACTCTGTCGTCGCTATCCTCCCCAGACAGGATAAACTTTCCTCCAAGATGATGAACTTCCCCGGGGATATGACGAGCTTCCATCATGCAAGGCAAATAAACATATGGTCTCGTTCATTAAACCAACCGACCTAGTTCCCCCTTGTCTCTGGATGCAGGCTTCCACTGTGGTGTTGTTTGTGGCCACAAGGATTGATGATAGGGCTAAGAGGTGCAAATCTCTAGGCAATTGATCTGAAGCTCCTTCTCATACAATTGCCATAGCCCTTGAATCGTTAAGTTGTCCAAATGGGCCTCCCCATCCTGAGCTTGAGGTGCCCCTTTAACAGGTGGTTAATTTGAGAAGAATGCCCTTCATGATGTTTTCCCCCGGCAATCCCACTAAGTGAGATCCTTCAATAATGTTGGCGGAAAAGTTCAAGGCTATCCAACTTAGGTGACCTTACAGAGTTCATCAAAGCTTGAATGGGTCGAATTTTAAGTCATAAGGACACGGGTTCCCAAGTAAATAAGAACATCCATCAATATCGAGTGTGGTTGGGTCTCTCTGCCACAACAGAGATTCGCCGTTCAGACTTTAGGTAACACAGGATCCTCTCGTGAAGCTGGAACCTGCTGCCAATATGAACTATGTCTTGTACTGGCTTGATTTCAGATTTGGTCGGATGCACTGGAAAACAAAGATAGGACAGAAGTTATATCAGGAAGTTGATTCCTGTCCTGTTCAGCCAATAGAAAGTGGTCTGTTACATACTTACATAGGTCCCATTAAAAGATGGTTGATCTGTACTAGTAACTCAGAGAAAGAGTCTCCCACTTTATATTCAGCTGAAGGAGACAGAATCTAAAACCTTTTCATCCCTATGGTTAGAGTCTAAATCCGTAGGGGTAGGCTTGACCCCCGAGCAATATCCATGTTTGTTGGGAAGGATATGCGGCTGGTTACCGTATGCATGGCACGTGGTCAGATAGTGTTCAACTCTTGGCCAAGAGGTGAGGTGAAATGGGGTTAAATGTTACGTCCAAGGTTATTGCACTTATATAGCGACATGCATACATGTGTGTGTGTGTGTGTGTGTGTGTGTGTGTGTGTGTGGCAGCTTGTACTAGTCTGGACTATTGCTGATTTTATAGTGCTACCCCACTGAGATAAGATGCTGCAGTTTAATACGAATACCCCACTCAGATACAGTATACTGACTCCGAGCCAACCAGTCCCTGTTTTAGCCCCTTAATGCCGAGGACTGCCCCCATCATCTTGGCCAAGAATGTAGCTTGTGTTGTTCGGGGGCTGTCATGAATAGCACATGTGATCCAGCAGACAGTGGTGAATGGAACCCTAATCTTTAACCATACCAGAGCACAATTGGGTCTCCTGGATAAGAAAGCAAGATGAGGATCTAATGTAATCTGAATGGAATGCTTCTAGGCCCTCCGTGCTGTACCTGTGATGGTCATGTTTCCTGGTTCCTAACGCCCATGTAATCCGTACAGTGACTATGAAGAGGCTCAGCAGATTCTGGCACAACTATGGGAAACAACTTTGCTGGTTAAGAGTCTTGTTAGCTTGTAGGAAAGTTTATCTGAATAGAACACAGTTATACACTCAGGAAATATTGAAAGTTGTTTCCAGCAATGCCAAAACAGAACAAAAAAGTCTTAATTGTGTATTTACTTAGAAAAACATCCGCTACATTTTGATGCAAGAGTAAGAAGTAAAACATGTCATGGATGTGATATATAATATCCATACAAATTAAGAGGACATCAAAACAACCTGAAGAAGGCAATTAAATACCGTTGTCGAGGAATGTATTTTGTTATTTTACCTGTTTCAGAATATTGAAAATACTTCTCAGAACATGGAACAGAATATAGAATATTTGACACTGACCATTGATGGCGAGTTAATAATCATCATCAAATTTTCCCATTTAATTTGGTCAGATGTTGAAAAAAATGTTTTTAGTAACTGGTAAACTCTCAAATAAATCTAACTCTGTTTCTATGGACAAAACACATAAAAGTCACAAAAAGGTTCTTATGTATGCAAAGAGTACAATGTAAAATAACAAGTTCAGAAATATATAAATGTCAAGGCACTTATGACATGAACAACAGTGCAAAGTAAGAAGAGATATTTTTAACAGTCACTAGTATAAATATAATTGAAACATACTTGTAAATAAAGTAATAAGAAATAACAGCGTAAACATAACTAATATTTGTATGTGATAAAAGACTGTATAAAGTTAGGTGTAAAACAATGTAAATATTACGGCATGCATTAATCATTGTTTGAAGTAACATGATAACATCCTTCCCCCTAAAATACTGAAGTGGATGGTACGTAAAGAAACTTCCTCTTGGGTTTGACTTGAGCTCTAATTACATACAGTGAAACCTTGTTTGTCCAGACACATTAATATGGAAACCTCACCTTATGGACCACCCATAGGGGAATCAAAAAACAAATGTATGTTGTAGTCAATCCCCCACCCTCCACACTGAGAGAAGATTTTGATGTTGGACCCCCCTTTAATAATACTGCATTCGCCCTTAATGATTAATGCTCTGAACCCTATGGATGATATAATTGGGAATGCTCCTGTCTGGATTAATGAGGTTTCAATGTTTACTGAGAATTCCTGTTTGTCTGGAAATCTCACTTTCTTAACGACCCTGCATGGAATGTCTGCTACATATGTACAAAGGACATTACTGGTAATGGGTGCAAACAGACACTGAGGAATTCTACAACTGTCAATGTTTATTTATTATGCTTTGATGCATACATGGTATACTCTATTTTAATATACTACTTTGAAATAATATCTTATAACTATATACCTGCAGCCTATTCAATAAAGAAATATAAATTGATTGACAGGGCAACTTTAGTACAATGTATTTTCAATGCAGTGTGCTTCATCAATGAAAATTGCCTTCAAAATCTTCTCTTTAGTCAGGTCTTGAATGACATCACGCTGTGTTCCAAGAACTGTCTCTGGACTTGCAAATATTATGTCAATGTCACCAGATTGAATATCCTAAATTGATATTTGGCCCATTACATGTACAAGATCATCATCATCATGAGTAGGGTCATGTTGACCCGTCAAATAAACAGATTTCAATCCAATAGATTAACACTTCTCTGTTTGTTTCGTGATTAGTGCCACCAAGGGTGAAATAACAATCACAGTAGCATGGTTGGAGTTCTAAGTTTCTTAAACACAAATGGTGCTATTTCAAAAGTAAGTGATTTTCCTGTTCCTGTTGGAGAACGAAAAAGGACATCCCTTCCTCTGAGGTAACTTACAATCACTTGTCTTTGATGATTCCTGAAGTGATCAATATGTAACTGTTGCTTTCCAAACCATACAGCTTCGTCAATAGCATTACCTTCCATACCAACAGTTATACATGTAGTTAAATAAAGGGTATGCAGCAAACGCTTACCGAAAGCAGCCCATACTTCCCATACTTAAAACACAACATCAGTCCTTTGTTCAGTTCAGCAGTGTGTCAGATTCATGATAACCACATGTGTGGAGATCAGCCATCCCCGGTCACCCTGGTATTCCCCTCAGTACCACCACTCCCACCCCATTTACGCCTCTCACCACTGCCCCAGCTGTATTTTGTTACAGTAAACTAGATGGGAGCAAAGCCAGTGCTAGGCTGTCATCTGAACAAGATTCTCTGATATGATAAGGAAGGGACTTAATTACTGGTCACTATTTCGACTGGTCGTCTCCCCAAAATGACATGACTGTGGAATAGAGCTAGCTTGGGCTGGCTGAGACTTGCTTGGTGCAGGACTATACTTCACAAACTTCAGTTACCTATGCCTGTGTCAAAGATCAGAATAACAGGAGTAATGCCATCCTTCAAAACAATTATCAGCATTCTGTATAATTATTGCAAACAGCATTTTATAGACACTGACATAGTATAAGCTGGAAATATCGAACATGAATAATTGTGATTCCTGCATAAGCCACACAGCTTTGTCTAACAAGGTGTCACCAATTCCTCCCAAAACAAACACAACATTATTGCGTAGTACAATACAACACATACAAATAAACAAATGTAACAATCCCTGATTTAATAAGGCCAGACCACTTTACTTTGTTGTTTTACAAATATGTCCATAAAACAAGAGCTTAAACTGGCCTGGCCTCAGTTTGGTATAAGAGTTTACTGGTCAGTATGTCAAGATGCAGGAGGTACATAATGAACATGTTTCAATGACTCTCAATCACAAAACAATATCAGATATCTGTTGGCAAAATTGTAAATTTATAACAAGAGTTCAGATTTTTTAAAATGTGTGTTAATTGTTATCTCTTTAATTTATCCTAAATAGTCTAAATCTAATACTTACAAACTTAACACATTTCAATCTGACATCTTACTGACTTCTTCAAAATGTATGACAAAAGAAATGAATAGAATGATATTCAAAAATTCACTGTGCACAAGATTTGATTGATAACAATAAGGCAGATACTGTATTCTAAACTGTTTCTAAAATAAACAAGGATAGCATCTTTTTGCAAAAAGTACAGCTTATTAAAGAGACCAATAAAGTTTATGGCTTATGCAAAAGACTGTCTCTAAATTGACTTTGGCAGACTCTCCTGTTGAAAATGTACAGAGCTACTTCTTCTGTCTGACGACACTTTCATCTCATGCCTTCCTCTCTGCTTCAGCTGACATTTCTGAATACTCCCCATATCCTCCAGCTTCAGTTCTTATTCAACATTCTCCTTACTGGCTTCTTGAGCATCAGATGACTCTGCCATCAGATTTGACAACTTATTCAACAAGTCCTTAGCCTGAAATCAGAGAGACAAATAGTACAGAGGTACTGAAGTTCCCTTTCCTAAGTTGAAAGAATAGTTAAGACAACAAAACGCATAATACAAATTGTTAATGAACAAACAGCCCTTTTTTACATATACTGATGGTCTGAAACAAGGGAACAGTCAGAAAGAGAAGCATGTGGTGTAAAAAAAAATACCTAGATTATTTAGCAAGCTTTGTTTGTCTGCTGTTCAATGCAACACTCCGCATTATTCCTGCTATGTAATGGCTGCCTGTAAATAATCTGGGTTGGATCACTGTTTGATAATAAGAGCATTGTCCAACATTGTCATAAAACAATCACATGCACAGTTACTGTGTCTGATAACCCAATCTATTCATTTGCCTCGTACAACAAGCACTGCTTGCTGGAGACCTGACCTAGTCCGGAATCCCCAAGGAGGTTGTGAACCCACTTATCTTACCATTTCAGTTGAGTCACTTATTTAATTATTTAACTAATTTGTTCTCCTATATTTTCCAACAAAAATATTGGTATTGATATGATGATGAAATCTGAATACACTGGATTGTCTGTGACCAACACTTTAACCATTCTGGGTTAGAACCTCTGCTGGTCGAAAGAGGTGCCTTTAATCGGATGGTCAGGTTCAGTGACTTGGTTCAGTTAGCATGTGACCTAACAGTATGCCTCATGTCATGTTCTTTACCTGGGAACCCATGGAACCCTTACGATCACAGGAAGGACTAACTACATATAAGGTCAACACAGTTTAATGACTTCAGATGCATCCTATCATCATGGTGGTGTTTGCCGTCATCTTTGTTAGTTACATCAAAAGTCATATGGTCTCTCATGCAGTCACACGGGCACAAATCGTAGATTCGAAATCCAACATCACTCATTGCCACTGTCATGTTATTTGCCTGGGAACCCATGGATCCCTAGCGACCGCAGGAAGGACTAACTATGAGTAATGTCAACACAGTTTCATGACTTCAGATGTGTCCTAACATAATTGTGGTGTTTGCCGTCTGCGGCCAAGCAGTCTGAGAAAGCAGACTACATGCAACATACATGACGTAACGACTGACCATGGGAACTAGCACGTGCTTGGGAAATCCCCTACTATTAATAGTGTACACCACACTACAGCTCATTCACAATATCAATCACTGGAATGTCTTGATTATTTACAGGCCATAGTTATATAGCTGGAATAGTGAGGAGTTAACATTTAACAAATAAACTTGATGACAAGAACAATATTCAAAGCCATTTCATTACATACTGTAAATCTTGAAATTAACGTGAGGATGAATTAAATGCGAAAAATGAGAGTAATCGTAATGAAACTTCGCATATTTGTCTCCAAAATGACTATTAACAGTAAGACGGCCTCACTGTACACTTTGGAAATACCAACTTGAATGTACACACAAACAATGTTTATTGAGCAGCAGTTGTAACAAGTATATAACAATGTCATTCAAAGAATAGGAATTACACAAGAGGCATCAAGTGAGTTATCACTTCCGGGGTCAATAATTCTACCCACTCGTGTCAAACTAGGAATCACTGACCACACCAGCAGTCCAGACAGATGCCACCCATGCAACACTTCGTCAAAGGCCAACACGACCCAATCAATAGACAGACTTCTTCACACTTGTCTTGTCATCTGCATTCTAGTTTGTTGACACCTTCTCCGCATACCAACCAGTGAAATGGTGTTGGTTCAATTATTTTATTGCCTTTGAACTCCCTTAATGCCAGTAAACAGAATAAACATATAAACTGTGTGTTGTTTATAGGAAAACACAGTAAATCTACACAGCACTAAAAGCAGTGCAATTTGCTGTTTGATTGGATTAAGGTAAGGATATGTATCATTCCACTGGAGATGGGGGGGAGTCACACTGATATTGAGTCGCATTTTTGGCTAGGGGTCAGTAGTCGTATTAATTTAGAGACGCGTTAATTTCAAGATTTACAGTTTGTGCAACTGACAATTTGATTAGATTCAATATAAATTCCCCAGTCATAGCTATAAAATAAGTAAGCTTTGATCCAAGTATTACTGGTTGTCTTATTCTTGATGTGAAGTGATCAACCCACCATGGCAGCTAGGCGTTCATCATTCATGTGGAGGACCTTGGTGAGTGTTTGCTTGGCAGTCTCTATGTCGCCACACATCAGATAGGCGTAGCCAGACACCAAGAACAGAGCAGCATTGTCCTTCTCTACCTCCAACACATTCTTGGAGTGCACCAGGACTTCAGGATAACGCTTCAGCTTATTCAGCAAGTCAATCAACTGAGTCTCATAGGCCTAGTACAGAAACATGACATGTTTTACTTAAAAAACAATATTTTCAGTTGAAAATTATGGTGTATGTACACATTTGTTTTAGCACTGTAGCTCACCCACATATCTAGTCAGACCGCTCAAAAAGTCAGCAAAGGTAATGTTTCCTTTCAGAAAATGTCAACAGCATTATGTCTTACATTCAGGAAGTCCCACACTACCAGCCTTTATATTAAGAAAGTTTTGTGTACCTTCAATAATGTATCGGTCTCTCAGTAAATATGAAAAAGAAATCCAACTAGAGTCTCGAAAGACATGGCAAGTCTAGATTGCCTCTGCTCTAAAACTATGTATTGTTCTGGAGGCTATTTGAATGTAACTTTTTATTTTGTTGAAAAATATATTTTTATAAGAGAACTTTATTGCTGGGACTTAATGTTAGTCTAATGATGGCCTTACTTATAAACCTACCAAGAATGCATGGTCTGGGTCTGTTCTGATATGATCTGGGTCTTGTCAAATATGGTCTGGGCATGTTTTATGAATGAAGTCACAATAGTGTCATGTGAAAGTAATTCTGTAATTTTAGTCGTGGTAGAAACTGTTCTAAATATATTTTTAGTAACTGTTGGCGGCATAAAATAATTGAACTACTAGTAAAAAATTATCAAGTGCTGTCGTGGCCAGATTTGAACAGCAGTCAACAGAAGTTGACATTTCGACAGAATGATTTTGTACATCCTGCATCTATGAACATGGCAGACTTGAATGTTCTAAATGTTTCTGGATGTGACAGTTTCTAGAAGGCTGGCTGTACAGATAAAAGAACGACAAGATTGTGATTCTAGGTCTTTATAACCTGACTTTAATCTTTTCTATTTGCCAAGTGTGGTTTGGATACGTTTGGAAACGCCAAATTCCTGCCAGCTTCCAACACTATTCTGGACTCAAGAACAGAAACAGACCGCTTTCAAGACACAATCGACAGTGACAAAATTCGGGAATATTTGTGAGTTCACTTACATTAATTCTGGGGCATTTCTTACTTATTGCTGCTGCTACTTATTTGACCTATTGTATTGCCTTTTCATTGTAAATCTAAAACTGTGTGTTTTTTTATTGATTATTCACCATTGTTCATTGATCTTGTGTGGTCATTTTCTGATTTCACAACTTAGTCTAGTATGCTAATAAATGGTCTGTTATGTTTTATGAACGAACTCACAATATGGTCTGGGTACGCTTTGTGGCCAGCTTCAAGCACCTCAACAGCCATGTCGTCTCTGCCTGCATCGGTGCACCATTTTGCCGCAGCATTGTACACTGCGGTGTTGTAGTCGGCGTTAATCATGGTGGGAAGCAGCTGCAGCAGCTCCTCCGTGGCGCCGCCCGGGATCAGATGCTTCACCGCCTTCTGCTGACACAATGTGGCATCACCAGGCCAGCTGCAAGAGTGAAGAGTGAGTTGGGTTCAGTGTGTTTCAGTTATATAATAGCATGTCAACTTAATGAAGGAGGAAGGCTCAAAGGATGTAGGCCATGAAGATTCTTAGCACTTTGGTGAAACAACAAGTTTGGATCTGGTGCAGACAAGCCCAGAATAATAGTAGGCCAGCAGGGAAAAGTCAGTTTTTGTTTCTTTGAGTTGGGTTTAATACTGCTTTGAACAGTATTTAAGTAATATCACAGCGTGTCCACCTTAGATGTTTACCACTTTGGTGAAACCCTTGAGCACAGGTATGGCACTGACAAATGGAAAATTTGGGCATAGGTTTCTGGCACACCTGTTAAGGGAGGGTAAGTCCAATGTGTGAACAGCTCCAAGAGATGCACATAGTTTTCACCTTAGTGAAACCAACAAGTTTTTGTCTGGTGCTGACAAATCAAGGATGCTACTTTCTTTGAATTTGGTATTAGAACAATGATCAGAGGATCCTGATATGACCAGGATATGTAACTCTGCATCGCACTCTGTGGCACCTTAGATCACTTGGCCACCCATGGCACCCTACTGAAAGGTCAAATATGGGTCATTGGCAAGTTACAGTGACACTGTTTATGAATGTGCATAACATGTACCTTGTGTAGGACTCAAATGTATCACATGGAAACAGATATCAGCATGAAGGATACCCTGTCAACAGAACAGTGCTTATTTTCGCATGATTCTGCATCCAAAGATTCCATTACTTTTCCTTTTGCATAAATATATTTTGATCCAGTTTCCATTGTTTGGCAGGCAACTGCAGACAAATTGCAACTTCACAACCTTCATGAACAGAATAATTGGTACAGGCATGCTTTCAAGCATTTCATTTGTCTTGTTTACAAGAAAACAAATTTACCCTCATAACTAAATCAACTGATTTCTTTCACAATCAGCTCACTGGTGACACTATACTCCAGTAGAACTACTGTAACCAATGAATCAAATACAATATTACCAACATGCAAATGACATGTATTGAAGAGGGCATTGTTAATGATTTGGAACACCTACTTCATGAATAATCTTCAAAATAACCTCATACAGAGGTCACTCAGAAGCCTTCCAGTTTGCGACCCTGACCTAAGGATATCAATGTCATAAAAAGGTTTTGTTGATGTACAGTAAACAGTTCTTAAATCACTTTTTAAAACAGAAGGATTTTATGGAATGACCTTGATATGACCTTGAAGTATGATCTCTAAGTGGTAATTGGTATAAAAATTATAAAGGAAAGTGCAATTTCCATCAAAGTGCATGGTTTAGTTTGAGGTAAACGCTGCTTTCAGCTTCAGCCATATCATGGCATGATTGTAAAAACCCGGCTTTTACACCTCTCTCAATATTCCAGAAACATGTGAGGGACACCAGAAATCAAACAAGAGCTATCACTGTGTAGAATTCTAAGAATACTACCTCTATTACATCACAGCCATAATTCACACTACATGTATAAAGTAATTGGATTTTTCAACAGACATCCTCTTGACCACCAACATATCTACTAGTTGTGAGGCAAACCATATCTTCAGCTATATGCACATGCGCATATAACGCCACTTTACTTATTTCAACCAATAACCCTCATCGTCTATATGCAGAAATATTGGGGAGGTGGGAGGGACTAATTCCGGACATAATAGAGATAGTATTCTTAGAAAAATATCTTTGAAAACCTTACCTCTATTACATCATAGCCAGTATTCACCAGAGGGACTGGTGGAATCTGGCATCTAGTGTTCCCAGATAGTTGGCAGTAGTAAAATAGGAATATATATATGGTTGTAAACCGAAGTATATTGCCTGATATTCTCTTCTAGAATCTCTAGTAAGGTCATTTTAAGACATCATTTCCCTTTATATGGCATCAGTTCTGTTGCCTTTGTGTGGTATTTGACATACTTCTGACATCACTTCCAGTTCTTCCGTTTTCCTGTCAGTGAACTTTACACATATTTGACATACTTTCTGTTACTAATGTGTCTCCTATGACATGATTTCCAGGTGGCTGTTACAATGTTACATCAGAGACTAACATGCAGAAACCTATGATTCCAGGCATTTGCCAGTGGTTATTATCACGTTTGGTGCCACAGTGGGTCCCAAATGTATAGCCCCTCAAGATCGGTTTGTACGTCACAATATTATCACGTAAGTAAACTGTATTGTGCGATTTCCATTGGCAACATGCTCAGATCCATGTTGCCAGGCCATGGATAGCTATAGCTCTGATTTCATAAGCTCTGCAACTTTCCCATGTTGGGCAATACTTACATCACTCTACTTTGTGGGTTACGGGACCAGCCTGGATCGTAGGGTCCAGTTAGGCTGCCAGGCTGCGCAACTACCTGGGGGTTCAGCGCAGTAACCTTGGCTTTGGCAGAGGAGTTGCTTGGTCAGCCAACTGTGGTCTCAAATGGGACCAACTCAAGGGTCGGGCTGATCAGCTCATACTGGAGAGGGGCCCATGCAGGTAGTTAATAATTATACAATTTGGGTCAAACGACCTGTGTCACTGTCAGGTCCCTTCCAAAGACTTATTTTACTCCTTCTACCAGGAATTGCTCTAGATCCGCCTGCTCTGCCCCCATTGTATGGTCTGCCATGCTTCTTCGGCATCCGCGCCATTAAGACCAAGTGTAATAAATTAAATTGACAGATCATAGTAAAGGGGCAGTTGGGCGGCCACAGTATTTCCTTCGTCCCTCAGTAAAGCCGGCAGATTACACGGACAAGGTGCACCTCAACCACAATGAGGACCAATACAGGGCAATCATAACAGCATTGCGGGCATAAGACACCTATAGCTCTGCCTCTAGCCTCTTCCTCCCCTTCCCCGCTAACCATCTATACTCAAACTGTGGATGGCTGCTGTTGGTGTGGCTTTTGTGCATGTTGCCTGCGGGACAGCACATCAATAACAACTGACGCTGGGTTTTTTGGCTGCTGCATCTAGATTGGCAGTCCAAATCTTCCTGCCTGCTTTTTCCGCAAGAGAGAGTACCGGGACTGCACGTATTTAAGCCCCTCCTATTGTTAAGCCCATGGGCCTAAAAACGGAAAAATAAAAAGTTTTTAAGCCCATTGGCTAAAATTAAATTTTTAACTTGAGTGATCTCCCTTTCCGGATATTCCTCAACACGTGTTGTGGCAGACCTATATATGGCTAGTATGCACCAATTTTGCACCTTAAGCGCTGTTAGGGGTTTCCACATATACAAGACGCATTGGACCCCTAACGTAGATGACATTCTTGAAACTAAGTGTGACAGTTTAAATGCATATGACAGACACGCCGTGTCGGTACTGGATAATAACGTCATTGTGGGTCATGTTCCCGTTCAACAGAGCAAATTGTGCAACTTCTTTCTTCTTCGTGGAGGTGTCATTCAAGTAGAAATTCTGTCACATAAACCAACACGTTCTAATCTACTGCAAGGTGGACTTGAAATTCCTGCATTGTTTATATTCATTGGCAGAGAAAAGGACATTAACAAATTGCCTAACATTTTACAGGAAATAACTGTTCAAGTTTAAAGTCATGGCGTCCAGAAAATCATTTACGTAAGGTCAAAAATTAGAAGCTGTACAGAGAGTTAAAAATGAGTTTGAAGGTAATTTAAGCAGGGCTGCCAGAGAATGAAAAATTGATCGAAAAAATCTCAGAAGATGGATGTCGGAGGAACAGGTCATGTCAAATAATGACGGCAGAAGGAACAAATGTCGCATGGGCAATCCTCGGCGTAAACCGCAAGAACCAGACCTCGAAGAAGCATTGTTGGTGTGGTTTAAAGAACAAAGAGCTGAAAAGCACGTTGTGAATTACAACAATGTGAGAGACCGGGCATTAACGCTGATGAAGGAAATGGGAATTAGCGAATCGCTAAAAATTAGTGATTCTTGGCTACGTAAATTTTGCAAATGCCATAACATTTCATCCAGGAGGATCACCCATCACAGACAGCAGGACAAACGGAACTTAATGATTCAACAAATGGTCAGCTATGATCATCTCAGTGGTGTGCAACAGTTGGCAGCAGAACTCGACAAGACCAAGATATTTAACATGGATGAAACTCCATGTTACATCGACATGGCAGGGCAGACAACGCTCGACTCTGTTGGATCGAAGAACGTTGATGGCCTGAGGACTGGACACAACAAAAACAGATTCACCGTTGTTCTGTGTACATGCTTGGATGGTCGTATCCTCAAGGTCATGGTCATTCTCAAGAACCTGGTCCACCTCCCAAAATGAGTTGTTTGTGTCCAAAGGAGGTTCAATGAATGAAACGCTGATGCTATCTTGGATAGAACTCGTGTTCAAATCCCGTGGATCGTATTTTGCGAATCAACCATCTCTACTCTTGATGGACAGTCACAGAAGTCAATACACTGATCCTGTGGTAAAGTCACTGAAGTCCCTGAATGTCACCACTAAACTTATTCCTCCAAAGACAACATCCTATCTCCAGCCTCTTGATGTGTCAGGTGGGGTCAACGCTCCATTCAAGGTTGCAATGAGAAAAGCATGGCAGGATTGGTTGATCAAAGGGGACAAAGAATTCACCCCAACTGGGAACAGATAGAAGCAATCTTATGATGTTCTTCTCCAGATGGTTTCGGAATTGGTGGAATCTATCCCATCTTCTGTCGTCATCAATTCCTTTCAGCTGTGTGGTGTTGCTGAGTTCGGCAATGACGTAACAATGGAAAATCTGTTGTTTCATTCCAGTTGTGAGTATTGTTTCATTAAACTTGAGATATTCATTTTTTCGTAGGGTGTTTTTGTCCATATTTCGAATTTAAGCCCTGGGCTTAAATTTCGATAAAATGTTACCTTATTAAAATAGGCAAAATCCGTAATTAAGCCCAGGGCTTAGATACATGCAGTCCTGGTACAATGTTCCCATGGCTACCACCATCTGCCTAGCCTTGGCAGAGGGCTACAATTATACTAATCATGTGCATCCTGCCCCATCCACGCTATCCACACCTCGACCTATTTTCATCCACAATGCTCTTATTCACATTAATTATATTTACCTTCCTACTAAACCTTATAACATACAGCCATACACTATCAATATAGTGAGATTTTAAGTGTTTACTGATTTGGCCTGGTTGACAATGCCCTGTCCTAATTTATCCTTCGATTTTGATCTACCACTATCTTTTTGCTGAGAGACAGTTTTTTTATATAGCAAGATCTCCTGAGATACGGATAAGGTGTTAGTTAGTGCTGTCATGGATGAAATAATGGTTGTAGATAACTCGTTCATGTTTCATGAGTTAGGATGGTTCCTAGCCCTTTTTTACACCTGGAATGCCCACCCCTCCCATCAGGCCTGAACGCACATCAGTGGATTGGCATCCAGCATGGTATGCCTGCTACCTTTTATCCAGGGGTGGGTGGGAAGGGGAATAAGATCTCCCCTCTATAGGGGAGACGGTGCCCTCTGACATCGCCGACCAGAGTGTCTCTCGGTGGCGGAAAGCAATCCAGGAAGAGACACTTTATCCAACTGCATCCTATTCTTAGTCGTAGTTTGTAGAGTTTTTTTGCTGACAATCTAGTACTCTTCCTTGATGGTTTTGGCTTAGTAATCCAAGCCTCGTAAAGATTATTAAACCCTTCCTGAGATAAATCTAAGAAGTTACATCTTGAGCTTGGAGGACAAGTACTCTCTTTGCATGATTGGCATCTAGGGTGGAGATCTGTGATCAGCTGATCAAAGCCAAACTCTGAACACACGCCAGATGGCGATGGAGAGGGAGAGTCTCACAATGTTTCTAAACTAATTACTGTCGAGAACGATCTTGCTTCTTACACTCCCATAATCTGTAAACTTGTCTATAAGACCATCTCAAGAAGTTACGGTGTGAAATAACAAAACCAAACGTGTTCAGATGTTGATTGTTAACATCTAGATGCACAGGAACTTTAAGCGGAGGATAGAGTTTGCCTCACAACTAGTAGATATGTTGGCAGTGAAGAGGATGTCTAAAGATTTTATAGTGTGATTACAGCCTAAACAGGAATTTATGGTTGTGATGTAATAGATGTAAATCATTCAAAGGAGTTATGGGCTGCACACATTGTATCCACATGGGGAATCAAACTCAGGTCTTTGGCGAGACAAGCAAACACATTAACCGTTTAGCTTCTCCACTGCCCCTATGATAACTAGGAACCCCTTCAGTGATACTGACATGGTAAGTGCATGATCCAGGGTCAGGTGTTGTGGGCGTGGCTGCTCCCGGGGCTGGAGGATATCCAGGAAGTCAAGGATGAAGTAGGAGACAGGGTCTGGGTCATGCTCCAGGAGCACCAGCAGGATCCGTTCTGCCTCGGCATACTTCTGGTTGTTGAATAGGTACTGCACTATGTCTTTACTAGCTTTCTTCAGACGCTGGTGGACAACTTTGTTGCGAACAAGGATATCAACTGTAATGAAGTGAATGGGTAAGTTTGTATTAATACTGCTTTGAACAGCATCTCAGTTAGGGATCGACGATTTGATAGTCTTGAGGGTGGAGTCCTGGGATTTTAAAAACTGATAATAATTTGTTCCCCAAAATACTATCAAATAGTAATTTTAGTCGAGATTACAAAAAAATGCCCAGTGAATTGTAGTACCACCAAAAGGCAATAAAGAAGAACAGCGGATGGTGTACATCATTTACACATTTCCAATGGATACAAACCTGAGAATTGTGGAAGTGAATGCTCACCACCAGTAGAAACAGTTACCCCTGTTCATACTTCATACTTATCTAGGCAATCTCATTAAAATCAGATCTAAATTCTCACTGCCGCTAAACAAAGATCTGAGGACATCCCATTATGGGTCACGTCAGAACGACCTTTTGCGAACTTTGAACAACCACTGAAATGTCTAACAAGAAGTTGACATCAGCCAACTGGAAAGCAGCTTTCCAGATGATAATTTTGACGGAATCAGTTGTACGGGCATAACTGTCGTTCGGAATACACCGTGTTAACATTTTCGAGGTTGCATGATCAGCAAACACATTCTGACTGTCACTTTCATGATGTGGTAAGTGACGCTTTGATTGGTCGAATGAAAGGCCGTTCTGATGTGACCCGTAATGGGATGTCCTCAGATTTTTGTTTAGCGATAGCGAGAAATAAGATCTGATTTTAATGAGATTGTATCTAGGCAATATACCATGTAATACATATCAATATTACGAGGGGTGTTCATTAAAGATTTCCCCTGAACCACTGGACCTAGTGGAATGAAACTGGGCATAGGTATTAGTCTTTCTCCACATAGGAACCACCAAGAGTAACACACTTCTCCCATCGTTTTATGCAACTATGGAGACCTCGCTTGTAAAAGCCCTCATTTTGCGTCTCAAACCAGGACTTGACTTCAGAAATCAGTGTTTCATAATCTGTGAAACATTTTACCTTCAAAAATGACTTCATGGTTGGAAAGAGGTGGAAGTCAGATGGTGCAAGGTCAGGAGAGTAAGGAGGATGTGGAAGGATTTCATAGCCACAGGACCGCCCTTCTGTCTGGGCAACATGAGAGTTGTGTACTGGAGTATTGTCTAGCAGGAGACGGACACCCTTGGTCAGCATGCCACGCCTCTTTAGCTTGATAGTGTCCCGCAATTTCCGCAGCAGTGAAGCATAATAAGATCCTGTAATTGTGGTACCCTTTGCCAAGAAATCCATTATCACTACTCCGTGCTGGTCCCAAAACACCGTGAGCATGACCTTGCCTGCAGAGGGTTGGACACGTGCCTTCTTTGGGGGTGGTGACTCCACATGCTTCCATTGCATGGACTGAACTTTAGTCTCAGGATCATAGTGATGGACCCATGTTTAATCCTGTGTGATAAGTCTGTCAAAAAAGTTTGCCTGTTTTCTGGCACATGTCCAAAAGATCCTTTGAGCAATTGACCCGTTCCTGCTTTTGGAAAGGTGTGAGCAACCTGGAAATCCATCGTGCAGACACCTTATGCATGCTCAAATTGTCATGGATGATTTTTTCCGCAGACCTTACACTGATCTTGACATCTTGTGCTAACTGGCGAACAGTTATATGTCGGTCTGCCAAAATGGCGGTCTCCACTTGATGGATAGTGTCCTCATCAATGGCTGAATGGGGGCGACCAGGAATGGCAGCTGTTTCCACAGATGTCCGACTACACTTGAACTGGCGATGCCAGTGTTTAACAACGTCATATGATGGGGCATCTTCCCCATAAGTTGCTTTCATTCATCGAAAGTTTCTTTTGGTGTGCGACCTTTCAAATATAAAAACCTAATCACTGCTCGGTATTCTACTAGCTCCATTTTTACACCCTACTTGATCATAAGACCTGTAAAAGTGGTAAGATTAATAGTTCGGTGCTGCAAATTCAGACATAACCCATAGATACATGTATCATTACACATGTGAAATTTCAACCAAATATGATAACCCTAAGTGGTTTAGGGGAAATCTTTAATGAACACCCAGCGTACCTTCAAGGTGGTAATAACTTTCCAACCTGAATCATGCATTTAATATATGTTTTCAACAAATATAAACGACCATCAAAACATATGTTGCATGTTGTATCTTTAGTGCCCACCAAAACGTTGTATCTGCACTTTATACAGTGATAAGGATCCTACTCAATACACCCAATTAACCACAGTGACTCACGGACATGGAGGTACAGCGTCACAGCCTCATCATGCCTCTCCAAATGATACAGGCTTATTGCATGGTTCTCCAGGAGCTTCCGGTAATTGAAGTCGTCCTCTGACACCTCATTTAGCTAAAAGGAAACATTTAAAGGGGAACTGGACATGGACAAATTGTTTACACAACATTATATGTTTCTGCTAAAGTCCACATGATTATCTATATATACAGTTAATCATTAATATAGATATCAAACAATAATTATCATTGTGTATAATTCTATGAATACTACCTCTATTACATCATAGCCACAAATTCCCATTTTGGCAATAATCACACAATAAAATGTTTAGATTTTTCAACAGACGTCCTCTACATCGCCAATTATCCCAATAGTTTTGAGGTAGACCCTATCCTTTGTAACACTGCATCCGTGCAAGGTGGGAAAACATCACTTCTTTCCAATAACCTTCATGGACTAGATGTAAGATATACTGGGGAGGTGGGAGGGACTATTTCCTGATGTAATAGAGGTAGTATTCTTAGAATTATACACAATGATAACTATTGTTTGATCATTCCTACAAATATCCTACCTCTATTACATCATAGCCAGTATTTACCAGAGAAACAGGTGGAATCTGTCATCTAGTAATTGGCAGCAGTGAAGTGAGGGAATACATAGAAGAAAAGGAGTATGAACCAATGCCTAAGTTCCTGATTTCACCGTTGGCAAACCTGAAGAACACTTGGCACTTGTGGTGTCCTTCCCGTTCTATGACCTCATAATTGTTAACTGTTTTGGGTGATATAAGACCTTACTTATGATGTTTCTCTCCGGTTCTGAGGTATTTGATGACATCACTTCCGGTTTTGAGAACATCAATGACAACACTTTTTGTTCAATCTCTTTGTGACATCACTTGGGTCATATTTTATGTCACTTCCAGTTCTGAGGTCATCTATGACGTCACTTTCGGTTAATCCTTCATTGTGACGTAGACATATACTTGATGCTCTATAGCCAACAGCATATATACTTATCTCATAATGACGTACATTTCCACTGATGACATGTTTCCCTTTATATATTGGTGATAATACATACTCTCTACCTTAATTCTGGTTCTGAAGTCTTTCACGACAACACCTCTGGTAGTTATACATGTTACATCGAACAATTAACAATGTAATAACCCTATCACCTATGATCTATGATGGGCCATGCTAGGGCTATCAGAATTATGACGATTCTGTGTCCTCGACTTTCCTTATTACTCTGTCCACGAGAGACCAAGGAGGGAAGGCATAGGAGAACATCCCCTGCCAACTCATGGATAGCGTGTCAACCTGGAGACCTAATGGTTCTGGGACTGGGCTGCTTAAACGTGAAGTCGATGGTTTAGGCATGTGGCAAACAGGTCAAGGTGAGGGGTATCCCACGTCAAGGTTATCCACTTGAATACCTTGGGGTTGAGAGTCCATTCCGTGGGTACAATCTTGTGTTTCTGAGTTAGGCAGTCTGCAAGTATGTTCACTTTCCCCGGTATGATGACACGTGATATATTGGTGATAATATCACTCTTTACGTTAATTCCGGTTCTGAAGTCTTCCATGACAACACCTCCTGTAGTTATACATGTTACACTGAGCGACTAACAATGTAATAACACTATCACCTTATGATCTATGATCCCAGATGTTAGCCTATGATCCGTCCAACCTACTTGACATAGTGTAAAGGCCAACTTACCTAATTTTGTGACTGAGACATCACACCTCGTCTTTGTGGATCTGAGATATTGGGTCTAACCTGTTGAGTAAGCAGGAATTGTAGGAACATCCATACCTGTGCAGCTTGAAGATCTTAGCGCATCTTCAGAATGCTATACAGCACACTATGAATGAATCCAATTTGTTCCAAGTTCATTTCAACTTTAGTGTCACAAGGTTGGCCAATAAATTCCTCACTGTTGACAGGGGGGAGTACATGTCTGATGCCTGCTGCAAACCAGTTCATATATGTGCTAATGTTTATCATCTGCTTATTGACATTGTCAAATTTTTTGAATTTGTTCATCCCCATATTAGGGTGTCTGACCAGATCAAAATATTCCTCATCATTGGTAGGAGATGTGGGGAACGGACAACTGTGTGTTTTATAGCACTGTCTTCCTTTGTGGGGGTAAGGCATGCTGAAACTTCTGCTAGTCGAAGCGTTTAATTCCGCATTCATTTTTGCGACCACATTTTCAGTGAATGACGGATAAGGTAATGTATGAAAACCTGCCCTCTTTTCTACAGGATTTTCATAACACACCCGTTCAATAAGCACCGGATCCTCTACCTCATTGCTTGGTGGTTTGACAGATTGAATCAACTGATAGATTTCATAAATGATATCATTAAATGATTGAGTAGTCATTTGGTTTAAACGTTGAGTACACAATTGGATTCATCATGAGAAGCGTTCGTAATATCCTCTGGATAGTACCCCCGGGCACTTGCCCCTGGGGTGAGATGGTATCACGTGGTGTATGCTTTTCTCTCTGCTGCGACCCTTGGCTCGCGCAGCACAAGGATTGTGCTGTATAAGTGTAATAGCTAGGTGCTTCATAACTGTCCGAGCTAGAGACACGGCTCTCACGTTTGATTGTGGCTGAAAGAGCACACTTTTTGGCACTGGGTATCTTTAGCACGTTTCACCTCAATCTTTGGTATGTAAGGGTGATATGCCCTGCAGGAAGAATGGTGTTTATTTTTGTGAGACTCCTGTTATACATGTTTCCTTTTTCCCCAGATGAACAGGGTGAGTTAGGGCTATGGTGACTACTCTCGTTTGATACAACACGTCTTTTGTCCTGTGAACTCTCTGATCTGTGATGTGTATGTGAATAGGACTTTTGTCTACCATCTCAATCATGTGATCCAGATCTGGTCGTTTCCTTCAAATTTGCATGTTGTTTTAGCTTATATCCTGTGATATGGATGCCTTAGTTTTTTGGGCGGGTGGGTTGAGTAACGTGATTTATCCTCAACATGCAAAAACCGGGTTCTCTTTATACATCACCCCTTTTGTGCAAGGTTGCAAGGTGCAAGGTTGGTGCAAGGCTGCAAGGTTGACTATCGTAGGTTGTCTGCTGTAATCCGTTTAGATCTTGACTAGCTGTAATTTATTATCATATATGTGGTTGGATTGATCAGCAAAAAACTTTGCCTGTTGATCCAACACACAGAGATAGAAGTGATGTTTTCCCGCCTTGTGCATGCGCAGATGCAGTGTCACAAATGATAGGGTCTGCCTCAAAACTATTGGGATAATTGGCAGTGAAGAGGACGTCTGTTGAAAAATCTAAAGATTTTATAGTGTGATTATTTCCAAAATGGGAATTTGTGGCTATGATGTAATAGAGGTAGGATATTCGTAGGAATTATCATAAATAACGTAAATACTCCCCACCTCCCTGCATATGACAGGTTCCAATGACAACAAATGCTGATGATTCCAAAGTGTAAATCACAAAAGATCAAAAACTGCTAGCTGACTGTTACTTTTTATCCATCTCAGTAGGATGGTGTTACTATGAAATGATCACTGGCAGCAGTGCTTACTATAGGATACACCAGGATTTTTCATTTCTCAGGGACACAAATGATTCAAGATTTGAACTTTATTTCAGAATGTGCAAAGTTTGATCAAGAAATATTGAAGGGTCCTTGAGTTATGTCCTTGAACTACCCACTATCATCATTTCAACCCTCCTCAATCCCTAATTACCAAAAAACACAAGTTTTGTAATAAAATATTAAATGGTTTCTGAATAATACTTTGGAAACAAGAAATGCCAAACAGACGGATAGATGCATAGCTACCATTCCTGTTAATCCCTCTCCCACTTTCAGATGGAGGATGAAAATTAGGATGTCGGGTCAAAGCAACTAACCAAACTATGAGAAACTATTTGAGCTTGACGACAGCCACCACATCACAGACAGTGACCTACCCTGTGAGGATGTCTGGTAAGAGTATTGGTCCACAGCAACCCATGCTTATTGTAAGAGGTGACTAAACAGATCAGGTGGTCAGGCTTTGTGACTTGAGTGATAGCATGTCATCGCATCCCATTTGTATGGATCTATACTCGTGATGTCAATCACTGGATTGTCTGGTCCACATTTGATTATGCACAGACTGCTGTTATGTAGCTGAAATAATTCATAGGGTGGTGTTGGATAAACAAATAAAACAAAACATCTCTATCCTACTAAGTCACCTGTTATGACCTGAGGGCACTGGGGACATTTTCTAACACTGGAATACAATCTACATGTATACAATATATATATTCTTAATAAGCTCAATCCTGTATTCAGTGTGATACTCTCACAATCTACATTTGATCATTAGTGCCACAGTCATCAATATTCCAGCTACAACATGGCAGGCTGTAAATGATCCAGTCTGGGCCAGACAACCTGCTGATTGGTACGATGAGCAACATCCCATGTGATGAGGGAATGATGGCAACTAAGTCACTAATCCTGACCACCTAATGCTGGCTGAAAAGTTCAGACTCAACATTGTAAAGAAATGAAGCTGAATCATTTTAGAAAGCTGGCATCTGATTGGCTCAAGAACCCACACATTCTTGGGCAGCCAAAGTTTGCTCAGGGTTGCATCTGACCTTTCATGACACCCTGAAACTTAACAGTCCATAATAATGTTGCAATAACAGCGTTCAAAATACCTGCCTGCCCGACTGTCCGAACAGGTTGATTTCAACTTGGGCTGTCAGATTATCAAATCTCCCTGCCCGACGGTCGGGGTATATTTCATAGGTGAAAATATTTCCCGATGATAAGCATTAATTCACATGTAAAGATGAATGATAAAATGTAACCAAAAAGAAACCCCGTTAGCTTTTAGACAACCTAACATTTAGCGATGCGCTTATGCTACAAGCAATCAGTTTTCATATTTTTAATTAAATTATCCTGAGAAACATATGATTATAGTGGGCAGGCAGGTTTTGGTCAGGGCTGGGAGTTTCATACCCTGGCAATGATTCACTAAAACTCCTGTGCTTTTGAACTCAACCGTTTCTTGACGGAGAAATAGAGCACACTGTGAGAGTACAATGTCAGGTCACACATTGACAGAGTAGCCATACAATGCTCAATGGCTGGCTCTTACAACAAGCATGGGTACTAGCAGATCACCATGAGGAAGGCTTCCATATAACATGACACTGTGGACATCACAAAGACAGACCCTAATCTTTCCTGGACAGTGTGATATAATTTATATAGGTATTCAATCCGTCAACCTGAATTGTTAATTTTGAAACATAAATTTGTCTTCACCTATTTTCCAAAACGCATCTTAATACCTCATATATTCTAATGGTTTTATTGCTGTATTCCAAGGCTTTCTGGTAGTCTGGTTTTTCCCGATAAAGCTCCAACGCTGACAGGTTGCCATAAGCCATTGCCACATTGATGTGTTCCCAGCCAACTGCTGCTGCCTTCATTTCCAAAGACCTACAACACAGGACAGACCTACAGAACAAAGACCTGGAATACAGATCATCAAAGTCATGCAGTCTCCTCTGAAGTTCATGGCCGGTGCATCATCTAAGGTGATGCAGACTCACCTGAAGTTCATGATGAAGTCTCACCTGAAGTTCATGGCCTGTGCATCATCTAAGCTGATGCAGTCTCACCTGAAGTTCATGATGAAGTCCCACCTGAAGTTCATGGCCTGTGCATCACCTAAGCTGATGCAGTCTCACCTGAAGTTCATGGCTGGTGCATCCTCTAAGGTGATGCAGACTCACCTGAAGTACATGTTGAAGTCTCACCTGAAGTTCATGACCGGTGCATCCCCTAAGGTGATGCAGACTCACCTGAAGTACATGTTGAAGTCTCACCTGAAGTTCATGGCCTGTGCATAATCTAAGGTGAGGCAGTCTCGCCTGAAGTTCATGGCTGGCACATCATCTAAGGTGAGGCAGTCTCGCCTGAAGTACATGATGAAGTCTCACCTGAAGTTCATGATGTAGTCTCACCTGAAGTACATGATGAAGTCTCACCTGAAGTTCATGATGTAGTCTCACCTGAAGTCCATGGCCGGTGCATCATCTAAGGAGATGCAGACTCATCCGAAGTACATGATGCAGACTGACCTGAAGTACATGATGCAGACTCACCTGAAGTACATGATGTAGTCTCACCTTGAGTACATCTTCTCTGCATCATCAAGTCGCTTGAGACGACGGTAACACAATGCGATGTTGGTCATCAAGTTTCCCAGCTCATGGTATGTGCTTCCGAAGTGAATCTTCTCCAGGCCCTGATAAAGACACAGCAAAACCTTGTTAACTAAAGGTCCTCAGTGTAATGTCTGCTATTCATAGTCATCACATGACTGTAGTGTATACATGATAACATGACACTGTACCTACATCATCGATACTGTTGACGTCACATGTGAGCACATGTTCGTGGCTTTGGAGTGCAAACGATCTAGCTGGCAAGACGTGTGTTTACGTTATCTCTCTTGTTGGGTCTGACCCAGTTATGCAGTTATAGTACGTGCTTAAATGCAGTGCTTCAATGCAGTCTTACTCTATGAAGTCAGAGAACATTTCACTCAGGATCACAGAAAACATAGCAAGTTATACCAAGGATGAGACAAGAAATACATCATAAAAAAATATGTGTCAACCGTAAAGTAGACAACGTAATAGTTGGATGTGTGAGTTATGAGGTTTAATATCATATATTATTATACATATACAGTCAAACATCGTTGTGTCAAAGTTGAAGGGACCTACGTAAATACTTTAAGTTAGAACCAAAATTGATGAATAGAGGAAGGAATACACAGTTACAAAGCTTTTACTTCAAGAAAACTATGTTTCACAACACATAAAAGTTCAACACAACAATGTGATGCAGTGATGGTCGCGTGTGCATGTAGCCTGTAGATGGGATAAGTATATTAATATACAATATATTGTAAAAGATTGTCACACAGTCTTGTGTCAAAAAGACATGAACTCGTGAGTGGGTAAAACTATAAAAAGTGAGAAAAGCCCCTTTACATTAGCAGGACATAACAGCATGAAATAAGGTATGACATGTGTGATGTATATTCACATACGACTGCATAGTTTTGAAGTAGGGAACCTTCTCACCACGACTTATAGGGGTCTCCAGTCAATTTGTTCTACAAGTCAGACCTCCAAGACATGAGGTTAATCTGCTGGGCATGTCTTTTTATGCTTTGTCAAAGCTATCAAACGCAACCATGGTGAATAAGCATGCCAAGACAAGAAGAGGAATGATTGACAATATCCATAAAGGATCCTCAAATTAATACAGAGACATCACATGCTCAAGGCAGGGGTGAGCAGGTAAGGGTTTAGGAAACTGCTGAAACAGAAGCACCTAGTGATGACTTCTATGTCGAAGACTGGGATGCAGGTTTTAGTTGATGCCCAAGCAATGTTTGATGTTTTACCTCAGGACAATTTTCTCCAACAATGTCACTAGTAGTTGCAACTAGAGTGGACTATCCAAGTATGCAGAAGCGAGAGAACTGACGGATAGGAATATCTATCCTATATCAATTAGGAGATGTCATGCTGCAATGCTATGACTTCACCCTGGAATGTGATCATGTCATGATGCAATGGCTGATGTCAAATGCTTCCGTGCTAACCGAACTTGCCTGGTTAGTAGATTGTTAAAAAAAGACAACTAAATCAATTTTGTTATGATAAGTATTGATCAAACTTAATATTTAATTAACATTGTATCCATTACATGAAGCCATATAGCGCATTTATTTAATTTTAGTTTGACGAAAAACAGATAATTAACAAGAAAAGGGGAAAACTGCAATATTTGGGTCCCCAAGGAAATCCACGAAGTGGGGACCCAAATACTGCAGTTGACCCAAGAAAAGTATGCATATTGCAGGACACATTTCAAATCATTTTACAGTTATCCTTCAACATGTAAGATAAGATTAAAGATTGAGCCAGAAAGTTAACTGAAATAGTTTGCCTGCTTGTACAGTGAAATCCTGATACATCTGTTATTATAAAAGAATCATCCACATAACTGAACATTCTGTTATCTTAACTGACCATCATAGGCTGCTGTGTTCCTTCAGACAAGAAGATCTATCACAAAAGATGCCCAAACATTGGAATTGTGGTGACAAATTACTTGTTTAGCATGTTTGGTTCTCCCAAATTTTCAGATATTTGACAATGGCTTAAGTGCAAGGATATTGCCTGTATCAGTAACAAGTTACAAAATGTGCATAATTGACAGTTATTAGAGATTACCTTCATGCACTCTTCAAATATCTTAATGGCCTCCTCATACTTCTCTTGGTTCATGGTTAAATATCCCAAGTTTTGCATGCAGGTTAAGACACTGCTCTCTTCATTCCACTTTCTGTATAACTCCAAAGATTCATTGTAAGCTTCAAAGGCCTAGAATTTGAAGAAACAGGAAATATCACAAGGACAGTTCTATTTTTTCAAAAATATATTTAAATAATATTGAGGGATTGGTCATATATAGGTGGTGGTGGGTGTGTGGGTGTGTGTGTGTGTGTGTGTGTGTGTGTGTGGTTGGGGGGGGGGGGGGGGGGGTGTAGAGGTGAAGAGGAAGTGTGTTACATAGAATGAGGTGGGAAGGAAAAATAATTTCATCTCAAACCATATTCCATACCATACTCAGCCATGTTCCAGCTATATGACAGCGGTCTATAAATAATCGAGTCTGGACCAGACAATCCCGTAAATAATCTGTATATAATCGAGTCTGGACCAGACACTCCAGTGATTGATATCATGAGCATCAATCTACCAACTTGGATACAATGACATGCATCAACCAAGTCAGCGGGTCTGACCACCTGATCCCGATAGTCGCCTCTTACGACAAGTATAATTGCCTTTTACAGCAAGCATGGGTTGTGATAAAGACCTATTTTAACCAAGATTTTTCAGTACCAATCATTAACCTGGATGACAACCGAGACCCCCAAAATCAGCCCGAGGGGTTAAAATGGGGTATGGTATAAAAACTGCCATATACTACCGGTAACCATTATCTCATATAGGATATCATTGTCACAGGAAAGCTAGCCGAAAAGACGACACACTAAGGGACGTAACTCCAATTTCTTACCACCTGGACTGATAGTGATCACCCATTGAAAATGCATTGACAAACCCTATCAGCCCTGCAGGGAGTGTAATACAGGTCTGGTTATTAAACCTTCTGTGATATGACTGTCTCTATGTTTGCTCTATTGCTCATGCAAAATGCCTCATATCATTGATAGGTGTATGATAAATAATGCTTTTAATTTTGATTTTTTAAACTCTTTCATCCAAAGTTTGAGGATATGTATGGAATGGACAAAATGAAACTTCTAATTCGGATTGTACAAAACTCTTTTATCCCAAGGTTAAAGGATATGTATGGAATGAAAATGTTTAATTCATTAGAGGACATGTGTAACAGCTTGATGTCTAACCTTTTCTGTCATCCCTTGTAACAAGTAAGCCATGCCAATGCCACTGAGAGAGGTAGCTTGAAGCACTTCCAAAGTCTCTTGTTGACCCTCCTCATCCAGCATTCTGAAGGATAAATAAACAAATTCTACCAGCAAATGAATCTTCTGTATAAAAGTCATATCAGTGCAAGATGATATTCAACTATGTAAGTGTAATTGAAAAAAACAAGCTCCACACAGCAACACCCTGTTCATGGATCTCTCAATAGTAGCACTGCCACCAGTTACAACTCGCACTGGGCTGGGGGCCTTGCAGCAAACTGGCTGTTGTGTTTACAAACAAATGACTGCCATGACTGTAGTTATGAAAATTCTTCATTTCAATTATCAGGTATTCAGTATGACTATAATGTAAGGGATTCAGTGTTTTACAGTTAGTCTAAAAATCTTGAACCAGTGGTTTTAACGTCAAACGTAAATTTATTTACAGTTATGTACTGTTATAAAAATTCTCAAGACAAATCCAATACACTATGTGTGTGCCATTTAATTCTGTATTTTATGATATCAATAATGCTTTATTGATACCACACATTTGACTTGATCTCTAAGAAAAAAACATGGAGTGAGATGTGACTCAGATCCCACTGACATCCAATACTGGAATCAATGTGTTTAATATTCGCAGAAACCACTGTTTGATTCTGCATACTAAAAAGTGCACAAATACAACAGAATTCTTGTAGGAATACTGCTTAGATGGTATTCCTAGATAGTCATACTATACAAGGTACCAGTTACACACAAGAGAATCCACATGTTTTTATCCCCCGTTAGGAATATTTAAACGGGCACCATCATTCCCTCCATGTAAGATGTCGTTTTCTAAAAGATCTTGAAAATCTTTCGATATTCATTCACCAAACTTGGCACATAGATAGGTCTAGTGGTGAACCAGTTGCTTTTGATAGTTTGTTACTGTTTGTCGAGTTTCCATGGCATCAACTTGGACTTGGACTGAAAATGGCAGTTGTGCTCATTTCAGGAACAGATCTTGAAAAACGTACAATATTTCTTCATCAAACATAGATAGGCCTATTGGTGAACTGATGCTTTTTGATATTTTGGAATTTTATTGATATCTTTTTAGTTGTCCAGGCATATATATATTCATATACATTTCATATATTTATTCATGACTAGTATTTACCATTGCAAGCGATATCGCATCTTCCCAAGGCAAGAGAGTTAACTGACTTTAAAAGTCCAGTTTCCACCCTTGCCGAACTAGGCTGGAATTCCTGGCTCGGTCGTAGCGCCACCAGTGGTTATTACGAGTTATGCCCTTTCTATGCCTCTCCTACTGACCAATCAGATTCAACCTCCCGTATCACTTGCATTTGCTTCAAACAAAACGGTGGCACCCAGTCAAGACGATCTGATCGATAATCAAGATCTATATTGTGATAAAACGAGTCTTACATTGCGAAGTGCATCAAATCATGTGAGCACCTTGATTAAAAACACGAAAAGATTTAGAAAATATCTGTTGACAACGAGTTAGCAGTGCACATGCTTTGCAAATCCTGCAGTCGACCGAAATCTGCATGACACTTTACGAACCGGATTTTGATTTCGGTGTGCGATTTTGATTGGACTATGCATAGACTCGTTAGTCCAGCCAAAATGTAACTCCATAATACCAGCCTAGTTCGGTAAGGGTGGATACTGGACTTTTATAGTCAGTTAACTCACTTGCCTCGGGAAGATGGCGATATCGATGTCTTTGTCTTCTCATCAATATTTTTCACACAAAATGTGATTTTCAATATAAATTTCATGATAGTATGCATGTTATCAGAATGAATTCAACATTTTTGAAAGACACCATTCATTGGATGATCTGTGGAACATTTCAGTTTCTGTGATGCATTGTCTTTGGAGATGTCAAAGTGGTAGTTGTTTACAGGTGGGAAAGACAGAGGCAGATTGATCATTCCTATAGGCACCATAGCTAAGATAATTGATTAGTAGATCATTAAGTTTTAGTTTCATGGGCCTTGTTATAAGTTTCAGAGTTGTCAGAGATGTCGAAAATGCAAAAGTTAATGACAGACAACTAAAGAGATAGACGGACAACTTGTCATGACAAATGCTCACTTGACATTCAATCAGGTGAGCTAATAAGGAGGAAAATAGTGCCATAGTACTGTAGCTCACCAGGATTTGTAGTCATCAGGATTTGTAGTCAAAAACAGTTGCTGTCAGCATTAATATTTAAATATTTTATGCAGTTTGACATTCAAACTGGCCACAACAAAAGTTAAGTTGACTTTCAGTCAGATGAGCTAAAGATTCAGTACCAAGCTATTATGTTCTGTGAGCGATATGTGCTAAGCAAACAGGAGGAAGACCTACATGCCAATAAGCACAAAGGGAATGAAATGGCTTGTAGAAACATCAAGCATCCAAAAGCAATGAGTGACCTTCACCTTAGACAGCGGTCCCTGACACTGGTGTGTAGCTGTATTCCCTCTTCATAGCGGCCAATGTCCACCAGGAGGTTGGCCAGGGAGAGCTGTGTATCCAGGGTCTCTGCAACATTCTTATCAGGTGACATGCCTTTTTTCCCCTTCACATTCTCCTGAAACAGCAATGACAGACTGTCTGACATAACTTGAGAAAACGTCACTACACTCCTAAAAAAAACCCACAAAACACTTATCCAGCTGAAGTTTACTTCAATATCTAACAAATCTACCATGTCTACAGTCAAGGCCGTATGTTTCTTGCATTCACTGCTTTATGACATTAAGATGACAACATGCTATTGTTGTCATTTATCCTTTATTGATACTCATCTGGGAATTTCTTTGTAATCAAAGTAATAGTAAATAATTTTAATACAATATCCTCCTCATATCAGTAACTGAACATGTGGCACATTCTCATTAAGTGGTCAGAAATTCTTGTCTCTCTAACTTCACAAAAACTAAAAGCAAAATGGACACTTGTCAATAACTTCACACATTCTGCAAGGTTAACACTGACCAGTATGTTGAGGCGTCGCCGGATAACATTTTCTCTCCCCTTTACACATGATGCCAGGTTGAGGAAATTGGATATTCCTGTCAGAACCTCCAGCAACTGAAGCATGACATACACAGAGTACTGGTAAATATTTTGTCACTGAAGCACAACAGATGAGTCTGTATATTGTACATACACATAAACTCATAGTTTTATATCAGATATCAACATTATGTACAGCCGCTTAAGGATGATAGTAAAAAGTACACCCTTTAAAAATATTTACCCGTATGATGATTCCCTAAATTGAATCCAACTGTGGCAATGTACATTTTAAGAACAGGGGGGCTACATTTGGTCTTTCCTGCATATTCTCACAACATTCATGATTATCCGAACCATTTCTCCCAATACCAATTGTCATAACTCTCCCACTTTTGGAAGTGATCGATTGGCCGTTGCTTTTATCTACGTTGCCCATCTACATCAATGGAGAAAAAGTCACTAGACACTTTCCTCTAAAGTAAAACGGTGTTAAATATACAACGTCATCAAGTTGTGAGCGCATGCATGTTCAAATCTCCAGAAACGATGTCATGATAGAACAATGTTTTATCATGAAATAAACCACGCTTCATTCTTCATTTTTAGGGGGCGATTTTTTCACATAGCTATGTTATATATACACATAAACTCATATTCACCATAGGTTACTCAAAACACAATCACTCAGTGCACAGATGTGTAGCATGCATTGCCACAAATGAGTCAATGCGTAAAGTCAGTAATATTACAGGTAACATTGTAATACACATCAGCAACACTGACCAGAAGACCAGGGGGCGCCTCCTCCTCCAGGTGTTCCTGTATCAGCAGGTATCTGTCGGCAATGTATCGGTCCATGCTGTCCATGTACATGGATGCCACAGTGTTGAAGGACAACTTTGTGTCCTTCCACAGCTCCAAAAGGTCATACTCTCGCTCCCTGAGACACAACACAATTATTGAAATGTAACACATTCACTAAAGCATGACAAGGTCACTGAAGTATGACAAACACTGAAATATGACACAATTGTTGAAGTATGACACAACTGTTGAAGCTTGACACAATTGTTGAAGCAAGAAACAATCACAGAAGCAAGACACAATCACTGAAGCACAACATGATCACTGAAGTTTGACCCCTGAAATAAGACAATTATTGAAATATGACATAATCATTAAAGTATGACACCATCACAGAAGCATGACACAGTCACTTTAAAAATATGACAATCATTGAAGATTGACACAATTACTGAAGAATGACACAATCACTGAAGTTTGACACAATCACTGAAGTATGACAGAATCTACATGGTTTTTACAACAATGAGTGAGTATGGTTAAATGCCGCTTTTAGCAATATTCCAGCAATATCATGGCTGGGGACATCAGAAATGGGTTTCACACAATTTACCAATATGGGAACCGCTGTCATCTAGCTGGAATATTGCTGAGTGTGGTGTTAAACAAAAAAACCAAAACCAAACAGGACCAATGTTGGAAATAGAACCCGGGCCTTCGGTGTGATGATGAGATTTAGATGCTCATAACAAATGAAGTTTTCTCTTGAAGTTTGAAATATAATCCTCTTTCACTCATTTTATCAATAATTATGGATTTTATCATGAAATTAAATGTAATTCATATTGACATTTGCAAAGGACCAAAAAGGGCCTTGTCCTGTCTTGTTCATAGATTGACAATCCAGATTATTCATTCACTGGGTATGGTGTTGCCCAGAGTAAAAGGGTTTCACTGATGTCAGACCAAGGCACACCCCCGTTCCACAAAGCAATCTTGGTGCTATGATCGTCATAAGTCAGCTACTCAGTCAAGATGGCCATGGCTGATAAATCTGCACCCCTAGTTACCAGCTTACAAAATGGTTGTCACTCTAAACAAAACTTACCTGTGCAGTCTACTAAATATATACAAATCAGACAAAGCCATGGCCAGTCCTTCCCAGTCCTCAATGTCTTTGTGTAACCATGGCAACTCGTTTGTTGTTCGCCTTGTGTCCTTGGCCATCATGTCAGTGAAGTTGTGAAAATTCTGAAACATAGGCAGCATTATACACTTGACATGAGATTGTTCCATCAGTGATATTATCAGTTTTGTCAGTGAAGGCATCCCAGTAATCACAGGCACTGCAATAGGATGTGCGGAGTTGCATCCCTTGGTCATGCCAGAAACCTGTGAACTTGGGTTTGTATCCAAGATTCGCCTTGATTATTTGTCTAGGTTTGTCAGAACACGATGCTAGTGATTTTCACCAAAATATCTAAGCCCTGCATCACTTCAGTGGGATACAATTGGGTGTATTTTCACTGTTGGTAAATTAAATTCACTGTCCAGATCCACAAACCAGAATTCCAGCTAAAAAAACATATTTAATGTAGGATTCATTTCGTTTCATGTAAAATTCGTCCAATAGGTGAGGTTTCCGTGTATCTGGGCTCCGCTATGCGGGGTTCCACTGTACTTATGTTTATGTCTATTTACATGACTTCTTGTCTAAATCACATCATTTCCTATCTTCTCTTATGTCCAACTAGCTGCCCCTCCAGCAACTTCCTCAGTCGATGTTATTACCATCTCTTCCCATTATCTTAAACACTGATCACATATCAATATAATACAGAAATCAGCTGATGGGCCATCACAATGGCAGTGCTACATCTTGTGTTGTTACAATCACCAATCAGATGTGAAACATGTCAGTGGTTCACTTTCAAGGCAGATTAAAAGGAGCTGTAGCTCACCTGAATTGTTAGGTGAAAATATTAAAAAGTTGGGATCAAGATAATGGACTCAATGGTTTGGGCATGTTGAGATGTAAAACAGCTACAAGGCTCACACATTCTTTTTCCACTAAAACAGTGCCGTAGCCAGCCGGGGGGGCAGGGGTGGCAGTTGCCCTCCCTGGAGTTTTTATCGAAAACATTTTTCCTTGTGAAAATTAACTTGAATAAGAAATGAATAATCTTATATGCCCCCCCTGTCAAAAAAAGTTAAATACGGCCTTGTAAAATAACTCTCCACAACAGAAAATGACTGGCCGGTGAGTAGAAATGTCATAACAAAAAACACAACAGTACACATTTTTATCTGTGAGCATATTTTCATTGTAATGTTTCAAATCAGAGGATACAACTCTTGCAGACAACCAGTTAAATGAGACAAGCCTAGAAGCACCACCTAAAGCCAATCTCATTAAAATCAGACCTCAGTTCTCGCTACCGCTAAACAAAGATCTGAGGACATCCCATTAGGGGTCACGTCAGAACGACCTTTCATCCGACCAATCAGAACATCGCTTACCAGATTATGAAAGTGACAGTCGGAATGTGATTTCTAATCATGCAACCTCGAAAATCTTAACTCCGAACGATAGTTACGGCTTTAACGAATGAATCCATACAATCTAGACCATCTATTAGCCATTCCAGAATGTTCTTTTGTTTAGGTTTCAAATTTGTAATAGAGAATTTGTCAAAATATGTTTCAAAGCATAGTCGCCAATTTGAAATTAGTGCTGTAAAGCACGAGAAAACTGCCATCGGATTGTCATTCCATTGGTCAGTCAAAGTTCGCGGAAGGTTGGTCTGACATGACCCGTAATGGGATGTCCTCAGATCTTTGTTTAGTGGTAGCGAGAACTAAGATCTGATTTAAATGAGATTGCACCTAAGGCACGACCTAAAGTCACACTGTGTGATGTATATCAGTAGTTAATGATTACCCCACTGAAGCAGCATCAATGTCTCAGCCATAGACTGAAAATGGCTTCAAGACCACGGAGTACAGTCCCTCTTGAACTCGTTGCGACACAGGTTTTGCCACACACCTATACCTTGTTATTGTGTTATCTTTGTACATGTCACCGAGTGAAAACATATCAGCCTGTATATCAACTCAACATTTACTTATTCAGTATTCACTTACTTACGGTGCTAGATCATCAAGAAAGTCATTCATCACATCAAGAGAGAAAAGGATGCATAGATCCACATACCTTTCTTTTGGCATTGAAGTAGTCAATGACTGGTTTTGTTGCAGTAATCCTGAAATGAAAGAATAACTTCTTAAATCCCTGGCTTCTACCCTGTCCCAGGCTGTCTAACACTGCCTGTTAGTGCTCAATAGCTGCCGTGAGTTGATTTGCCTGCTAACGCAACTGTGCATGACTGGAATACCATCTGTAAGGGCAGCGTAAATATACTTTGAGGAAATATCTATATCTATAATATAGAAATGACCTTTCATTTTCTTTTAATCCTATCAGTCACTGGGTGATAAAATAAACATAAAAATGTTTGGAATTCATTATCATAATAAAATAAATGGACAGATTTTTCAGTTCATTTGTAAAATAATTAAACACTTAAGCATGTTAAGCATTTAATAAATTGCCTAAGTGTAAATTTTAGACATTTTATACATTGACTTTAACATATACACATGATAAAATAAGCAATGCTCAGGTGAAATATTAAGTTTGTGTTACAAGTCAAAATTGTATAAACAAAAATTGCATCAAACCAAACAAATGACTTTGTCACCATTACTGATGCTAACCCCAAAGATACATACATTTCCATATTATTCCAAGACAAAACTGTATTTAATTTTGTTGATCAATGTGACGATACACTCTAATACTATAACATTAAAATAATCAATAAAAGAGACACGGTTGGCACTGCACCCGCCACAAACCAGTTGATATTTCTGGGATATCATCCGAATATCCACGGGGCAAAAACAAAAACAAAGTTGACAACCAGTACCAGTGAATTGTTAGAGATCAGTGCTCCTTTAAAGCTCTCAATGCTAATGTTAAATCCATTCACGTGTCACAAGTTGTGCATCTGATGTCGAACCATTTCGACAGGCGAAAAGCACAAGGACACCCCCAAACAAAACTCACAATATCTTTTTATCAAGAAGGCATTGCATATCAAAAGAAATTCCATAAATTAATATCTGTGATCACCTGTTTACTATGTATTGACCCGAGTCGCAGTCTTCATTCCTATGTTTAATATTTCTTTATGATTGCTACCAGCGCGTAAGATCAAATTTTGTCTAAATCCGAAATTGTAATGCTTGGATTCCACGCTCGATTATTTTCTAATTATATTCTGAAAACAATGGCAGCGAGGAGCGATATAACATATTGATAGGACAGAATAATAACCACAATATGTTATTGGTCTATCATTGCAAGAAGGACAATTTAGAATAGTATAGGATGCCACTGAAAACTTTTTCTGAGAACCCCCGTCCTCAGAACAGATGAAACTAGGTAGTTAAGTGAGTTAAAATTTATAATTTAACGTCGTATTGGCATTATTTGAGCCACATAGCGACTGAAATTAGGTAGACACGTATGGCGACTGGATGGAGAATGTATAGACCCTATGTGATTATATACCCAAAACAAATGTGTACTTAAAATATCCTAAACACCTGAAATTTGGATCAGTGAAAGTAATTTATTGTGCCCTGCAAATTTAATGACATGACATATTAGATTGACTTTAATTTTCTCATCTCTGCAAATGACATGATGACCTTGTAAAATAAATTTTTATTCTATTTAACGTTTGGATGCTAAATTTGTTGAAATGGTTAATAATTTAGCATCAGGCCATTGTTTACCAATACAAATATGTGAATGTGAATTTTGTGTAATTCAGGTTCGTTTTTGTCTCAATGTTTGAAAATATCAGGATATTTTTATATAATAATGTGTATTTTGGTATCAGGAATAAATGTTTCAACTATTTGAAAGCACCCGTGCTCTTTAGTGTCCCTTAAGCCTTACCTGTACTTAACTACAAAAATGAAAAAGCAAAATGTTATCTGAACAAGTTGCCATGTGTATCATGTAGTTTCCTTGTTTAACCTATTGTTAGCTATTATATTATTATGTATATACTAACCTATCACATGCACATTTCTTTTTATAAAACACAAAAGTTCACATTCGGTTGAACAAATATTAATGTTCTTCAACTTATCATTTTCACATTCAATTTTTAAGGATCAGTGAAATCAGTAAACCTCAATTGATTCAAAATGTACCTGTCTTTCTGGCTCTTCATGTATCTTGAACTGACAGCATCTCTCAATTCTTCAAAAGCAAAACTGAAAAGCAAACAGACAGGTATCAGTGAAAGAATCAGAATATGGCATGGTGAGTGATTGAAATAACGTTTAAGTGCACACCTACTGATATACATAACGACAAATTGACATTCCAGATCACCCATACTGTACTTATGTCATAGTCCACTTGGAATGTTATTGTCACTTGAGTTCTAGGCAAATGTTCCTTTTGAATGGGCAGGGAATACAAATGTCTGTAAATGTGTCTGTTTATCCGCAATTACCTATCCGCAGTACCCCAAATACAACGACCTACCCTAGCACTCCAAATACAACCTACCTTAGCACCCCAGATACAATGACCTATCCCCAGTACCCCAGATACAATGACCTATCCCCAGTACCCCAAATACAATGACCTACCCCAGCACCGCGAATACAATGACCTACCCCAGCACCCCGAATACAATGACCTTCACCAGCACCGTGAATACAATGACCTACCCCAGCACTCCAGATACAACCTACATAAGCACCGCTGATACCATGACCTACCCCAGCACCCTGAATACAATTACCTACCTCAGCAGCCCAGGCACAATGACCAACCCTAGCACCCTGAATACAATGACCTATCCCAGCACCCCAGATACAAAGACCTACCCCAGCACCCCAGATACAAAAACCTACCTTGGCACCCCAGATACAATTACCTACCCCAGCATCCTGAATACAATGACCTACCCCAGCACCCCAGATACAAAGACCTACCCCAGCACCCCAGATACAAAAACCTACCTTGGCACCCCAGATACAATTACCTACCCCAGCATCCTGAATACAATGACCTACCCCAGCACCCTGAATACAACGACCTACCCCAGCACTCCAGACCTATCCAGAATGTAGGTTTCCATGGCAAAGTAGAGTGGGGACCAGACATGGTTGGGGATGTGCAGGATCTCCATCAGCTCATTCTCAGACAGACCCTCATGCGACACCATCAGCGCCATCATCACCTGCACACATCACAGCATCTCACAGAAGGAATATGTGCTGTATCACATTAGAGTTGCAATGTATAATACCATAACTACATAGTATATATATAATGTCTCTCCAGTCTACCAGCTAGGTGGTTTGTTAATAAGCCTATGAGGTTACCCATTGTTTTATGATCGGGTTGCAGCGACATAATTTTTTTTGCACAGTTGATTGTGCATAAACAAATGTTACAAGAAATTAAGAAAGGCGTTGTTTTTTACTATGTTGATGAACATAATGCGATTTCAGGAATGTCCAAGTGACAGTGACAAATAGGCTTTACTATATATACTATGGATACCACAGATATGCAACTGCTGGTATCATGAATTGCAGGAACTGAATTTGTATGCAAGGTAGGAGTGTGTATGTGTGTCACCCTGTATCAGTCAACAGGCACTTGGGCTGTGTAATGTCATGTTGAGTGGTGTAGATAAATGCCATTGAAGTCAGGAGCTCAGATTTTTTATACTCTTTTGGTCAAAGTATGTGCATGGTGTGGACATGATCATGGTCTTCTCAAACTTGGAATTCTAACATATGATGCCTAAGGGAAGAAACTCTGATAGCACTTTGTGGCGCCGTAGACCGATATAAGCCATGACACAGAGATCAACCACAGAGATCAAGTTAACAGGAGGGCAAACCCAGACCTGGTGGTAGTGAGATAAAAACAATCCACATTTCCACATATCACTCACCTGTTGGACAAGGTTGCCCTCGTAGTCTTGGACATTGTAGTCCCTTTCAAGACGTGACAGATACTCCTGGAACAGCTCTCCAACCCTGTCAGGACACAGTGGGATAAAGAGCATTACTCCAAGCTTAATCACTTGGATCCTGGCAATAGTTTTCTAGGCGTCATTTCTAACTTTGAAAAGCCACATTGAAATTTAAGGAACCACATTGATTTAGACTCATAAACAAGACAAGACAAGATTGAACTATTTCAATTGTTGTAATGTGTGTGAACTTGCTGCAAAAAAAAGACAAGTGATTGAATGATTAACCTTGTCGAAAGACCATCACTGGAATTGGCTTCGAAAACTACCTGAAACAATACTGCTGCTGCCTTTTCGCTTTATTCCAATGTTTGTTTTATGCATTTGCTTGGATTTCCGATTCATTTATTACTATCAGACACATTCACAGCTGATGAAGTAATCTCGGTCGTCTCGCACCCAATGTTGAATTCCCCAATGCCACTGTACCCATCCACATCTGAATGCCTATGAGACTGTTGGCAGTGATAGCCATAGTTATGTCATTCATCAGTCTGGGATGGACAGGTTGGCCTACAGATGGCTCTCCAAAACATGTCCAAATATTCTTCAATGATTTTAACATGCCTCCATTGTAAAAGTAAACTGAGAAAAGTGCACGTGACATGAAATATATAATCTCAAAGCATAACAGACAATAGCATCAGAAATCAAACAATAGTTATCATTGTATATAATTCTAAGAATACTATATCTTTTACATCATAGCCATTAATTCCCATTTTGCCAATAATCACACTATGAAATCTTTAGATTTTTTAACAGACGTCCTCTTCGCTTGTAATTATCCCAATAGTTTTGAGATAAACCCTATCCCTTGTCACACTGCATCTGTGCATGCTCAAGGCGGGAAAACATCACTTCCTTCCAATAACCTTCCTCGACTAGATGTAAGATATATTAGGGAGGTGGTATGGACTATTTCCTGATGTAATAGAGGTAGTATTCTTAGAATTATATACAATGATAACTATTGTTTGATAATTCTTATGAATATCCATACCTCTATCACATCATAGCCAGTATTTACCAGAGAAACAGGCAGGATCTGTCATCTAGTGCTCCCGGATAATTGGCAGCAGTAAAGTAAGGGAATACATAGAAGAAAAGGAGTATGAACCAATGCCTAATTTCACCGTTGGCACTTGTGTTGTCCCGTTCTATGACCTCATAATTGTTACCTGTTTTGGGTGATATAAGACCTTACTTATGATGTTTCTCTCCGGTTCTGAGGTCTTTCATGACATCACTTCCGGTTTTGAGAACATCAATGACACTTTTGGTTCAATCTCTTTGTGACATCACTTGGGTGATTTATGACTTCACTTACAGTTCTGAGGTCAATCTATGACGTCACTTTCAGTTAATCCTTCATTGTGACGTAGACATATACTTGTTGCTCTATAGCCAACAGCATATGTACTTATCTCACCTCATGTATGATAATGACGTACATTTCCACTGATGACATGTTGTTAGCCTATGATCCGTCCAACCTTAATTGACATACTGTAAAGGATAACTTACCATATTTTGTGGTATTTTCTGTGATCTTCACACAGAGGTGAAGTAGAAAATCAGCCACCCTAGGTATTGTTTTATTTTCGTCATGCAAACCTCTTTCTATTCGCCACTGGCAGAACTTTCTCCATAGCTGAAGAAGCTGGTCTCCATGAGCTAGCCACTGCTTCTGAAGCTGATTTAGAGAAACTTGCATCTGTGTCACGATAGTTTCCAGGAGATTTGTCAGGCAGCCATGAAATACATCTGATTTTGGTCGGTGGAGGAGATCGTGACGTTCTGGTTGATTGAGAGGCTCTTCTATGAGTAGTGGAATCAGTCTTGGAAAACACACTCTGTTGGGCTATGCTGGGGCTATGACGATTATGACGATTCTGTGTCCTCGATCTTCCTTATTACTCTGTCCAGGAGAGACCAAGGAGGGAAGGCATAGGCGAACATATCCCCTGCCAACTAATGGATAGGGCGTCAACCTGGAGAACTAATGGATCTGGGACTGGGCTGCATAAACGTGAAGTCGATGGTGGCAAACAGATCCAGATGAGGGGTATCCCACGTCGAGGTTATCCACTTGAATACCTCGGGTTGGTGAGTCCATCCCGTGGGTACAATCTTGTGTTTCCGAGTTGCAGTCTGCAAGTATGTTCACTTTCCCCGGTGTGTGAATTGCTTCTATCCTGCAACTCACTGAGTCTGCCAAGGCAAATAAAAGCGTAACCTCTCTCAACAAAAGTGCTGATCTCATGCCCCCTTGATGTTGTATGTACACTACCACCATGGTGTTGTCTGTAGTACCGAGTAGTAGTACCGAGTCGTGTAGTAGATGAGACCATGCCTTGATTGCTTGGATAATGGCTCTCATTTCCAGACAGTTTATGTGTAACTTTTTGTCATGATTTGACCACATTTCTTGGAGTGTAACGTCATCCATATGCACGCCCCAATCAGGCCAATCTTTGCCTGATGCATCTGTATAGAGCCGGTATCATATGGTGTATGCCTCTTTCTCTGCTGTGACCCCTGGCTTGAGCTGCACAAGGATTGTGCTGTATATCTGCAATAGCTAGGTGATCCATAACTGTCCGAGCTATAGACACGGTTCTCACATGTGACTGTGACTAACCTTCAGCATGATTTACCTCAATCTTGGGCATGTAAGGTTGATATGCCCGGCTGGAAGAATGGTGTTTATTTTTGTGAGACTCCCGTGATGCATGTTTCTTTTCCCGAAATGCACGGGGTGAAGTAGGGCTATATAGTGACTACTCTCCCTGATACAACGCTTCTTTTGTCCTGTGAACTTTCTGAACTGTGACATGTATGTATATGGGACTAATGTTTACTATTTCAATCATGTGATCCAGATCTGGTTGTATCCTTCAGATTTGCATGTTGTATTAGCTTATTTATATCCTGTGATATAGCTTGGAAACGTTTGTGAAACATTTCGGACATGGTTGTGGTCAATGATTGAGACCATTCACTCATACCTAAGGGGGAGAACGGATTAGGTTTGGGCTCAGATGGGTTTTTTAAAACCATGAGTAACCAAACTACCAAGCACCCGGGCATAAGGCTGCATTCACAAGACCAGAGCTGGATGCCTGCTCCTTAGTTTTAGGCGGGTGGGTTGAGTAACGTGATTTTTCGTCGGGAAAAACTGGGTCTCTTTATACATCACCCCTTTGGTGCCCGTGTGTTTCTCTGAGGAAGTCAGTTTACCTGAGAGTTAACACTTTTTTTATTTAGATTTACCGTATTTTCTTGAGTATAGTGCGCACCTTTTTTTTCCAAAAAACACAGGTGTGTGGAAGAGGGTGCGCATTATACACAAATTAATGAGTTTTGATGTTTTTTCCCCACATGGAAAGACATTACCGTGAAATACCATGTCAACAAATCCATACTGAAATTCGCAAATTAATTCATGTAATTACACTGTCTGGCTATAAAAAATGTTCTTTGTATATCTGGACTTATGTTTGTAACTTATTTCATTAATTTTATTCAAAATTCCTTTTACTATTGTTTTAATTAATTTCGGCGAAATCGTGTGTGAAGCGATCGGAAGATCGCACAACTCACCGTTATTAACAGCAACCATGGTCAGATTACCGCTATTGAAGCCTTGAAACGAACTTTAGTTGACAGAGAATGGATACATATATCATAAATGCCATACTTTGATTCGTTAAAAGTCATATTTGTTTTTGTTGGACGATTCTATGTCAACACGTAATTCTCGCGAACACGCGATCACGTGCACGGGAGCCTTGACGGTGACTGGTCAGACTGGTTCCATGTAAAAAATAATACCCGGCAAAAGCGATCAGCTGCTTCGCTTAGGGTTATTATTATTTTAAATATGTTTAGTAAAAGCTGCATCTAAATTAACAAGATATTGGAATATATTATTCCTGATAAAAAAAATAGTTTCAGATACAACTTTTGCCGATCCTTGCATTAAAATACTGTAAAGTTATATCATTGGGTGTGTCTTGACCGAATCACCGGTAGATTCCAAGAAAACGTGTGTACAGCTGATTGCTGTGTCCGGCTTAGTTTACGAGAAAATACACAAGGTAATCTTAATCCCTGGATATAAAACAATGCCTAGCTGAACAAAAAATACAATTTAAACGGTAAATCAACATGTCTGGTGATTTTTTATCTCAAATTTCGAATTTGTCCTGACAAAGTTTCTCATCACCCGTTCGTTTGCAGGACTTCGCTGAAGGGGAATGGTGTCATTTTTTTTCAGCGCATAATATTCAAATTTCTCTTTTTCCAAAATATTGAACCCGCTAGAGGGGTGTGTGCATTATACATGGGTGCGCACTATACTCAAGAAAATACGGTAGTTTTGGTTTTGGGAGAAAATGATGTAGAATTATTTTTGTCCGATGATCTGTCTTCCTCTTGGATTTAGACTTTCAGACAATTTAGGGCTTTCTAGAGCTTGTCAATTTTTTCTTTTGATAAGTCCTAGCAATATGTGCATCTTGATCTTGGAGTACACAGGCTCTTTCTACATGTACTACATCTAGGGTGAGGATCTCCGATCGCTTGATCAATTCCACACCCAGAGCAGATTCCCGATGACGGTAGTGGGGAGGCATCCATACTCCACAATACGTAAACTAAGTCTACCTACTTACATCAACGATCTTTCTTCTATACCACCGTCCTCAGCAAGCTTGACGGTGGTAGGTTGTCTGCTGCAAGGTTGACAGCGTAGGTTGTCTGCTGTAATCTTGTGATGATCGTAGGTTGTCTGCTGTAATCTTGTGATGATCGTAGGTTGTCTGCTGTAATCTTGTGATGATCGTAGGTTGTCTGCTGTAATCTTTTAGATCTTGACTAGCTGTGATTTATTATCCGATAAGTGTTTGGATTGATCACCAAAAACTTGTGCTTGTTGATCCAAAACATACAGGTAAGAAGTGACAAAGGATTGGGATAATTAGGAGCGTAGAGGAATTCTGTTGAAAAATCTTAAAAATTTATAGTGTGATTATTGCCAAAATGGGAATTTATGGCTATGATGTAATAGAGGTAGGATATTTGTAAGAATTATCAGAAGCAAGATAGGCTTCAGTATCACTGCAAGGACTTTCACTACACCATAAGCAGGAAAGTCATGATGTCGATATAGACAAGTGATGTTGCACTTCAGTTTCTTTCAATATGTGAAAATATTTTAGTTGCCAATCATAAATGTTGCTTTAACTGACCCATCACATTTGATGAGGGAGTCTATCTTCTCGTCCAGCTGACGGAAGTAGCCAAACACAGACAGCTCCTAAAAACAGGACATTCATGGTATGAAAGACACATGCCAAGCAGACACTTCCTGGAACAGGACACAGGACATTTATGGCATGAAACATATGACAGATCCTGAACTGGACATTTATGACATGAACACGTACATCAATTACAAATTTACTGTACAAATATTTTGACATCCAAATCTTGATTTCCTTTATGAAAGTCATGTTATAGATTGAAAGCATGATGCGAAATGTCCTGGCTTCTTGAACGTTGGCACTTACAGAAATGGCGATCTTGAGGAACAAGGCATTCTGGCTATGTTCTGCTGATACAACTCGGTCCATTTGTGACTGAGACAACTCCTTGCCGCTTACTTCCAAGGTTCTCTGAAAGTGAGTAAGTGAATTGGGTATAAGGCAGCTTTAATGTTTTTATACTCACCTGACGCTACACAGTGCTTTAGCTTCCCTACCTTATACAAACAGACAGTACTGGAACAAAGAGACAGTCTAAACAGAAAACGTCCCATGGCTCGTCATCCACGAGTTATCCTCCTTGGCACCTACTCCTCATATTCTTCACTGGGTGACATTAGATGTAGAGGACACAGTGGCGCCAACGGTAAGGTGGAGGAGGAGGACAGAGTCCGGAAGTGGCTATAGGTGTAGCGTCAGGTAAGTATTAAAACATTTACATTCATGTTTTACCTTACCTGACGCTACACAGTGCTTTATTCGACTAATGGAAGGCAGACTTACCGTGTGAAGTGTCAGGCACACTGAAGAAAAACAACTAAACCGTCCGGCAGGAAACCCAGCAGGCGACAGCAAAGTAGCGGCTCCCAGAACGGCAAGGGGATAAGATGCAGGTCAAGCCCTCTCGGAACAGAATTGTGGTCTGAAGATAGAGAGAACATTGCTTGAACCGTTGCGAAGAGATCTACGTTGGGATTCCCTAGGCGATCACACAAGAACAGGAAGGCTTCCAGGTGGAGCATCCACTCTGTTGGGGCAGATGATCGGGTCTTGACAGGGAGTCGGCTAAGACGTTGCGACAACCTGGATTGTGATGGGCTCGGATCAGAAAAGGGAGACCGTCGGTCACATGAAACAGGCAAAAGGTCTGCTCCAGGAGAGAAGCAGACCGAGTCGACCCTTGCCTGTTGAAGTAATATACCACCATGGAGGCCGATGCGACCATGAGACAGCTGTTGCGGAGGATCTGACGCCAATGACGAATTGCACGAATGACTGCCTCCAACTCCAGATTGTTGATGTGCCACGCGCGTCCTGGAGGAGTCCAAAGACCGGAAGCGGTTTCCTGGAGCAGGTAGGCACCCCATCCTTGTAGAGATGCATCCATGAAGAGATGGTGAGTAGCCTCGAAGCTTGTCAAAGTGGACTAACTCAAGACGTTCGATGGGACTAGCCACCACTCCAGGATTGGATGTAATTCCTGTGGCAGAGGAAGAAGGGGATCCGATAGGTCTGAGCACACAAATGGCAGGAGAAACCACTGAAGGGGATGCAGTTGAAGGCGACCCCTGGACGTCAGATCCTGAGCTGAGGTCAACACCCAGAAAAGGCTCTGCCACTGGCGGAGATCAAGTGGTTGAGATAGGGCTCTCCTGAACCTGGATTGGATAGCCGCGAACAGATCCGGAGGAACCTGTAACAAGGAGAGGTCTGTAAGAGAGAGACCACCTATGAAAGTGAGATGGCAAGAAAGATCAGATTTCTCCAAGAGAAGGCGAAGGGGGAAATGCGAACTGAATCCCTCTGCGTTGAAGGAACGCAATGATGGGATGGGTTATACGTGTGAATCACCACTGAGCCATGGAAATGCTAAATGGTAGCACTTTCCAATGAAAGTGCTGGCCCCAGAAGATGAAGCAGAGGAAATGACGATGTGCTGCATGAATTGGAACATGCAGGTAGGCATCCCCGAGATCAGACTGATGAGGTAGTCCATCAGTTGCCAGAGGTGGCACAGAGACCGAAATTGAGATCATCTGGAAATGAGCGGAGGCGCAAGATGATAGAGATTGAACTGCACCAGATTGTGGATCATTCGTAGTTTGGACGAACCATTCTTGGGCACCATGAAGACTGGAGAATAAAACCCTGGAGAGATGGAGTCAGCGTCCAGGAGATCCACTGCATTCTTGGCAATCTGTAGATAGATATTGGCCTGAAGATCTGGCACATCGCGAGGCTGATATTGAGGTTCCAAGGGAGTGGTAGTTAGAGGAAGAATGCCACGGAACTGCAGGGGGTCACCATGGCGGAGGATTCGAATAACGAACGGATCCTGGAGCAGCTGCCAATTCTTCCAGTTGGTCTGAAGTCTCCCTCCTACTGGAGACGGTTGAACAGGGACAACTGGCGGAGGGAGTTGCGAGTTGTCAGACGTCCAAAGAGAGTCACTTCCGTCGCCGGTCCCCACTGGAAAAGCGTCTTAGGTGGGGGGCTTTGAAGGTCTGATCTTGGGGGACTGTCGTTTGGGTCGAAAAGAAGAGAACTTCTGCCTCAAACTAGTTCTCTTCCCAACATATGACTTTCGCTGCTGAGAGAGCTGAGAAGAAAGGAGACGTTCCATGTTACTAAGGAGCAAATCTGTTGTTGATTAGTGTCCCAACTCTGGGCCTCCTTGGTAACAGTAGGGATCTGGCTGTTGAAGAGAGCTGACCCAGATCAAGGTTGGCGCATCAAATGAGTCTTGAAGATGGATCCCAGGAGGACTGTTTGAGCAAGGCAGGGCATCTAGTGATGGTGATGGATCCAAGGCAGTATTGTAGGTGGACATGTGTACAAGTTGACGCTGTTGCCAATACAAGACTGAAAAGAACTGGTCATTAGCCTCAGGTGGATTTTTGTCTAAGCAGACCTGTATGGCCGAGTTGGCAGAAGCCACCGCCGACAGTGGATAAAGGGATTGACAGAGAGCGGCGTCCATTCTGCCAAGTTGCAAATCTGTTATCGTGATCGAGGTACTTGGTCAAGAAGAACCGACGAGCATCCGAACATCTTCATCAACGGGAGGGCAAATTCAAATTCCATAGAATGGAAAGGATAGTGTTCCCTCCGAAACCTCAGAACTTGAATTGATGGCTGGACAGGCAGTGTCACAAAGTGTCCAATGAGCTGGCCACATCAGCTACCAACTGGTCACGCAGGAGGAGAACTTCGCAAGACACCGAAACTCTGTGCCCCACCTGGGGGAAGCGCCTTGTCCAGGCGAAGCACAAGGAAGATGATCCACAAGCCAAGCCGGCATATCGATGAGTGAGAGACTTGGTCGGAGACACTTCATTATAGTCCGGTACAAAATGTTGCTCATCATCCGAAGGGTGACAAGGTGACATAAGGGAGGAGTCCAGGCGTCTGGTGTCCTGTGTCGGGACACCAGATGACAAAGCAGGCTGAGCAGGCGATGGTCGGTGAGACGAAAGCATCCTGGCAACTGTACGGTGGCCTATGGAGCTGGCGATGGTGTGGCGAAAGCTGGTGAAGATCTGGCGAACGCTGGCAACGGACTGACGATAGCTGGCGAAGCACAAGGAAGATGATCCACAAGCCAAGCCGGCATATCGATGAGTGAGAGACTTGGTCGGAGACACTTCATTATAGTCCGGTACAAAATGTTGCTCATCATCCGAAGGGTGGCAAGGTGACATAAGGGAGGAGTCCAGGCGTCTGGTGTCCTGTGTCGGGACACCAGATGACAAAGCAGGCTGAGCAGGCGATGGTCGGTGAGACGAAAGCATCCTGGCAACTGTACGGTGGCCTATGGAGCTGGCGATGGTGTGGCGAAAGCTGGTGAAGATCTGGCGAACGCTGGCAACGGACTGACGATAGCTGGCGATCCGGTGAGCGCTGACGATGGTTCGATGAAACGAGGCAACGGTCTGGCGACGATCTGGTGACGCTTGGCGATGATCCGGTGACAACTGGCAACTCTGGCCCGGCAAAAGCTGACGGCGGCGCTTGACAAAGGCAGTAGTAGTGTCGTCAGGTGTATGAGAGCGGCAATGTGGATCGGAAAAACGGTGGGACGAAGTATCTGACAATACGCGGGAATGCCAAACCGGCGACTGGCGGGAGTTGGCAAGATCCGGGCTGACGGGAGGCAAAAGCAGGTCGTCTGGATGATCCTGAAGTAGTTGCTCCCAAATGGCATGAATGGCTGTAGGATTCATAAAATCATGGGGTTCAGATGACGTAGATTGGGGAGGAGCGCTCAAAGGAACTGTCGTTGGCGTAGTCGGATCCGAAGGTGGAGGGGCCGGATTCGACGGAGAGGGTGGTGAAGTATCAGAAATCTTCCTCCTATAAGCAAGTTGTTTCTGGCAATGAAGAAGAGCCTTTCTGTAATAATTAAAGTCAGTAATTGACAAGGGAGCACAAAAAGAGCAGCGCTGATCAAACGAGCACGCAGGCTTGCAGTAGGGGCAAAGTGGATGTGGATCTTTTCCCCAACTTGGGCCTTTTACATAAAGCACAACGCACAAAAAACATTCTGCAAAAAAATGTAAACAGCAGATAAGTGTAACGAGCAGAATCACATATGAAGCAAAAAGTGTCACTGGATGATATGTGAACCAAGTGACCAAACACACAAGCTTTACAACACAGTGTAAGCAATTCAAAAACATAATACGCCTAATTAATAGGAATTATGTTAATAGAAAGCCATAATCAACCAAATAAATGAGAGATTCACCAATAGTTTGAGAAAACTATAGCAAAAAGTACATTAACACGCAACCTTGTAAACACGAGACCCACTAAAGTTAAAATGGCAACCAAGGGGTTAAACGTGTGAAGTTACGCAGCCACAAATAAATATCGAATTTACAAGCTATAAACCACAAACAAGTGGATATATCAAGCATGAAAAGGATATATGGAGGTAACACCACCCGAAGAAAAAAATTGAAGATAAACAACAAGGTAAATCGTAACTCTGTTCCGTACACATCTGTCCATAGGGCAGACAGAGAGGAATATGAGGAGTAGGGGCCAAAGGGGATAACTTCTGGATACTGAGGCATGGGCTGTAGTCTGTCTCTTGGTTCTAGTACTGTCTGTTTGTATGGGAAGCTAAAGCACTGGGTAGTGTCAGCTAAGGTAGAACATGAATCTGACACATCATGATATTACTGAATATCAAGGAAAATTAGACATTCACACCCACAATTATTGGTTTCTGGCACGCTTTACAGATGCAACTCAACACAGTGAATTGTAGCACTTTTGACTACTGGGACACCATTACCTCCTCTGATGAACGGCAAACTACAGAAACACCTGAAGAAATCCAACCTACCTCGATAGAAAACTGTTTTTGAAGCTAAATCTTCTCTCATTATAAATCTAACTGGGATTCATCCTTAAAATATTATTTCATGCATTTGAAAATAGGAAGGAGAAAAATATATTTAGTTACCCGTTACTTGTAGATTTGACAGTGCTAAAATGAATTTGATACCAAACCTGCAGGAATGTTTCTGTTATTTGAAACCTCTGATTGACCAATCAGATTTAAGTATCTTCCAAAGTTAATACAATTCCAATGGTAATACAAGATCAAATTCAATCAGACTGACCTTACAGATCTCTCTCCTGTGGGGTTCACTCAGAGGTTCTATCTGCATCTTCTTGTACCCTGATTCCTTCAACACCTCCAGTGATTTGGTGTCAGTGTCTTTGATGGATACAACCACTTTCACTCTTTTAGAAGAAATCAGAGGGAGCCAGTACAAAGGCTGCAAACACAGACATGAGATGCTGTTACGGCATACACATGGGCTTCAATACTCTATATTGACAGTAGTGGGTGACCTCGCCTAAGTGAACACTACCAAGCTGACTGACTGTCGTTCATTTCCTGATGAACGTCAGTATGTCACATGATTACGTTGTCAGTCGAGCGGAGACACACAGAACTACTTTAGGGGGATTTCTCAATGTCTAAAAATAACATTAAATTCATATGGGAAAACTGAGAGGGACATCGATTCAGGCGTTGAATGATGCAGGCTTTGAAGCCAGACAGATCATGTATATGTCGGGTCACCGAAATGAAGCGTCCATTCGAAGCTATAACAGAAAATGCTCGTGTTACCAAACGAAATCACTGAGCTCCACACTGTCGTGTATTGCTTCGAGAAATCCAACCGCGCCGCCTCAAGCGGTAATCCCTGTCATCAGCAGCCGTAGAGTGACTCAAACACACACCAGAAGTTCACAGAACGTTTATATCAATCCATTTTCAGCATCAGCCGGGTCTGGATTTCTTTCAAACGCTAACTTTACTGGGTGCAACTTTTATTTCAAGTGAATGACATTGCCATAGCAGCCATTTTCTGCTGTTTGTAAAACCAAGGGTCGTCACTCCAAATGGAATGTGGATGACATCACGCCGTCACGACTCTCCACGTTCATATAGTTCGCTTTAAATAATTAAAGTGTGATGTTTAATGGATTGTTTTGTTATGATTTATGTATCTGTCAATATAAGGATTGAAGTTGTATTTGTTGATGTTCATCAGCTGATGAAGACAGTGCCTCACGTGAGCAAATATACCATAAAGCACTTACGAGCATCGTGGAATTTGCTCATGTGAGGCACTGTCTTCATCAGCTGATGAACGTCAACCAATACAACTTCAATCCTTAAACTGCCATATTGTACTAAGACTAAAGCCTAGTCTCTGAAAATATATAAACTTTCTGGAAATAAGCAACATACTACATTTTAAGTGAAAAGGAGCCCCAGTGAGATGGGAAATAAGCCTGTGGGAAAATCCAGTCCAATGTAGATCCCCTGAGTGTGCTCCCCAGCCGATTGTTGAGACATAGACGTAACGGATGTTGAAAGTATTATAAAGCCGAAGCTGCATCTGGGAGATCAAGTCTGAATATATAATTCCTCAGTCTGAATGATTGTACGAAGTATGATGATCAAAATCTTGCGGAAGATGGCAGTCTTGAAGGGACGTTGAGATCACTGGGAGCATATGCTGAATCGATGTGTCTATTTTCACCAGTTCTCAATCCTCAAAAGTGAGAAATGACGTGTCCTTCCGGGTGATCCTTACTATGCCGACCTGTAGTTCTGGTGAAGAGACGATGGATTCCAACCCCTGGGTGTCGTATAAGCGCTCTGTTCTCAAAACAAGGTGATGATGAAGGGGGGTGCCTCAGTGTAAATTACTCTGAGTGTCGTCATCTGAGGTCTGCTGGAGTATAGCATCACATTTTTGTATAGCATCAGGCATCTGATCATGCAGTTGCAGTATTACATACAAGTACTCATGCAAACCAGTCTGTATAAATTCACTGTCACGGTTCGCATTAAGTCAATCTGACCTAATTCCAGCATTGTCGAGTTGTTTACAGTCAGTGAAATCTTGACATGTGACATGTAAATCATCCTCCAGGAAACTGGAATACTGCATTCTTCCTGGGGATGAGGTCCAAGCTACACATTCTGATCTTTCTTCTGAGTCTTCAAAGTAGACTTCATGGACCCCTTCGTGAACCCCTTCACAGATGCTGCAGCAACTGGCTTTCTGGTGGTGATCCCCTTTGTGTAGACATGTTCCCTCCTAGCTAGCTAGCTCTCTCTCTCCCTCCCTCTCTCTCCCTCTCTCACAAAATACAAGAATTCTGACACTCATTTCGTAAAATCAGTATGTCACACAGGTATATGGAACTTCTCATGTACTGACTTGGTCTTCACTGGCAGATCCAGAGAAGGGGGTGCAAGGGGTGTGCACCCCCACTATTTTGTAGACACCCTAGATGTTAAATGTGCCTTCGACCAAGTCACTTTGTGGCTTGGATACTTGGATATTATGTGCACTTCAACTTTTTCAAAATCCTTGGTACACGCTTTTCCATAACCGCCTACCTAATACATAACTATCATAAAGAAAAAGAAGCACATCTTAAGGTCTACCTTCTGGGCCCTGGCTGACAGCTTGACCTTGCCCAATCCATCAATGATGATGAGAACATTCCGCGTCTGTGATGACGCCTGCTCCAGCGTCTGCTGCAAGAGCTGCATCATCTCCTGCACAGTCTTCCCTCCAGACTTCTCTGTTGTGGAGCTGTTCTCTTCTCCAGACAGACCAAACGCCACTTCATCCTTCAGGTGCTTCAAGATCTCCAAGGGTGCTGCAATAGGCCATTTATATCAGGTGAGTTGTGGTTTAATGCACCTTTGAAAGGGAAACTATGAAATGGTTCACTATGTTAATGAGGTGCATTGAGAAACATAAATCCAAACTAGCAGTGGTGTTTAAATGGTGAGGCAAAATGATTATCCACCCAACTAATTAAAGTCAGATGACAGCGAAGAGGACTTCTTATAGTGTGATGACAGCCAAAATACAGGAATATGGCAATGATGTAATAGACGTATGATTTTCGCAGGAATTACATAAATTTAAGCCTATTCTAACCTGGAAATCCCTGTGGTAAGACAAACTTAGGTTCCTGTGGACCTATTCTAACCTGGAATTGCTGTAGTGAGACAAACTTAGGTTTCTGGGGACCTATTCTAACCTGGAATTCCTGTGGTGAGACAAACTTAGGTTCCTGCGGACATATTCTAACTTGGACTCACAATCACTGCCAGGTGCACACCCAATGAAGTGATAGGCAACAATCAATCCTCTCTCTTCCTGTCGCAGCTTGGGTATCCAGCTGCTCAGTAGGGCTGACTTGCCGCTCCCTGCTGGGCCGCACACCATGATCCTTGGACTGTCCTCTATACACAACAAGCAGATGAATCAAACATGGTGATGATCACAGCAAGGACACACATGCTGTGAATCAGTGCTCCTACACACACAACAAACACATACATCATTCATAAGTGGCGCTTCCAGAGAAGATCCTCTACACAAACAATAAACACATGCATCATTCATAGTGGCACTCCCGGGGGCCGTCCCCAATACACAGAAGCACATGCATCATTCATAGTGGCACTCCCAGAGATCATGCTCTACACAAACAATAAACACATGCATCATTCATAGTGGCACTCCCATAGATCGTCCTCTACACACACAATAAACACATGCATCATTCACAGTGGCACTCCCGGGGGCCGTCCCCAATACACAGAAGCACATGCATGATTCATAGTGGCACTCCCAGAGATCATCCTCTACACACACAATAAACACATGCATCATTCATAGTGGCACTCCCAGAGATAGTTCTCAACACACACAATAAACACATTCATCATTCACAGTGGCACTCCCATAGATCGTCCTCTACACACACAATAAACACATGCATCATTCATAGAGGCGCTCCCGGGGGCCATCCTCTACACACACATCAAGACCACAACTGAACTAATAGATTTGGAAAAGATTTAAACTTGTGTTATCCACCTGGATCTAAACCAATGGGAACAAAGCATAGACATTTATTTATCATCCATTTCATGAGAAAAATAAGCTTTCAGTGTTTTGAAACTTGCCCCACTACAATTTCTACCTGACCAGAAGGATCAGTCTCTTTGTTCATTGCTACAGACGTTCCACTGAGTCTCACCTGCATCTATCACATTCTCCTTCAGATACTGGAAGTACTTCTCACCACCCACATACAGATTCGACCGACTGGCAGCGAAGGCATCATGATGTGCCTTGGACTTCTCTCGGGGGGACTGAGAGCTGGACAAGTCCGCCAGCAGCACTTTGTTGAGGTGTTCCCACACACAAGTAAACATGAACTCTGCAGCCTGTAATAGCAGGACGGAGGGGACAGTGAGTGGGTTGGTGGGTGAGTGAACTATTGCGGTGTTCCCACTCACCAGTAAACATGAACTCTGCAGCCTGTAATAGCAGGACAGAGGGGACAGTGGGTGGGTGAATGAACTATCGCGGTGTTCCCACGCACCAGTAAACATGAACTCTGCAGCCTGTAATAGCAGGACGGAGGGGACAGTGAGTGGGTTGGTGGGTGAGTGAACTATTGCGGTGTTCCCACGCACCAGTAAACATGAACTCTGCAGCCTGTAATAGCAGGACGGAGGGGACAGTGAGTGGTAGGGTGGGTGAGTGAACTATCGCGGTGTTCCCACGCACCAGTAAACATGAACTCTGCAGCCTGTAATAGCAGGACGGAGGGGAAAGTGAGTGGTAGGGTGGGTGAGTAAACTATCACGGTGTTCCCACGCACCAGTAAACATGAACTCTGCAGCCTGTAATAGCAGGACGGAGGGACAGTGAGTGGGTGGGTGGGTGAGTGAACTATCGCGGTGTTCCCACACACCAGTAAACATGAACTCTGCAGCCTGTAATAGCAGGACGGAGGGGACAGTGAGAGAGTAAGTGGGGATTACCATCTATACATCCTCAATCTCAGGTAGCAGATGTTTCATGTATTTAGAGAATGACCTTTGTGAAATTGTGTATTTTCTGCTCCCAGTGAAAAATTATTGGAAGCTCCAAACTTAGCCAAGAAACTTTCAACATTAATTCATGGGGACAGATTATCCGTACATCTCAGCTGTGAGCAGGTTATTACCCATATTTCTTTTCATAAAATATATAGGACAATATGGTTTTCTTATCACAAGCAGATACATTAGTTCAGTCAGTCTACTGTTTGAACATCTCCATTTGTGATGTCATGAACAGTAGATGACATCATCTACAAGTATTTGCAAGAATGCATTCATATATTTTCTAGTTGCTCTTCACAAACAATGAGAACATTTGTGCCTAATAGCTTATCAACAGAAAGCTAAAATTACAATACTCTATAACAACTGCTGGAGACATTCCCCAATAGTGATGCCCCAATGGGTAATACAGTCCTGTACTCACCTGTGCAGGGTTACTGTAACTCATCTGAACTCCAAGAGTCTGAAACATGAACACTTTCAGGAATATATTATACCAAAATAAAAGACTTGTAAACACAGGCTGACCATGTAAAACCAGCATAACATGAGATCTCAATAAAACAAGAGATCTCAATAAAACATGAAGTCTTAATAAACTTACATAAATGGGTTTTTCAGATTAAAAACGATGTTTTATTGGTCTGTTTTCAGTCGTACAAATGGGTATCTCATACCTCTAGTCGCACGTTAAAAGGAAGCCAGAAGCTGGAATGTAAACAATAAACTTGTTTCCGTCTGGTTGCGCACGCACCTCCCCATGACATGTCACAAAACTTGAAGAATAAGTCATCAAGCAGGACTGGACTGGATTACATTCCGTGTGGGGATGGCTGGGTGGGAACGTACGACTGAAAACAGACCAATAAAACATTGTTTTTAATCTGAAAACCCCATGTTTTAGTCTGTTTTCAGTCGTACAAATGGGTAGAATTCAACGGAACACTGGAAGGAGGGTCGGGAAAGTAATCAGGAAGTGACCTCTTTCACGTCGACCAGAACATTCGACCAGATGCACGGACGAGACAAATTGTTTATCACGAACGCACAGCATGGTTAATGCTCTTCGACACACAACTGATTATCTATGAGACAGGACAACTGCGATCGAAGTGTGGTCGACGTATAGTTTAGTTACAGAGCAACTCGCAGTATACAAGGTAACTAAAACAGCATGTTTAATGCTCTTCGACCCACAAGTAACTATCAATGCAACAGGACAACTGCACACGACAGTTGAATTGCGTCGAAGTGTGGTCGGCATATAATTTAGTTTCAGAACGACTCGTCGTATCCAAGGTAACTAAAAATAGCATGGTTAATGCTCTTCGACACACAACTAATTATCGATGCGACAGGACAACTGCACACGTCAGTTGAATTGCGATCGAAGTGTGGTCGGCTTATAATGTAGTTACAGAACGACTCGTCGTACCCAAGGTAACTAAAAATAGCATGGTTAATGCTCTTCAAAACACAACTAATTATCGATGCGACAGGACAACTGCACACGTCAGTTGAATGGCGATCGAAGTGTGGTCGGCGCATAATTTAGTTACAGAGCAACTCGCAGTATACAAGGTAACTAAAAAATATGAGCAGGACTATAAAGTATGGGAAGACGATGCATACACTGAATAACCATAATAAAAAAAAACGAAGTACTGCACGCAACAAAAAACCATAAGAATGCGTACATTCACCAACACCAACCAGAGTCGATCTGTCAGCAGATGAAAAACTGTCGGGTGGATCATCCACTTCGTGGGAGACGGCCTCGATGGTCTCGACAGGGTGTCGACTATCACATTCTTGGGCCCCGGGATGAGACGGGCGTGTACGCCCATGTCTAAGGGTCCTTGAGGAAAACCCACCTGTGGGCATAGTGATGAAGTCTCCCCCCTACTGGTAACTCGTCTAAAGGTAGTGTCACCGGGGGCGACTCCAACGACATTGACGGCGGGGAAAGGGTCCTCACTTCTTCCCCCGCTGGCTCTGTCCCCCCCTGGGATACTTGGAAAAGGAGACCTGGCGACCTTTTCTGTCTGCATCTCTCTCGCGGGACGGCTGTCGAGGCATGTCCCTACGAAAGGCCTGTTGCACATTCTCGTTTCTATAACGGCATCGTGGGGCGTTCGAATCCGGTGGCCGTCTGGACAGGTTGTGTGAAGCCGAAATGATGATGTCACGCTCGGCTTCCTTGGAGTACTTGTCCAGAACATCGTTGGTACGACCGTCAAACAACTGTTGCGATGACCACGGGGCCCGTAAGAGTGTCCTGCCATGACGATCAGGTAGTTCAGTGCAGTCGATGTAACCATGACGACATGCCGTAGTTATCTGGCCCGATACATATCGGGACTGGGCGAGGATGTCCGAGATCCACCTTTGCATACAGGTGAGGATTGATGGCAGTGTCCTTTCGTCCTCGTCCTGGGGGTCTTTCTCCTCAAAGTACACTGAGAGGGCCTCGATCGCTGTCGACAGCATAGCAAGCGGTTGTAGCTGGTAACGAACAGCAGTGTCCATGGATTCCAAATGCCTGTCTTCTACTAGAATCTTGGAGGGCGCTGGTGTCTTGAAGAGTAGCCCCCAATCCAAGTCCCTACTCATGGGTGACGAAAACGGCATGCCATAGATCGGGTAACTAGTTCGACCAGGCGGCTTGCTGAAACTCTGTCCCGGCAGAGCAGAGGCAAAGTTCTGGTCCATATCGTGAGCCATGGCTCTGAAGATATCGGGAGGAGAAAACTGAAGAGACTGCGGCGTATCTCCGACCTTAAAGCCAGCACGTGTCGGTTTGTCGGCATCATTTGATAACTCAGGCAGAAAGTTAGATAGCCAAGCAAACAACTCAATGTCTTTGGGAGGCCTAGGAGGGCTGTCTTCACAATCCATCGTCGACGTCGATTGCGTAGGCGTAGATGAAGGAACTGGTGTACTGGTCGATGGTCCATGGACCTCCGACGTAGTCGAATCCTTCTTGGTCGACGCCATTGAGGCGAGTACCGCCGCCGTGATCTGGGCTATCAAAGTCGGGAAGATAGGAAATTGAGACGAGGGTGTCGATCAGTCATCAGCTCTACGACGCTGATCTCTCAAAAACTCCCTTCGAGAGCGTCGCACATCCCCGTGGGGGCGAGGGCTACGATCTCTAACTGTAGAAGTACTACGATCCCCCATCGAAGTTATCGTCCGAAACGAACTCATGACGACCACGAAGGCGACGAACGTCCTCGTGTCGTTTACTGTCTCTCGACGAGGCCCTCGACCTGTTGTCCCGTGAACGGGAACGACTTCTAGAGAGGGATCTGTGTTCACTGTCGACCCGCACGACGTTCCTATCGTCGTTGGTAGGAAGAGAGACGGACCGACTGGGGACCATAGTCCCCTCGTGGTCCTCGTCACGACCCGGTCCCTTCGTAACGGGGGTGGCTGAGTGACGCTCTTGATCAACCGATTGACGAAGATCAGTCGTGCGGGTAGTATCATCAGCAGGCGAACGGTCACGTGTCTTGTCGAAAACATAAGTTGACTGAGGTGGGTCGTTATCAACTGATTTCTTGGGTGTGGCCGACGCGCCACCCCCAGGGCCAGATGTAGAGGGTGCAGAGTCCAAGGATACACCCGACGACCTTCTCTGCTTGTAGCGCTGGTCAGTAGCCAGCTTCGCCAACGCACAAAGATACAAGTGAAAGTTGATAGAAGACAAGTGCTCACATTCTTTACAACGTTTATCCCACGAACACCTTGAAAACCCGTCCTTAATTATGCAGGAAGGACAATACTTGTGAGGATCTACTTTAGATAGTTTTCGTTGACACGAGGCACAAATGCCCGACATGTTGCCACGTGTATAATCAAGTCAAACAGTGAAACACGTGTTGAACACAAACAATGGATTACAAAGGATTACATTCCAGGAGTCTACAGGGAAGACATATTATCATTTCTTTATTAGAACAACAACTGTAGACACACGGTAAGTACTAGTAGAATACAAACTAGCAGTCTATCGCGAAAGTCCTTCTCGAGCGACCAGCTCAGAGGCGCGCTGAGAGATTTGTGGCATGTCATGGGGAGAAGCGTGCGCAACCGGACGGAAACAAGTTTATTGTTTACATTCCAGCTTCTGGCTTCCTTTTAACGTGCGACTAGAGGTATGAGATACCCATTTGTACGACTGAAAACAGACTAAAACATAAATTTTAGGTAATAAAATCTTAGATAATTCTGAAATGGAGATATCTGTTTAAGAACAGAAATGAGAATCTGTTGAACCCCGAAGTCATCGAGCATCGAAGGGGAACTTGATTCTCCTTCCGGAATCAACAGAATTTCTCAGACTTATACCATGCTATCATTGATATATTATTTCTCTATAATTTTGCGTAATGGCCCCTGATTGCTTCAGTTTTACTGCGGGTTCAGAATGGCCAGTGAATTCCTGACTGAGAATAAACAGCAACGTCAATAGCATCATCATAATGGTTTAAATCTAGGGGTGATGATCGATTAAACTAATAAAACACCCAACTTTGTTCATTAATATCAGACAATGATCAGAGATACCTCAATCACCTCCATAAAAACTTCACGAGTGACCTGGTGAAAATATAACACTGCGGACTTGTACTAATACCACGTCAAGTCTAAAATTACCTAATTTACAAATGTTTTCTACAGCTTTGCACTAAGTGATTACTTATCAGATGAACCTCAGCACATAGCCTTCACCCTGGAGGCAACTTACCTTGTCTCTGGTTTTTTCAACTCTTTGTTTCAGATCATCCATGAGTTGAACAGATTCTGAACTCTCAGCAGAGAACTTGAAAACTTGTTTTTTATTCCCCAGGGTCTCACCCTCTGTTCTCTTCATGTCATCGTAACTCTAGCAACACAAATAATGCACTCTCCCGAAGATGTCATCGTAACTCTAGCAACACAAATATGCATTTTCCTGAAGATGACATTGTAACTCTAGCAACACAAATAATGCATTCTCCAAAAGATGTCATCGTAACTCTAGCAACACAAATAATGCACTCTCCAGAAGATGTCATCGTAACTCTAGCAACACAAATAACTAAACCCACAGAAGGTGTCATTGTAACTCTAGCAACACAAATAATGCACTCTCCAGTGGATGTCATCGTAACTCTAGCAACACAAATAAGTGAACCCACAAAAGATGTCATTGTAACTCTAGCAACACAAAAAATGCACTCCACTGGTCATTGACCAGTAGTCGCCATTTTTTCATGTTATTTCTGACATATTCCGTGTACAGAGTAGGCTGTACCAATAACTTTGATTTTTGTGAAACTATGAGCAAATCTGCTTATTTCTGTCCGTGGAATATTTTTCTTTAAGATTTCTGTCATAACGCAACGATAGCGAATAAAAACAGTGGAAATAGAACTGACCCGTCGACTAATTGTACCAGTTATTGCATCGTCTTAACAGAACGTGCAACGTGATCACGTACACAGCTTCAGTTATACAAATTACATTTATTAGTATTTCGGGTATCACACTTAATATTTCTATTCACCAAAATAAATAACAAATACTATTATTAAATTGTCATCCACAAACAAACCAAACCAAACCAATATTCCCCAAATTTGATCTACACATGCTTAGCCTTAACACTATGTTCTATGGATTTTGCGATATATAATATACAGGTTATGCACTTGGAAAAATAGCTTAAATAGTTTTTAGAATTGTACTTTGGGGAAGAAATGACAGACAGATAGAAAGCAATGACAGAACTGAATGTGCATTATCGTGTTGACGAATTTGTCACGTGACACTGCTCGTGACCTTTCAAAAGTTGTATTGGAGCTAGGTGATTATATGGTATTTTTTAAATATTTCCTCACAGGAGTCTATTTTGTTAATCATTTTCGGGTGAATATTTTTCTCTTCTAATGAAAACGAGCAAAAGTAAAATGAGATGCGATCACATGCGTGTTATAACAGGGAGTTGGCAATAATTGGTTATGAGCGATAACTGGATCTGGATGTCATCATAATTCTCGCAACATAAATAACCCACTCTACAGTTTTCAGTTCATCAGAAAACCAATATTTTGTAAGCATGGTCTATATATCTGCTACCTTATCCCTGAAGCAGATGATGGCTGGCATGGAACCTGGTGTGTTGAGGTGTCCGTGGAGGAACTCCATCTCCGTCACACTCTTGCCACGGTGACCATCCAGCCAGGGGTACCGCAGGATTGCCTTCTCAATGTTCTTTTGGAGTGCTTCATCATTCTTGCCAAACCAACCATACCGCTGGAGAAATAAAAACAAACATCACAATTATAAACTAGTTGTTTTAAAACACATAGTTTATATAATTTTTACAGAGCTGCAATATATGGCATGGCCTTGTCTATTTCAGTTTGGAATATCATATTACATCATGCACTAGTACTACCTCACACTGCTGTATACCTGTTAATCTGGTAGACTCACAAAATCTCCCTACAAGCATCCAATCTCATTAAAATCAGACCTTAGTTCTCGCTACCGCTGAACAAAGATCTGAGGACATCCCATTAGGGGTTACGTCAGAACGACCTTTCATCGGACCAATCAGAGCATCGCTTACCAGATTATGAAAGTGACAGTCGGAATGTGATTTCTAATCATGCAACCTCGAAAACTTTAACTCCGAACGATAGTTACGAGTTTAACGACTGAATCCATACAATCTATAACATTCCAGAATGTTTTTTTGTTCAGGTTTCAAATTAATAATCGAGAATTTGTCAAAACATGTTTCAAAGCGTAGTCGCCAATTTGAAATTAGTGCCGTAAAGCACGAGAAAGCTGCCTTCTGATTGGTCATTCCATTGCGCAAGGTCGGTCTGACGTGACCCGTAATGGGATGTCCTCAGATCTTTGTTTAGCGGTAGCGAAAACAAATATCTGATTTTAATGAGATTGACAAGCATCGGACCTCTCAAACATGACGATACAGAGGCACTGAGGGAGATTTTATGAAGCTTCATGGGGTTTGGTGAGGAGACTACAAAGGGAACTGTGAGACATATACAATAATTTTTAAATGACTGCTGCGCTATCAAAACCCTCGTTAGATACATAACATAATTATTGCAAATACACAACTAATTTCAAAATAACTGTCACACGATAATTATGAATCAGGGCGGTAACCGTTCAACTTCAAACCCGGACGATAATTAACACGACCTCAACATATATAATGCTAATTACACACCTGGCCAAAGAAGCCGACGAACATATCTGATCTGTCCAGCTCTCTTAGGCAAATGCTGACAGTCTGGGCGTTCTCAGCCGCCTCCGACGTGATTCCCCATCTCATGTCCACAGCCACAAATTGAATTCCCCGCGAGTTGCACAGGTGATGAATCTGGGGGAAGTATTTCCGCGTTAGCTCCTCGCGCTCCTCCTCCATTCCTCCAAAAGGGGAGGAGAAAAATATCCGACATGTTCGAGGGTCTTTTAGTTTGGTGGGTAGAGATGACATTGCTCGCTTGTTATAATCGGAGACACCAGTTATCACACCTGAGTTATTGGCATAGCGTCCCTTGATACCTCGTTGGGTATGTGTAAAATAGTGAACCACGAAACGAACTTATCTATCTCTCGTAATGATACGTCATACTCCCTTGGACAAAATATCATACAGTTATAAAACAACTTCCCAGCCGTTATAGCTGTAAATGTAAATGCAAAATTCAAGTTAATGGCCAATAAAGAATCATTTACTTGAATCATAACTAGTTTATGTCTCAAAGCAGGTAAAATATGAAACAATGAAGCTATGCGTTTAAGCTCGATTATCCAATGGAGTTACTTCTATATTGGATTACCTTTCAAGCTCAATACTTTTTTTTTTTACCTAGACGATCTGGCTGGACTCCTCTGCCATGGTGACATCTTCAGTAGCAGTGGAAGCATAGGTCGGCCACTCCACCTCAAACTGAATGGGCTGCAACACAGCCTCCACGCATCGACTGACAGCAAGTGAAGGAAAAAGGTCCTTGAGTACGGCATTAAACAACAAACAAACATTATGGAAACAAAACTTGCAGCTTAGCTTTGTTTTGTTCCTTTTATAGAGAAATAACATGTACGGGTAAGATGGATATAAATTTGAACAGTCAATATCTTAAAAACAGCATGTCTTTGCGAAGTACGACAAAAGTTATCGTTATTTCTAGTTGTGAAATAGATCCCAACCGCAGATCAACGGTGTTAATCAGTTTTCACAGACTAAGAAATCAGCTACAAATTGATAGTAATGTATACGAAGTATAATCCCAGTGTATCTTATTTTATTCAATAACGAACATATTACTGTACGTCTGTATACCATACACTGTCTATCATTATCACATTGCTTGTGGTTACATTGTACAACAATGTCAATACAGTGTTGATTCGGGATACAATTATATTGTTACACAAAGTCTCTACCGGGATATATCATATATAAGAGATTACATGTATGTCTTATACATAGACTCCCTTTAGTTTTCTGCATGTACGTATTCGCATAAACAAAAACTGCAACTTATAATCGTCTTTCAACTCGATAGAGTAGAGGAACCCACGAATGATACAGATCAATGTAAGATAAAACGTTTTATTGTTCTTTCTTAATGTAGTTGTCAAATATTGCTTATATGTTTTACTTATTTTTGAAAGTTGGTCCAAATATAAGCTTTCCATGCAAATTTATACATCTAATATGTTCAAAACGTGAGTCACACCTTATTATAAAGGAAAGAAAAAAATACACGGTAGAATTCCCCTAACGCATAATAATTGATAACTTTTTTATTGAAACCAAATCCAGAGATATTCACGAGACTCGTCAGAGCGATTGACATTTTATCGAAACAATATTTCGTTTCATTCCCCAATCCACAATTTAATTAACCCAGTCACGCTTCTTCCTGTTTTGGTTAACAACAAAAACAACACCGTCGACGAATGTCGTAAGTAAACAGGCCGCTGACAACTGACAATCGAGATGTGGTTCGGTCATCACAGTTTCGGAATCATAGCCGATAGACGCGATGGGTCAGGTTCCGACAGTCAAGGCATGTCCAGACATTTCCATGCTGTGTTATGTCCAGACTGTTGGGACTGTAACGTGACGGTGTCCGATAGTCAAGGCATAGGATGCAGGCTAAAACGACGGCAATTCAGCAAAACGTCACCGATTTCTCGGGCGAAAACGGCACCGCATTTGTCGAAAACGGCTACTATTTGTCGGGTGAAAACGGCACCTCTATTTTGATGTAGTAGTATATATACTTTATGCCAATCCGATGTAACCCAATGTACGAGTGCGGAAGCACCAATCACTACATTGTATATGATTTATTTACACTGTCATTTCCTGTTTTCCAGTTATTCACATTGTCATCTTCACCACGTCCTTGTTTACAAGACTAGTCCATGTACCACAGAGCATTGTGTTAGCAGCTGAGACAGGGAAAGGTCTCCATCATTGTATCTCCGCCACACGTTAAAGATCTCATCCTGACGAGATGTGGAGGCCTTTCTCACATAGGCCCTGAGTCGGCCCTCCTGCATGAACCTTGACCATTGTTGACTGTAGAGGTAGTAGACTGGCCTCTTGGAAAAGCTCTGGGATCAGTCTGTAGATACCCAGGGACTGCTCACCAACCCTGTTGTTTCTTATAATTTTGATCTGAGAGCAGTGGAGTGGATTTTAGGGGTTTAACGTCCACTTCCCAGTTATATTAATGGATTTTGTGGATGGGGTAGGTGGGAAAAAGAAAATATGAATAATATTTCAATAAAGTTAATCACCATACCGAAGAAACTGTAACAGTAGGGACATAAACCTAATACTAAGTACTAAACTATAAGATATACACCTAGAGTATTAGTGCTAAAATATTTTAATAAATATATAGTAATATTGAGATTACTTTATCAAGAATAGAATTTTATAGGATGTTAAGGTCTAAAGTTGGTCAAGAGCACTGTTTATTTATCCTAATAGGTGGTTACTCTACTATATACTAGAAAAAGTATAGCATAGTGGGGTTGCTAATTTCTAATGTAAACTTGTTTTATTTACATTTTTACAATTATTGGTGTTTGCAGGTGAAAATGTGAGTTTAATTTAATTTATTTCAGTACCAAGGTAAAAAATAAAATAATGTGCCATTTATAGCCGTTTTCGCTTTAGGCGAGGTGCCGTTTTCGCAAATCGGTGCCATTTTTGTTCGGTGCTGTTTTGCTGAAGTGCCGATTTAGCTATAACCTCATGACATTACCCGACGTTTTCGGACCCCATCGCTGCTCCAGGCAGCTATGGCTTCAAGATCTATAAGTATCACATTATTGTAGAGATTTACCCACCCCTCAGACTGAAAATCATAACTTTGCTGGCAATAATAAAATAATAAAAATCAAAGGTTTGACCCAAAGTTCACAAATCCAGCATGATGTCACACAATTTTAAACTACTCAGGTGAAGGATACCTGCAGTGTTTGATCCTATTCAGGTGAAGGATACTCTTTGTGTTTGATCCTATTCAGGTGAAGGATACACTTTGTGTTTGATCCTATTGAGGTGAAGGATACACTTTGTGTTTGATCCTATTCAGGTGAAGGATAAACTTTGTGTTTGATCCTATTCAGGTGAAGGATACTCTTGGTGTTTGATCCTATTAAGTTGAAGGATTCTCTCAGTGTTTGATCCTATTCAGGTGAAGGATACTCTCGGTGTTTGATCCTATTCAGGTGACGGATACTCTCGGTGTTTGATCCTATTCTGGTAAAGGATACTCTCAGTGTTTGGTCCTGTTCAGGTAAGAATGCTCTCGGTGTTTGATCCTATTCAGGTGAAAGATTCCCTTGGTGTTTGATCCTATTAAGGTGAAGGATTCTCTCAGTGTTTGATCCTATTCAGGTGAATGGTGCTCTCAGTGTTTGATCCTATTCAGGTGAAAGATTCCCTTGGTGTTTGATCCTATTCAGGTGAAGGATACTCTCAGTGTTTGATCCTATTCAGGTGAAGGACACTCACAGTGTTTGGTCCTATTCAGGTAAAGAAAGCTCTCGGTGTCTGATCCTATTCAGGTGAAGGATTCCCTAGGTGTTTGATCCTATTCGGGTGAAGGAAGCTGTAAGTGTTTGATCCTATTCAGGTACTTGATGTTTGATCCTCTGCAGGTGAAAGATGTCTCTCAGTGTTTGAACCAGTTCAAGTGAAAGATGGTTCTCCAGAAGGAAAACAGCATCCAGCTGAAGACAGCTCTGGGTACAAGTGAGATACAGCTGCTGACAGGGGACATCACACAGCTGCAACAAGATGAGGCAGTGGACATCGTCCTCGTCTCAGCATTTCAAGGTACAATCCAACATTCTCATTTGTTTAAAGTGTGTAGTCATACATTTGTCTCAAATTTGTCTCAAATACAAATACTATAAGCATTTTTTATGTAAGTGAAGCCAATGCTTTGTTAACATAGTTATGACTGGTCTTAATTTGTGTGCAGGGGACTATTCTGAGGTGTCATCCTTTACTCTTATTGGTGCTTTGAGTCGGAGATTGAACATCAGCGTCAGTGAGCTGTCAAGGGACAAGGAGCTTGACCTCAGGGCTAATTTCAATTGCTGGGTGTCCAAACCTCTGCCCCACAATGTGCCATACCGACGACTGGTGTGTTTTGAGAGGTAGGAGTATCAGGCTAAATGCCTTAAAGATCAGATATCAAGGAATATGTTTTTTAGAACATATTTTAGCAAGTTTTGTCCTCTCTTAATTAAACAGTGTGTAATACAGAAATATATTAAATAATGATTACCTGCTGTTAGAATAGGTCTTTAGCTACCCATGCTTGCCGTAAAAGGTGATTATGCTTCTTGTTAGAGGTGACTAACAGGATCAGGTGGTCAGGCTCGCTGACTTGGTTGATGCATGTCATCATATCCCAATTGTGTGGATTGATGCTCATGATATCAATCACTGGATTGTCTGGTCCAGATTCAATTATTTACAGACCACTGTCATACAGCTGGAATATTGCTGAGTGGGGCGTTAAACAACAAACAAACACATAAATACCTGCTGTTTAGTTTTTACAAACCATGAATTATTGAGACATCCAGCTTTTTTGTAGATGTATTGAAGATCTAGCACCATCTGAATACTTACTGCTCGAGGTCATTCTCAAGGTCATAACCAAAATAAATCTTGATATCTTCAATGGATGAGTATAAATGGCATTATCCTTGATATTCTATCAAACTATTTTAACAAGAATAAACATGAATCTCTCATTCAAATCTCCAGAGGTCGTAGGGCTGGGAATGGAACCACCGCCCAGCAGATCAGCACCATGTTTCGTGCCATGACGCCAATCTTTAACAATGAGGAGACGACTGTAATTACGCCTCTCCTGGCCACTGGAAACCAGGTCAGAGTTCACATGTAACTATTATATTTGTACAAAATAAATAGTCCCAAACACAAGGTTACTGTAATATTGTGATATTGAAGCCTGTACCATGTAAACTCGGTGTTCCCCAACATGATGTTACTGTGATATTGAAGCCTGGGCCATGTAAACTTGGTGTTCCTGTAATATTGAAGCCAGTACCATGTAACTTTGTGTTCCTCACCATGGTGTTACTGTAATATTGAAGCCTGTACCATGTAAACTTGGTGTTCCTCACCACGATGTTCCTGTAATATTGAAGCCTGTACCATGTAACTTGGTGTTCCCCAACATGTTACTGTAATATTGAAGCCTGTACCATGTAACTAGGTGTTCTTCACCATGTTACTGTAATATTGAAGCCTGTACCATGTAACCTGGTGTTCCTCACCACGATGTTACTGTAATATTGAAGCCTGTACCATGTAAACTTGGTGTTCCCCACCATGATGTTCCTGTAACATTGAAGCCTGTACCATGTAAACTTGGTGTTCCTCACCACGATGTTCCTGTAATATTGAAGCCTGTACCATGTAAACTTGGTGTTCCTCACCACGATGTTCCTGTAATATTGAAGCCTGTACCATGTAACTAGGTGTTCCTCACCATGTTACTGTAATATTGAAGCCTGTACCATGTAACCTGGTGTTCCTCACCACGATGTTACTGTAATATTGAAGCCTGTACCATGTAACTTGGTGTTCCTCACCACGATTTTACTGTAATATTGAAGCCTGTACCATGTAAACTTGGTGTTCCCCACCATGATGTTCCTGTAATATTGAAGCCTGTACCATGTAAACTTGGTGCTCCTGTAATATTGAAGCCAGTACCATGTAAACTTGGTGTTCCCCAACATGATGTTACTGTGATACTGATAAAAGCACACACTGTCTCAGTTAAACCATGAACCAAACAGGATAGCAATCAGTTGGTGAAATTGTCTTATGTGCGATCATGGCCATGGGAGACAAAGCTTGCTCGATTTTTCTTGACTTGAGCCAGGAAGGCACGCAGTTTATCAGATGTTGTCAGAAGGACACCGTTATAGGTGCTCAGCTAAGATAATGCCCATCTGATTATATATGTGTATATGTGATGTATATTTAACATTAATAAAGGTAATCTGATGATACCATTGTGTTACTGTGTATTTTAGGGCCAGTCAAAAGTGGCAGTGCTGAAGGCAATGGTAGATGGAGCTTGTCACTGGATCAAGGCCGGCCTCCCTCTTCGATGTCTGAAGATTGTCCTGTATGCTGCAGAACTCAACATGAGGGACATAGAAGCCGTGAAGCTGTTCAAGCAGCTGAAGAAAGTCTGGGAAAAACAGAACCTCACTCAGGTGAGATAATGATAAATGACTTGTATCCTCACATAACACAACAAATCTTAATACCATGCTTAGTAAATGACTTACAAACTCCAAAAATAATAATGTTCTGTAACACAACGCCATATTGAAATGCAAAGATGTTTTTCTGGCCATGGCAACAATCCTTATCTTGCCATCCTTTTCATTCAAGATATCACTGTTTTATCTCACCTCCAGTTTCACCCAGTATCTCACCATCAGTTTTATCCAGTATCTCACCAACAGTTTTACTCAGTATCTCACCATCAGTTTCATTCAGTATCTCACCATCAGTTTTACTCAGTATCTCACCAACAGTTTCATTCAGTATCTCACCAACAGTTTCATCCAGTATCTCATCTCCAGTTTCATCCAGTATCTCACCATCAGTTTCATTCAGTATCTCACCATCAGTTTCACCCAGTATCTCACCATCATTTTCTCAAATATCTCACCAGTTTCACCCATTATCTCACCACCAGTTTCATCCAGTATCTCACCATCAGTTTCATTCAGTATCTCACCATCAGTCTCATCTGATATCTCACCATCAGTCTCATCCAATATCTCACCATCAGTTCCATACAGGATCTCAACCTCAGCTTCATCCAGTATCTCACCATCAGTTTCACCTGATATCTCACCATCAGTTTCATCCAGTATCTCAACATCAGTCTCCTGTGATATCTAATCATCAGTTTCATCCAGTATCTCACCATCAGTTTCATCCAGTATCTCGCCATCAGTTTCACCTGATATCTCACTATCAGTTTCATCCAGTATCTCACCATCAGTTTCACCTGATATCTCACCATCAGTTTCATCCAGTATCTCACCATCAGTTTTATCCAGTATCTCACCATCAGTTTCATATTTGCAGCCAGAAGAGGATCAGAGTATTGATGTGTTCATCTCCCATAGTAACCATGACAACCATTGGGCTGACAAAATTGCTACCCAGTTGACGGAGATACGCCCTGGACTGAAGGTGTACAAACAACAGCTCCAGTTCTCAGCCGACGAGGTGTGGCAGGAAAATGTCTTCCACGTCATGATGCAGTCGGTCAGGTCAGAATTCTACACCCACAGCAACTTACAGTATTTCCTGTACCCAATTGTAAAATAGGGACCCAGGTGGCCCAGTGGTGTACGTGTACTTCCTGTACCCAATTGTAAAATAGGGACCCAGGTGGCCCAGTGGTGTACGTGTACTTCCTGTACCCAATTGTAAAATAGGGACCCAGGTGGCCCAGTGGTGTACGTGTACTTCCTGTACCCAATTGTAAAATAGGGACCCAGGTGGCCCAGTGGTGTACGTGTACTTCCTGTACCCAATTGTAAAATAGGGACCCAGGTGGCCCAGTGGTGTACGTGTACTTCCTGTACCCAATTGTAAAATAGGGACCCAGGTGGCCCAGTGGTGTACGTGTACTTCCTGTACTCAATTGTAAAATAGGGGCCCAGGTGGTCCAGTGGTGTAAGTGTACTTCCTGTACTCAATTGTAAAATAGGGGCCCAGGTGGTCCAGTGGTGTAAGTGTACTTCCTGTACCCAATTGTAAAATAGGGACCCAGGTGGCCCAGTGGTGTACGTGTACTTCCTGTACTCAATTGTAAAATAGGGGCCCATGTGGGAAGGCAGTCCATCCATGAATACAATTCTTCAGACCTGTAGGTTTTTGTGATGTTGTGTTTGGTTCAGTCACTGATTGTATTGATGATCTTGGCATTCAGTTGTGCAGCGCTACACTCTTTATGTCCCAGAATCATCGCCATCTTAAGCCCTGCATATGTGGAGAGTCAGGAGTGTCTGGAACAGTTCAACATAGCTCTGTGTGTGAACCGCCTGTCTGAACACCACCAGATCTGTCCCATGTATGTTGAGACGGTCACCTCCATCCCCTCCTACATGCAGTTGGTGCAGTACGTGGAGTGCAGGTCAGTACACCTTGCTAGATGCCAGTACACCTTGTTGATGGCAGTACACCTTGGGTGATGTCAGGACGCCTTGCTAGATGCCAGTACACCTTGTTGATGGCAGTACACCTTGGTTGATGTCAGGACACATTCTTGGGTGTCAGTACACCTTGCTAGATGCCAGTACACCTAGCTGGATGTCAGAACACCTTGTTATGTCAGTTCTCTTTGGTGGTTTTCAGTACACCTAGCTTGATGTCAGTACACCTTGCATGATGTCAGTACACCTAGCTTGATGTCAGTACACCTAGCTGGGTGTCAGTACACCTTGCAAGATATCAGTACACCTAGCTTGATGTCAGTACATCTTGCCAGATGTCAGTACACCTTGCCAGATGTCAGTACACCTAGCTGGGTGTCAGTACACCTTGCCAGATGTCAGTACACCTAGCTTGATGTCAGTACACCTTGCCAGATGTCAGTACACCTAGCCAGATGTCAGTACACCGAGCTTGATGTCAGAACACCTAGCATGGTGTCCATACACCTTGCCAGATGTCAGTACACCTAGCTGGGTGTCAGTACACCTTGCCAGATGTCAGTACACCTAGCTTGATGTCAGTACACCTTGCCAGATGTCAGTACACCTAGCCAGATGTCAGTACACCGAGCTTGATGTCAGAACACCTAGCATGGTGTCCATACACCTTGCCAGATGTCAGTACACCTAGCCAGATGTCAGTACACCGAGCTTGATGTCAGAACACCTAGCATGGTGTCCATACACCTTGCCAGATGTCAGTACACCTAGCTTGGTGTCAGGACAACTTGCAAGATGTCAGTACACCTAGCTGGGTGTCAGTACACCTAGCTGGCTGTCAGTACACCTAGCTTGATGTCAGTACACCTTGCCAGATGTCAGTACACCTAGTTGTGTGTCAGTACACCTGGCTTGATGTCAGTACACCTAGCTGGGTGTCAGTACACCTTGCCAGATGTCAGTACACCTAGTTGGGTGTCAGTACACCTAGCTTGATGTCAGTACACCTAGCTGGGTGTCAGTACACCTTGCCAGATGTCAGTACACCTAGTTTGATGTCAGTACACCTAGCTGGGTGTCATTTCACCTAGTTGGATGTCAGTACACCTTGCCTGATGTCAGTACACCTTGCCAGATGTCAATACACCTAGCTTGATGTCAGTATACCTAGCTGGGTCTCAGGACACCTTGCCAGATGTCAGTACACCTAGCTTGATGTCATTACACATAGCTTGATGCCAGTACACCTTGCATGATGTCAGTACACCTAGATTGATGTCAGTACACCCAGCTTGATGTCAGTACACCTTGTCTGATGCCAGTACACCTAGCTTGATGCCAGTACACCTAGCTTGATGTCAGTACAACTTGCCTGATGTCAGTACACCTAGCTTGATGCCAGTACACCTAGCTTGATGTCAGTACACATTGCCTGATGTCAATACACCTAGCTTGATGCCAGTACACCTAGCTTGATGTCAGTACACCTTGCCTGATGTCAGTACACCTAGCTTGATGTCAGTACACCTAGCTTGATGTCAGTACACATTGCCTGATGTCAGTACACCTAGCTTGATGTCAGTACCCCTTGCCAGATGTCAGTACACCTAGCTTGATGTCAGTACACCTTGCCTGATGTCAGTACACCTAGCTTGATGCCAGTACACCTAGCTTGATGTCAGTACACATTGCCAGATGTCAATACACCTAGCTTGATGCCAGTACACCTAGCTTGATGTCAGTACACCTTGCCTGATGTCAGGACACCTAGCTTGATGCCAGTACACCTAGCTTGATGTCAGTACACATTGCCTGATGTCAGTACACCTAGCTTGATGTCAGTACACCTTGCCAGATGTCAGTACACCTAGCTTGATGTCAGTACACCTTGCCAGATGTCGGTACACCTAGCTGGGTGTCAGTACACCTTGCCAGATGTCGGTACATCTAGCTGGGTTTCAGTACACCTTGCCAGATGTCAGGACACCTAGCTTGATGTCAGTACACCTTGCCAGATGTCAGTACACCTAGTTGGGTGTCAGTACACCTTGCCAGATGTCAGTACATCTTGCCAGATGTCAGTACACCTAGCTGGGTTTCAGTACACCTTGCCAGATGTCAGTACACCTAGCTTGATGTCAGTACACCTTGCCAGATGTCAGTACACCTAGCTGGGTGTCAGTACACCTAGATGGATGTCAGTACACCTAGCTTGATGTCAGTACACCTTGCCAGATGTTAGTAAACCTTGCTATGTTAGTTCTTTTTGGTGGTTTTCAGTACACCTTGCTGGATGTCAGTGTTTCTGACTGCCAGTACACTTTGTTGGGATGTTGGTACACCTTACTAGATGTCAGTACACCTTGTTAAATATCACTACATGTTGATAAAAATCATTACATCTTGATAAATATCAGTAGACCTTCTATACGAGGAACAATATTTAAGGAAACCCCTGTCATTTCAGCTATGTAAATGAAAGGATCATCTTTGTTGCACAAGACATAGGAACTGAACGCGGACAGCAAACTCCCTCTCACTTTGCACATTGCACATGTGTAGCATGTTGTCCATGGTGACACATCCTGGTTTGTGGCATATGCCAATAAATGTCCGAGCCACATGCTTCATTGATCAGAGACAAAGAAGGAAAATGTCTCTGAAAGTGTACATGACAAAATGAAAAATTGCGTGCATGATTGAACCAGAATGCAGTTGCCAGAAACTTTGGTAAATCTAAAAGTGTGATGTTCCACCTGATGGAATGATTTTGGCAAACAGATGGGGTTAAGATTAGGGTGGGTAGAGGAAAGCCTAGAGAGCTTACTCCGAGGCAGGATCGATTTGCATGCTCCATTCTGTTGAGGAACACATACATTGCTGCAACAGAACTGACGGGCTGCCACAGTAATCCGACTTCAGACATCAACAATACGTAACATCACGTTAGACAACAGGGCGCATCTGATGATCGTACAGGGGAACATGACTGTCAATGTAATGTGGACCAAATGTTACGCCCAGTGGTAATCCCATTTGCTGTGTGCGAGTCAGAATTTTAAGTTCCATGTTGACTACTCATGTCCTCACAGAGCTCGTGTTGCAGTCAATTGTTTGAGGCAGCAAGGTGTCACAACATTGTCCTGGCAAGCCAAATATCCAGACATGTATCCGCCGTAGAGGATTGTGTTCTAGGGGATTCTTCTTCTTAGCTCCTTCTATATATGACACAAGTCCGTCTGAGGGTCCACAACAATTTTATTGAGACACAGTTACAACGTGTAGCTCTGACTCTCAGCCTCAACTGCCCCGCTCGGCTGGTTCACAATCATATATATCTTTCCTCAACATATCTTACATTCCTGACCATGGTCCTAATAAAGTTATACCTCCTGACCAGTAGCACCTCGTCTGCAATCCCCCATGTTATCAATGCAGTGACCATCAGGATATCTCCTTTTTGGGCTTGTATTCTAAGAATATCCCTGAGTTCTAAGAATACACCTGACTTCTCTCACCCCTTATTTGGATGTCCCTCCATGGCTAACATGCATGTTCTAGCTAGGTCAACGGCAGTTCAAAGGTGCATCCCCCCCCAGGGTACTTCGCCAAGGGGGAGACTAAGGGGGAGACGAAGGGGGAGGGTGTGAGTAATGCCACTGATTAATATAAGGGTAACACTATTTTTCAGGGCATTATCATTTGCAGAAGCCCGAGGTCTTCCATTAACTGCCCGACGAAGGAGGGCAGTTGAAAAGACCGAGGGCTTCTGCAAATGATAATGCCCTGAAAAATAGCGTTACCGTTATTATAGCTTAAACGGATGGAATTTGTTATCAAATAAAAAGAAACAACAATATCGATTTTGAAACATTTACTGCAATCAACACGAATGTCACTGACCCACTTTTACAAATATGGAAACGTCATAGAACAAACCAGATGACGTCACTATTGAACGTTACGTCACCTATCCCTATCCTATGACGTCACCTAACAACGGGCGTGATAATGGCCCGTCGTCAAGTAATATGAGGGCATTATCAAGTTACAGTGGCCCGCTCATTTCTGATAACATGCGGGCGTTTTTATGATAATTCTATCCATTTTAGCTATAATATCTCTCAACACAGGGCCCGTCATGCAAATCTTGCCTCTGATATATGGCCCCTCTATGTTAAAGGACGCGTCCACGCGTCCTAACTCAGGATTGCAAATGAGGTATGGTGGTCAAGGTAATTATAAATATTCAGGTAAAAGAGAAACTAAAGTAATGAATGATATGTTAACAAGTTTTTTCAAATGGACACAATTTTAAACTGATTTTGTTTTTCTTTTAAAAATGATATACAATCAAGTGCGTGTGGACCACGTTTTATATTTTGCTATCTATACGTACATACATAAAATACACATGACTATATTATGTACAATGGCATAAACAAAATGACGGCAGTGATGATAGCATAAATAGATGTTGACAATTTGTACGAATGGTAGTGATGGACAATATCGTTGACAAGACGTTGACTTCAAAATTTTGCAATAATTATACATGTATAATTTACAAATTAAAATATAATCATCGGTTTCGTTGGTACAGTATAGACAAAATGTGCCAACGTTACAATATACCAATGAAAACAAAGAAATCATATACATTTGTACATATGCTACTGTCGTAGCTTGTAATTACAATGTCACAAAGTCATCAGGTAAAAATGTATGTTTGTAGAGAGGGGTACAAGCGATGGGTATAACTGGGTGGTGGGCCTGGTTGGTTGGGTTTTTCAACTGCCTTGGGGGCGGTCGGGTAGCCTAGTGGTTAAAGCGTTCACTCGACACGCCGAAGACCCGGGTTCGATTCCCGACATGGGTACAATGTGTGAAGCTCATTTCTGGTGTCCCCCGCCGTGACATTGCTGGAATATTGCTAAAAGCGGCGTAAAACCATACTCACTCACTCACTCACTCACTCACT